GCACACTGTTTGCCAAGATCCTCATTGCTGTACTGCTCCACCTCCACCGCGGTTAATACCATAATATCGGTTATCGCTAGCTTGGCATGCATGCACCCGCGGCCATTTATTTAAAGGGGGTGACTCTGGGCTCCATCAGGTCACCACTCTGCTCCAAATCAATGTCTTTGTAGGCCCCAAAACCTTCGCCCGTTGCTGGCCCTGCAGACCGGGCAGCTAAGCAGGGATCCAGCTATGTACACTATGTGGGTGCTTGTGTAATACGTCACCTGCTCCGTTGGGCGCTCACCGGTAGCCTCGAGGGCGTTTCTTCGACGCTAATTCCCTGGATAAACGTGGGGCACGCAGGGTTCTGCGCAAGCCACGTGGGCTTACGGCTTGGGATCACATGGAAGCGTTGGATGATCATCAACGGTCCAGCAAGCCACAATTGATCACAGGAAGAACATTTGCTCCAGGTTATAGAGGTCACGCAGGTCCGTCTTTGAGCGATCCAGAAACGGAAAATGTGACCGGTGTTTGGTTCGGCCATTTTTCAGTCTCAAGGAAAGAATCGTGAGATTATGTTGCGCCTTGTTAACATTTTCCACTTTACCGTATCCACTCAGTCGATTCGTCAAAAGTTACGAATACTGTGGCCGCGTGCATAAAGAAAACCCCATCTGTGGTGCACAACAAACCGACGCGTTTTGGCCACGCACCTAAATTTCCGCATGTCACAGCATCTTGAGACCCTCCATAGAACTAGATAAATCCGAAACGTCGTCCTCCCCTCCATCCTCATCGCCATGGCCTGCACTCGAGCCCAAGCAGCCGCCCAGAGGGGGCTCCCGTCACCGGCGTCAAAGGGCCAAGATACTCATTCTTCGCAGCGCCGAACGACATCTTCCGCTAACACCTGCAGGAACACAAATCTCAGGGCATCCAGCCGCGCAAAGGCGCAAACAAGCGTGCCGAGCACAATCGTATACGTCTGTCTACGATCAGGGCAGGACCGATAATGACACTAAAGAATCGGGGAACGGGGAAGGAATCTCTCGGAGCGGACGAGAAAATCTTATAGCGCTCTCTTCGCGGGACTGCGGCTAGTACAAATACACCAAAAAAGCCTATTTTATAGCCTAGGCCAGACAAGAATGTAATACAGCAGTCCGCCGCGCAGGTCACGGAGAGAGCGGCTATCTTATAGAAACTTCATCTGTGTGAGGAACTGGTCCTATGGCGGAATGCAGATAGGCGTTCTATTGTGTTATTGTGAAAGCTTGCAGAAAGAAAACTATCTAAGGGAGTGCCTCGACCGGGGCTCCTTATATCCTGATGATCCCCCTCCTTTGGTGTGCACAACCAGGGCCGGTGCCCAACGGGTTCCACACCCGGCTCGGGCCCGGGCCGGAGCCCGACCGGAAGCGACCCGCCCCACCTGGGCGGGCTATCTCGGAAGAGGGACTGCCCGGCCACGTATCCTCCAGGCCATCGGCCACGATCCAACACTACTGCTCATGGCCAAGGCCCTTGCGGAAGCATGGTCCTAGGCCTGAGTTCTTAACAAACTGCTTAAATGACGTTGCTTATTTCGGTACTTCCGTTTATCGAACAATTGGGAATTATAGAGTAGATATATTACACGGGTACACTAACGTAAGGTTCCTGGCAGGGCTGGCCTCCAGCCTTAGCCTGTCAGGAACCTTGTCAGCGCTACCGGCACTTCGGTCAAGGGCGACCCACCTCCCAAGCGGATGCTGTATTTAGTTGGAGGCACTCCCCGCTGCCGAAGGCACGGGGAAGGGTATCCGAATACACTACTACCATCTGCACCATCTGCTAGCTGGTTTTTCAGGTCACCATGATTAGTCGCCCTTGACGACGAGCATTCTGCCAAGGAAGACGGGACCATCAAGATCCCGTAGCACTGTGCCATCGTTACTTTGCAATGACAAGGTTGACTTTTGTGTTATCGGTACGATCAGGTGGCAGTGGGCGTCGCTTGTTACTACGATGGTAAATATTGTAAAGCCTAACTGCTAATAACAGAACCGGGGCTGGGGTTAGGCGTACAGTAAGCCATACCTGTACTTGTTCCGCTGCAGCGTCCATTTTTGTTCGGCTAGTCATATTATATATAGTACTGTACCATTTGTTAGCAGGGCCTATACTAAGTTTGATCCGGGTAGCTTACCAACGAAACTGTAATTGATTGTGTATATAGACGATTGTCGAAACAGTGTTGAAAGGCAATCGGCAATGAAAACGCCAATGGGTACAGACATAGTAGGTTTCAAGCCAGGCTCGTGGCTTTCATCGCGCCAAGTGTGAACCGCCGTTGGTTCGGCTTCCTACAACCTGCTGAGGATTGGAGGTGTGCAGCGCTCCCTCATGTGCCAGGGGTTCAGTACTGTGCGAGTACTGGTAACAGCGAGGGGAACATGTGCCCCATCCGACATATACTTATTGAAGCGGTTTGGACTGCTGAAATCTAACGCCACCCGCCCGCCAAAAGCAGCAGTCCAAACTACGGCACATAGTGTTTTTCTAGAATATGTTGACTCTCCAAGTACCGAGGTAGCTACCCACACAAATGAATTCTATTCTAGTTTCACACTCGATATTTGTCGCAACTCAGCTGTCCGATTGCGGCAAGCAATCTAGCGGCATCTTCCAAGGCAAGATGAACAAGATGAGGATGATGCCCTCGCACTTCGGGCCGCTCCGTTGATCCACCCTCATGACAAGGGCGTTGCTGACTGAACAACGGTGGCCGCCGACACCCTGTCCAATAATCAGTGCCGTATTGGTTCAGAGTCCGTTGTGGTCTGTGGTACACATTCGACATACAAGAACCAGATCACACGCAGGTCTTGTAGTTATCAAGCAGACATACTTTGCATCCCCTCTCCAGCCCTAGGAGTCTCGGACAACACCGTAGGGAGACGACTCTAGCCTCATCTGTGCCACGCCTAACACTAGTACACGTTCTGTATCGTCCGGTTGTAATGCCTAGCAGCAGCTCGGAATAGAAACGGCCTTCAGGGGTATGTGGTCAGACCAAGTGCATGACGTTTGTAGCGCATCCCACTCCCCAGTATCGCGTCGTCGATGTGACGGGGTCTCGGCCACTGTCTAGCAAGGTCCCTGCTACCCAAAGGTTTCACGGACTTGCCGATTGCAAGAGACAGGAACCTTCAAGAGACGGGAAGATATATGTGAGACGCCTTGGTAGCTACACCGATCTCTCCCTTGCGCGAAGAACGCCTTCCACCAACACGTTGGCAGTTGTTAGTGATATCTTGACACGTGAGACACTGCAAGACCCAACTGCAGTCGCTCGCCCCATGTTTGTAAGGTGACACCGCCCTAACCGGTTTAGGATATCCGGCCGCCCCGCGTTCGCTGCCGCCGCGTTCTCCTCGGCGTTCGGAGACACCATTGGATCGCAAGTCGTGTGTCACCAGGCTGTGTTCAGGGCGGAAAATTTGTTCCGCGCAAGCGTTGGCGGTAGGGAAAAATTCACGGAGCTCTGAAATTCTCCAGGGCGCTTGCCGCGGGTACGATCGGTTGGCGTTTGCGGCTTTCCAGCACGAAACAAGGCCCGGCATCCACGTCGTGCCTCCTCGCAGGGATCTGTCGGTGGACCAAAGGAGCTTGGCAGGTAATTTTGTTGGTGATAAATACCCCGGTGTGCCTCTGCTTTGCCTGACAAGCCTGGATCGGCTCCCCCGCCTTTGCCAGATGTCGGAGCGCAGGAAAACCCCTCCGCGCGAGCGGCAGAGAGCATGCAACACTTCGTACACTACAAGGCAATCGGTCTTGCCGGAGGCTGTGGTAGGTTTTGGTAAATGTGTTTATCCTCAGCCTTCCATGCTGTGGCCAACGATGGGCCTCGGGGAGACGCCCGGAGACTGAAACTCAGCCTTGACGAAGGTTCAAGTTTTGGGGGCGGAGCGCGTTTTCTGTAACAGCCCGCTCAAGATCTCTCCTGCTGTTGGTGGCTGGTGGTATGTGGCCATAGGTTCCGCCCATTCGGCAGGTCGGAGCTTGGCCGAATACGGCAATCGTGAACAGAAAAATCACGCCGGGCCCAATCATTACCGCTCGAGGCCACCACGTAGTTTTTCCCGGCATGCGCTGGCTGAATATGTCAAATGACCTTGCTGCAAGAAAACAAGATCCCAGCTGAATAGATCACTGAAAGATCAGACGAGTATTTTGCAACCGTGCCTCTTTTCCGAGTGAGGGGCATTGTTCTAACAAAGATTCCATCGGCTGGCCTCGCTGAGCATTGTTCGCGGCTCCGCAGTTTTCTGTCCAGGTGCAGAGGGGTCCGTGGCACAGGCGCTGAAAATCAAGCGAAGCCTGTGTGCCAAGTCGGGTCTCGCCTCTCCACGCTGACTCCTGGGAACCACCGCCATCACCTTACCTCAGCAGCGGCAGGAACCAGCCAAAGCCAACGGCTCAAACCGACTTTCTTTGCCCGCCACTTCTCTTCACTTCCACATCCCAATACCGCGTGATCGATTTTGATGCGGCCGGCAACGCGACGCGAGTAGGTGGCCCTCGACCCTTGGCAATATTTCCGGCGTGGGTTGTTTTCGATCGCTCGGACTTCGGTTCCCTGTCGGCAAACCCTTTGTTTTTCGCCATCGATCCCTCTTCTGCCAGCGACAACTTCACCCATCCCCTTTCTAATCCAGCTACGGCCCCTTTGTTCATAGACGGGCTGGACAACAATAATGACCCTGAAACTCTGAACCAGCTGATATTCTGGAAACCGGTGGGGGATTCTTTCGGGTGTCACGCGCGTTGGGACGCCGACGGTTCCCTCAGCCGGTGCGCGTTTGACCGAGTTTCCATTTCTGTCTCACGGACACGACGACACCTAGCACGCCTAACACAACTTTTATTCTACGGCCGAACCGCCACAACCTCGGGACTCGTTTTTCTTTGAACCGAATCCCTCGACGTTGCCTCGACCTTCCTTCTCCAATCTTCCCACACAGACCATCATGGACGCCCGCCGTCCGCGATCGAGCCAAAAGGTCTCGATGACATGGCAAGAGGATGATGCCACGGTAACACGCCACCGTATGATGCAGTTTGCCGACGAGTGTATTGAGACGAAGACTGTGACAACCACAACCACCACAAAGCGATCCTATCCACCTCTCTTTCTCCGCGAACCCCGGGAGGTGCACTCGCTCGATTCCAAAGAATATCCTCTCGCAGCAAAGCCGACGCCGCCAGAGTTACGGAAAGTAGCGTTTGATGTGGATGATTATGAAACTGAGGCGTGGGAAGAGGAGGACACAGATGCACAGGTAAGTCGTCCGTAACGTTTCCACCACCATCATGCGTTCCCAACCTGACCGTGGTATCGTGTCAAGGCTCACCGGGCTCAGAGTATCGACTTTTCGAGCGAAATCAAGCGCGAACCCGGCGTGGAGAGCCCCACATCGACAACATCCCACCGTCCAAATGAGAAAGCCGACCTCTACCAACGACGGTCCCGAAGATCCACCACCCGGGCCGGGTCCCCGAGTTACACTCCGATGCCTCCGAGAGCCTCCCGGCCAGCGACAAAATCTGCCGGTGTATCCTTAGCAGGTGCCGAGAAACTACGTCATGCTATAACACGAGCCCAGAGTAGGGACCCGGCTAGGGTACTGCGTCGTTCCTCTGGATACCTCGCTAGCCCGAATACCTCGGAGCTTTCTTCCAGTCGTCAGGAGCGAGGCTCGCGTTTGCGGCCTCTTTTGGCCGATGTGGCGGATTCAGGGGCCAGCCAGTCGACGTCTGTTTACGAAGCGGACAGTCCACCCGAGATGGAATCCCAAACATTCAGCGATGTCGCCACGCCCCCCATAACCGACCCCGAGCTGCCATCCTTCGACGATACCGACGACAATCTCTTACAAGCCACAACTGACGTTGCACCCAGGAGAAGCCTTACCACGGTGGCTGCACAGGATGCCAGCCTGCCTAGTCCCAGACTGTCCCCCACATTAGCAGCCACCCAGCTTCAACCAAGCCAAGCCGACGACGACAGCGAGGAAGCCGATGTTCCTTCCTTCTCGACTCAACTTACGCGCTCGGATAGACATCAATGGATGGACGAGAGCCAAATGACAGATGACACGGAGATACCAGGCCGGATGGAGTTGTCCCCCTTTCGTTACAGCAACTCACTCGTTCGATCCAAATCCGGCCGCGGTCCATCCATCGATCCAGCTGCAATGCTTGACAGCTTTGATGCTATGTCCAATGAGTTTAAGAGTTGGATGATGTACCAGTTGCTTCGGAGGTGTCCGCGAAAGACGCTTCACATGGTTGCAGATGTGGTCAACCCGGCACTCAAGTGCGATTTCTTCCAACAATTGCCCATCGAACTCAGTCTCCATGTTTTGTCATACTTGGACCATCGGGATCTCTGTCGCGCGGCGCAAGTTTCCAAGCGCTGGAGGCACATCGTCGATGGAAACGAGACGGGCTGGAAAGAGCTCTTTGACCGGGATGGGTTCCATTTGCCGGTAGGCGAGCTCCAGAAAGCCATCAACGAAGGCTGGGGCTGGCAGGACCCTGTTGGATTTGAGGGCTGTGAGCTCGACCTGAGCAACCAGAGCCGGCTTACGTCTAGTGAAACGGAGCTGATCCGGTCAGCCGTCAAGGCGGAACAACCCGAGTGTCCGCCGAGGACGAGGAGCTCGAAGCGGAAACGGGGACTTCCACAGATCAACGCCGAACGGGCCAAGCGCCGGGCTAGCGCCCAAGAGGCCAGGGCCGATCGGAACCACCCTCCTGCCAAGACGCACAAATCCGAAGGCCCCATTTCGGCCGCCAACGCGGCGGCCGTCGCAGTTCCGGATCCGCAGATCGGGCTGCCGAGTCTACGTAACCTCCATCTCTTCAAATCCTTGTACCGCAGACACTACATGTTCCGCAAGAGCTGGATGAGCGGCAAGGTCAAGCCCGGTCACGTTGCCTTTGCCGCGCATCCGCGCCACGTTATCACCTGTCTCCAATTCGACGACGACAAGATCATCACGGGCAGCGACGACACCCTGATCCACGTCTACGATACCAAGACCGGCAAGCTCCGCACGAAGCTTGAAGGCCACGAGGGGGGTGTATGGGCTCTTCAGTATGAGGGTAACACATTGGTGTCCGGCAGCACGGACCGTTCGGTGCGTGTCTGGGATATCCAGAAGGGTATTTGCACTCAGACATTTTATGGGCACACCAGTACTGTGCGGTGTCTGCAGATTGTTATGCCCACTGATACTGGCAAGGTTGTGGATAACAAGCCGGTCTTAATGCCACCTAAGCCGCTGATCATCACGGGTTCTCGCGACAGTCAGCTCCGGGTTTGGCGACTACCGGAGGCCGGCTCGCGTCGGTACATCCAGACCGGCCCTCCGGCTAATGATGACCAATGCCCTTACTTCATTCGCATTCTTGCTGGGCACGCCCACTCGGTCCGCGCGATCTCGGCGCACGCCGACACGCTGGTGTCCGGCAGCTACGACAGCACGGTGCGCGTTTGGCGCATCAGCACTGGTGAGCAGCTCCACGTCCTCAACGGCCACGTTCAAAAGGTGTACGCCGTCGTTCTCGACCACAAGCGCAACCAATGCATCTCGGGCTCGATGGATTCGCTTGTCAAGATTTGGGATTTGACCACGGGCGACTGCCTCTACACGCTCGAGGGCCACAGCATGCTAGTCGGCCTCCTGGATCTCCGGGACGACCAGCTGGTTTCGGCAGCGGCGGATAGCACCCTACGGATTTGGGACCCAGAGTCTGGCAAGTGCAAGAAAATGCTGGAGGCCCATACGGGGGCCATCACTTGTTTCCAGCACGACGGACGGAAAGTGATATCGGGCAGCGAGAAAACGGTTAAAATGTGGGACGTCGATAATGGCGATTGCGTCCAGGATCTCTTGACCGACCTCTCAGGGGTGTGGCAAGTCAAATTTGACGACCGTCGTTGTGTGGCAGCGGTGCAGCGTAACAATCTCACCTATGTCGAGGTAGGCTCAAAATGCCTTTGGATGGACTTGTGACGAAAATATGTGGCTAACATAGAACACCTAGATTCTCGACTTTGGCGCCGTGCGCGACGGGAAGCCCCCTGAGGAGCTTGGAAAGCGCAAGCTCTTGAACGAAGCCGAGGTTCAGCGGCTCATCGCCGAGGAATCCTAACGGGCCTAAGCCGCAAGCCATGGACCGGACCCTGGTGTCTATTTTCTTCTTTCTGCGATTGATGCGGTGCCTTAAACTTTTCGGGGCGTATAGGGGTTTACGATGAGCAAAATGACTGGGAAGAAAACTGAGAACGAAACGCGCGAAAACATTTTTCCACCCCCTTCGATTCAAGGGGCACTTACTTTTGTGACGGTCATGCATTCGGCTTTTTTTTTCTTCGCCTACCGTCAGCCATTATTTTATCATCGCTAGGTAGTCAGCGTTTGGGGGTCAGGTTTCGGGAACGGGCAATTTGTAACCAACAGCCGCCGATAGGACGTCTATGCAAGCCGGGAAACGGGAGGGCAAACAACATGACGTATACTATTTTATCTTGCTGGATGGAATTAAGGGTGGGGGGGGGCAAGATTGGCCTGTACATAGGGTCATCATACCGGCATGTCATGCACATTTGTTATTTGCATTATCTTCGTTCTTTTCCGTTATCGTTTTGCACGTGGAGGACGAGCCATACCAGTTTACTTTTCTCCTCTACTTAAATGGGGCACAGTATGGACGAGACATTAACTATCATCACTGCCCTGCCATAACGAACACTCAAATATCCGACACTGGGGGATGGGAAATATAAGACACCAAGTTTGTGACAATGGGATTTGCACAGGCACAAGCTCTCACTCGCACCAACTTGGCTGACCACTTCGAGAGGCGAGCATATCATTACACGGTCATGGCTGCTAGTTTTGTTCAGGTAGTCAACTTATTCCAAGTTAATATTCACAACTCATGACCAAAGATGGAGAATAAATCGACTGCTGCTCTAGTCACTGTCACAATAACTGTTAAGGTTAGTAAGAAATATGGCCTGAGGTGTAATTAGTTCGAGCCATTTCGGTCTTGGTTTGCATCTTTTCAAAACTGTGGTACAATTCAAGTTTTAATTCTTTTTGTCTTTTTGTTAATAAAACCTACGCAATGCTTAAAATTAACATAATTAATAATTATCGTTTACTCTTTACGTGAGCACGCTGTGTCCTTGGAACACCCAGAATTGCGTGTTAAAAATCCCCGGCCGGTGAACTAAAGAGTTTCGGCAAAATGCCAATAAGATCCAGTAGAATTCTGAGCGGCATCGTGGACATCTGCTCCATCAGCCTGGACCTCTGGGAGATGCCTGATGCCGTCACGGACATGGTGAGTGGGGCATTGGACGCGCCCCCGGACTTTTGCCAAGCCAATCCAGCGCCACGGTACCCCTTGCATCGCAGCCTTGCCCAGCAGCTCGCTTCCAACCATCCATCCCATCTGCGCTGACAAGTGAGCACACGACAGCTGTTTCAGCACCCAACCCAACCGACGACAGGATAATTGATTGACCCTCGAGTCGATTATCGCCATCTGCGGCTGGGCATACCGGAACTGAGAAACGACAGCCCATGATCCGGACCGTTTTCAAGGGACTTCGACGGCGGTGACTGAGCGTCATGGCTCCTCCGCGATCTGGGAGTCCGGGCGGCGGTGGTGGTGGTGGTATTGTCGCATCGATTGCGAGGTTTTGGCAGGTGGGATTCCGTATTTTTCGAGCAGCTGGGGAAGATTTTGGGTGATTGCGTGACTGACAGTTGTGTGGTCTGGTCTTATTAGAGAACATACGCTTCCGATTACATTGGCTTTGTCCTACTGCTGGTGGCATACCTCCTGGTGCGTCATGATTTGCTCCTTCGTCCTTCGAGTTGAGCGCGATGGCACGCGGTGTGCCTACAGATTAAAGAAACCACAATACCTGATAACCTGAACCAAACAAACAGATCCAATTCTTCGTCGAACCTTTCCACCGCATGTTTGCCGTCAGCGACCTGCGCATCGCCTTTCCCCATGCCGAAGTCGAGCGTGTCCCTCTCCGTAAGACGCCTTCCCCCCTCTCCTTAGCCGACAAACCACACCAACAGACTGTACTAACCAACCAACCCACCCCCCCTCCAGTTCACGACTTCATCTACGCCCTCTTCATCCCCCTCGGCCTGACCACCCTCACCAACCTCATCACCCGCGCCCCACGCCACAAACACCACGTCACCATCCTCGGGCTCGCCATCGCCCTGATCCTCGCCTCCCTCCTAACCGACATCATCAAAAACGCCGTCGGCCGCCCCCGGCCCGATCTCCTCGCCCGCTGCCTCCCCAAACCCGACACCCCACGCGACATCCTCGTAACCATCGACGTCTGCACCGAAACCCGCCACCACCGTCTGCACGACGGTTGGCGCTCGTTCCCCTCAGGCCACTCCTCCTTCGCTTTCGCCGGGCTGGGGTATTTATCCCTGTTCCTTGCCGGCCAGCTGCGCGTGTTTGCGCATACAAGCGGCAGCGCCGTGTCGGGAGCCCACGCGGAGAAGATCATCCGCGGTGACCTTGTGCGGGCGCTGGTGTGCGGCGCGCCGTTGCTGGGCGCGACTATGGTGGCTATTAGTCGGTGTCAGGACTACCGGCATGATGTGTGGGATGTGACCGTGGGCGGGTTGTTGGGGTGGACGGTGGGGTATTGGAGTTATCGGCGGTACTGGCCGAGACTGGGGAGTGGACGGTGTGAGGAACCGTATCAGAGCCCGCCGGGTGCTGAAGGGCCGGCTGGTGGTTATGGGAGGGTTAGGGACGAGGAGGAGGGGTTGGGGGGAAGGAATGTGAGTTTTACAGAGCTGGGGAACTTGTGATGTTTGTGACAATCCGTGAACGATTGCTGACGAGATGGGTACTGCAGCTCGATTAATTAAGTTACTATTCGGTAGGTTGTATATTTGTGTTGAGGGTCCCACGCTGGGTGTACGTAGCAGGTTCCGAGCTTCGTTGGCGTAACATAGTTTGCATATTGGGGCGGTGTTTTGGAATTACGTGTGGGAGTACCACGGGAGTTTGGTCGTCAGCATACATCAGAGTTCTATTGGCACATGGATTGTTCGCAAGGGCTTTTATTCCCAACCACCTGTCTATGCTTTCCCGAGCGTCTACTTCTCCTCGGCCGCTTCGTCCTTGGCTAGATCGTGCTCCTTCAATAACGCCGTGATTTCTTCCGCGCTCCAAAGCTTGTGGTAGATCTTACCGTCCTTAGTCTGGCCTACGGTCGCGAACTCGACTATATATCATGTCAGTTATTGTTCCTTTAAATTGGTGTATGGTGTAGAACCCACTCTTCTCGCTGCTCAGCTTTGTCGAGTCCATGGTCTTGCTCAACACCTTGACCGCCATGCCACATGCCTCCTTCAACGTGCAATCCTCCTTATAGTCCTGCTTAAGCAAGCTCTGCGCACTCGCGTGGTTGGCGCCAGAGCTCGTGGCCTTCCATCCGCCGTAATTGCCCGAAGGGTTGCTCAAATACAGCTGGAACTGGCGCTGCGGGTCCCAGCCGGCGTAGATGAACGATACGCCGAATGGCCGCAGCCCACCGTGTTGTGTGTAGCCTTGCTTGAGGTCGCAGAGCCGGCGCACCAGCTGCTCGCAGGGGATGTCTTCGTTGTACGTCAGGAGGTACCGTTGTGCGGCTTGCCGAGCGTAATTGATGAGGATGTTGGCGTCGGCCGTCATGCCAGCGACGGCACAGATCATGTTACTGGGTTGCGGTCAGCTACCCCGCTCTTTCTCGACGTCGGGAATCTGGGAGGGGTTTGGGACGGCCGTACTCATTGAGGATATAAAGCTTCTCGGCTGATGTGTCTTGCTCCAAAAGCTTCGACGTCACCTTGCGCTCGGCAGCCAGGACAATGCCATCCTTGGCTAGAATACCGATGGCCGTGCCGGCGTGGGAGATGGCTTCTAACGCATATTCCACCTGGTACAAGCGACCGTCGGGCGAGAAGATGGTCGTCTACAAGAGCACCAGTCAGCTCCCGTGTCCACAGTTGGTTACCACCGGGTCTGCAAGACGGCTGTTTGGACTTGGTGGGCTGTTGAAGCTTCAGCAACGCCTAGACTTACCCGGGAATCGTATCTTCTCGACATGGCGGCTGACTTGGAGAAACTCGCTGTTCGGCGGGTCTGTATTCGGGAAAAAAGGGGAGGGGAGCCGCTGGCTGAACGGTGGACTGTTCGGTGTTGTGGTCGGGGATTGTTTACGACAAACCAGCGGAATGTGGAGGGTTAATGCAGGTGCTGATGATGTCCCGCTGCGATGCGGCCCAGGCTGGAGCTCCTCCAGGCAAGCGCTAACACGCGTAGCTTGTTCGTTGCCTTGCACCTCAGGTGGGCTCCTGGTAAGGTGGGGAAGGTGACGCACGGGCCTCCAACTTGTCTTCCCGTCTCGACCCTCCTCGCCAAGCTCGCCTCCGGCATCTCGCCCCACCACCGGATTAGGTAATCCGCCTCCAGCCATTTTCACTGCATCGCATCGCGTCGCCCCAATTCCGCAAACTCCTCTCTTGCAACCTCCGCATCGCAACCTCCCCCGCCACATCTGGCACGTCAAAGAACTGCCGCGCCTGCCTTTTTCTCGGTTCCGCAGCTGGAGCGTATCGTCGCGCGGCCGCCTACAACACCCTACCCTCTGATTTCATTGACCCCGCAGCTGCTGTGATCAATTCCCGTCGGCACGCGCCGCCCTTTCCCGTCCGAGCTGGAGCTTGGACCCTGAGCGAGCTCCCCTCAACACAACGCGCCTCCATTCCTGCCCGCGCTCGCCCTCGTTGTTACTGGGGCAAACACAAGAACTGCGACGGAAGGTGCTGGAATCACATGTTGGGGAATTTCGCGGATAGCTTCAGAGGAATTGTCATCCTGCCGCTTTGACTCTGCGTTTTCCGCCAAGTCCTATCATCGTTTAGTTCTATGCAAGCGTAAACATCCTATCAAGTGACTGCGTGCAACCTTTCACGCATGCTTTGAGCAATCTGCAGTAGAGCGCGCAACACAAGGGAGGGTACCCCGGCACCGGGCTAGCAATCTGTCGTCACCCATCTGTTTGGTCCCGTCTCGAACGCGACAATGTCTGGTAAGCAACACCGCCGCCGACCATGAAGGCAACTCGCACTTTGCCACACCCCTCTTCCCCAGTTGCGCAACAATCCCTCTTCCCTCCATACCAAGTTTCCGGTCGACAGTAGGCCAGCGCAATGGCGCCGCCTCGTCGCAGCGCCCGTGGGCAACAGCAGCTAACTAAATTACGTGCCCCAGAACCCGAACCCCGCCGATCCGTCAGGGCGACGAAAGGCCAACATAAGGCGCTGGAACAGCTCGATCAGCCGATCGAAGCTCCCAAGCGACGCGGCGGAAACAAGAAGGGCAAAAAGGCCGCGCCGGAGCCAGAAGAGCCCGAGGAGGAAGTCATTCGTTGCGTCTGCGGCGCTACAGAGCAAGACGAGGATTCGGGCGAACCGTGGATCGCATGCGACCAGTGCGGCGCTTGGCAACATAACATCTGCATGGGCATGAGCCAATACACGGAGGATTTACCTAAGGAGTACTTCTGTGAGCTGTGCCGGCCTGAGAACCACAAGGAGCTACTCTCCGGAGTGGCCAAAGGGGAGAAGCCCTGGGAAACGCGCCGCAAAGTCTATGAGGAGGAGAAGGCCGAGAAAAAGAAGAAGGGGCCAAAGAAGGGCAAGAAGCGGACGAGTGATCTGAGGGAAGACGCCGCATCGCAGAAATCCAAGCAATCACCGCCGCCGCCGCCTTCATCCGAATCCAAGAAGGATGTCAAAGGCCCTGGCTTGAAGCGCAAGAACGGCGATGCTCCTCAAGAAAAGGATGCGAAGGTAGGTTCCTATTCCTTATTCCCTTTTACCCAGTGGAGTACATGTTACTGACGGCCACGGCTCTGCTGTTATAGAAGATACGAAGGACGAACGACGTGCAGTCTCCCCCTGTCCCAGGATATACACCACCAGCGGACCTTCAGACCAAGATTTCGGCACTTCCGGACACCCGCCAAGGGCCTGCGAAAGCGTTGTTGAAGGCATTGGTCGCTTCGGTGACGGCCGCCGAGAAGGATGGTGTTGTTGGCTCGGATACCTTGTCAGCGGCTGATCGCGCTGAGCAGTTTGCGCTCCAGATCGAGCGTGCGGTTCATGACACTCATCCGACTACGGCTACATATGCCGGGCAGATCCGAACGCTTGCGTTCAACCTCAAGAGCAACCCTGAGCTTACGACGAGGCTTATTAACCGGACATTGACGCCTCCTATGCTGGCGTCCATGTCGACTGAGGAGCTGGCGTCGAAGGAGCTGCAGAAGGAGACTGCTGAGATGCTGGCGAGGGCAGAGAAGCAGGCTATTAAGATTACCGAGGATGCTCCCCGTGTGCGAAGGACCCATAAGGGTGACGAGGTGATTGAGGATGATCACTTCATTACAACTGAAGAAGGGCCGTCTGCCCCCGTCAGCAGGCCCAGCGGGACGAAGCAAGAGGCCAAGGAAACGTCCGAGCCCCTAGCACACGCCAGACACCGGTCCATTAGCGGCCAGGCGGGCGAAGCGCAACAGTCACCGACAAGATCCGACTTTGACCTGAACAAGGTGTTTTCCACCGTTAAATCGCCCACCGCTCCCCAAGGCCCACACCGAGCTTCGTTCGCTGCTGCTCCGCCTGGAGGTCCTGGTGAAGATGCGGATGTCGATCGTATGCTGGACGACGGAACTCAATCTCCACCATACTCCCCCAAGGAAGAGAGCGACCCGGATGTGGTGTGGCGGGGCAATGTCGTCATGAACTCCATCGCCGAAGTTCAGGTGGCTGCGAAGCATATGGGAGGCGCGAATTTGAGCGAGACCATTGACTTGGCCTGGGACAAGCTGCTTCCGCGTACCTTGAGCGTCTGCGGCCGTATTGATCAGCAGCAGGCGATCGTGTATCTCTGCGGGTTGCGGTACAGTCTGCCTACCGATGTTGTGGTGGTCAGCCTGGAGCCTACCACGCATGCCGCGAAGGCTGGGATGCAGAAGCTCATTGACTACTTCGTATCTAAGAAACGGTACGGTGTGGTGGGCGACAAGGGTGTTGCAAACGTGCGCGATACGTACCTGGTACCTGTCCCAGCTGGGACCGGCAATCAGCCCGAGTTCATGCTCAACCTGGCGGACAACTTCATTCCCGAGACGAGGACGGAGCCATTGATGCTTTGTGTCATTGTGTATCGTAACGACCCGGAAACCATCCAGCGTATCCATGGCACAACGGAAATCAACCATCCGGCGAAACTGGCTCAGCCTGCGCTTCACGCACACTCTCCGGGCACGCCGACGCCTATTCAAGGGGGGTTCTCAGCACGGCAATCCATCTCGGCCCCGGCGTTCTCGCCGACTTCCCCTCAAGGCTCGTTCCCTCAGTACCCGTCGCCCAGAATGCCGACGCCATCTCAGCAACAGCCGCCTTCGCAGCCCGCGCCCCAACCTCCCAGACGCGCACCGAGTACGGATGAGCTCCAACGACAAGGCGAAGCCACTGCCCGGGAGGTTTTGGGACACTTAATCACCAGCCCTACGGTCACTTTCTTGCTCCCACAAGCTCATATGATGGCGCGGAGAGAGTGGGAATTGATCAAGGGCATCTACGAAACAGATCCGAGGACCCGTGATGAACTTCCGTACCTCAGCAGTATTCTCGAGAAACAGGGCCAGCAGCAGCAGCAGCAGCAACAGCAGCAGCAGCTGCAACAACAACAACGTCAGCAGCAGGGGCAACCTCAAGGTATCCCCCAACACCGAGGAGCGCCACACCCTCAGCAGCCCCAGCAACACCGGCCACAAACTCAGAACCAGCCCCCAGTACAAGCCCAGCCTCAACGTCAGTCTCCCCCTCAGCCTCTTGCGCACCATCACCAGCAGCAACCCCACCCCGTTCGGACTACGCCGATCCCACCGCCCCCCATTCCGCCGGCCCCTTCTACCGGACCACCGCGGCAAACCCCTATTCCGCCGCCCCCGATCCCGCCTCAGGCGGCGACAAGCTCTGGGGCTCCGCCGGCTTAGACGGCCGATAAGAATCGGGATAAACACAAGGAGCCTTTTCCGCCGGAGGCTTTCACTACGCGTGGAACCATTGCTACGTTTCTCAGAAATACCTTGAATTGGGCCCGTCCTATTCGACCCGCGCCTTCTAGTCGGGAAGACACCGTGTCAACGGAGCTGGCCTCCCCGCAGCCTGATTTACCGTCGACGAGCGAGCTCTCTTCTCACTCGACATCAACATCTGTTTCGAATACTGTTGTGAATAAACCTCCGTCACCCCCTGTTCTGACTATCCAGTCACGTCCGTCACCTTGCGATCCACGACTCTTACCGTTCCCTCTTCCGGGGGAGCCCAGGCTCAACACACCTCCCCTAACGCCTGGCGAACAACGAAGATCCGGCTCACCCAAACCGACCTCCCCGGTTCCGTTCAACCCTCCTTCGGATAGGCCGCCTCCGCCTCCGCTTCAGCGGCCGATTCAAAGCTCCCCCGTGTCCCGCCCGGCTACGCCATCACCAAGACCATTGCCGATCCGACCAAGACCGTTGCCGCCCCGACGTCGCGAACGATCACCCAAGCCACAACCCAAACCGCGGCCGGTTCCCTCTCCGCAACCACAGGTCTCTCCCAGTAATCACGTCCCTACGTCCCCGGCCTCTCCCGGTAGTCACGTCCCTACGTCCCACATCCGCAGCGTGATCAAAGAGCAACAGAAGAAGAATGGAGTTTCCCTCTACACTCCCCCACCCCCTGTGTTGGCCATGGCTACCGCGTCGTCCGGGTATCGTCCGTTTGTGTCGTCCCAGCTTTGTCGGGCCGACAACGCGGACCCGATGTTCCCGAGCCCGGTGCTGGCCGTCCGTGAGATGGGCAGCATAGAGGCTCCGCCAGGGTGGGAGATGATTTACCATCCTGATTCGGAAGTAGAGGCGGTACTGGACGATTCGGGGGTGCCTCTTGGTAACTTTCGTCCGCCGAGCCGTCGCGGGGACCGGGAGGGAGGAGTTATTGATGTGAGAGCTGGAGAGGAAAGTGACGTACGCGGTAGTACGGGAGCCACAGGGAGGATGGATTACCCGACGGCGCAGAATGGGAAGTCTGAAACGGATTCTATGCTTCATGACCCTCTACCGGATCGTGGACGTGGCGGTGAAAGCTGCCCGGCCACCCCAACCCTTAAACCTATCAGGCGGAGTCCTAGTCCGGATGATCTCGAGCTTGAGGTTAGCGAAATAGTGGAGGATGGGGGTTCTACAGAATCGGATTCCTCGAGTGGGGATTCAACGGATGGGGACTTTGATACAGATTGGGACGAGGATTGGGATGTCATCGACCCGTTGGAGGCTTTTTGTGAGGACTATGTGGAGTCCTTGGGAAAGACAGACGGATAGGCAAGGGTAAAGGTGAAGGTGGTGATGCGCTTACCTGGCCGAGCTATATTGCGGGTGCTGGTTCGTGTTGGGCTGGCTCTCTAGTCTGGCTGGGGTTGGATTTAGCTCTGGTTCTCTGGTGACATGTTCTGTTCTTTTTCTTCTCTTGTCGTCCTTTACTTTCTTGTCTTTTATTTTCTCCTCGGCAGAAGTTATGCCGTGTTCAGCGGGCAACCGCGCAGTTTGCTGTGGGAGGTGCGGCTCAGCGGTAACACACAGCGCTGTATTGTTTCCGACTTCTGTTCGTTTTCTTGTTTTTCTAGCTTGCTCGAGGTTTGTTCGAGGTAGGTGTATTTGTACAGTACAGTACCGCTCATTGTAGTTTGTTGGGGAATGGATGGACCAAGGGTTGGTGGGGGCGGTATTTTGTGTTTTTAGTAAATGGCAATGCGATGATCAAAAAAGGACACGTTCGTTTGTTCGCTTGCTGGTTTGTTGGCTGGTTTCACTGGGCGTGATGTGATGGTGGGATGTGGCTTGGGAGTGAGTGGTTGATGCACGTTCATACAAGAGTGCGAACTGTGTCAAGTTACCCTGGTCAGTATAGCTAACCAGTCTAGCCGATCGCCATCACTGCGCCCGTTTTATGCTCCCGTGGCCCTTTTAGCCGCCGCTCATGGCCATTAAATCCAGTTTCGACGTGTCTGTTACCTTCTCTCGCCATATCCTGTTAAACTTTTCTAGTAGACTTCCCAGCGACCTAGTATCTTCCGTTATGTTCCCCATAGCTTTGGGATTCCCCTCCGCTTGAACAGTTTCTCGTCCCGTGTGAGATCTCGTCCTACCATCACCATCACCAGCGTCAGCCAACCCCACCAGATTGCAAATATGAGAACCATTTCCCTTCCAAAATCACCATAATACACCGAAAACGCCAAACCCCCAAACCTAATTACGCCCCCTCCTACCCCTCCTTCGTCCCCGACCCCACCCAAACCTTCACGCAAACTCCTCCGCCGCCATCCACGCAGCCACATCCCACCTCCCCTCCCCCCTCCCCTCTCTATCAGTCCCACCAGCATCCACCTCCGCCCTAGTCGCGTCCAACTGCGGCGTCTGGATACTGGCCAGCCCTTCGATCATGCGCTTCGCCTTGTCGACCACGCTGCGGGTGCCAGCCGTCTCGGCGCGGACCTGGTCGCCTTGGGCGTGCATGATTTGCATGAGCTGCTCGCGGGCGTGGTGCGGGCGGTATTCGTTGAGGGTGTGGTGGTAGTTGAGGAGGAGGGTTTTGATGTCTGCTAGTTTTTCGGAGACCTGAGTGGGGGGTTAGTTGGTGGTGCGTGCGGTCAGGTGAGGGGGTGAGGGAGGTTGCTTTGCTCACTTGGTTGGGGTTGTGGCCCATCAGGCCGATCATCTCGAGGTAGTTGAGGAGGAGCGACTTGACGATCTTTTTGAGTTCGAAACCGCGATCGAGATGTTTGCTGTCGCTGTCGATTTCGGAGACTGGGACTAGCCGCTGGATGTTGAGGTCCTCGAGGCTGGTGAGGTGCTCGGCAAGCTGCATTGGCGGTTAATTGGGTTGAGCTCCTGTCGGGGTTGGGGGTGGGGGAGCACCTACAGTCTCTTCCGTGTTGAAGATCTTCCATTTCCCCTCTACCGGTTCTGGTGGTGGTTGGAGAGTTATGAGTTCCTCTGGAAGGTCGGGGATTCGGACCGCTTCCTCTGCATTGGGACCCTGTCGTTGCACATAGTCTTGCTTGAGAGTTCCATATCGTTCAAGGTTTGCCGGTGTGAAATCCTTCCAAAATGCCGGCGGGTCGGGCCACAGGGCCGTTGCTCTGTTAGGGTCTTCTTCTTGCTCCATTGTGTATTGTCATGAGCAGGCCGGGGATTAACTGTCTATTTGTGGCGAAGGAAAGGAACAAGAAAATGAGGTTGATGGGCCTGTTCTTTAATTTGCCGCTACGGAGTAGGTTTGGAATGTTTGGATGGTGATTGTTGACGATGTCGCCACATAAAAGGCGTCCATATGATCACGATCCGATGGTGATGTTCCTGGAATTAATGCATACAAGGCCAACTGAAAGGAGAATGAATGGTTGAAAGTGGGTAAGTGGGGTCTGGGGACATCAAAGACCGTGGCTGCAGCTACCCCATGTAAGTGTGGCTGGGTGGGGCCCTCCAGAGCTTACCTTGCTACCTGTGGCTCAGATACCTTCAGCAAGCGGCCTGACCTTCCATCATCACTCTTGACCCGACCTGAACCGCCATAAGCGCCTCCTCCATACTGCCATAATTCTGATCCACATCATCCGAGTTACACTACGTCGTGCCATTGAGCATTCAGAAAATATTTCTTGACGATCTCGACGCTGAATTGGTCCTATGAACCCCTCGGAACGCACCTGCAACGGACCGCGTCGCCCCATTCCTTTTCCTCCGACTCTTCGCTCATAGGGTTACACTGTCCGCTCCCAACCCGGGCCCAACCGGCCGACCACCATGGCCGATGTGCGGGCTCTTCTGCGGCAGCAGCGCGCCGCGCGCCGTATAGAACACCCACACGCCTCCTATTCCGACTCTGGGAAACTCGCCTGCATCGTCTGCAAGGAGTCGATCAAGACCGAGTCTCTCTGGGACGGACACCTCCGCAGCGCCGGCCACCGACAACGACTACAAGCCCTCCACCAGAACACCGCAAAAAAAGGATCGAATGGCTACGCCGGCTTTGTGGGGCAAGGCCCGGAGGTGACGGGTGCTTCTTCCCACAAGCGGAAGCTGGCCGACTCGGACGAGGAGATGGCCGACCTTGAAGACGACACCGCACCGCGGAAGCGCCCAAAACCCGATGCGACTACCCCAGACGAAGACATGGGCACACCACCGAAAAAGGATGATACCAAGCCCATAAACAAGCCCATCACACCTCCATTTAACCGCCGAACCTCTGGGACACCCACAGCCGGCGTCGAGATGCAAATGCCATCACGCCCTGCGACGCCGGGGCCTGGTGGCACGCCCATGGTCACAACACCGAGAGCCGCTCCGGTCAACCGGTCACCCTTGATACCCGACGAATTGGTCGCCGCACAGCAAGAAACAGTCCGCGGCGCTAGACCAGACACAGAGCCGAGCGGGAACATCCCAGCAGCAACAACAATACCTGCAACAGCCCCCGTCGACGAAGACGAATGGGCCGCATTTGAAGCCGACCTTCTCCAAGAATCCAAACCGAAACCCACAACCGCCGCGCCGGGAGCAGCCGGAGCGACTACGGCACCACCACGCGACAGTGACGCCGTCATCTCAGCGCCAGTTATGACCGCGGCCGAGATTGCCGCCAAGTCAGAAGAGGAAGAGCGCGCGAGGAAACGAGCGCTGGTAGATATCCAGTTGGAAGACGAGAAAGAGGAGGCCACACGGGCATTAGAGAACGAGTTTGAGGTGATGGAAGAGTTGGAAGCGAGGGCGCGAAAATTGAGAGAGCGGAGAGAGGCGTTAAGGGCACAGAATAGCCATGGTGGGCCAGCGACGGCGTTACCGAATGGTGAAGGGCAACTTGCTGTTGCTAGCGTGGTTGCTAGCGTCGTTGGCGATGCTGATAATGGGAAGGAAAAGAGCAGCGTTGCGAGTGAGGACGGCTCGGACGAAGAGGAGGAGGATGATGAAGAGGAAGACGACTGGGACGGATTTCGCTTTCGTGCGTAGGGGCACACCGAGCTCCATATGTCGCCTGACGTTCAGCGGTGACCGTATTGTGTGGAAGACGGGCTTTGTACCTTATTTATGTACATCCATGGTACGTCCCTTTAAACCGGCGGTCACAATAACGGGGGACGCCAATAACCACAAAGTTAGGGCGACCCATAAACATATATGTCTGTTCTAGCTAAATATGACCTTCCCAGACCCTAACACCAATGAATACCCAACAAAAGATTGGCGTTAGGCCCAAACAACCACCAACTTAGATGTGTCAAAAGGAGAAACATCCCCCCATCCAAGTCATACAAGACATCAAGCACATGGAAAAAATAGCATACCTTCCGCCGCCCCGCAGGCTAGGTTAGATGGGCCGACTTGCATGAATACGCACCCGATATCACACCCTTTCCCCCTTACCTACCCTTTCCCAGAATTGCGTCAGTCTGCGCACCCTCCCGAGCCCAGCCCGTTCCTGGCGCTTTCCCACCTCACCTTTCCACACGGATCCAACCCATCCGCGGAGCTTGTCCTTAACACGCTCCTTTTCAACGGCCCGCTTACGCGCAACTAGTGCCGGCGCGACGGCCGCACCGTTTCCTGAGGGACTCGGCAGACATTCGGCTGGCAGGACACAACGCTCCACCAGGTCTTCGACCGAGGGCCGTTGGGCCAGGGACCTAGACAGCCGGATAGCAGCTAAGTTGCGCGCTAGGCTCCGGGAGACAAAGGAGGTGCGAGAGAGAAGGATGGAACGTTGAATAAGATCAGCACGAGAGGGGCGCCCGGGTGACGTGAGGAGAGGGGGTAGGAGGGATCGTGTGCGGCGGAGGCGAGATTGGTGAAGGTATGGGTTGAGCGAAAGGCGGCGGAGATGGTGGGATGTCTGCTCGATACGTGAAACTGGATGTTAGCGGACATCTCTAGCGCTAGAGCTTGGGTTTCCAGGGCCGGTGCTCCCGGAGTAACGATCTGGAAGTTGACTTGATGCGAACACAAGAGATGGGCACGAACACGCTGGGGACTGGGACTGGGCGTGGGAAGTGTGTTCAAAGCAAAACGGCGCGCAAAGAGGACCAAAAGTCAAGAGATGGGTCCTCTGACGTGGACTTGAGAGCATGGGGAGTTCAACGCACCCGGGAAGTTGCCAGCAGGTCACAAACCTCGAGGTAGCTCAGGATGTGGAATAACACCTCGTTTGGCAGGTCTAACAGTTGTATCTGTGGGATGCGCTGTGGCATGGACTGACCCACGCTAGCGACGTCCACCTCGGGCCTGATCTGCATCGTGGGTAGGATTGCTGTCACCGGACAGCAAGGATCGCGAGTTGGCATCGCGGCTTCGGCACGAGCCTCTACTGCTGCTCCTGGTGCTGGGGCGAGTGGCATGGGAGAATCTCCTTGCCACACACTCTTCGTGGCTGAACTTGGTTGGGCATTCCTAGGACGATGTCCTGTTTTCCTTGAACCAACTCCGTCCAGACCAATGCTATCATCCACTGGGCCCTCGTTCGCCTCAGCTTCAGTTCTAGGGTCTAAGGTGGAGAGTGATCCTGTCTCGGAGGTGAACTGGACGCTAATGGCAGAGTCTAGACCCCCCCCACGTTCGTCGAGCCCATCCTGGACAAGCATTTGCGGGTTCTCCCTCCGCGGATGCTGCGTGGAAGTTGATTCCATGACCGCGGTGGCCCTGTTTGCACGAGGTACCGCTCTCTTCTCAAAACAACTCCCCGCTGCTGATGACCTGGCAATCGACGGATAAGGTGTGCCTTCTGTGTTGTCAGGCTCGCCGTCCCGCATGGGGTGGGGAGGAGCGCAACAGTGTTCGGTTTATGGGGGGCGGCGAGTGGACACGGTGCTTGGTACTGGCGGGTTCCTCTTCGCGATGCCTTCCTTCCCTCTGACCGTCGCCAGCCGCGAAGCCCGCCTCGGGCTTAAGCGGGCGTCACGCTTCTCTGCCGAGTGACACGGGGAGTGTGGCCCTCAAGGCGGGTCCTTGATGCGGCTAAACAAAGTCAATCGCGTCGGGCGGGCAATATAACTAGGGAGGGTGGTCGCCGATGTGGCCGCACGATGAAAACTCAGCAAGACAGTGGTTTTCTGTGTAGATTGATACTGTGGATGATAACCGCCCTGGTCGAAATGTTGGGAAGGAGAATCTGAGGGGTGGCAATCGTCCTTTGTCTCGACATCTAGTTTCCTCGGGCGTGAATCAGTCCCATGCAGAGACGCCGGTGTCGAAGGGAGGAGCATGCGACAGAGATGATTTTGGTTCGCTGGTTAATCGGGTGTAACCGCGCAGCATCTCACGGTTCCCAATCAATTGAACAAGGGGCGAGGGGTCTAAGAGTCTTCAATTCCGGAAACACAAGGGGTGACGACAGCCGTACGAATACAGCCCCAGCATCGCTGCGACGGTTTGTCCGGTTGCCTTGAGCGGGGGTGGGGGGAGTTTGATGGGATTGAAGTTATAGACAGTGTTGAATGAAGGAAAGGGCGGTTTGCGAGGCAGCAGTTGTTGAGATGTGCCACCAGGAGGGCAGGGAAAAGCCATGGACCCGATGACGCAACGGGGGAAGGCCGAAACTCAGGAAAGCACAGGACACCTGACATCCGGTCCGAGACTCGAGGCTGACAGCGGGGGGGGACTTCAGTCGTGACATCCCTTCCTTTCCTGCGATGTGCCTCCCGGTTGAAGAAAACAATGCAGCCATCTCATGATGCAATTTCTTGCTTAATATCATATCTCGGAGTTTCGCCAAAACCAAATCCTGGGCTTCGTTCGGATCCGATTGTTGAGGGCCGCCCTCGAGATGAGCTCTTCTCAGAGGGGCCTTCGCCTAAAACGGAAGGCGGGGCCTCCAATTGTGGAAAGGCTGACACCGGGTGGCTGTGAGCCCACCTTGAACTATCACCCGATGGACCGATGGTGCCTGCCTGCTCACTCACATCTACGCCGTCTGTTGCGAACACCAAACTCTCGAGAAGAAGGAGCAATGAGGCGCCGTAAGAAAATCTTCGAAGACGTGCGTCTCACTAAGTGTGGAGGCGAGAGCCATCAGTTTCAAAAAACATTTGTAATTTGAGGAAGGCGCAGGCTTGTTGTCCACATGCCCATATGCAATACCCCGATGTCTGTCCCCGTTCTCATCTCAAGCATTTTCCGATCTCAAAAGTCTCGCGTGGCTGACCTCCCGAGCTTCTCATGTCACATCTCTTAGGCTTCTCCATCAAGCACCCGAACGAATCACAAAATCAACGCTTCCCGCGGGTGAGTAGTTGCCCCACAATTGCTACTCCCCTTCTTGACAACGCTGCTGCGAGTGATGGGATGTGCGCGAACAAGTGCATTGCGGGCGTCAGGGGCCCTGCAGGGGTCGACGCAACAGTGGTCGCAGCAGGCCCCGCAGCGCAGATTCAATCGTTTGACTGAGAGTCGCGGCCTTCTGCTGACCTACGAGTACGTACCTCCATACGATGCTGGAATACCTCAAGACCTCCTACTGCTCTTTGCTGAGACCAGTCGTTTGCCCGCCACGCGCTTTGCCTGCAGGCGACATCCCTGCCGCGTCTCGTCTCGAGTTCGACTGGTCGCGTTACACTTTTGCCGTCGGGGAGGGCAGCCGAGACATTGGCATCGCCAACTCGAACCAGAGCCGCACCGAAAAGGTCGTGTCAGTTGCAATCGGGGTAATCGGTTGCTGCCCGACATCACCGCGCTGCCGCCTCTCTCCGGACACGCGCGCATTTCCTCCGATGAACCTCTTTTTTCGGCTCGGTCTGATCACGGCCACTGACGTGTGGCATTAGATCGGCGGGGGTTGGCCTCGAACCATGCGGCCATGGCCTCCGTATCACCTCCAGCGTCACCTCCTCAGAAACGGGAAACGTCTTCAGGTCGCGCTCACTGGGAGAAGCCTGATGAGCTGCGCGCCATCGGGTTCCATTGGCCCGCCAGCATCAGAGATTCGGTGTATGTTAGGGGTTTGAGAATTCGCCGAGGATCAACACTACGCCAACGGCCTGCCGGCGACGCCTAAGATCTCAGGAACTTCTTTGTCGTCACGTCAATAGGATTACCCCTCCACAGCAGTATCCAGTCAATGGCTGCACGTCGGTGTTTTCAGAAGACCTGCAGGAGTTCATGCACCACCAGAGTGTGACCCAAAAAAAGCGTTGCTTGAGCAAGAGCAGTTGTACGGGTGCTGGCCGCCTTTCTTGCTTCCAACTCGGAGCACTTCGCGGCCTCGCGGTTTGTTAGATGGGCAGATGGGTATTAACTCCTGGTTGTTACGCTCGGCTCGGCCTCTTCTGTGGCCCTGCCCTGCCCTGGAAACTCAGCTTGGCCAATAGCAACGCCCAACATCGCTGCTTGAGGCTGTTTCCAAAACACACCTTTCCGCGCCCGCATTCCCGCAAGGGGCCCTGTAGCATCCCTGTTTCTGAATGCTGAGTCGACCGCTTCAGCCCGACGCCTCAAGCTAAATCCGCCTCCCCTGTTTTCGAGATCAACGTCACTCATCCCTATCGGCCAGGGACCGATTGAGCTAACGCTACATAGTATGAGCAACCGTTCGGGTCGAAGACCACAAGGGAATTTATCTTGGGCTGTCAATCATCGATGCCCAAAATGCTACCATGCTGTCGCAAGGAACAAACTCAACATGCGGAGCCCATAGTTACCGCACAGCACACGGTAATATCAATGCGGAGCCCGGTTTCGCTTTTCCAGTTCCAACTACGCACTGTGGGCCGACAACAACGACAACTGACGACCCCTCGCAACACTCACACGGGACCTTTCACTTTCAACCTACCTGAGCTGGCCAGCGTCGGTCGCCGGTGCCAGCAGACTTGTTTTGTCTCAGGGTTGTCGAGTGCAGCAGTCCCTGGAAACCAATCTTGAGCAGGTTAATCCAGCATTGCGGCAAATGTAACTCGGCCGCAGTGGAGCGGGCGCAAAGCAATGGATCGAAACAAAGACAGGACTCTGCCGAAGGGAACGGGCCGCTCCTGCGAGCAGACGGTCGGCCCTGAAGCCATGAAAATGAGTCGATCGCCGAATTTCAAAGTATGGCTCCTACAGGGGCTAGATAAACACCAGGTATAACGGGCCACGGCCGTTCAAGGCGACCTGTTTACCTGCCCCCTGCCTTGCGTATGTAGCTCCACCTGGCCGCCGCGACGGCCGCGGCAACGACATTGAATCACCGCACAGTTGTTTCGCCAGCTCCGTTTTCAGGTTTCAAACTCGTGCGGCTGGTGCATGCCGCGGGTAGAATTGAGTTGTCCGAGACTCCCTCATGCCCTTCTGTTTCTGGCATCCCTACCCTCCATCTGCGATCGTGGCTAACTAAGGCAAGCAGGTCGTAATTCAATTCAAGGCAAGCCACAATCATGCCATCGCCCTAGGAAAGAGGGCTACATGCAGCAGTACTCACCTTGGTGGGTGCGCCTCTGAATTGGCCCCTCTCCACAAACCCGAAGGGCAGACCTGGACCCTGGTGGAAGACCGGCGGCGTCACCGGCCGGGGGCTAGCCCGGATAACGCTTCATCCGATCTACTGAGAGGAAATTAAGAGCCTCGTCAGATCACCTACATACCCCTGTGAACCTCCCGTCTTCATCACTCCACATGAAGCAAGATGAAGTGTAAGTCACCGCCCCCGTGGTGGACCGTCTGATGAGCTGGCCGACGCGAAGCTGGCCAGCCTGAGCCATAACTTGCGTCGCGGTCGGTCGAGTCTGTATTTCTCACACTACAGGGTGTAAAGAGCTAAGTGACGAGCCGGACTACCGTTCAGCGCTGCCCTGGCAGTTTCTCCTTGTACTGTACCATAGCTGCTCCGGGGTGCAGCCCACCCATACGCAACAACTCGATCTGCACTAAGCCACTCACCAGCCATCTGGATGTTGATTAGAACCTGCTTTTCCGACCAGCAAGCTTCATGCACGGAGCCCACCGGGCCTGTTGCTACGGACCATGGCACGTCGTTCCACATGTACCGTTAACGGCCGTCTGGCGAGAGCTTTCTTCCGCATTTGGAAGACCGTATGTCGTTCCAGAAGTCACCAAGACAAGATGCCATGCGGCCCCGTTAACCTCGAATCAGTCCCAGGAAAACAATGTAACCATTCCTATTCAGGAGCACTGTGGTGGGCAAATATCGCTTTCCACTGCGACTGATCTTGGCTAGTGGGAGCTCGCCACGTCGCGCATCCCGCCCACGAGCCACCCGCCATCGGGGCAAGCGGGTCGTTGTGGAGTTTCTTTCTGGGGCTCGTTTTTTTTCTTTTCTAACTGAACCACGCCACAGGCCTTGACCTATGTGTGCGGGGCTCTAGCCTAATCAAAAAACGCAGAGCAGTTCATGTGAGAAGAAGTTCCTGCGAGGGGACATACTTGAGCGGAAAGTGATGGTGGCACTTCACTAGCGAAGCGGAGCATGGTCACAACCAGTACACGTTAGGGCCTCGCAAAGGGTGTGTACTGTCTAGGCCCTAGGGTTCGTTTAATGGGCCGATCTGCCCGTTAGAACCACAAAACGGCGTGGGGGCCCTTCATCTTCATGTATCATCAACGTGGCTAACAACGTCGTGAATGAGAATAATGAGATGAGCTATCCTGAGAAGACTACGACAGTAGGATATATGACTGAAAGCTCTCGTCGCGCGTGGTTGAGGGAAATCGCGTATGAATTCCCAACCTTTCGGGTGTTCTTCGCTAACAACGATAACTGATATCCCGCAAGTTGTTTAGGTTGCTCGTCACATGAGCAGTCTCGTCTTCGTGCCATGACGATGTTCTCATGCGGGCTGACCGGCCGCCCACAAGACGCTCGGCTAGTCTCTCGTAAAGGGCTGTTTTCCGAGTGGTGTTTTCTGCCGATCCACTAAGAGGTAACTGGCCCAGAAAACCCAATCAAACACTGGTGAAAAAACAAGGTGCTGCGACCAGAGTGTTGCTGGCCGAATTAGCCCGCTAATGATGGGCATCCTTTGTCTCAGGCAAGGTGAAGGATGTTAGCAGGGCAACTACACTAGTACACTGTGCTTCGCTTGACGCCAATGACTAGATTAGGATGTGGCAAACATTCCGGGCGAATGTGCCGTGAAAGCGGCTGGTCGGCAACGACGTGTCCAACGCAAAAGAATGGATGAATATCCGGATACTGCTGTTCGAAACCGAAAAACGCCAAGACGCTATGCGAATTTACACCCAACCCGGCCGCCAGACTTGCAAGAGACATGGAACCACGCCCCGATGCGCCACGACAGCGGACCTGCATGAATACAGGGCGAAAGACAAAAGAGCCTTTTTCTTGTTCCTTGTTTGGTGGCGGCCGCTTTTGACTCGCAGTGTCGGAGTGAATACTTCTCAGACCCCCCCACCCCTGTCTCCCCGAGCCCCTGTTCGGCCCAGGCCGCGGCCAGCCCGACCTCCCCCCTAACGTAGCCGGACAAGATGTAGCCCTGTGGGCCGGCCCGGAGGAGGCCTGGCCGGGGGCGCACGCAAGGTTCGAACGGGTAGATCCTCTCTTGAAGATCCACAACGCAGAGGTTTTTGGTGTTGCCGGCGGGGTAACCGGTAAACGATGGGGACATCACACATCAGTAACCACTGAATACCACCACCCCCCTTCCCAAGTTTGTTTCTTGCTTTTGGGGGCGATTCGGGCTCCGATCTACCCTGAACAGAGCCAGGTCGCGACAATACTGGCCCATTACCGGGGTAGAAACGCGTGAGTACCGCGCAGAGAAGTATGCTAAGAAAAGAAGGAGAGACGAGGCCGGGGGGGGGGACTGTTCAAAGGCACTGCGCAAGGCAGACATATACACCTTGCTCACACCCGGCACGGCTCGCACAGGTCCCGACCTACCGTCTGGGGCGTCACGACGGGTGACTCGAAACTTACAAGTACACAATCGTACAGTAATTATGCACAGCGGGCCACCCATCCGACAAATTCGCCCCTGGTAGATATCAATGGGGTACTCGGCTCTACATGCAACCACCCTGGGTGTCCCTATCAGCCAGCCATGTGCTAACCTTGGCAAGCATGTATCAGCGTTTTCATCCGAGGGCCGGTATGTGTTTACAGCCCCTGCTGCCCCATAGTTACTTGCTGGGTGGGGTCTGTATGTGCGAGTTAACGTTGTGGTGGAGAAACCACACACCCCGTGTGTGCCTGGATGTGTGGGTGTGCCGTCAACCCCTGGCTAATGAAGCCGTGAACAACGTGGCTCCTGTCGCGACCGACCACCCCATATGGGAAGGGGGACACGGGCAGCGGGCCAGGGCAACGGGGGTAATTTGTAAAATTGCCGACCAAGGATGGCATCGGCACGCCGGGCGTGGGCTTCCCCATGGCTGTCCGAATAGCGACCCATGAACACCCATCATTGTTGACGTGGGATTGCAGGCGTCATGGACAATGAACCGCTGTCCGCAATGGACGAGAGATACTTCAGACTGGACGACCAGGGCCGGGGGTGGGGAAGTGGTACCGTCACTGGCGCTTGCATGAACGGTGCGGATTCAAGGTGTCCTCGACCGTTTCGTTTCGTTTCTTCTTTTCGTCTTCTTGGTCTTCTTTCCCTTTTTTATTATCTTTTTTGAACCCACATCTCCGTGCTTAAACAACACCCTGTACATGGACAGCTGTCACAAGTCGAGCAATTTCACCCCGTCGGGGACCAGACGGGGACGACGGCAACTTCGATATAAGACGTCACCTCACCCCCGTGGCCAAGTTCATAGAAGCTCAACCAGACAGACCAACCGGCCAGACGATAGCATCACGGCTACACCAAACAGATCCAGACACGCACCCCACATCCCCTTAATCAAGTCGCAACAAGGTCACACTCTTCAGCCATAATTACCCCAGAGATCTACAACGACGACGACGACGATCACGAGGACGACGCCACGAACGACAGGATTTACGACGATAATCACGATCTTCAATACAGCAGCGGTATCAACAGCACCGGTAACAGCGGATTTGACACGGTTCCCTTTCGCAACTTTCAAACCTTTTTAGAACAGTCGCCTCCCACTTCTTGGCTCTCCTCTCATCAGGTGTTCCTTGATCAAGGTGAGTCCGAGTCAGAACTCCGAGTCAGAACTCCGAGTCACACAATCCAGTGGCATGAGATTCAGAGGAATTCATGGTTCAACCATTGGTCCGCATGAGCCTTTCTGCCAGACAAGAGGCATGGGATGGGCACTACAATTGGATTGGAAGATGTGCCTGACACCGGTCTTCTGCTTGACCAGAATCGAGATTTACCACTCCGCTACACCATTGTCAGTCAACACAATTCTCAACGAGACTGAAATAGAGAACCGACAAACCCAGCCCGAGAGCACAAAGAACGATTATCAGCCCTGGACGCCACACGACAAGAACGAGAGCACGGGTCACAAATTGAAAACGATATCCGAGCGAAGGGACCAAGGACAATAAAACGAATTGGATGTGCGACTTAGACATTAGACGAGAAACAACACATCGACGACCGAAGACAGACAAAAAACGGTAACAATCACCCTCGCCCCCCTGAATTACACCTCGATCCAGCCCGCCCGCCTCAAAAGCCACCACCACAACAACACTCACCCACCAACCCACCATGTGCTACTTCGACCACCAACTCTGGCCCTGCGGCTGGTGGAAGTGGGGCAACTTCCGCGAGCAGTGTCCCAAGGAGTACCGCACGGGCGAGACATGCGGGCTCAAGCTGATCTTCAACACCTACCTGGAGCCGGAGCCGTGCAAGATGTGTGACCAGATCGACAAGAAGCAGCGGCGGCTTAACAAGATGATGGAAGACGTGCGGCGCTGGCGCAACGAGGGCAACCGGCGCGCGACGATCGAGAAGACGGAGACGGAGATGAGGGCGTTGAATTCGCAGATTGGCACGATGTGGGTTGAGCATGAGGCGAGGAAGAATGCGATTAGTTATTGAGGATACCGGCTGTTGTTTTCCTTTCTCATTTTCTTTTGTCTGGCATCGACATTCCTTCCAGGGCCTCTTTATTAATCCAACCCCCCCTCTCCCCTGACCAGCATCACCAGCGGCCCGTTTTACCGTCTCCTTCTCACCCGACTGCAATACCCTACCCTAGACCAACACCAACCATACAACATTCCAGCTAGACTCGGAGGAAGCAGCCACAGGCCCAGCCCAGACACAGACACGCCAAAACACCAGGCACACAAAAACAGCACATTGCATCACATATCAACAAACCGCACTTGTCCACCCACCGACACAAGGAGGTCAGTGTGCCCTGGCACGGGGATTTTATCACATTCGACCAAAAAAAACGACAGAAGAGAAAAAAAAGACGCACACGGGGAAGAGGAAGGAAGGCAGGAGAAAGTGAAGTGAAGAGGGCGGGGGAGGGGGATGGTGAGACGAGTAGGCATGCACAATGCAAGCCTCTTACTCACATATTTGAGAGATACTTACTTACCTTTACATCTAGAGAAGACGGTGAGTGAGGGGTGTTTGGAGAAGCGATGGTTACGGGAGTTAGGATGGGCTGGACTGACTGGACTGTGTGAATAGAGGGGGTTATGACTTTCTTCTGTTTTCATTTCCCTTTTTTTATCTTCTTGATTTTCTTTCTGGTCCAGCTTCCATCTGGTCTCGGATTTCGGTTTCCTCGCTCTTATCGTTATTCTCTTTCATTTTATCCCATTTCCCTTGTTCTTTCAGCCAGGGTTTAGAAAAGTCGGAGTCGGATCCTATTGATGTTCGAAAAGGGGGTGTGTGGATGGATGAGATGATGCATGACTGGGCCCGGGGACCGTCGGACTGGGGGCCTGCACAGTTGCTGCAGAGTGCTTCCGACCGGGTTTCCAGGTTTTGGGGACGGATGGGACGGATGGATGGATGGATGAATGATTGATCATTTTTTCTGGGATCTCATTGTCTCTGTCTCCTTCGATATCTTTACACTGTGTGCGCCTTCCTTGCTTGCTTACTCTTACCGGTTTGCCTTTTATTTTTGTCATCTTTTTTTCTCGGGAGTTTTGATGTTTCCAGAGAGGGAATGCTTGCGTTTTGGAGGAGTGTGAGGGATGGGAAGAATAGGCAAAGGGACACAGGACTTTTTCCTCAGCAATGGGGGTTTCGTATCCGACGGGGGGGGGGCCAAGAAGGGCAGTAGCTCAGCGCAAGAACAGCGTGCTACGAATTACACATCGGAAAAAAGAAAAAGACTAGCTAGCTACTCAAAAATGAAGAATTCGTTTCCCACAGTCGGCCCTCGCCACCCGTCGTCTTTCTCAGATAGATGATTGGCGAGGTGTCCCTCACGCCGTGCGTCTGCTTGACGCGGAAACAAGGTTCTGACGCGCATCTGACGCGCGGAAAGGGCATAAACGGGACCAAACAGGACCGGTCAGGGGGCTTGGTAAACTTGTACAAAGCTTATCCCGCGGGATATTTTTTCCCTTTTCATGCTGTGACGGTGTCGGATGCGGCTAGCTAGAAGAAAGCTCGGTTTCGCGGGATCTGATGCCGTGATTTGAGCGGTTGCCATGGGCAGAAATCCTCCCATCCAATGCCGAGAAAGCGGGAGACCAAGCTGCAGAACCGGAAGAGACCTCGGTGCTTGGGGCGGTGCCGCCTGTTGAAGTTGTTGAGACGGGCGGAACTGCGGGTATTGGCTGGCTGCCTGGACAAAATGCAGGAAACGGGACGGAGGCGGGCGGGCGGAACATGGGACGCGGCACGCGGGGCGCGGGGGGGGAAAAGAGAGGTGAGAGAATGTTCCCTCCTGTGGGTTGTTGTCGAGGCTGGGGAACCAAGACCTCTACCGATTTTCCCGATCGAGTCTACCGCGGTAAGTACGTAGCACTTCCTAGCGAGGAGCGGAGAAGGGCGGAGGGGGGATTTGGACGAATGACAGGGGAAAAAGAACACGGCAGCAGGGCCGCCCGGCCTGGGTGTCTCACCCGACGCAAGAAGAAGTTCTTGGGTTTGTTCTCCGAAGGGCGGGGGCGGGCGATCGAGGCAACGCTGACTCGTGACGCAAAGCGAGAAGCGCCCAGAGACGTGCCTAGGGCAAAGAGAACCTGGTTGTCAGGTTGACATCTCCGCTGGTTCCGCTAGCTGTGCTGTCTGCCAGGCAGAACAGTGTCGATAACCGCTGGGGGGACTGTGGGACGTGTTCTGCCGTGTAAAAAGCGAGCGCTGGGCGCGCCCCCGGGCGTAGACAAGATTCGGGACGGCGGCATGAGGCGCTGCTGTCGTAGTACTCGTCATGACTAATCGGTCCTGGTGACTGGGCCCCCAGACGTGCCAGGCCGGCTTGACGTGACTTTCTTGGCTGCGTGCTGCATCAACCCCTCTCACTTTCTGACCGTCGTCGTTCTCCGAGGAAAGTTTCCGCTCCTCTGGTCCCCGAAAGGTTCGCCGAATGTCGCCCCTCCTTAGAGCTTGAGGTGCGGCCGGCCGAACCGGCAGGCGGTTTTCTTCTCACCAGCAGCTCGCTTACGGATCGTCCATGGTGAGGAGCGAGGCCTGAGGACGCGTCAGTGACTGTGCTGCGGTGCCGTACGTGGTTTGTTGGGTTGGACTATGCGGTCATCAACGAAGGTACGGTACGGATAATCCATGGATAAAGCTTGACGATGAAATGATGAGCGGACGCAGGAACACAGTAAAGTGGACAGAAGACTAAAACTGGTGGGTGTGGAAGGAAGATGCGTTTAATAAGTCGACGTCCTTTTAGGAAGAAGGCGCGTTCCTGGGTTTGTTCACGTGCTTTCAGTCGGCGCGTGACCGTCCACATGGCCCCCATCGAGGGCGACCAACGACGACACGAATTCTTGATTGGGTGGCTCGGCATGGGGGGACGAGTAAACGACAAATGGGAGTTTTTTTAAGATTAACTTGGGGGGTATATATGTGAAGCTTACCCCTCCATCTTCATTTCGCTCCGTCTCGCTAGGCTGCTAGAAAATGGTGATATGGTGTCCAAACAGACACGCAGAAATCAAGATGGGCGGTTCGCGCCCTAGTGGGTATCAAACTTTTGGAGTTCTTCGTGTGGGCCGATGCCATGACCTCCGGCGCTGTCCTGCCAGTCATTTCAACAAAAATGAAATGGGAAATGGCCCCGGAAGAACCTGGCCAGGCGGGTATGGTCTCATCAACATCCTCTCTGGGACATGTGGGTGCGTCCCGTTCCAACCGGATGAGGGAGTGGAAGAACGTTGTCATCATCGCATCGCAGCGGCCGCATCGGCGAAGTTTCCAACGAGGCTTCCACCATCGTCAACCTTGACAGGCACCGCACCTTGCTGCATCTCAATCGTATCGTCGTCCGGCGTGCCCCAGTCTACCCGCGCAACCGAAAGCAGGTCGTCGTGAGATGACAGTTTCGACAGGAGAGTCTGGTATCGAGCCGTGGTCGCATCTTGGCCGGCATACGCATATGGGTCGGGCGCCGCCTGAGTGGGCTTGTCTTGGGGAACGATCTCGTAAATATCGACCATCGCACTGTGTGCCTGGTTAGTTATGCCATGTCTCGACGTCGCGCGGGGGGCCAGAGTTCCGCGGGGTCGGCATACTCGGATGTGCGTGCTACCACTCTTTGCAACGCTTCAATCTCTCGTTGTACTTCTTGAGGATCTTCCTGGTTGATTGGGTGTTGGTGGTCGAAAGTATTGTAACTCAGGCTGCTGGAATCGTCAAATAGATCCCGGTTCTCCTCGTCCGCCTGCGGGATGACTGATTAGCTCGGTGCCTCAAGGTTGACGCCATCCATCGTCGAGTCGCAAACAAGGACATACATCGTCGTAACTATCGCGGTGACGGAGACCGAGACAGGAAGCACAGTTTCCCATTTCGTCGTGTTGATCTGGGGACCGCGGGGTCCCCAGAGGTTAAGAAGCAAAAGGAGTGTGGCGGGTAGTCGCAGGCGCAAAGGAAAGAGAGACTGTGGAAACTGGAGAAAAAAAGAATTCAGTAAAAAAAGCTAGCGGCTCCCGCGTGGGGAAACTAGGGCGGTCGGGTCATAAGGAACGGATGCTCGTCGAAGAAGGGGCAATCCGAGGGTGACTGGATGGCCGGACGTCGATGAAGCCTTCGCGATGTCCAAAAGCCTGGATGCTGGGAGTCGCAGAACCGCTGGGGGTCAGTCAGGGTCAGGCGCTCTGCCGTGCAAAGCCGCAAATTGCAGCCACTGAGATTTTCGCCCATCCCTGAACGCTCGGCTGCGTGGGCCAATTGTTGCAGCTGGCTTTTGATGGTGGTCTGGGCTCCTGATTGCACGCACGAGCCACATTCCATGGATGGCAGGCGCCAACAGTTCCTCACGGGCCACCGGGGAAATCATCAGCGATTCCCGCCCGCTTTTCGCTTAGCAAACTAACGATGGAGCTTAAATTCTGATCGGAACATCCTATCTTTTCTTAGCTCCCCAGAAATTTCAGATCACTCTCAAACCTGGGTCTCGCACTCGGGTCTCTCGTCCAAACAGAACGGCTGCCGAGATGAAAGAATTGAAATAAATGGCCGCAACTTATCAGACACGGCGGGGAGAGCAAGACACGACATGACCGAGGGGCGCAAGGACGAGGGGTTTTGTGTTGCGTTCGCTGGGAAATTGCAAACTGTCCGTCACATCCAGGGAGTCCATTCAGGGCTCGCTCTGGACCCCACTCAGCCCGACGGTGGCATCCACCCGAACCGCGATTTGGAGATTTTCGGGTCGATTCATGATGCAGGTTTGCACCGACGGGAAGAATCCCCCGATCGGCTGTGCACGACTCGGTCAGGCCCCCACGTATGAGTCGTATTGAGTGAGCCTCCAGTTGTCGAGTCGCGGTATCATGGACCAGCATCACGGTACGGACCTGAACACAGAAGTCCGGACGAAAAGTCTCATTTCTAACCCCCACGCGCCCCTTGACGATGCGATATTCTGCGCGTCTGTGGGTCGAGTCTCAGATATCGCGTTTTGGGCGTGTTAGCATCCGAACAACCAAGGCAAACGGCAAACACGTCCGATATGAGCCAATCTCGTGGCACCCCCGCGGTGTTTTGAAGGGGGGATTCGGGTGAAGGCACGCCCAGAACTGATCGACAGGGCCAAGCGCGTTGGTTCGCCGTGTGCGAGTCGGGGGCTACCGAGGACCTGCAAGGGGTTTCCAAGGGATCGGCGCCCAAACTCGCAAAACGCCCCGGCATTTGTCACCTGCCCGCGGTTTGATATCGCGATGGACATGGCAGGGAGAAGTGGGAGAGACAGGGAAGGGAACCTCGGGTTTGTGATCTTCGTCTGGGGAGGAGCACGAGCGAGCTAGTGATTGACGTTTGATGTTGGTTAACTAGCCCCAATGCCCGCTCCCGCACAGCTGGCGCCTCGTCTCAGGTATCTTTTTCTTCCGTTCTGCCATCCCGAACGCTTTTTTCGTCTCCGACAGCTCGCCAGTCGCTGCAGCTCTCACACGCCATAGCCCTGGGTAAATCGCGAAGAAAAAGCACAAGATGCCCGAGTTGACACCATGGGGACCGCCAGGTGCGGTGGCCCCAGCAGCGTTTCTCTTTCACTCGGCATGGCCTGCCGTTCCACACATCCGCATTCCCCCACACCTGGGAAGCCGTCAGGCGGGCGGGACTTGCTCGGCTGACGAAACGGCATGTCCGCAGTCTGGGTGGTGTTGTAAGCATTCTCACTTTTGACTCGAGGTTTCCCGGCTTCGGACATGAGCTAACACGGTCTTTTGTAGGCGGCGCTGGCGAGACATGTTCTATTGATGGGGGAGCATTCTTTTGCTGCCCTGCGGGCGCGACGGGGGCAGGGTGTTCGCGGGTCTGCGCGGCGGGCGATTTCCAGTGCGGCTCGATCTGCTGTGCCAACGGGCAGACGTGTATGGGAGGAGAGGGCGCGTCGCCGTATTGTATCAACGGGGTATTCACCACGACGTCGACCTCGGCAAGCCCGACTACGACGACTGATGTTGCGACTTCCCCAACAACCTCCGATTCCTCGACGATTACCTCGTCTTCTTCTACGATACCCACCACTACCACAACATTGACGTCGGGTTCCCCTACAACAACCACAAAACCAACCTCCAAAACCACCGCCGTCCCAACAAGCCCCACATCCACAGCAGCATCAACATCAACAACCACCTCCCCACCCACATCCACATCCACCACCCAACCGACCACCAGCAGCGGCATGAGCCACGCCTCCCAAATCGCCATCGGCGTGATCGTGCCCGTAGTAGTCATCCTCCTCGTCGGCGCCCTCTGGTTCCTCATGTTCCGGCGGCCCAACCCGGACCGTTCCCGCGGCCGCAGCCGCACCCACCGACGCTGGGGCACCGGTACCAGCCTCGGCATCTGGACAGGAAACTCCGGTTCGCGCGATAACACCCCACCGCCGGCGTACTCGAAAGATGCAGCAGCAGCGGGGCAGGCATCGGGGAATGAGTCGAACGCGCAACTGTCGATGCACGAGCAGTATTTGAGGGATGCAGGTGTTGGAGAGGGGATAGTGACGGCGGGGGAGAGGGAGGAAAGGGCGAGGGGACGGGAGAGGTCGAGAGAGAGTAGGGAGATTTTGCAGGCGGGGGGGTATGAGTTGATGGATTTGGATTTGAGGGGGGCCGTGGGACCGGACCGGGGCGGGCCGGGGGTTGCGGCGCGGGCGGGTTCGGGTTCGAGGTCTAGGGCGGGGGATGTTTCGCCGTTGTCGGGGAGTAGTGGACGGTCGTCGCCGCATCCGGGGGATCAGGTCGTTCTTTAGTGTTCTGCTGGGAGGGGGGGGTATTGTATGGGGCTGCGCCTTGGGGGGGATACTCGTAATTTTTAATGATAATGCCGCCGGGCGCTTGGCCGTCTGTATGTTTCACTGTCTTTGATGTGTACATATCTATGCTTCAGTGCTTGAGCGGAAGCCCGGATCTTGTGGTAGACTCCTGTTATCTAAACCCGGCGTCACTGTTCAGGAGTTGGACATTCTATCCAGGGTTAGGGTTACTACAGGGTTAGGGTCACCATCCCTTGCACGCCCCACTCTATTTCCCCAGCTTCCCCAGCGTTAACACAAGAACCCCGCGAATCAGATCAAACCCTCCCGTTTCAACAACCAACAACCCACAACCAACAGGTCACACAGCACAGCTAAAACAGGCATTGACCTCGACCATGGAAGCGCTGATGGATAGGCCTTGGACCAAATATAGGTTTGCGGGTTAACGCGCGGGTAATCGCTGCAGGATTTGGGATTTGGGATGGGTCAATGCACAGATACCAAAGCGATGGATGTCCTTGCTTGTCAATTGAGGACGGATGGGCGTTTCTGACTGGTCGGTCGGTGTGAGTCTCGGGGTCTGCGAGGTGTTGGTTGTTTTGAGTCACCCCGGAGGTAGGGAAGATGTCCTCAAATTTGGGAGGGCGGTTATAAAGAGGTGGTGTTGGGACGTGGCTCCGGCTCTTGTGTTGTTTAGTGTTATGCGGATTGAGATTTGGTTGTGTTTGCAGCTGGGTTGATACTCGATTTCTTCGTCGGTTGTAACACTTCATCAGACCATCTCATCAGGCTCCCTTAGTTGACCACCCACTCTCCGAAGCAATCACACTCTCATTCTCTTATTCTCCCATTCTCTTATTCTCCCATTCTCTCATCTCCCACCAACCGCCATCATGGCCACCACGGCAAGCACCCCCCACGACCTCCTCATCCTAACCGACGCCACCTCCTCCATGGGCCAGTTCCTCCGCTCCCTAACCGCCTCACTCCCCGACATCATCCGCATATCCGCCACCACCGGCTGTTTCGCCCGCATCGGCGTCATGGCCTACCGCGACTACGACGGCGCTGCGAATGTGACCGAGTGGTCCGGTTGGTGTGCCACTTCCCCTGATACTCCCGATACTCCCGAGGAAACAGCAGCGGAGACCTTGATATCCCAATCCACCCTCCTCTCCTTCGTCCACCGCCTCCGCCCCCTCGGCGGCGCCGACTGGCCCGAAGCCACACGCACCGGTCTCGCCCGCGCCTACACCGTGATGCGCGCCTGCGCCCAGACAGTCATCGTGCTGTATGCCGACGCGCCGCCGCATAGTCGATTGCAGGGGGGTTTGTGGCAGACGGAGCAGACGCATTTAGGGAAGGAGGATACGTTTGGTGGGGAAGGGAGGAGGTTTGTGGATTGGGTTTCTGTGGGGGATGTTTTGGCCAGGACTGGCAATAGTACCCAAGAAGAAAGGACGAAAAAAGCCCAAGTGTTTTGTATCATCCAACGCGGCGAGTACCAGGATTTACCGGCTACGTCGATGTTCACGTACCTGAGCACGCGTACACGCGGCGCATGCCTGGCGCTGCCGAACCGGCCGCAGCCGTCGGGGGAAGGGATTGCCAAGTTGACGATTGGGGTGTTGTTGGCGTGGATGGGGGTGGGGGAGGAGCAGGGGGATAAGTTGGAGGATACGCGGGTGGCGGAACGGATTGCGTTTGTGGAGGAACAGGGGATGGACCGGGTGAAGTCGGAGGAGGATCGCGAGGGGGGCGTGGGGAAGTACATGTTGGTGGAGAATGAACTGGATGCGAAGAAGGTGCTGAGGGATAACTTGAGGTTTACTCGTGTGTCGTTGGCGGAGCTGGGGAGTGTGTTGCCGTGCCGGCGGGATCCGCCCGTGCAGGACTTTGCGAAGCGGTATCGGGAGGATGAAGGGTATAAGCGGTTGGTGGTGGCGCAGTTGGGGGAGATTGTGGACGCGGATGTGGCGGCTATCTCGTTGAACCCGGTGTTTGGCGCGTTGTGGCGGACGGTGTGTGGTGATCGGTTGAATCCGGCGAGGGATGAGCTGGTGATGCGGTTTGGGCAGAAGGTGGCCGAGTTGGGGGATGACGGGGTTCGGGAGCGGATGAAGAAGTGGTTGGCGGATAGTTATGATTGGGCTGCGGAGATTCGGGGCATGGTGGAGGATGTGAGTGAGGCCGAGAGGTTTCCGTGTGTGTTGTTGGATCCGACGCTGGACTTTTCGAGGTCGAAGGACGAGAAAAGGGACGATGACGACGATGATGACGACGACGATGATGACGACGATGATGATGACGACGAGAAGAAAGACTCGATCAAGTTCACGCGCGACGAGCTGCTCGAGATCAGCCGGTCGTGTGATGCCCGGGTCCTGCGCCGGCTCGGCCGCGTGCTCACCCGTCTGACCTATGTCACAACGGCCAAGGACCTGCCCGCGCACATCGCTGCTACGTCCCAGGACCAGGTCCCCCTGATTCCCATGGCCCTCGCCCGGCCGGAGCACCAGCGCAAGTTCTGGAAGGTGCTGCTACACACCGTGCTCCCGGGCACCATGCTCGCTGCTCGCCCGGCTGCCTTGCTGGCTGCGCTGAGTATCCGCATGGGCATCAAACCGCTGGAGGAGGTCGCTCACACGGAACTCGTCGCCTGGCGTGGGAACTGGAACACCCTGGACATCCCCGAGACGTGGAATTCCAACTGCTTGGGGCTGCTGCTGGAGGCTGACAAGAAACATCGCGAGGAGTCAGCCACACAAGTCACAGCCGAGCAGACCATCCTCTTGGACGACGACCGCAAGCTGTTCCAGGCCCTCGCCGACTACCGGCTGTTGGAAATGAACCTCGACGCCGAACTCCCCGTCGTTGTCGGCTGGACCCCACACAAGAGCAAGGCTCCCATCGGACCCCTAGTCGTCTGCTCATCCTGCCAGTGCCCACGGTCCGTCACCATCATGGGGCCTAACAACGTCTGCGGGCTGTGTATCGACCCCTACGACCAGCAAGAGCAGGCTGTGCTCCACACGAGTGCGGCCCAGGATACCAGCGACACCCTCATCGCCTGGTCCGAGTGCTCTGTCCGAACCTGCCTCGCGCAGTACGTCGTCTACCGTCCTGACGCTCTCCGCGTGCGTGCCAAGTGTTATTACTGTCGCCAGGTGGGTAAGGTATCCCAGAACGACCCCTCCTATGCTGCGCGGACCACCGCGCCGTGCGTGACCTGCACCAAGTGCCGCAACAGGGTCATCTGGCCGACAGCCTACCGTCCAGCCGATTTTGAGGAGGCCGTCTACCAGTGCCCGGCCTGTTCAGGGGGTACCGTCACCACGGTTGTCACAGAAGAAACGACAGCCCGCGCCCTAGCCGCCGAGAACGGCACGGCCTTCCTCCTCCGCAACGAAAACAACACCATCCCGGCGCCGTTCACCAACCGTTCCCTCTTCCACACCATCTCCACTATGCGTCCGGACCCCGCCGACCGAACAACCCTCTTCCCGGCTAACATCACCATCCTCCCCTCGTTATCTTTATCCCCCTCCGAAACTGCAACCCTGAGTTTAACCCACAACACCAAACCCCTCCACACCCCCCTAACCACTCTAACCCCCCTTCAAACCGCCCTCTCCGCCAACCGCATCCACACCTCAACCTGCACCCTCTGCCTCACCCGCCTCCCCAACCCCTCCAACACCAACCTCCACCCCGCCTGTGGCCGCCCCCGTAAACCCTCCCACTCCCACTCCCACTCCAATTCCCGTTCCCGTTCCCCAGCATGTCCCTCCCTAGTATGCACCCCCTGCCTCCGAACCTGGTACACCTCCCCCCACGCCCCCGGCCGCTTACTCAACCCAGCCTCACTCCAATGTCCCTTTTGTCGACGCCAGCCTACCCGCAAAGCATTAGCCAGGCTGGGAGGGGCAGGGAGACAGTTGAGAGGGGTGGAGGGGTTAAGGGAGGTGCTGGAGGAGAGTGGGGAGTGGGTTTATGCTTGGTGTGCGGGGCCTTGTGGCAGTGCGAAGAGGTATGTCGAGAGGGTTTGTGGGCCACCGGGAGGTGGGCAGGAGGTGGTGGGGTGGTGGTGTGGGGAGTGTACGGCTGCGAGGGCGGCTGCTGCGGCGAATGCTAATGCTGCTGCTTATGCTGCTGCTGCTGCTGCTGCTGCTGCTGTTACTGATACAGAGGGAAGGGGAAGGGGGGATAGGGATAGACCGCTGGTGGTGAGGGATTGCCCGGGGTGTGGAGTGACGACGGAGAAGATGTATGGGTGTGATCATGTGCTGTGCGTGTGTGGGATGCATTGGTGTTTTGGGTGTGGGGAGATGGGGGCGGATAATGCGGGGGATGTGTATAGGCATATGAGTGAGGTGCATCGGACGTGGGGGGTGGAGGATTATGATGAGTATGATGATGAGTATGATGATGAGTATGATGGGGAGGAGGAGGAGGATGAGATAGAGATGTAGGAGGTGAGGTGAATATTTGGGCTGAATGGGAGGAGTTAGTTGGCTGTCAGATTTCAGGGGTTATCATGCTGCGATTTGCTGCGATTTGATGCGTTTAGTTTGCCAATAAACTTTGTGACACAACCACTGCCCACTGCAGAGCAGCTTGACTGACCATGTATTGTACCTGACATAATTACTACCTTAGAAAGGACCTCAAATTTCCTTTCATGGGACCGATCCTAATTACATACCCCGTAAACCGAAAACCCAAAGGAAAGCCAGGTGGCAGAAATACCAGTGTGCAAAAAGTGAAAAAGTAAAAAGGTCCAAAAAAGCGCCAACTCCAAGACTCGAAAAAGAGAACTGTGGTAAGTCGAATCCCAGGGGAGCCTTTTCACCCTGGGAAGCGACCGACTAGGTACACAGCTCTTAACCACTACACTACCCGCAGGTTGTGATCATCGTGATTCGCTTGGTTGTTGGAAACGGGGTGCGCACAGGGTCGTTATATACCCCCCTCCGCCGCCAATCCTAATTTTGCCTGTGAATGGCCTTGTGATAGCCTCTTGCCGGTTTTTTTTCTTTTTGGAGGAGCCATGGATCGAGCGGCCAACCATCCAGCCTACAGCATTTGGCTGGCTGCGAGCTTCTTCCATGCCGATGTCGTGAGAACAGTACTCCGTTTGGGATTTAAGATTTCCATGAAGAGCCTGATGTGCTGCACGACCCTCTTCCAGTGGGCCGCATTCTCGGAGCGATAGGCAAGCCACCGGGCTAATCTTGTTGCGCAATTGCCTACTACGTGTCCGACGTTGAAAGCTTGAACGCGGCGCGGTCATGGCCATTTCCCAATTTGCTTTGCCCTGTTGAAAGTTTGGTGGGCTTGCGATCCTGATTTCTGGTTATCGCGCCTTCACGCCTTGCATGGCAATGAACATGATGTTTTCGATTGTTGGGTCTGGCGCCCGGGCGTTGATTGGATTTTGCAGTCGTCAACTCTGGCCTCTGGCGTTTCTGGGCAGATACACGGATCGCGACGGTCACGCGGCGACCGCCACCATCAACAGTTGATGTTGAGATCATTAGCAATAGCGTTTGGGCTGGTTTTCCACACTCGCCGTCTGGTGGTACCAGACCATCATCTGGTGATTCAGGGGGCAATGTTGACATTCGTTGCTGGGGTAATCCCCACCCACAATACAACAAAGCCCATGGCGATGTCTTCGTCCACATCAATTCCCTCAGCCGTGTCCGCTACTTCTCGTCACCGCAATTTGAGCAACATTTCAACATCAATTACTAGCTCGAGTTTTAGCTACAGCAGTTTGTACAATTTCCTCCGTCCTGGTGCAATCCAGCAACAAAGTGTTAGTCTCACAAGATGTTGTGCCCCTGCCAAGACAAATTCCTTGGCAATGCCCTTTTTATCATCAACAAATCCGCCCGTCCGTCCATCCTTTCAACGCCTGGTCCTAGTTTCCGACAACGCGTTCCATAGCCAGAACAGGAAAAACGCCTGTTTGATACAGCCATGCCAGGCGTTATATCAATGGCCAAGACTAAGGTAGTCACCCAAAAGCAAAGATTGCCCCCGAAAATTCCCAGCGCCGCGCCCAGAATCCCGCGCGCCGTATAAACCCGTCAAGTCTGACAGAAAAGCCTTGGCCAAACCAACTGCAACCGTAGTAAAGATAATAAGAATGATCCGAGAAACAAACATCCCAACGAATCGTGCGTGCAAAAGTATCGTGTGTGTGCACAAGTAGTCGCACACCTCACGCGTCACCAATAGCAGTAGCCGAGTACACCGTAGCACGATCCCCGCCCCCAAATTCGAGCGTCGACAAGCTATCCGCCTGGGAGGCATCAAATCCGAACTGCGATGACCCCGCGGCGGCCGCAGCCAGGACGGCGGCCTCGCGCTCACGCTCGCGCCGCTCCAGGTTGACAATGATATCCATCGCGCCATCGAGAGTCTCCTTCTCCGCACGTAGATCCCGCCGTTTCTGCTCAATCTCTGGTCCCTCCGACATCAGACGCTGCAGGACCTCCACCGAGGCACCATGTGAGACGAGGCCGAGCCGCTCGTGCAGATAGGTGTCGATGGCGGACGCGACTCGCGGAAGTAGGCCCGACATGACGTGGATCGAGACGTAGTCGACAAAGCGGTTGGCGGCGGTGAGGTAGTAGCCGCGGATGTATGCGGCGACGGCGAGCTCGGGCTCGAACGGATCCGGGCCAAGGTTCTTTAGCTCTTTGGCCATTTTATTCTCTTCCTGCTTCCGTTCCTCGTCGGTCATATCCTCCACCTTAGGGACGGCGCTGACTTCTTCGCCATTATGGGCGGCGATGCGGAAGTGGTTGCGGTGGCGCACTAGGATCTTCATCTCCGAGGTCTGGTTGCGCTTAAGGGACTCGTCGTCCTTGGTAAAGAGGCGCTGGGCCTCCAGCTTGTAGATCATCTCCAGCTGGGTGCGGAGCTCGAACTTGTGCGCCTCGATGAACGCACGCATGTGATCCACCGATTCCTTGTAGACCGCACGGTTCTTGAGATGAGCAAATGCATTGTCGAGAATCCCGAAGATCTCAGATTGAAGACAGGCAAACGTGCTGTTGATGAACCAGTCGAGGTGCGGCGCCCACGTCTTGGCCGCCTCAGTAAACAGAGGTTCGTATACTGTCGCAGAGACCAGCCCGGGCTGGCCGGGAATGGCCGCGCGCCTAATAAGGTTGCGGATGTCCATCAATGTCTTGGATCGGCCGCCACGGGAAGGCGTCAAAGCGGGAGTCGCGCTCCGCGGGTGATGAGGGGTGGCTGGAAATACGGGTTGGTCCGGGACCTCGGTCTTGATGATCTGCTGGCTACGCTGCCGCTTAGGAGTCGGAGTAGCCTGCGTCTGGTCCATGGCCGGTGCCTGACGCTTCCGCACCGTAGGCGACGAAGAGGGACTGTCGCCGTCGAGATCAATGAACACAGCTGGCTTTGCCGTTTTTGCGTGATCACGAACGTTAAATTTGGGCTTCATGCCGATGATGAACTTCTTAAATGGCTCGGCAAAACGGCCGTCCCAGACGCTCATGAAATCTTGGCCCATGACTCGGTCCTTTACCCTGAGTGTGAACTCCGTGAGGCTCTTCATGACCTCCAGCTCAGGGTTGGGCGGGGGGTCGGGATACCGTTGCAACTGGGCGCCAATGTCGTCGAGTCGGGTCGCTACCTTGCGCTTTACCTCGGGAAGACTAGAAAGCATTAGGACACGCATAGTTGACGTCGCCAAAGGCAGACTTACATCTTGGCGAATTCCTCGCCCAGCTTATAGGACAAGGTCTCCTTCAGCTTCTCGACGCCAAACTTCTCCTTGAAGACATCGAACTCCTCAGGCCAATACCCGGTGGCATCAGCTGTGCGATTGAAGAACGCCTCCTCCATTTTGTTTTGCTCTTCCAAGTCACTACCTTGGCGAGAGGTGATAAAGTATCCGAACCCCGTTTGGTGAGCTTCACCGCGCAGCATCGACAGCCAGTTAGAAGCTGCATGGTCCTCCCTCGGGAGAAGGTCCGCTTTCGTCATAACCCCGATGCATCGGTTCTCGGCACGTTGGCCACGAATGATCTTGAGAGCCAGCGAGTTCTCGGTATCCTGGTTCATAGGAACGGCACAGAGAATGATGGCGTTGGTGCGCGAGATGTACTCCCGAGTCAGATTTTGCACGACGCGCTCGAGGAACGCATCCTCGGCCCGCCTAGCCGTCATGAAAACCCCTGGGAGATCATAGAAGTTCAGGTCTGCGAGGTCGGGGCCCCTGACTTCAAGTGCAACCGTGTTGGGTGAGAATTGGGCTTCCGGGCTCTCCTCCCGCCTTTTGACGCGCTCGAGGTGTTGCTCACGAGTGCTTTCCGGGGCCTCCCCCTTGAGCTTGGGAATAAAGAACTGGTACGAGTCGGTCGGGTTGAGGATGGCCACCTGTGCACAACGCAGGACGGTCTCAATCTCCTCCGAATCGAACTGATCGCGGATCGTTTTGAACTCGGTGCGAGCCTGACGGCTGGGGTCCAGCTTGACCCATGGTGGGAATTTGTTGTTCTTGGTGACGTCGCGCTCTGTGAGCTGATGGTTTGTCGGACGAAACTCGTAGTCCTGCTTGAGGAAGACCCGGCATGACCATTCGTCGGCCCGTGAGACGCGAATGTGGATGGGGCACCGAGTGCAGGCTCCGCTGCTGCGAGGGAGGCTCAGGCCCGCAATTGCCGACATCAAGCTGGATTTTCCTGAGGATTGGTCGCCAACTAAAACCAGCTCTGGGAGGTTGGCGACATGTTGGATGCCCCTCGCCTGGAGTTCACCGAGGGCATCGTTTATGGCCTTCAATCCTTGGCCCATGCCACGAAGCGCCCGATTGGCACCCACGAATGAGCCTTGCATGCTTTGTGAACCCATTGGGCGGGACTCATGTTCGACCTTAGGGTTTATGCGGACTTGCAGCATCATCAAATCGTCATCCCCTTCTTCTTCATCGGGTGATGGGCCCGATATAGTCGAATGAGGCCGAGCACGGGTATCAATGCTGGCTGCGGAAGGTTAGTAGGTGGGTTGAATGCAAGGCAAGAGAGATAAAGTAGGCAAGGTAGCTTACGGGCAGCGGACCGCACCGGACGTTGCCTCTGAACACGCTCACTTGGTGTCTCTGAGTGCATCTCCGAGATCGACTCAGGTGTGGCAATCGACCCTGGTCTGCCGGACTCCTGCTTAATGCGCGGCATGATGCTCAGGTTGACTTGTACGGGTAATTATTAGCAAATGTAAACCAAGATGGGTGGGACGAAGTGGCCACCGCCGATTGAAGCAAGAATTCAAGGCGAAATGGTTCATGAAGCGGCAGGTAGTGACTTACTTGCTTCGACTGACTTATCGTTTGGCAGCCAATTACAGCTTGAGACTGCCTCCGTCTTCCGCTCGAAGGTTCCAGAATTGACAAACGGTTTCTTAATCAAGGGCGTTATGAGCAAACTAGAAAAGAGGTGGGTTGTTATAATAAAGAAGAGGTCGGAAGAGAGCACGAAAAGAAAAGGTGTGTGTGGTTGGTGGTAGAAAAAAGTGTACGTGAGGAAGGTGAACGGATCGGCTTTAGTGGGGGTCGGAGTTGCAAGAGGCAACAAAACAGGTGAACAAACTCGGGAGGGTTAAATCTCGAAGGAGCCGTTGCTAGGAGAATTGCAGTGATTCTCCCCCCGGAGATGCCGACTGTTAGATTGCACGGTGAAAATGGAAGGAACGGGTAACAAAGCCTATCTTGAAACGGAGAGTTTTGGCATTTCAGTCGCGTGAAAGGGACAGGAAAATGTGGGGCAGAAATCGCGACCGAGTTGGTTGCGCGGTGCGACGCGTCTGTTGACCGCGATTCACGCAACCACTTAGAATTTCGGCAGGGGGCCGTGACTCCCCTCGTTCCTCCCTTCCACAAACTGAAATCACTTAGGTAGTCGTTATTCATCCACGATGCGTTTGCGAAATGGAGATTTTTGTTGCAAGGAAAACATTCGCATCCACCACCAGACCCTCGTACATACATAGTAATTGTTCGCGACCACCACATGATATTCGAACCACGCCGCTGACGCATGCTCCACCGGTAAAGTCCCACCTTAGATTCCGTACCTATACATAGTATCCATATATGACCGGAGAAATCGGGTTGCAGGCGATTATATTAACGTTGTTAGCTGAGGATTCAGCTGACACAAACCGCAACCGGCAAAGCCGCAGTCCCCCCGGGAGTTGCACCCGAATTGACCCAAAACGGGGCCCACCCATCCACCCATGCCGTCACAGCCCGTAGTTACTTCTGACAACCGAAATGGCCGACATCACCATGCCACTTCTCCCACCACTGTCCACCCTTCTTTGTGAGGGATTAACCGTCAGCAAAGAGGAGATGTGGCAGCGCTGTAAGCTGGCAAGCGAGGTTCAGTGGAGCCGGCGCTCTGAAACCCTCTTGAAGCTACCCCTAATACGGGATATACACCTTCGGAGCGACAGCATGGGCCGGCCCCGTATAATCAATCTAAACCGCTCTAGCAATATCGTGGCTGTTCTCATACAGCTTACGGGAACCGAGGCAGATGTCATGTGCGAGCGCTGTACTCGTTCTAACGGCCCGTTTCGGGGTTGTATGGTCTCGGTCGGTCTCGCCGCGTGTGCATCCTGCCAATGCAACTCGAGGAGTGGCCGATGTTCATTCTACCGCGAAAGGACTAATACGGCGCCGCAACCGCTACAGGAGTTGTCTTCGACTACTGCCAGGGACAATAGCAACGGCAGCAAGCGCGGCCAAAACTCCCCCGGAAGCAACAGACCGGAAACACGACCTTACCAAACCCCTTCGCCCCCCGCATTTGCCCGCAACCGCCGACCGCTCTTCGGCATCGTTGCAGGGCGCTCCAGCGGCATTTACAGCCGCACCACTCCCGAACCCTTTCATCGGGGGTATGCCAGGTATGCCCGGCGGCAACACCCTCCCGAGACTCCCACGGGACGCAAACCGAGCCCTGGCAAAGTACTTGCGGGCTTGGGCAGATCAGCTTGACGAAGACTTCGAGAAGTTGGTAGAGGAGGAAAACCGTGCGTAATCGGGCCTGTTGTGTTTAACACTTCCCCGGTTTCCACATTGCCGCACTTGTAGGATCATGTAACTGCCTGGGTTTTCGGCAACTCGTACGCGCCAACCTGAAGGCAAAGGCCCTAGGCTTTTCGTAACAGTAGGAAGGGTTGTTATAGTCATAGGAGGTTCACCGGGGCTGCTGCCAGGCGATGGACCAGGGATTTCTAAACCCTGAGGTGTGTATTAGGTACTATGTAATATGTGTACGACCATTGGTGTATTGCAGTGAACAACGCTTCGCTGTCAACATGGTTAGCACTCTGAAGGGGTCATCAGCAATAAGGGTAGTGGAAAGTCTGGTTCCAAAACGAGATAGACGATGATTTAATTAAAGACACAGTTACAATTGCGTTGGAACCCATGGCACCGGTTCGGCATCTCAGCCTCGGCTGATTCAACTCCACAACCCAAATCCGCCCAGTAGGCTTCCATCCCGACTTCAGCCTCATAATTAATTACCTGAAGTTGACCAGATCCAGAATCGCATCCACGTGGGAAGGCTGGAGGGGTCGGGTGGCCAGTGCTTTCGAGGGGAGAAGCACAGACCAAAACGGCCCCACAGCGCCGTGGCACCCCGATTTCCAGGGACTGGGGTAGCATCAGGACACTCCAAGCATCATCGTTAAAAGCTGTTGGCTGGGCCGTTTCCTGCTTCCCCCCTCCCAAGTGCCGGCCGTGTCCCCTCGCGATAATTCCAACCCGAATATCAAGTATACCTCGCCATGTCTCTCCAGATCCCGCACCGTGAAAAGTCAAATGGTTCCGGCGGCGCCACCAAAGCCGTGATCCTGGTCAGTGTTTTTTTGCTGGTGATAGCGGGGGAAATGGGGGGCAAATACCCAATTGCTGCCACACCGCACCGGGCATCGGCTGTGCTAAATAAGCTTTCGAGGTTGTTTGCTGACACCGCAACCACCCCTTTCTAGGTCGGTGGTGCTTCGCGCGGCACCCGTTTCCGCCCTCTCTCGCTCGATGTGCCCAAGGTACGTGCGACACATAATGCAGGGCATGCTGCACGGCATGACGCATCACGGCTGCTCCCGCCGCCTCAAACACCCGCAAAACGCTGACTTTGACCGCTTCCTTTCCACTCGATAGCCCCTCTTCGATGTCGCGGGCCACCCCATTATCTGGCACTGCCTGACCGCGATCAGCAAGGTGCCCTCGATTTCCGAAGTGTACCTGATCGGCTACTACGAGGAATCTGTTTTCCGCGACTTTATCAAAGACTCGGCCGTCGAATTCCCCAATGTCTCGATCAAATATCTCCGCGAATATCAGGCCCTGGGTACCGCTGGCGGTCTCTACCACTTCCGCGATGCTATCCTCAAGGGCCGCCCCGAGCACATCTTTGTCCTGAACTCGGACGTCTGCTGCAGCTTCCCGCTCAACGAGATGCTGCAGCTAGCCCAGGAGAAGGACGCCGAGGCTGTTATCTTGGGTACACGTGTTAGCGAGGAGGCAGCGACCAACTTTGGTTGCATCGTCTCCGACTCGCACACCCGCCGCGTTCTGCACTACGTCGAGAAGCCAGAGAGCCACATCTCGAACCTGATCAACTGCGGTGTCTACCTCTTCTCAGCCGATGTCCTTTTCCCTTCCATCCGTAGCGCCATCAAGCGCCGCACCGACCGGCCCCGGCTTGCATCGTACCGCTCGTCCGAAAACCTTGCCAGCTCCTTCATGATCGACGATGACGAGGAGAGCCAGAAGAACGAGGTGATCCGTCTCGAGCAAGATATCCTGGGCGACATGGCGGACAACAAGCAGTTCTTTGTCTACGAGACCAACGACTTTTGGCGCCAGATCAAGACGGCAGGCTCCGCGATCCCCGCCAACGCGCTGTATCTCCAAAAGGCCAAGCAAAGCGGCTCCAAGGACCTCGCCCCGCCATCGGCCAACATCATCCCGCCCGTTTACATCCACCCGACCGCGCAAGTGCACCCGACAGCCAAGCTCGGCCCCAACGTCTCGATCGGTCCCCGTGCGACAGTCGACGCAGGCGCGCGCGTCAAGGAGTCGATCGTGCTGGAGGACGCCGAGATCAAGCATGATTCGTGTGTGCTGTACTCCATCATCGGCTGGAGCAGTCGGGTTGGGGCCTGGGCGCGTGTGGAGGGTACACCGACGCCTGTCACTAGCCACAACACGAGTATTGTCAAGAACGGGGTCAAGGTGCAGGCAATTACCATCCTGGGCAAGGAGTGCAAGGTGGGCGATGAGATCCGCGTGCAGAACTGTGTGTGTCTGCCGTTCAAGGAGTTGAAGAGAGTGAGTTTTTCCTTCTATTTTTGTCCTGATGGTCGTGGATATGAGCTAACGATGAACAGGATGTTGCCAACGAGGTGATCATGTAGAGGGGGGGATAGAAAAGGGATACCCGAGGGCATTCCGAGGCTAGATGATTTGCGTTTTACGAGCATGCCATCTCGCGGTGCGAAGCCATCAAAATTTATAGATGAATAGGGTACTTACTTGTCTCATGGTTTCTGTGATACCACTTCCCGATAAACAGCCCGTTGTTGATACATTAAAGTTCCTGCTACTGCTCTACATCCCTTTCCTGCTAGCCCTCTCTCTCATCCCATCCATGAGTCGAGCTCACGAAGCGGAGAAAGCCGGCACTGCTCGGTGCTGCCCGGACCCTGGGGTTGGGCATTTGTCGGATGGGGGGGCTATTGAGAAAGAGGGCCCGGCGAGTGGGTGGATTATAAAGGGCTGTCCGTGCGCTCGGTACTTGGGCAAGGCGGCTTCCTCCACAAACAACCATGTCACAACCCTGAGAGAGCCATCGCAAAGCCTGGAAGGGACTTTATTCAACAACCCTTACCCATATTATAGCAGCTTTAGCAACAACGTCGCGAGGAGGGTGTGAGTGGCGAAGGGGACCATGGCTGGGATAAGGACCAGCCTATCAATTCTGATGACAACTCCCACACTTGGCAGCGCTTGGCGAAAATCTAACTAGCTACATGTTGACGTGTTCTTCATCTCCCTTCCAGCTCCTTGTCGGTGAACCGGCTGGCAGAAATGTCGGCAACGGCGAGCCACAAAGACCTAGAGCTGAGGGTAGAGTTCCTGCATGAGGTGGATCTGCTCGACCATCTGATCCATGTTGTCGTGCACCGAGAGCCTCTCCAGCTCTACGCCGTCGACCTTGACGATGATCTGTCTGGTGTGGCCTTCCACCGTGTGTTCCTTCTTCTCAAGGTGAAATTCAAAACGGGGGTCTCCATCGCGGATCGCTTGCATCAGGAGAACGACATTGTCGTGGCATGAGATGGGTCCCCAGATCAGCATACCCTTGAAGTGCAGAGTGGCCTTGAAGATGTGGCCTTCGATGGTCTTCGGGATCTCCCTGATCTGTACGTCTAGATGGTTGGGCATGGTGGCAACGTTTTCCCTTAGCCGGCATTAGCATATAGACAAGGCCAAAGAGACTCGCTATTGAAGTATCTTCTTACCTATGAGGGTAGTTCAGCAATAAAGAGTAAAGAGGGTGGCTGTTGGATAGCTTGATGGGGTAGACAGATGCGGATGGGTGCTGGTGATCGAGAATGTTAAACTGGCCGTAGATAGAGGATGTGATACCACTTTATAGACGTTTGGCCAGGCTGAGTGTTTGTATAAGGGTCGTATTCTAGCTAAGACGGCTCGCAGCAATTCAGAGCGGCGATCTTCACCTCGAGATTACAGAATATGGCGAAAGCCGCGGGAGCCGCAGCCCGATGGATACCACACTAAAATAGGAGTGATGTTGTTGATCATGGCCGTGACTGTGAGGAGCGCGGGAACCGCGGGAGCTGTAATGTCATTTGATATCACGGGAGGGGTATGGGCTTGAAGAGCTGCAGCTTGATCGAAAGTGGAAAAGTCAGATCGACACGACTCACACGAGGACCGTATACCACAGCAGATCGCTGTGAGTTCGAAGACTACCTAGATACCTAGGTATGAGGGGCTTGAGGCTCCGTAGTAGAGCCTCAAATCCCTCATGTGTGATGTACTGTACATAGCACATGCCTGGGCTTCGAATGAAAGCGGAACCACAAATATGTGTCATTTATGACATTGCAGCATCAAGGGCGTGTACTCGCTGATCTACCGATCCCAGGAGCGGGTTTCGTGGGACAGATCGACTGCATGACACATGATTGGCGTGGATTCCCTGGATGGACAATGCTCCGCAGTCCGCACATGTTGTGTGCATGCAAGAGCGTCAGCCGCGGTAACCACAAGAGACTCGGGGGCCACTGCAGAGCCTCAACTTTGACTCAAAACGGCAGGAGGCGCATCTATTAGTCGATTCAGCCCAGCTGAACCTGGGATCGAATGCCCACAACGCCGGGCTTTCAATGGACTGCACAGGTCGGACGCTAATTAATTGGTCAAGTCAGCCCACACAAACGAGACGGTTCAAGACCATATTTTGCCTTCGATGATTGCCACGCGAGACGCCGTATCCCGTGCATGGGAAAACTGAGGGCTAGCGGCGGTGGTGATATCGTCCACCAGCTACAGATATTTTTATACCAAATGTGCAATGTCATTCTTTCAATCAAATACTTAATGGATGGCACAGGGGGCAGGGAGCAGAGATTTCATACAACCCAACATACATGTTGTTGGGTATGTGTGCATTAACTCTGTGACCCAACCCTGAAGATCGGCATCCCTCCTCCCATTGTCCTTTCACCACGTTGAAGATGCTCTCAGCCTCAGCACGACACTTGCAGGCCGTGCCTCAGGTGCGGCGACTGTGTCTCAGGTGCCTCAGCTTAACAAGGTTGGAACCTGTGAGGTTCGGATTTGGGATGCCTTTTCTGATTGGCACTGAGAAGGAGGCGAAGGAGGAGGACATACGCGTGACAATAGCCAGTGCTCAAATCGGCGAAAGCTGTCCCATTAGCATGATCAATCACCCCGTAACCGACATTCGTCAAGATGCCCGTATGTCTATCCAACATTAATTAGGTCATTGGGCTCCAAAATCTACAACAAGTTCAAAGAACAGCCGTGGATGCAGTAGCCCCAGCATCGACTGTCAACACCGTTCCGGTAATCCACCGTGCCTCATCCCCAGCCAGAAACCGAATGGCATGAGCACAATCCCAAACGTTCCCCTCTGTCCCCAATAAACTCCGTTTCCTTCGCCTCTCCCGCATCTCGTCGCTCATCCCCTTTCTATACATCATCGGTGTATACAGCATCCCTACCATCATCTCAATCAGCAATTTGTCCATCCAATAGGCCCCTTGATAACAATAAAGCTGAAAGGAATATCTTACCAGGACAAACACAATTCACCCTAACCCCCTCCCTCCCATGCTGCGCCGCCATCGCCCTTGTCATATTCACCACCGCCCCTTTACTAGTCGGGTACATCAAATGCGGCGTACCCCCTCTCAACCCAGCCACCGAGCCCACATTCACAACACTCCCTCTTATCCCGCCCCCTTCTCCCCCACTGTCACCTTCAGTCTTGTGCTCCCCCGTCAACATCGCGGGGATAGCATACTTCGCCATCAACATCATACTCGTGACGTTGATATCCAAACCGATCGTCCACTCGTCGGGATCTACATCCACTGCTGTGCCTTTCGCGCCCATGATGCCTACCACGTTGACGAGGATGTCTAGGCGGCCGAAGGCTGAGAGGGCGTAGGCGGCTATGGCGCGGCAGTCGGTTGGGGAGGTGACGTCGGCTTCGACTGCGAGGGCTTGTCCGCCTCTCCTGGTGGAAACATCTTCGCACTGGGGCTGGTTTGGGTCTGGTCTCGCTGTGGCAGTAGCTGGTGAGTTTGTAGCAGAGATGGAGCTGTTGATGAAGCGTGCGGTGTGTTTGGCGAGCTCGAGGTCTTTGTCGACGCATAGGACGGTCGCGCCGGATTCTGCGAGGAGTAGTGCTGTTGCGGAGCCGTTGCCGAGCTCAGGAGTTGTTTGAGGGGCATCGGGCCGTGAGGGCGATGAGGAAGAAGGGGGAGGTGGGATACGGCTGCCGGCGCCTGTGACGATGGCGACTTTGCCTAGGAGGTGGGTTTCTGGGCGGGCTGGGAGGCTATCTAGGTGTTTGTGCCTTTGGGAGTGCGATGATGGGAGGGGTTGAGGTTCGCCGAAGGTTGTGAACTGCCGAATGTGTGTGACTATCCAGGGACCGGTACGCTGTGCGGCTAGACACCATGTTCCTGCACAAAGACTGGGCTTAAGAGTGGCGAGGATTCGACATTGGAAAGCCATGTTTCCACGAAGAAACCTTTAGCTCTTCGACGGTACCTTTGACGATGGCCTGTTGATGATGTTGTAAGTTCCACTTTACCTCGGGTATTACACACCTGCGAAAGGCACCTCAAGTCTTTCCCCGCATTCATCGGTCGAATTGGAGGATTTGTGTCGCCATCGTTTCATCAGAACCATCAATGGACTCGAGCCTTTAATTATTGGCGTGCTACTAAATCTGGCACACGTATTCATTACGATTAAATAATATTGGTGGTGAGAACTATGAAGTCTAAAGCGCCGGCCTGTTTCTTGTCAAGAACTTCACCGCCACAACACCTTCCCCCATTGAACGTATTATTAGTGTGTGTAAGGTAGTGGTTTCCCCTTGATCCGGCCACCGTCATCACGAATCATAACCCATCATCCCCTCTACTTCTCCGAGCCCCTTCATGCCCAACAAGTCGATTTCAAGCGTATGATGTACAGCGTGAGGTGTATGAGAACGAGGGGTAGGAAGGCTGGCAGTCGGATCCGTATATTACCTGTGGGGGACATTTGAATATGCGGTGAAAACGGGTTTGCTGGTATTTATCCTTCGTGTGGCCGCGCAATCTGTTCGTTGATAGCGACGCCAGGACCAAACCCCGTTTCCACTTCCACAACACGCTGCTTCTTTATTGGTCTATCAGTTGATAGCAAACCGGCCGGCTCGGTCGAGAGTTCTCTCTTTGGATTTCGGGGAATGGCGGGGGCTTCCACACGGTCGGGAGGTGAGGACGAGATAGGGCGTGGCCCTTCGACGGAATAATCGCGATCCGTATTTGTTGGCGATATAAGCCGCTCTGCGGGTGAGTCTTGACCATCTTGGCTAGCGGCGGGGCTGCTGGCCCAGTCAGAGTCGGATGCTTCCAACATCGCCTTGATTCTAGCGTTGTATTCCTGGACGACCTCTGGGGGGGTATGTCCCATCCGCCATTCCTCAGCAGCTTCTTGGCCGTATTTGCGACACCGGTATCGTTGTGCGATTTGTACAAATGACAGTCTGGTACAGAGCTTTTCATGGAAATCAGGGGCGACGTGATTTTCAAAGACGGGCGTCGGACGTCTGGTTCTCAAATAGGCACCCTGTGTCTTAACAGGGTCCGAAACTCCGCCGTGGGCTGTTTTTGATCTCGTGGGATGGCGCCGTAGTTGGGGGCGTCATTTCCTCGAGGAGACAGGGTACAGAAAGTCACGGCTTGTGTTTGCGTAAGGAATCGTTTAAACTGTTAGGTTGAGCCGGTCACGACGAGATCACAGAGTTGCAAAACAATGGCCAACTAATAAAATGACCTTCCACTCCAATTGGAAAGATTTCTGGGTTTCCTTCACAGTGACGGCCACTCGAATTGTAGTTAGTTGGGATCGGTCTTATTCTCGTTGACGCAGCAATTCACTCACCCTTCCTAAATAGACTTAGTGCAATGGTGCGTGACACAGAATTTGGTGATGCATTCAACTGTTGTTCTAGTGGGGTGAAACGAAGGAAAAACATACGCGGGACCGCATGATTTAAAGCGATAAGGCGCTTACATAAGCGACATAACCCTAACCCGAGCATGGATCATGGACCCACATGCCCACAACTGCCGGTCGCAGCCGTCTTGTGTTTGGTTATCGCTGGTTCGGGGTTGGCGCTCACTTTGACATTTAAGCCCAGCCGCGGCGTCTCGGTTCCCCCACCCCTAAATGATGGGGTTCTCTAAATAAATCGTAGCAGAATTCCGGCCCGTGGCCGTGATGATTGGGCCTGTTATGTCACCACTCACCAGTTCAACGGTTGGCACCGGGCAAGCTCGACGAGAGCGAGAGGCGCGATGTTCCGTGCGTTGACCGGGGTTGTTTCCTGCACCTCCGGTTCGGAAGCGCTGCCAATGGGGTAGGACCACGCGAAGCCCCGCGTCGCATCGCTTTCACGATGCAGGCCGTTCCGCTCTCAATATTGCCCAATAACGGGGCGCCTGGGGCTGAGTTCAGGTTTTGGAATTTGCCTTCGTTCTCGATTTCCCTCCAGATCTCAACTGTGTCCGGCAACAACCATTCTGGAATTACTAACGACCCGAATCCCTCATATTCCTAGCGCCGATGTATCCAGAAAATCCCGCCTGAAAATTGGATTTGACTCTGTAGCACCCCAGCCCCGAGCCCCGTACGCGCTGTGGACCAGCCGTCGTCACATTCAGCGTGCGGCTGAGTGCACTAGCGAACCGCCATGCCGTCTTCGGGGCCCAGGCCAGGCCTTCTCGAAGACAATTCTGCCTTGGGCACATGGATTTGGGCATCTTTAGCGAAGCAAACCGGGGATGCGCACGCGGCACCGTTGAAACATGCGGCTCTGCTTTAACGCCGATAGAGGCAAACGGCCGTTTGCTACCCATGTGGCTGAAAGTTCCGCGTTTGGCGCGCGAGTTCCGCCCTCCCTCTTTCGACCAAGCTGCTCGTGTAAAAGGCGCCACCCGCCCTGCCTGACCCTGGGAGCCTAAGCCGAGACTTCTCTGTGCTTGTTACGGCGTGCTTCTACAATTTATCACTCTCATCATAGACCCCTCATTGTGTCCTTACAATGACAGACACTTCTATTCCCCAGCAGTCGTACGCTGCTCCTATCACAACGTCGGACGATGCGGGCCAATACGTCCAAACCACGCCAGTGTGGGTGGTTGTGGTGCGCGGCCTCCAAGTCCTCATTAGCTTCATAATCGTGATAATGGCCGGTGTTTTGATCCACGGGTATGCCATGGGCGCAAATGGTTTTGCAGTCGCATGCGTAAGTCCTCCTTTTCCACCCGCAGTTGCGTTATGGAAGACTTGATTCACACAAATCATTAGAGCATATTCACCTGGATCGTCGTCAGCTATGTCCTCATCACAGAAAAAGTGTCGTCCGCCCGGAAAGGATACAACATCTGGGCCGTACTCTCCCTTGACCTGCTTATGGCACTTTTCTGGCTTGCCTCTCTAGGCGCCAACGCCCAACTCCGCGCCCGATTTAACACCCCCGTTCAAATCGAATCCTGCTTCAACGACGGCAGTGCTGTCAGCAGCAATCACTGCATTATCTCCGGGCGCTCCGAGCTGGCCAAGCGCGCCGCCGTCGCTGGCGAGACTGGCCTTGCGCTTATGAGTGCCGTGGCTGGGGTGAGCGCTGTACTATGGTAATTAATCTCCAGTTTAGCCTCCTGAAAGTGGACTGTCCGGCACTTGAAACAACTTCTGACTCACATACTTTCTTTCCCAGGCTCCTCTTCCTCGCAACCCTCATCTTCCACGGCCACACATACCGGCTCTGGCGCCAGGAACACAAGTCGTCCCCTGCCGACAACGCCACTGTCGAGATGAAGGCCCAGGGCACGCCAATGCTTGTACCACAATCACAACCAGCGCCCGGTGCTCCGCAGTACACCGATCAGCAACAATACCAATCCCACGTTTATCCCCCGTCGCAATACCCGCATGATCCTAGCGCCTATGCGCAACAGGGCTCGTACTCTGGATTGAACGAGCAGCAGCAGCAGCAGCAACCACAAGGTCAACCGTACGGCGTGTATCCTGATCCGAACCAATACCACAATCAGTAAAAGGAGAAACAAGTGGCCTACAGCTCCAAATTTATGACCGAACAACCATGAGAGAAGGATTCCGTTGGGATATTATTGGGGGTTGTAAAATGTCATACGTTCGGCTAGATTCGTACTTTATTAGGCAGCCAGTTTCGTGTGGCTAGGTAGACGAGATTGATACTGCGTGGTTTGAAGACTAGTTGTCAGTTGGATTAAGAGAGAGGATATGACTTGGATGACTGCATTTAGGGTTATGTATTGCTATTTTGGTTTGGTTGGGCCGAACATTTTCTTTTAGATTTAAGGGTCGTTGTGGACTTTAGAGTAACTCAAAGAGAAGCTCTGCAATGCAAATTTCAATGTAACTCCCAAGGACTCTTTGTGTAAGGTTCCTGGTTCCAAATTGGCAGGTCAAGCCTACCTTGCTAGGCGCTCGACACGTCAACGACACGTAAAAGCACGACCATCTTATTGAGAGATCAAAACTGGCGATATCAAGACTTTAGTCCCTGGAAGAAAAAGCTAGTCGCATCTCTCTGACTGGTGTACTTCCCGAACTCCGTTTGAAACTTTAACTCTGACAGGAAGTTCACACTCCATAAAATCTCTATAAAATCTCCACCTTCCCGATTTCTACACGATTCAGGCGACGAATTGTAACATGGTCCTGGTTTTCAAACCCACGCACACCCCTCACCCGCTTTTTGCTAGACACTATGCTGGGGATTTGTCTTGTGCAGCCAAGCGCGGGTTGTTGTTGAGTTGTTGATCCCACAAACCAAACCATGTGGAGAATGGTTTCCCAGTGCCATCGCTTACTCTTTGTTCTGTGATGTTGAGCTGCCTTGTAGTTTCATAGAGTCATCGCTATTTGCAACTAGATTTTCAATTGTTTTTCTTTCATCGCTTGTCTTTCGGTCGTTTTTTATTGTGGGCCGGTGGGCATCATGCTTTGTCGATGCTGGCTAGAGTCTAAACCACGACTAGCTAGGACTTTGGTTGATTAGCCAATGTCAAATGAGCTTACCAACCTTGTGAGACAAACTACATGTCTTCTCCCCTCATTGCTGATGTGCTGTGTCTTTGTTATCTGAGCTGTCTTATCGCTCCTTTTTGTGGGTTGCGTGTAAGCGATAACGATAACGAAATGTCTGTCCAGTCAACAACTTTATCAAGCTCTTATGCCCCTGAGTCCTTTGCAAAGTTCTACTTTCACATTTAAGGTTGTGTCTGTTAAAAATTCGGCTGTTGGGTTCATCATTTTCTTCCTCATTTCTGATTATTTACCATGTGATGCTGAAGTCGTGAGCACGGTTGTTGGGCGCCAAGACTTTTTATTTGTTGATGCCCAATACGGACGGAGGGGCTTCTTGATTGCACCAACCTCTCCAATATCGAGCAAAGGAGGGTTAACCTGATCTTAAGGGCTTTGTCTTCCGGAACATCTCTCCGCCAGTCTTGTCACCGGCACGTTCACACCGAACAAGCTACCGGTCTATGTCATCCCGACGTCTTGTCTGCACGTCCTGCATTTCCTTGATGTAGGGGTCTTTTGCAGGCAAATGCATGCATGTGTGCACATCGGACGCAGCTTAGATGCAGGGCACACCCCTTTTTCACCACCACCAAATTCTCACGATACCGTGCGGTCACCGCCGCTCTCAAACCTAGTGAACGTCCCAGCGTACATCTCACCCGACAACAAACCACCAAGATGAACAGTTGTCTCGGCGACGGCGGCCAATAACACGGAGTCTCACGACTAAGCAGACCCGCCTCCTGTTTTCCTGCCCCTCGTTCGGATTGAACGGCTTCTTCTTTCAAGGCAGCGGGCTCGCGACTCATCATTCTTCTTTCCTTCCTCGCCCCTCCGATCAATTTTTCTTCCTTCCACGACCAAAACAATTCACGACCGCGACTTTTGCTGGATAAGTGCCCCTCAACCACGCATCCAAGCACCGCAGACCCGATCAATATCACAACGTTGACGCTGCTCTTCGCTTTGTGCGATTTGACTTCAAGGTATATCAAATATGACCCTGATGCGAGGTGTTTACCAAGTCGTTAATTTTGCTGACAACACGCCTTGAATGCCAGAAAAAATAAATCAAACAAGCACTTCCACCATCTAGAAGAGACCCATCAACAAGAAATCAAGCCGCCACCATGAAGATTCACGCTTTCATTTGCCTGGCGATGGCCGCCCTTGGCCTCTCCCAGGGAGTGACGGAGCAGATCGCTCCCGATGGCCAGGCCCCCGACGGTTGCCAGGCCGATTTCAACGGCAACTTCCAGATCACCGTCGACAAGTTGACTTTCAAGGCCAATACGGTTAGGGCCACCGAGGTACGTTTCCCTTCATGCCGTTTACTGCTCCGAAATCCGACCGATTTACCGTGAGGCGCTACTCGCTGCGGCGATTGCGAGAACCCTCATCGGAGCGATGAATCGCCGGAGAGGGAATCCGCCGCGGAGGATATGCTCCGAGGGGCTCTGCATCACGGATATTTTCATCCTTCGGGTTTTTTCTGCGATCTCGTCGCTGCGAACATCGCTCCGGTGGCTTGATCGTTGGAAATGGCTCGTTTGGACTGGTGGCCAGATTGACATCGCCCAAACACCGTAAACGAATGCCGATGGGAACGGGTACTGACTGACTACCTTCTACAGGACGTCGATGCTGGCTGCGCCAGCACCAGTAACCTAGTTGTGAGCTTGAACAACGGGGTTCTGACCGACGGCCTCAACCGCACTGGTTACATCGCTTCAAACTACCAATTTCAGTTCGATGCCCCCCCTCAAGCTGGCGCTCTCTACACCGCCGGCTACTCCGTCTGCGCCAACAACTCGCTGGCTCTTGGCAGCTCGGCCGTCTTTTGGGAATGTGCTTCGGGAACTTTCTACAATCTCTACGACCGCAAGGCCGCCGATCAGTGCTCGCCCGTGGAAATCATCGTGATTCCGTGCGGCGACGATGCGGACAGCCAGGGTGGCCGGGGCAACGCCGAGGGCACTCCGTCGGACGGCGTTGGCCAGACTGTCGGCTCGGAGATCATCACCACTACGGTCGTCATCCCGTTGAGCGACGGTCAGCCTCAAGTGATTACGACTACGAGCGTCGTTTACATCTGCCAAATCGGAGACGGTAAGCTTTTCTTGTTTCAATCCTCTACACATCTTCCCTTAGCGCCTTGTGGCCGGCAGCGTCAGGCGCGGGAAAATGATACTGACCAATTATCCTTCTACACAGGCCAAGTTCAGGGCCACTCTACGCCTTGCGATGCTGCCATCCCGACCATCACCCAGGCGCCCGTTTCTCAGATCTCAGACGGCCAGATCCAAGTCACGCAGATCTCCGACGGACAAGTGCAAGTGTCGCAAATCAGCGACGGTCAGGTCCAGGTTTCTCAGATCTCCGATGGCCAGGTCCAAGTCTCGCAGATTTCCGATGGCCAAGTGCAGGTCACCGGTCTTCCAACTGCCTCGTTCCCCGGAGAGCAGGTGACCACTGGTCCTGCCGTGCTGCCCACCAACGCGCCTCCCAGCAATGGCGCTGTTGCTGGCCCCGGTGGCGGTCCCGATGGATTCACTGCTGCCCTCGTGGCGTTTGTTCTGGGCGGTGCTGCGGCCCTGGCTGCGGTGTAAAACCACGCTGCGGTCGCCCGGTCCCTTTCCCGTTGGCTCTTTCCCCCTTACGTCGGTGATCTCTTCTCGCTACTGTGGGGTGAAAATAAGCTGCACGCGGCGGCGGGACAAGCCTTTTCTTTTTCTCTCTTTACGGCGTTGGGAGGGTGTTTTCTGCCTTTTTGCTTCTCCTGAGGGTTCTGTTCCTTGCGATGGATTCCAGCCCCGTGCCCGGTTTGACGAGGACGGTGCCGAGTGGAGCGCTGGGAACTAGGAACTAGGAATTGGGTCCTTTGAGGCGAGGGGTATCATAGGGTAATGGGTGCGATATGAGGGGTCCAGAACAAGAGATAATTAAAGAAAAATGGAACGAAATTCCATTGATTAACACGATTGTGATGTTTCTTTCAAAATTCAGAGTGACCGCGTCGCGTTGCCTAAAAGAGAACGATCCACAGGCTCCAAGTGCCTGAGCGTCGGCAGACTTTGGTATTCTGCCGATGTTTTGCCGGCCTGCCGGCCGCTGAGAACCTCAGGTCGTTCCTGCGACATTTGAAAGGACCTTAGAAATTCACAGCGCGTCACGCTCATTTTTTACCCTTCGACAACTCCTTGTTGCGACGAAAACAATTCCCGAGATCAAAATCCAACCGCGGATCATCTCGCAATTTTTGCCCCTATCTCCCCCAACCCTCACGATGTCAGAATACTGGAAGTCAACACCAAAATACTGGTGCAAACACTGCAGTATCTTCGTCCGCGACACCGGCCTCGAGCGAGCCAATCACGAATCCACCGGCAAGCATCAGAGCGCGATCAAACGCTCCTTGCGCGACCTGCACCGCAGCGCCGACCAAAAAGAACGAGACAAAGAACGGGCGAAACGAGAGGTCGATCGACTCAATGGCGTGGTGTCTGGGAGCGGGAGTGGTAGCGGCAGCGGGATACCAGCCAAGTCGGCCCCTAAACCGAGCGGCGGGGCGTATGGCACACCACCCCAACAGATTTCACAGTTAGACAGGCACAGGCAGTTGGAGCAACTCGCGGAGCTGGGCGTGGCTATTCCGACCGAAATGAGAGGGGAGATGGCGATGGCGGGCGAGTGGACGGTTACATCGACGCGGGTCGTGGAAGATTCAGACAAGGACATGGAGACTACTGGCACGAAAAGTCGGGCCACCGGCGTGAAACGGGAGAGAGAGCGAACAGAAGAAGAGAAGGAGCAAGAGCAGGCTATACAAGGGCTCTTCAAGAAACAGCGGAAATGGGGCGTGGGCTCCAAGACGATGCCCGTCGAGGAGGATGCGGATCTCGATGCCTTGCTTAGTGGGCCGTTGGTGAAAGTCAAGAAAGATGACAGTGCGCCGCCAGAGGTCAAGACGGAGAAGGACACTCAGGAAGAATCGGGAGCGGACAGCAAACCTGAGGCAGCTGAGCGCAAGATTCCGCCTCCTATCAAACAGGAGCCAGAGGAAGAGACGAGACTTGGGGTTGATGAACATGTAGCAGAGCAGGGTGGAGGAAACTCGGGAAACTCAGCGGGGGGCACGGCGGTGGTATTCAAGAAGCGCAAGGCGAAGAACATACGGCAGAAATAACGCTGTGTTGCGTCGCAGACTTTGCCACCCGTCACTGATCGGGGTGGCATAACCGGCTTGCATTGCGTCCTTTCTTCTCTTAGGCCTCTGGGAATCATCAAGATGACCTCGGAAGCGGGACCCAGTTTAACTATCGGTCTGCCAAACTAATTTCCGCCAGCTGACATGCGGCGTGCAGGCAGGAAGGATCACAGAATAGGCTCACGTGACACGGAGAACAACGCAAGGCCGCATACCTGTGTACATGTCCTACACCTACTCCCCGTCTCAGGTCTCAATAGTCTCATGGGAAAAATTCGGAGTCGAAGGCGTTGTCGGCAACTGCTTCTGAATCGGGCACCATGGTTGGGCATACTTTTGGTTCGTTTTTGGTCGCCTACCGCCGCGGCAGAGACGAAAAGTACAAGCTCATCCGCGAGGCCCTCCGGGATGGGACCAATGGCGACGCTCCAATCCCCGCATCGTGGCCAGCGGGCCGATCCATTCTCACAGCGTTGCCAACGGAGTTGATACTACTCGTTTGCTACCGCTTGTACCAGGCCGACCTTCTCCACTTGGCTCAGAGCTGCCGCTCGCTTACGAACGTCGCTCTCGATGTGCTATACGCCCGCGACGTTTCCCAGTTCGACTGTCTCTCTGTGCGTTGGGCGTGCGCACTGGGTGTTGTTCCGGCTCTGGAACGTGCATTTCGCCATGGAGCGTCTCCGAATCACGAGTTCGGCCCGTTCTCGCACTTTATGTGCAAGTGGGTGGATGACATTTGCCTCGGGCCTTCAGACACAAAGCCATCGTGCGACACTCCGCTTGCTACTGCCATTGTCGCCAATCAGATTGGGATTATTGACTGCCTAATCAACCATGGCGTTGATACGAACTGGGCGGGGCTTTACGCAACACCCGACGATTATAACAGCATCCACGACTGCATGTTTCCTATGCACTGGGCCATGGGTGCTCCAGGCCTCCTGCCTAATTCCCCCCACGTACCAGGAAACGTTGAGGTCCTTCGCCGCCTTCTCGATGCGGGAGCGGACCCGAATATAGAGACCCTGCCGCGCTCAGACAGCTCTCGACCGCGAGGCTTCACACCCCTGCTCATGGCCATGCAACCCACCGTTTCCGTCGAAACTGTCGAGTTACTGTTAGAACGTGGCGCCAAGCCCACTCAGATCGGGACCTATCTCGGCGTTGGTAAGATCAATGTGCGCGGTGCTCTTACTCTGGTCATTGGTCGTACCCACTGGAAGGATCTCCCACCGCTTGGGGTGATGTTGTTTTGTCATGCCGTGGGCAACCCCTATTTTCGGCTGGACCTGGGCAAAGCACGGCTACTGTTGATGCACGGGGCTACCTTGGACATCGCGTTCTACTCCTATTCGCGCGGGAACCCGTACACTGATGATTCCTGGGTCTATTCGCGTGGGAGTCGCACGCTCGGCGGCGCCGTTAATGCTTATCACTCCGGCCCGAACCTTCCGATACCGCCCTTCCTCGCTGTTCTCTGGTGGGTAGAGGAAATCATTTGGTGGATAGAAAATCCCGAGAACCACTCTGAACCCGAACACGATAAAGGGAGAAGGGAACAATGCTGCGAGACGATTCTCTACGGTTCCCAACTGATCACCCTCTTAGCCACCGCGACTGGTAGCCAACAACACGACGGAGAACGAGTTCCGATCCCCGCTCTCATAGACGCCACAATTACGGACTCCTCGAACACGGTCTTCATCCCCCCCAGGATCAACGGCCAAACCGCCCTTCGGTTCGTGTGCCGAGACTTCGACTACCCGGAGACTCCCGATGTCATCCGCGCGCTTCTTCACGCTGGGGCCGACATGAATGCCCCCGACCCTCACGGCTGTACCGCGCTACATCGGGCGTCCATGCTGGGCCCTGCAGCTCGTGTGCAGGAACTTGTAACCTTCCGAGGCGGTCCCTCAGAATCGGCGCTGGTCGTGGACGCCCGGGACAATACCGGTTGGACTGCGCTGCACTACGCCTGCCTCTTTTACGTGTGGGACAAAGCTGACGACCAAGTAAGCACGGTGCGTTTATTGTTGGAGGCTGGGGCCGAAGTTCGATCGCGCACCAACGCAGGATGGACACCGCTTTCCCTCGCTGCGCTAGGAGCGCATTATAAAGTAGTGCGACTCCTGCTTGACGCCGGCGCGCAAGCCGATGACATGTTCCGTCCAGTGCCTACACCTACTGCTCTAGCAGATGGCACGACCGAGAGGGCGCTGGTGCCCATCGGCCGCTTGGTGTTTGATTCACACTGCTGGTACACCAGTTCGTCCGGTATTGTGTTCACCAACCCCTTCGGCTCCCGATTCCCACACGAGACCTTGCCCGATGAGATCGAAGCAGCATTGACCACGTCGAAAAGAGAAATCGCGTTACAACTGAGGTCGAGGCTGGGAATTGCTATCCCCGCCCCTAAAAACGACACAACCCTAGACGGCCCAACAACCCTCAGGGGTTCCTCTTCCCCTGCTCCTCCCCATCTCCCTTGGCCTATCTTTGGTCTTCGTAGGCTGTCTGGGAGACCGCCACCCAAGTTCGCCGTTGAAGCGCAGAGTGAACCGTTCGGCGTGCCAGATATCCCCTTTGTTGATTTTGTTGGCGCCGAGTTTGAGAAGGATATTGATGGCGTGTTGGATCAATTGGACGCCCACGGCTTATTAGCCATGGCGGTAGCGGTTTCACGGCCGGAGAGATTTCTTGAGGCGCTTTGCTGGCGGGACCCGTCTCAGGGGGTGAGCGAGGGTGTGTGATTAATGATGTTTGGGGGTGTGGAAGGAGTCGAGTTTGATTTGACGGTTTCCAGATCTGGTTACACATCCGGTTGTTCCAAGTCTTGGGATATTTAAGATGGATTTGGGGGCAATTACAATGAATTGTGTTTCCGGGTTGGAGACTACAGAATGTACAGTTGGTTCAAAAGCGTGAAATTTTCGCCTAGCTCCATGATATCCAACGGCATGGCATATCTCCTAAGATAGATGGCCAAGAAATACTCGCTCCACCAACTATGCACAAATAACCTCCGGCTTCGTCATCATCATCGTCATCATCGTCATCCTCATCATCGTCCCAAAACTTTTCACAACTGCCAGCCCGTATCATCCAGCACCATCATGCCCCATTCACCATCCATCATACAACACCCATCATGATATCACCCCCCCTCAAGCCTTGTTGATCTGCTCCTCCAAAAACGCCGGCCCCTCATTCGAAGCCACATCAAAATACAAAAAGTGATCCGGCAGAATAAACAGCGTACCATGGCACACCGCATCATTCTCATTACAGAACACCTTAGTCCTCTCCGGCGGGTACCCCGGAATCACGCCTCCGTTCTGCTGGTTCTTAGTATACCCAAACAGGACAGCGCCCACGACCTGATCAAACGCGGCCTTGTTGTCGCCCGCCAGCTGGGTCAGCGCGTTCGACACCACTGCCGTGCCCTGGCTGTACCCGCCCGTCACGACCTTGGCGTTGGGACACTTGGTGTTGGCCATGGTGTACATCCGCTTGGCTTCGTCGATGGCGTCTTGCGAGGTGCCGGCGGGGAGGAAGTTCTCGGCTAGGCCGGCGCTGTAGGGCTCGCCGACGCCTTGCACCCAGAGGTTGTTGGGGTAGGCGTTGGTTAGGGCGTTGGAGACGTTGGGGCCCGCGGAGATGCCCTGGAAAGAGGGGAGGAGTCAGTAAAGGGTGTCATAGGGGTGGGCTTTCACTTGTGTCGTGAAGTGAGAGTGGTGATGGGGTCAAAACGTACCATGTTACCAGGCTCCGTCGAGGCCCGGGCAAAGATGAAGATGACCTCCGGGCAGCTGCCAGCAGCGCCGTCTTCGAGGTCGGTGCGCGAGGCAAAGTCCTGGGCGGCATTCTCGGCCCGCTCCTGGACGTTGGGCCTGACAGCGGGGAGGGCAGTGGCCAAGCCAGCGGTGGTGAGAAGAGCGAGGAACTTCATGGTGGTGGCGGGCTCTGCTTGCTTGAGATCGCTAGATAGCTGGGATCGCTGGCAGTTACACAATGGCTGAGACAGAGGACGGCCGATGATGGGGAATAGGCAGGTGAGCTGGAGCTGGGACTGTGGGCTGGCGGCGTGGGCTGTCGAGAGAAGAGAAAGACTCTGATCTCAAGTCAGGTCTCAGCTCTACTTATACTCCATCGTGAGGAACGAAGATCGTTGCTTTGGTCGATGGGCTCGAAATTATCACAAGCCGCTGTGCCCATCCGTGCCTCTTTTTTTTCTCCAAGCAGGACGACCCCAATTGCCCAGCACGTTGATACTCATCGCCTTTCCTAGTTAGGAAACCCGCCGACCTCCAATTCCTCCCGATGGGCTCTGGACCCTGGTTCCATGGGGAACGCCCACCTTCGATAGAGGTTTCATTTTTTGCGGTTAAACTCCCAGGGACACAATCGATCTACTGCGCAAGAATTCAGGCACCGCAGAGCCGCAGAGCATGCGTTGGCTGTTGGACTTCCAAGTTCCTGAACCGAGTACCGAGGTCGAGGAAGGTAGTCCCGGCTTGTGGGAGAGGGGTTTGGGACGGGAGATCTTCAGGAAGATATTTGATTTGTGGCTATTTTAATGGTGTGTAGCGTTGGTGCGGTGGTGTTGCAGAAGGGCGGCCACGCGTGAGACGTTGTTGGGCTGGGGACTTCTTAGGCTGTTGATCGGCGTTTTGGGTGTTACAAGTTCTTGTGGGGATGGGATCATGGGGCTAGCATCGCCTTCACGCGATGGAACACTGAGAGAAACCGCCAAGAGACATGCCTCTTCAGGCAGGAGCCAGGTTGCAGGGTCCAGCCAGCCGCTCTCTACGGCCGAACACGCGCCGAAATCTGGGGAAATAATCCACTTCAGGCCCACAGAGGCACAGCTGGAAACCTTGACAGCTGCAGTCCCGGGCACGCCGGATTGCCTGGATAGCGGGGTTTGCTAGCAAGAACAAAATCTTGCTCTTCGTACCTACGACAACAATTGATGGCTCTTTTGCTTCCCAAAACCTCGTTTCGCTAGAGGCACTGCATGGGCAGTACTTGGTATCTTAGACCTAGCTTAGCGTGTCTTCACATGCTTGGGGAATCTGCGGGAAGCGGACAAGCCCCCTAACTTTAAACGCAAACAACAAGAAGGAATTGATGACTCAGCAGGTGCCGGCCCGGTTCGCGTTCCCAAAGTGGAGCCAGCTCCGTTACGAAAAAACGGAGGCCAGATGGCATCGCTCGTTCTACGGATATGAATAACTTCTACAGTTCTACTTCGTTCATACCCATTGACTCCCCTCAGTACACGCCCCGCAAATTCGAAATGGCGGTACATGTTTCGGCTCCTGGATCACGTCTCGAGTTCAGGGACACGAGCTAGCTGCGTCGGGCCCTCGACCCTCGGGGCAGCGACGGGGCTGGCACCTGGTTGGCCTGAGTCGCTCAGACCGGTATGCCCTATCTCCTGTCACGGGTAACGACCCCACGAGCACCTGAATTTTAAGACGGAAAGAGGGGAAAGAGAAGCGCAGCTTCATACAGGCTTTCTATGATAGCCAGGGCGATGGCCCTTCTCTAAAGTCATTATGCCCTTAGTGAGTAACCTCACTAAGACCGCCGTCTTCGCCGCTCCTCATCGCTCTCCCGATCCCTCTCCATCGACTCTGCATACTTCTTATGTGAACTCTGTCTCGACTGATTCCTCTCCACTCTCACAGCGTCCAAATTCTCCTTCCGCCCCCACTCATCAGCAGACCTTCTCGCCACATCAGCGAGCCTCTGATGCGAAGCCTGCGTATAATCCGCTCCAATCGACGGATTACTCCCACCCCTGGCCGGCCACCCGCCCAGTGCAGACCGCTGCTCCGTCTGTCTCCTCTCGGCCGTGGCAGCTAGCACGTACGGCGATGCTGCGCGGGGCTCCCGGCCTGAGTAGTCGCTTGGTCGGGATTGTGCTTGGCTGAGACCGGAGCTGTTCGAAGGAACGACAATTTCACCCGGGTGGCGCGGGTCGGATGGCAGCCTAGTGTGCCCGGCACGGCCGGGGCTCCTGGTATAGGGTGTGGAGGGGTTGCTGCTGCTGTTGGAGGCGGCATACTGGTCGGGCTCGGCAGTGAATAGAGTCGTGAAAACGGGAAGAGGGATAGGCCGAATAGGTGGCCGGGCCCTGGTGTTGTCTCCCCGATTGGACGGGGACAGGCTTTGGGACGCTGAAGGGTGGCCATGGTTGGGGTAGTTGCTCACTGTGGTAAACGGAAGCCGGGTGCTTCCCTGGGCCCAGGAAGGAGTGTCGGGATATGACTGGCCGGGAGCTGTAGGATCGTTGTGTTTTCGGCTTACGCTCCCCCCCGAGCTCGTTAATGGTCTGGCGGGGTTTGAAGACGGTGGCCGTGAGGGGGGTAGGTCATGCGGGTGAAGAGGCCTACCGTCGTCTAGCTCATGGCGGCTCCCGCGGCGGCGCGGGACCGAGATGGGGTCACGGCGCGGCAAGGGGACGGACCCGCTTGAACTCGAGAAACCGCCCGAACTTGAACCACCGATGAGAGAGGCCTTTGAGGTTGTCTCCGAGTCCCCGACATAGACAGGAAGGTCTAGAGACGGTCCACTGCGGTAGTCGGATGAGTTGGCCGTCGAACCTCGACGTGAAAGAAGAGGCTGCTGTGAGGAGGCACCACTTCCAGGGCGGCTTCCTGCTGGGGGAGGGTAATAACGCGGACTTCTGCCACTGTCCGGACCAGGCCCTGAACTCAGGCTCAGAGAGGAGCTCGTGCGGCTGCGGTCTCGTGAGGGTTCACGACGAGTGCGACTCGGGGCTCTGGAGGACGTTCGCCTTGAAGATCGGTCATCATGGGAATAAGAGCTTCGGCCTCTGCCATCCGACATTGTTTCTGGGTCTTGTAGAGAACACGAGGAGAGTAAGGAAAGGGGAATAACACAACGGAGAGTGGGGCGATTGGACAACAGAAGACAAAAGAGTGGTATGTTTCTTGAGACACAAGTTGCCAGCAACTGTGTACCTTACTTTGTGTTTTTTGTGCGCAGACGATTTTAACATCTGGTAGGGGCGGGCATACTATCGATTCATATACTGTTGACAATGCCGTGATCTCCCTCACACAGCGAAGCCCGCTGTCAACCTACATGGCACAAGATAAACTTGCCCTCTTCATTAGGCCAGCATTGTCTCGTCGTTGGTCCCGTCCAGAACACGAAACCTCCAGGGCCGGCTGAGAAACTAAAAGCCAGGCCGTGGTCGGGTGTAACGGTGTTCATGATCGATGACCTTGAAAACTCTCAGTTCCCATGGGCAAAGACTGAAAAGGGCCACAGTCCTCTCATCCCGAACCCATTCGGCCCCCAACTGAGGTCCTGGCCCGCACCAATCGTCGGTTGCATATCAGACGCATCGGTCGCAGCCCGACTTCCATTCCGTTGGTCGGCGTCGCAAGCTGGCCGGCCTGGGCTTTTGGGTGGCGGGCCTCAACTGAATTAGTTATACCCCGCGTCAGGCCCCCACAGTGTGAGCGAAGCATCCGACATCCGTGATCGCATTCATCTTTTCGTCCTCGAGAATCAAAATGCTATCAGCTATGCGGTCGAGACAAAAGCTTTGCCATTTGCGCAGCGCCTCCCCGGTCGAAAACCTCCCTCGAGTCCCTCCGATCTATGGTTTGCCCACCGAAATTGTCGCCCACATCCTAGGTTGTCTCGACTCGCGATCGCTGCTCTCAACAATTCTCGCACATCCCCTATTCCATGCGACTTTTCAAACCTTCCAACAACATGTTCTCAAAGAAATCCTGCTTCGCTTGGTACCACCACAGCTATTGCCTCTAGCCTTCGCTACATACGAGGCCGAGTCAATCGACTATTCGGACTGGAACAGCATTCGGCGCCTGCTTGATCGGGTTCATGTTCGCCAAGATCAAGCCGTGTCGAGTCCCTCGCCCGCGCTGGGACTGCCGCCATTGCCTCTCACCCATCGTATGGTAGCAGCAATCGAACGCATACACCGTATGATCGAATACTTTACCCACGATTTAACTCAGCGAGCGATACCACGATTCAACTACATCTTCGAGACCACAAGACCTGCCACTATTTCACCGTCCGAGGAGCTCCGCATCTTGCGCGCCTTTTACCGCTTTCAACTGTATTGCAACATCTTTGGACGGAAGGCCATAGAGAGCGCGGGGCAGGCAAATCTTACGGCGCCGAGAACCAAGGATGAAGTCTGGGCAAGCGTGACATTGTCGAGCAAGAGCCCGGAGGACATGCTGCGCGAGCTGGAAACCTTTTTCTGGCCCTGGCCTCGTTGGGCAAATGAGCAGTTGGCCTGTGTTTTCGAGTACCTCGAGGCCGTCATCTCGGTCTTTTTCGACGACGTAGCCGCTCACGACGTCGAATGGGGCTGGCGGAAAGTCGATTGGGTCGAACCGAATATTGCCACCCCCCATCGGCGGTTCCTAGTGAGTTAATCTCTTTCTCTCTGGGACAACGGGATCGGGTTTGCTCGTGGTAAAGTTTGCCTCCTAATTAACCGGCTAACAGCTCTTCAACGGCCTTGGTCTTCCTTACCGACTGAGACACTCCGACGAGTTTGAGATCTGGAAATCCCTGCTGGACTCAGCCGACGTGGGCGGAACGGGGACCGGCAAAGAATGCATTGTCACCATGGCAAGTTCGTTAACCGAGTCGGTAGCGGGGAGAAATTCCCTAATACGTCTCGGCCTTTACAACATCAACTACCCTCGGGGGCTTGAGGGCCAAGCCAGTTGGAAGGGAATTGATGACGCAGAGACCCTTCCAGCACAACTGTGGAAAGTCGCCAATGGTCCCTACGGTTCTGTTTTGGACCGCACAAATCTCCTTGTCAGAGATGCCGGATACGTCTTCTGGGACGGCTACGTGGGAGAAGCCGCAGAGGTGATGGAACGAGTGGAGAATTGCTCTTGGACTTTTAACGGCAGACTCTTCCCACACGAGATACCGAAGCTGCGGCAGGTCATGCGGCGGTCCTGGGAGAAAAGGAGCAAGATTTGGTTGGAAGGCGGTCGGGGATATTGGGTGGATGATCCCGTCAGGATTCCGTCTCCAAAGGACTCTGTTGGACTTACCATTACAGATGGGTAATTAAGATTGGGTTCTGGGTTGTGTGGCTCAACATCTCTAGGCGGTACAAATGGTTGCATAATTATTCGGTATCGTGGGATTGGCTCGCATAGGGTCACCGGACTGATCCCAACTGTGCAGCTGTGTTGGAAGTAGGTTAGAACCTTGATGCAGCAGGATTTGAGGGTCTCGAATGCTCCCGCTCGCATCTGGAAGTGTTGGGGGCGAAATAGAGAAGACAACCATCATCATCATCATCATCATCATCAAGTAACACTGTTACTGTTACCTCGGCCCAGCCATTCTACACCTCCCACAAGCTGCGAATCCTCCTCTGTAATTCCCTCCAACTTGTTATTTTCGACAGGTAACTGTTGAACTTTCAACAGGCTCCCAGTCACACCAGAACGGCGCATCTTCATCGACATGAGTGGCTTCAGTGGCCTGCCCGGACTCAACCATAACATCCCGTTCATCGAACCACGCGTCGTCCCTGTGAACCAGTGTAAACTGCCCGTCCAGTCTCTTCGGCCCGTCCTTCCAGCTCGGAGATGGCGTCCCCGATATCCCCATCGGGGACATTCGGCGGCTCAATCAAGATACGCCTCTCGCGGAGATTCGGAATAGACATGTTAGTCCTAGGTCCGTCAGGGCGGCTCGCTGAAGTCGCCTCGCGCGGAGATTCGGAATGGACTTGTTGGTACTGGTCCGCCCCCACGCCGTCTTGGCGGCCCGGTTCCCGACAGGTGTTACTCGAGCGACATCTACTCTAGCCTGAGAGCCTCTTTTTTGTATTCCGGTGACGGATTGTATCGGTGAATTGTACGACTGCTATGGACGCTCGTACGGTCCCACAACGTCCTGAAGATCCGTTGACGCGGCGGAGAATCCTTCTTTGCTACCTTGTTCTTAACCAGCAAGTACGTCAATTGAGTCTGGAATGAACATTGACTCTGCAATCAATATAGAGTTATAGACTCAATCGAAGTAAAGTACTCTGGTGACAAAAGAGTATCCACTATCCAGAACTGGTTTGTCCCTGGGTAGGGAATCATGTAAAACCCATCCATTGACGTTCCAAGCAGCGACTAATTAATTAGCTCATGACTAGGTCACCGTTGACCCGGGACAGCGATTGCAACATCGTGTGCAACGTAACAAAACTAGCAAAGCTGGGTAAAGGCTACATCTTCTTGAGTGTGAAATAATTGTATCCCAGCACCTGAAAAGTAGCTGGATGAATAACAATATATGTAGTCCGTGGTACTGACTCCCGGTCCCACGGTCATCCTTGATCGCGATGGTGTCAAGGGGAGCGGCTATAACGAAGGAACGATGGTCTGCCTAAGATACGTCTCGTTCGAGATCTAGATGCCCTTCTCCGTCCTGTGATGGTAGGAGTATGTATCTGAGGCAGGGTCCTGGGGCCGTTGGCGACACTAGGTAACATACTAATGTTAACTAAGTCTTGTCATGAACAAGGGAGCGTTGGGTAAGATATGGCTTGCGAGTTAGTTAATTACTGTTTGAGCTTTGCCTCAGTGATGGGTGAACAGTGAAAGTGTAAATAACGCAACGCGCTTTGGCCCTCGCAAGCAGGTTTTTTTATTTAAGAGTACTTCCCTGCCACCAATTCTCTTTTTTCTTCTCCCTTCGTCAACAATTTCAATATCGCCTACACCAGCAATGTCGTCACAACATCCGGCTCCAGTCCCGGCCCTCCTGGCGCAGCCTGTACTCCATTCCCCTTCCCTCTCTCCCGTGCTGACGGCAGCCTGCTGACCCCTCGCACTCGTAGGTAATGCGAGACCTTTCCACGATCGAAGACATCGTCGAGTATGTTGTCAACACTCGCCGGGACCTTGGCACCCACGATTCCGAGTGTCTTGATACCTTGATTCTCGGCTTCCACTGGCAGCAAGCGACATAAGCGAGGTAGACTACCTTGACAAAGAACTCAACGCTAAGCTGGTTGATCTCGACGAACTAAAAGTCTCCCGATTCGAGTACGATTACGATTCCGCGACAGTCTATCTCGACATCATGGGCGAATCCATGCTACATTTCAAGGTTCGGATGGGTCTTAGAGACTATATCAAGAACCAGATTTTCAAATGGCTGGATACAACGAACGATAAAATGGTTCAAGACTTGTTCAAGGCAATCGATGAACACGGTACAGCTACTATCAAGTACGAGAGCAAAATCCATAAACAGGCCGATGTCTCATTTGGCCCGGTGGGTACGATACCGGCTCTGGTTTGCGAGGTCTGGTAGGGCGAGTCTCGAGATCATGTGCAAAGGAAGTCGCGCCAATACATCAATTTGTCGGACGGCAAGGTCCAGGCCGTCCTGATCATCGATCTTCAGTACCCAGACATGAAGAAGGCATGGTTCAGGGTTTTGACCATCGACCATCTCTCAAGCCCGTGGGTCCTTTTCCACGACGACGATCTCAACCCGAAGCAACAACCCACCGGTCGAGTCGCCCTCTATCTCTCCGACTTCCTCGGTCTGGCACCTGGTATACCCGCCGTGCTTTGCCGCCCCTCGGCCGCTGAGATGGCTTCCGGGATCACCAGGTTTGTTGCTTTCCCATAATTATCAGGTGATGTAACAAATCTAACCATCCATTAGGAACCCCACGATCGCGATCTCATATGAGCGACCAGGGCCATCTTTCGTACGGCTCGCCATTCACATGATCGCAAAAGGTTTACAAAGGAAGAGGGTGACGAACCAGAAAACATACGTACGGAGGGGCGCATGGAAGGATTCAAGCAGGGACACAAGAAGGGACTCAAGCACGGACACAAGAAGGGACTCAAGCAGGGATACAAGAAGGGGTTCAAGCAAGGATTCGAGCAGGAACGTAAGAAGGGGTACGAGGAGGGATACGAGGAGGGGTACGAGGAGGAGCGTGCCAAGTGTATCGCTGACGTAGCCCGGTATCTGGGTCTGTCGAACGAAGAGCGTCTCGAGCTGGAAGGGCGTCTTGCTGCGATGGAACCGCACGTCTCCGAAGGCTGATTAGAGGCCGGGTAGCGCTTGTGGAGATATGGTGGCCATATGGAGGAGCGGAAGCAGGTGGGCTGCCATGCGCCTCACCTTCCTAGCTAAAAAGGTCCCAGTTCCCATCCCCTGGGTATGATGGCGTGCTAGCAGCTAGTAATAGCCAAGTCACTTCTGAAAGGGCTTTGTAGGTATAATATCAACATGTGGTGAAGCCAACGGGTCCCCAACAAATGCTTGTGACTTTCAAACCGCAATAGATCCGGTCATTGATGGAATCTACGTTGTTTTAACTGTGGGAGAGCTCCCAGAGTACTCTAATGAGTAACCAGGCAGTGCATATGTACTTCAAAATTCTTCAACATCACTGACCTTGAACAGTGATTCTGCGACGGTTGGTCTACGTGCTGCAACCTCGACACCTGCTGTGAGAGCAAGGGAAACTGTATTGCTCTCTGCGATATGAGCAGCATTGGAGCTGGTGGCTGCGTTCTTGGTGAGTAAAGTGTTGTCTCTGGTGTGGTATATGATTCGGGAGTGTGTATTAATACTTAGGTTTGTACTTTAGGTTGCTACACGGTTTGCCCTGGCAACCTGGGTGTCTGCTAGACGACCGAGTGGTGGATCTATCGAGTACGGGTGAAGATTGATACCTGCGGTGGAAAGCCAGCGCTCCCGACAACCTATACAATCTTTCCTTAGCAATATTGCAATCCGGTTCTGACACCTGATTGATGGAAAACTTGTCCCTTATTTGCCAGAACGAGGCCGCCATAATGCGTCGTATCGCGATGGATCCCATTGATGACATGGTGTTGCGGCCCCCCAACCGTTATGCCACGTTGCAGTTACTTCCCAACCATCTTACACAGGGGGCCACTCAAGGTTATTGTTTCCCCATGTTTGTGCCATCCCGGCTCCGATTCAGTGACCTGGGGCATATGAATTAAAATAGCTGGTTTCCGAGGTGACCATCTGAGTAACGATGCTCGACCACCTCTTTGCCTCGGGCCTCGGTCCTCATTTTCCCTTACAACGGCCCAGCCCTACCATACCATCTTCCGGCGAGTCCCAGCAGCCCATACGCTTCCCTCGGCATCGCGAGCTGTTTAAGAGACAGACCTAGAAAAGCCTCTCTGGGAAAGCCGAGGCATGAGACCGGTGAGGGCATCTCACAGTAATCGAAGACTAGACAGACGTGAACGGACATTAGCCAAAATGTGTAGAGGAGGGTCACAAACCCATTGGGTTGGCTAGGAGTGAGTTTGCAAAGTGTTGGTGAAACTATAGTCACAAGAAGGCGACATAGATTCACACCATTACAAAAATCGGAAAACGGAGCGGAATAACGGAGTAGTAAAAACTCCGCGCGGGGCGCTTTCTCCACCGTTTCAAAGACCACAAAACGTGCTTCCCCAAGACCCGGCCTCTGCTGCGTCAGCAACCCAAAATAAAAGTGAAATAAATAAATACGGATCTAAATAGTTGTTACCAGTATTAAATCCACTTCGGCAGCTTCCCTACAATATCGACATCTTCTCGTCCTCCCTCTTGCTGTTCAAAGAGGGCGGTTTCTCGTCCCCGGAGCGACCACCTGTGGACGCTTCTCACCAAACAGAAAGCCTTGAGATCTCAAGACAAAAAACTTCGCGACGTGGCCAGATCTGCCACCGGGACTGGTGAATATCATGGGCCCATCCCCCACTCCCAATCCCAAGATCGCATCTGCAAAGCCCGTCGATCGCCCTGAACAGTCTTACTTCCCCGCAATCTTGGCCGAGCTTGGCGCTGCAAGATGCCCCTCTTCGACAAGACCCGGAACGCGTCAATTTGCGGGGTACCGCGGCGCTTTAACTTTTAATTGCCATGAACCCGTCCATTGTTGTATGCTATGTCGTGGCGCGAAAAGGGAGTCGTCCTGTGCCGAGGTTGAGAATTGCGATGGTGTCGGGGTCGGTACTCGGTGGAATTACTCGTGATGGGTTCGGTAGTTGGACAATTTCGACTTGAGGTTGGTCGGTGGGAATTTTGGGATTGGCCGTAATCGGGCCTTGGTGGGAGGGATGTACACAGTAGTATTTCTGCGTACCAGTCGTGGTGGGCATGTGGGGCCAGCTGAACACGCCTTGTCTGCGACGTACAACTGTGGAGTAGGCAGCAAGTTAGACCTCTTGTCGTCTCTCGGCAACCCCGACGGCGAGCTTTGATAGTTTTGGAGTGGAAATTGCGGTTAGTTACCACACGAGATAGAGGATAGCGCATAAAAACCTACTTCACGCCAAATCCGGTGTTTTGGACACCTGGGTACCGCGCCGATAGTGCTGTGGAATCAAGAAATCTTCTCATCGCCCTTGTTTTCTTGTTTGTGATGTTGATGAGGTCAATTGACATGGTGGACATCAGTAACGAACGGTAGTCTGGCCGACAATAGTGTTGCGAGATTTGTCAGTGGCTTTTGGCGAGCGAGTTGGGCTTCTGTTGAAATGGAATGGCGAAGAACGTGGCTATTACGCAAATATGGTTAACAGAATCAAGCTGCAGAATGAGACGCGGCTGCCAGTGTGGACAAATCGATGTTGGAAATAAAGCCCGTCGATGCGTGTGGGTGAGTCGGGATATTCATCGCCCAAGGGAATTGCAAATTCGGTCGCGACTTACCCTGAATCTTGGAAACATGACTTCGAAGAAGCAGGAATGTGTCAACACAGCCTCAATGGAGTTGGGTCGGAGCAAGGCGGCGGATCTTACCATAGGTAAATAGGCAGCAAAGACTTGCTCGCACCCGTGGTGGTGTGACGGGCTAGGATATGGAAGGAGCAAGAGAGTATATAAAGAAGGCGTGAGACCACAGTTGCCAACAACCAACCAATGTGCCATCGCGGACTACTCGGTGGTGCGGTGGTTAAGATCTGTGTACCTAGTTGGATACTGTCTGGGGCCGAAAGACCGACCCACACCCTGTCTGACCACAGTTCTCTTTTCGATTCCTGTTCGTTTCACTGTTTTTGGTTTTTGGGTTATTTCACAGTGCGCCACACCTTGGGCCACACCTTCTTTTTAGGGAAGAGGCTCAAGCCACATACTTCCCTCGCGTCCCTTCAATCCGTCCGAGTGCTTTCTCTCCACCGTACAATGTCAATTCACAAAGAGTAATACAAAAACAAAGTAGCATCTGGCTTCACAGGGCAAAAGTTGGTAACGGTGCAACGCAGTGATATGGAAATTGGATGTACACCAGACATTTTAGCCAACATGGGTCCTGGTCCTGTCTGGTGGGAAGTAAAAACTCTAACTCGAACAACACTGGCATCATAGCGACTTCCTCGAGGGACAAGTGGTTGAGTTGCAATTGAAGGCTTTTCCCGACTCCCATATGTATCTAGACAATGTACACAGCACACAGCGGACTTGTACATCGTCGAACATCACCTCCTTTTAGGGCTCAATATCCCCTTGAAGTATTCCGCAACTTTCTTTCTTTCCTCTTCTCCTTTCTTATCATTATGTTTTCCTTTTCTACTTTTCTCCAGCCCGTTTCCTTATACCCTTCTAATTATGTAATTATCTCCGGATTCAGTCCGCTTTTCTTTTGCTTGCTTTCGTCGCTTTTGTTGTTCCGGTAACCTTCTCTGTCCATCAGTTCCCTAGATCTAAACCTTCCCCAAATTATATTTCTCGATTTGGAGCCCATGTCGCTCACCAAGATGCTCTCCTCGGACATCTACCGAATGGACTGGTCCCCCAGGTCCTGTCTACGGGCCAAACTCCTGCTTCAATCTCAGTTTGTGGTTGGGCTAAACGGTGACAACTCATACCTTTTTGGGGGCGTTATGTTTTCCCTTTCTGTCCTTCCATTCACTGACCCGTTAATACTTACTCAATCAGGGCCCCGTGTGTTGAATGCGTCCATCGTGTTGCCATACGCGCAATGGTATCAGTGAACATGGGCGTGTTTATGGGTGGAAATACTTTAGCGCGCTGGCCAGTACACCAGGGTTCAGCCACGGTCAAGTGCTTACAACTACATCTGAGACAATCATTGAAGAACAAGTCAATTTGTAAAATTACAAGACAAGCAGAAACAAGACCAAACAAAACTACAACTTGGACAAACATCGGCTGACTCATCCTCCGTCCACCCTCCTACTCGTCCATATCCACGTCCATCGGATCCTCATCCCCCTCACCGTCCTCGGACACCGCACCAACCCCCCAGTCCTCCATCCGCTTGAAGCGGCAGCTCTCCTCCCACTCCCAGGTGTTGTCCTCGTCCCCGCCCGGGACCGTCTGCTCGAGGGCCCTCATGGCCCGCCACAACCAACCCGCACACATCTCCACGGAGTCGTGGTCGCGGTCCTTGCGGACTATCCACGACTCGCCCATGTACCCCTCGTGGAGGGGCACGTCGCACTCCTGGGCCCAGGCCTCAATCTTCCGGACCAGGCTCTCCTTCCACAAACGAAGGCGCCACTCGTACAGCCGCCACGACTTCTGGGTCCAGTCGTGGCGGTCCCACGGACAGAAGAAGGCGACCTGCAGGCCGGGCACGCCGGCGCGGGACACGACGCGCAGCATCACGGCGGTGCCAAAGCGCCGCATGTTGGCGTGGTTGTTGAAGATGTTGCGGGCGGCCAGGACCTCCGGGTCGACGATGGCGGTGGTGGTGCTGCTGGTGTTGGTGCTGCTGCTGCTGCTGCTGGTGGTGGTGGGCGTGTGCAGGAAGCCACGGGCCTCCTGCAGGGTTGGGAAGAAAGGCGTCAGCAGCGCAAACACGCTGCTCTTGCCCCGCTTGGAAAACGCTTCGGCCGCGTAGGCCAGGAAACCGTCGAGGTGTCCAAATTTTTTGGACTGCCGACCGGAGTCCTCGTACCACGCCTGCCTGTCTTTGTTGACAAAGAAGGCAATGGGCGCCGTGTACAGCGCACGTGACTCGGTGACCGTGGCTGTGGTGGTGGTGGTGATGGTGGGGATGGTGGGGATGGTGGTGTCGTTGTTGTTGTTGTTGCTGCTGCTGCTGTTGCTGCTGCTGCTGCTGCCCGGGGTCGTGGCGGAAGGGGGCGGGGTGTAGGCGGCTGCGAGCCAGCCGAGAAAGAGGCGCAGGCAGAGCGGGTTCGCCCGCTCGGTGGGGAGCGTGGGCACGGTGCCCTTGTCGTTCCAGCAGACGCCCTCAAGCAGCTCCCGCAGATGCGGGTGGTTCAGGTGGGCTATGTCGGCCGGGGCCAAGTACGACGGGGGCCAGGCGTCGTTGTCGTGGGCGTGGGCGTGGGCGTGGGCGTGGGCGGCCTCGCGGCCGGAAGGTGTCGCGTCCGCGAAAGTGAAGTTGGCGAAGAGCCTCTCCAGCGCCGGGCTCTCCGCGACCGCAGGCCTGCTGGCGAGGGTGGTGGGTTGGTGCTCCGACGCGGGAACGGCCGCCGTGGTGGCCTCGAGCCACTGGTCTATGATGGTGGTGAGCGAGCTGGCCACTCTAGCCGCCGCCACCGTCCCGTCACCGGGACACTCGAAGAACGTGCGGCGGGCGTCCGAAAAAACGGTCACCAACTCGCAGACTTCGGCAGCGGGGATGGTGCAGCCACGCTGCTCGGCCACATCACCGGCCACGACCTGCCAAGCTAGGGCTGGGTCGTTCAGCGAGAAAAAAATCGGAACCCGAGTGACGCAAATTCCAAAAATTGCGGACAAAATGCCCGCCACCCGTTCCCGCACTTGTTCTATGTCCTTGCCCGGGCCAGTGGGCGTGTCGAAGTACTCGTTGCCGAGCAGCAGCCCGTACATCCGCTCGGCGACTGCACGGCTGCTGAAGACCCGGCCGGGGCCAAAATGGAGCCCGTCGAGGGCGATGGCATGCTTAGGCGCCATAGATCTCGGCATCGTGGGGCGCGCGGTGGTGGTGGGAATTTGGAGAAAGAAAAAAGAAAAAGAAGAAGGAAAGAAGAAAGGAAGGGGGGAAAACCTCGATGATGTTGGTGATGTTGGTAATGGCGTTGGGCGAAAGAAAGAGAAAAAGGTTGAAGTTTGGGCATTTGGCGCCGTACCGAGGAAAAAAGAAAGAAGAGGAGGGCGGTCATGTGAAGATTTCAAGGGAATGTGGTCAGAAATTTCTTAAAGCGTGCCCGGAAGTTGGGAGGAAAGAACATATAAAACGGGTCCAGGCGGAGATGTTAACCACTTATTTTGCCATTGACGAGTTGAAATCCTTGTTCTTCACTCCTTGAACAATAGCGTTGTGCCGGCGCTTTTCGCTTCAATTATTCCCAGCCGTCAAATATGTTCGGGTCGTAAGGTTGAACAATCCTCATTTCAGAAGAACAACGACCTATTTATTCGACAGGTTATCCCAGAAGAAACCATTGAGCCCAAGGCCACCAACTATGTTGGCGGTAAATCACACGACTAGATACATCATCGAGGCAAACGGTCGACCTCCCTTTTTTCTGTCAACCCCGAGAGTAGCAGGTTGGCAGCGGCTAGCCCATGCCACTTAAACCGGCCAGCTATAATGGTGCAGATCTCAGACACCACCAAGTTCAGCCGTGGGTTTTGGGCAGCAGTCAATCTTGGTCACAGCTCGAACAATGGACCAGCGATCAACAGTTGGCTGATTGATGTGCTTCCGGTTACCAGCGACGCCAGCCAAAAGGAGTCTCGAAGTGCCGTTTAGTTCCATTGCGCCTCAAGTGACAGCAAATACATAATACAAGGTTGGTTTTACCAAAGTTCAACGCCGTTCCATGATGAAATATGTCTGGTTCAAGGTTCACAGAAGTGGTGTCAAGCATGGGAATGTGGAAAGTAGTTATGGAGGCTAGCTGGGCAAAAAGCTATGAGGTGAAAAAAAAGTGACACGAACAGGAATCGAAAAAGAAGAACTGTGGTCAGACAAGGTGTGGGTCAGTCTTCCGGCCCCAGACAGTATCCAACTAGGTACACAGATCTTAACCACTACGCTACGCAGCGATCCTCGTGATTTGCTTGGTTGTTGAACACCACGTCCGACGACCTTCTCTATATACCCCCTCCTCCCGTTTCCCCACAACGTTAGCAGGGCCATATCCCCTTCCTACATGCTTTTATCCATGATAACCAGCCCCCGACATCCGCTCTTTTCACACCAACCAAAGTACGCCACCTCTTGCACTCAAATCTCGGTCAACCTTTGGTGTTGCGCGCAACAGCAGCAGTCATCTAGTGGCACACCTTTTGTATTAATATTGCCCTCCCACCACAATTTACACAATCCTTAATTTTCCCAATTCCATCAACTCCCACCCCACTAATGACTGATCGGTAAACCCCACGTCCACATCCCATCACAGCATAATTATTGCAGTGACCCCTCAATCAATATTTCTTCCCCGGGAGCTCATCCTTGTGCTGTTTCTTGCGCAGCGCTGCCTCATCCTCCTCCTGCAACTCCTTGTCGATGACTGCACCTTTGGCCGGCTGGTTGCCGTGCAATTGTGCCTGCGATAATTGACCGGACATTGATCAGCAACACTTTCCCGAGAGTGCTAAAGCGCGTCTACGTGGGAAACGGCAAAGCAAGACCAAACAAACGTACCGCGAGCGTCGGATCCTTCTTCATTTTTGCTTCCTGCAGTCTGTGGGTCTGTTTGCGATGCGATCCCATCGTGGTGTTGTCAGTTATCGCTGTGCTTCTCTTCTAGTTTCTCCCCCAACATCACGAACCGATAGGAAGTTGACTGACCTCTTCCAGCTGCAACCGATTGGCTTCTTCCCTCTGGCTCTCTATGTGTGTGGGGTAATTACATCCCTCGTCAGCACCGTTTGTCGTCGCATCTTCCACGCATCGAATTTCTTTTGCTAAGGAGGGGCGGTACCTACTCGGCAAATACCCTTTGACGTTCTCCCCCGTGTGCCGGGTCAATTCGTCAATCTCCTCCTGCGGGCGGTTCTTCTGGTTATCCGACTCGTACAGGCCGGGATAGCCGACATTGGAAGAGGCTCGTCTGGACATGGTTGGATTCTTGGGTTGAGCGAAAAGAATTGATGTTCACAGTTTTGTGGGAAATGGGAAAGAAATAATGTCCATTTGGAAAAAGTCAAAAAATAAGTTAAAAATACAAGAAGCAAGGCCTCCCTAATCCCAAGTATTATATCGCCTTCACCTGTTCCTTTGGAGATCACGTCATCGTTCGCTGAACCCCATGCTAGGAATTACTCGCATGTCGTTGGGAGTAAACGGAATAAGCCGTGTAAGTCGGTGTCCCCACAATCGACGTCACGACAAAACCGGACGGGAGTTGTGGATCTGGTGTCCAACCCTAACCCTGTGAGTCCCACCACCTCCCTTGCAAGGAAACAAGACTTTTGCAAGTACATGTACCAAGCATGGCTTGATGTAATGAAATATGCGTGTTGATAATAAGGACTAGGAAACGGCCTAGATTGTAAGATCTTTGTCTGGTCATCCGTGTGGGTTGCAAGGCTGGTGTTTCGAGATTCACGCAAGAAAAAATACGAAAGGAAACAGGAAAATGGAAAATAGGCACGAGGTTTACGCTTCGAACAAACGAATAAATCGCTCATAGTAAAAGACAAAGGAGACATCAACGGAAAAGAGATTGGATAAAAGTTGAGACTGTGCCGAATTTCTTCCTCGAAGAAAACGGGAAAATAGAGACAAGGTTTACAATTCGAACAAACGAATAAATCGCTCGGAGTAAAAGATAAAAGAGAAATGAATCAAAAGAACATTGGATGGAAGGTTAGACTGTGCCCGATTTGTTGCTCGAAGAAAAAGGGAAAATGGACACGAAGTTTACACGTCGAACAAACGAATAAATCGCCCGGAGCCAAAGACAAAAGAGATGTGAATGAAAAAGAGATTGGATAACAGTTTAGACTGTGCCTAACTTCTTCCTCGAAGAAAACGGGAAAATAGACATGAAGTTTACGCTTCGAACAAACGGATAATTGAGAGGTCGGAACGGGAATACAACAAAGTCACGCACAAAAACAATCTTCAGACAATTAATTAGTCGGGATCGTTAAACAGACATTTTCCACATTTTGCACATAAATACGGGTGGCGTGAACTCGTTTCATTGTGTACCGCTGTCGGTGGCAATCTAAATGGGCTCTGCCCCAGCTACCAGTGTGCACAAATGGCCACGTCCAACTAATCCAGAGGGCGTCATCGCGGCAATTGGAACGACAAAATCTCAGCAAGGATATCGTCGCCGCAGAGGACTTTGTAGGAACTGTACCCCAAGTTATTCGGCCGCTTCCAACTCCAAGCCTAGCATCTCGCAAAACCATCTCTCATGGGCATGGGAGTCCAGCTGGTTCAACCACGCGGCGGCAGTGTCGGCTGTCAAGGCCTGAAGGGCGTTGTACTCCTCCTTGTTACCCATGACCTTGGTGAGAGCGTCGGCCCAAGGGGCAATGTCTTGGTCGGCGACGACGTAATCGCCGTTGGGGTGGCGCTCGCCAGTGACTTCCTTGACCGGGATGCAGTAGGGAAGACCAATCTTGGCCTCGGGCAGGCCGCCGGCGTTAGAGGCAATGACGGGGATGCCGCGGAGCTGAGCCTCGGTGACGACGATTCCCCAGGCTTCATGCCAGAGCGAAGGGGCGAGAAGAACCTTGATGCGATCCCAAATCTCATCGGTGTTGCGGGTGGTTTGCTCAATCCTGGCGGTGCAATGGGTTAGCATAATCAGCCAAGGGGTTAGTTAAGTGGGTGTTATTGCCTACTTGATGTTGGGGAACGCCTCTAGCTGGGCAATGTGCTCAGGGCGGGAGCCCCAGCTCTTCCACACCACAAAGTCCATCTGCGGGAACCTCTGCGCAAGAGCGAGCAGAATAGAAAGCCCCTTGTGGGGGCAGGGGTTGATCATGCCGACTTCGGTCTTGTCGACATTGTTGCGCACGCGAGGTAGCCCACCGGTGACCGAATCAAGATAGGTCGAGATGGGATGGACCAGAAAAGTGGTTTCAAGCTTGCCGTAGGTCCAGGCGTAGTCCTTGACAGCCTTGGAAACGGCCCAGATCCCGTCGAGGTCGCGCAGGAGCTCATTCTCCGCGGCGGGAGAGAGGCAATGGCCATCAACACCGGCAACAAAGGGCCCGTACGGGATCTGTTCGGCGGTGTGAATGATGTTAATGCGCTTGAAGGTCTCGCGGGCAGGGTGCACAGCTGTGACCTTCATGGTGAGCGGGTCATTGAAGATGATATGGGTGGGTTGAAGACGAATGATGATCTTGGAGAGAAATTTGACAAGTGTGTTCATGCGGTCGGTTAAATTACCATGCTGTTAGAGTTAGTTGAATGCGGTGAAAATTGGGTAAAATTGTTTCAATGCCGCGTAACTTACGTCCAGGTAGGCGCGGGTGTCTTCCTAAAAGCCCCGGCGCGGATAGGCCTTGTTAAATGCGACACGGGGTAGAACAACGTTGTAGACGCTGTACTCGTCAGTGAACGCTTTGGCGCTAATTTCGATGCTCTCGTTGCCGACCTGGACCTGGCCGAGTTCCATGGGGTCGAGGTTTGGATCAATGCCGGCTTTCATGGCGCGTTCGGAAAAGGTTGTGATCTCATCTTCCGTGGCGTAACAAAGCTGGGAAGCCGAATGACCACCAACGGCAAGCGTACGGAGAAGATGAACATTGGCTTTGTAGCCGCCGGACGAGGGCGCAAGGCCCTGCGCGGTCTGAACTAGAAACACGCGCAGGGATCCTTTGGCCGCTGCTTTGTAAGTAGAGGCCGACATTGCGGGGGTTAAAGAAGCCATAACAAAGTCGATGATACTAAGTGATGGTGTGTGTTTCTTGGGTTATTGGAGCAGAAACTTCTTGTCTTCGTTGATTTGAAAGCGCTTGAAATCGAACAAAACACAGGGGCTCTTCACCTAAACGCGATAGTAGTCGATATCGCTTCCGCCTACCGAGAGTGAATCTCGATAGGAGGTACTTGTTGGGCGAGAACTGTGAGGATGTTGTTGGATCGGCGCGCCGAGCCGGTAGGTTGACTGCGCGGGGTGGGAAAAGAAGTGTTGGATGGAAGAGGAAAAATTTGGTAGGAGGATTTGCGGGGCAGGTTTTATACTGCCCTCAGTGCCCTGGGCTGCTGAGAACGGGACCAAAAGGCCTGGAGGGCAGCGAGCAGGATGGAAGGAACGCCAGGTTCCGGAATAACCCAGGTCGTGGAGCGCGTCGGCATCGGGCCGCGTCTCGTTAACACGCGTCAAGCCAATCGCGTAACACGACTTGAACTTGTTATTTCCTTTCTAGGCAGCTACGTATCTCCTGACCTCGGTAGATAACATGCGGAGGACGGGAAGATGTGCCGGAGCAGCCGGACTAACCGATAAGAGACCGCGTTGTATCGTGACTTCTCCTTACGGAAACTGAAGTAAAGCAATAGTTTAATAGACTACCACCTAGATTACCTAGATGTGTTTGAATTTATCAGTCCCCAGGGGACCCCTTTTCCCTTGGGACAACAGTAAACAGTAGCTCAGGGGCCAGAAGGCCTACAGTGGCTCAGCCCACAGGAGTCCAGGCTTTTGTCCGCCTTCTTTTCAGGGCATGCCAACAGCATATGGATGATAGCCTCTAACAATAAACCACAGGGGTCCTAACGCTAAACACGTGATTGATTTAACCGCAGAGGGTTCTGCCCCATTCACCACACAAATCAGGAATCACGAAAATGAAACCCGCGTACAACAATTGATAAAGAAACACCAAATAGTGTGCAGAATAGCTGAGATATTATCGCGTCCAAATCACCAGCAGTACGTTCACCCACGCTGGTAAACCCTTTCAACCTCCGAGTCCGACCCATCATCATAATTAGCATCTTCCCCCTCCGAATCACAAGACTCGTCGTCCGTATCCGCATTGTCCTCCGTGGAGCTCTCGCCCATCTGCTCGTCTTCGTCGTGGTCCTTCTCGCGCTTCATTATTCCAGAAATCGTTGATGTCAGCAGCCCGGTCAAGGAAACAGAAGAACGTGCGGTCGAAGAAGAGCGTACCTCATCTAGCCGGCGCCTCTTATTCCGGTGCTGGGTCGTGCGGTCCTTGGCTGGCCTGTTTTGCAACTCTTCCATGTCGTACACCGTGTCGGGGAGCGCTACATCCCTCGGGGCCGTGATGATCCCAAAGCGATTGCACATTCCCCACGTCCCGCTCACACCACAGAAGCCAATAATCTTGTGGTTCGATGACGGGACGAGCGTCTCGACCTTGTCGATTGCATACCGGCAGTTGAGAGCACCCATGGCCTTGCCGTTGGATAACCATAAACGCAGCCCACTGAGCGACCAGCCGTCGTTGCGGGTCACAGCGACCTTGGTAACTTCTGCGTCCTGGGGCAGAGCCAGCATTCTTGCTTGATGGCCGCCCATGTGCGGGTCGTTGTCGTTGCTCTCGCCTCGTGGACCGCAAGGAACCTTGGACCCATCCTTGTAGTACACCACAGCACCATCAAGGCCACAACCGACACGGATGTCGATCTTGGTGGCGGGGACGAGTTTGCCTTGGGCATCGCGCTTCTTGAACAGAACAGCCCATGTCCAAGTTTCCTCTTCGTGGTGCGGGAGCCCGTCGCCATCAACGGACTGCTGAAGCAAGCGGATGTCGGTTCCCGGAATGCGGATGCTGGCTCGGTTCCTAGACATGTTCCAGATATTTGTCGCCGTGTATTGCTGGCCGTTCATGGCTGTGACTTGGAGGGCTAGCGGCTTCCATCGTACGAAGCGCTTCCCAATATCATCCCATCGATAACTCAACTTCTTCACCGGGTTGGCGATCGACGCTTTCTCCTCATCGACCACAGCCGCCTTGTCCTTCGAGGTAAACCTCACCTCTGCAATCCCCGCGTCACACGCCAGATCCAACGTCAACCCACCCCCAACCCCGTCCTTCTCGCTCACGCTCACACTCGGGACCTCCCTCCCCAACTCCCCATCACCCGGCATCCAAAACTGCTTCAACGCCCTAAACCGCAACGCATCCCTCACGGCCCACCGAGCCCCATGTTCCTCCCCAGCAATAACCCTCTCCCACCCACTCTCACTACCAGCGCCACTCTTCCCCCTCACCCCACCCAAAAACGCCCTCTCCCATCCAGCACTATACCCCCGTTCCATAATCCCCTCCGTATGCGGCGCCCCAAAAGCATGACCAACCTCATGCAAAAACGCGCCCTGCCCGACCGCACACGCCCGCGCCATACTCGTACACTCGCCGTTATCATTTCCCACCGTGTCACCAGGCGGCGTGGCATCCAACAGACACGAGGGTATTTCCTCAAGGTACCGCGGCCAGGAGTAGGTTAGATGACTGCCGAAGATGCCGAGGGACAAGCCTGAGGGGTGATGGGCGCCGAGAGCGGCGTGGGCGAGGATATAGGGGGTTGAAGTTTGCTGGGATTTGTTGGGGCCTGCACCCCCGGCAGGGACGGCATAATGGGAGTCGAGGATGAGCCCCGCGACGATGGGGCGGGTGTGGGTGGTGAAGGGGGCGCCGTGGGCGAGGAGGGCCTGTTCGAAAATGGTGTGGAGTTCGTCGGCGCGGTTGGCGCGCGGGTTCTGCTGGGCGAGGTTGGCGTCGCGGAGTTCGGAGACGGTTTTGTCGGTGCGTACGAGGTGGATTTTAGGCACGGAGCCCGTGGCTTGGGGGTTGTGGAGGGAGGGCTGGGTGAGGGTGTCGGTTGTCCATTCTTCTTCGAGGCGGAATGCGCGCCGGCCGAGACCTTTGGCGCGGAGGTCTTCGGCAGTTAGGGCTTGCCACATGTAGGCGGTGATGCGGAACTTGGCGATGGCGGCGGCGAGGCTCGAGTGGGCGCTGGAGAGGCCGCCAAACTTGGCGGGAGGGCAGTCGATGAGGAGGGGGGAGTCCTTGGCGATCATGATGGCTAGGTAGAGGGGTGGTGTTTGTAGAAGGGGGACGTAGCGGACGGAGAGCTGTTTGATGAGTTAGGGGTGTCCGTTGCTCGGAAGAGTGGATGATGAATCTGACCTCGATGGAATCACTGTCCTTAGTAGTGACGGTGATCTTGTTCGGGCCTGGGGAGAGCAGAACGAGAGCCTTGAAATTGCCCTGGCACATGGGCCATCTTTGCTCAGAGAAAAGAGGCTGACCCCCGTCGTCTGAAACATTGACCACAACACTGCCCTCGTCTTGTTCCAGGGATGACGTAGTGCTGCATGTTCCAGACACAAGAATGCATCGCTGGTAAACCTCAGTCACCTCATCAGGGCCGGTGGCGAAATTGTCAAGTTGAATCATGGTGAAATAAAGATCAGGTATGCTGGAACTGGATGCGGAAGAGAATTCTGGCCATGATCTTGGACATCGTGGCGGAGATCAACGAGCTTAAATACTGATATCACGATGTCAATAAAGGGACCATGGGCTGAAGCACTAACACTCTGCTGTGTGGGATGCTGCAAGGGGTGTTAGTGTTATTTCCGGCCGCATTTCAATAGTTTCCCGCGCCAGCAGGCAGCAAGTGGGGCCTGAGGTTCTGGAGGCGTGCTGCAGCCTGGACAAAGACCGTCTCGATCGCGCGTCGGATGTTTAATTTCCGCTCAGGTTAATGGAGATTTTGTGAGGCCGTGGCTGGTCTTGGCTTGAATCTGAGAATCTTGCGTTGTCTCCCTTTGATGTTATCAATACTTCGCGCAAGCCAAAACGAAACCCAACCAAGTTGTTCTCGGGACCCATGCATAACCCTAACCCTGGTGCTAAGCCCGTGCTTCTCGAAGTTTGATGCTCGAACGTCTTCTGCAAATTGACCGGTTCCATGTTGCTTTCTTCCATCCTGGCCAATTTGGCGATTGGGAGTAACCCCAAGAGTTGGTGGCCCGAATAACAGGTTTCGGTAAAATAGTTAATTTGTCCGGTTCAGAAACTTTGACACGCGAATAGCCTTTCATTGCTAAAATGCATTTGCTGTTCTATGGTGACCTCGAGGTTGACTTTATTTTCAAACATTTGGAACTAAGCCACCCACCTGGCCAATGGTCGATCTACATAGTACTACTACGTAATTAGGATGTAGTTATGGTCAGTAGGCAAGCAAACCCGGCGGCTGCAGCTCACGGCGTGTCTAATTTGTTGATCAAGACCGTTGATTCCGCATCTCGTCTTGGTGGTCCTCGCCCCTGCAGAATTCAGTTTCCTCTGTATGTCTCATGTCGCGCGGCAATATGCCACCTTCAAGGGCGGTAAACTGTATGCCAACCGTCCAAGCTCAAGTGTTTCCGCATGTTGGCCAGTATCTGGGAGTTTGTGCGTCTTTGGCGCGCGCTTCTGATCTTGATCTTGGCGTAGAGCGCCCAGCTTGCTCAGCCCAGCCGTGTTGCGCTGCGGACGTCTCGGCAGTTGACCCACAGGTGAATGAAGGCCGGAGTAGCCGGCTGAACCTCGAATCAAACTCAAAGGCAGCTAGGATCAAATTGGAAATGTCGCCTTCCTCTTGTTGAGTTTTTGTGCCCCTCACCTTTCGGACTTCTTCGGCCGAGTCGTCCATTAGTGTAAGTCGGATACTCATCAAAATCAGGACCGCAAACACGGAGCAAACGTGTCTGTCTTTTGTCTCACCCAAAAGCTTCCATGCCCCGCTGCTGCTTGGCCGTTGAACATTTGTGGCGGTTTGGGCTTGGCCATTTCGCCAAAGCCGGCGCCACCTTCCCCAAATAGGAACGCCGAGCGGGTTTTCGGCCGTCGGGCTTGGGCAAACCGAGTTCCACCTTTGCAAAGATGCTGTTTCTTCAATTCTGATTGCTGCAAAGCAAGACAGCTCACGTCAGCCATGAGACAACACTATCTTCTGCATTTCGAACAGGTCTCATAAACGACATCGGTTCGGTGTTCCCTTCGCCGCGGCCCAGTTTTCCATGCGTGGGGAATCATTGCTCACTCGTGGCAGGACGCAGGCAAGCAGAAGCAGGCGAGTTGTTGCCCACGCCCGGCTCATCTCCAACTTCAAACGGCCGACCAATAACAGCCGCTGACCAAGCCCCCCGTCAATGGGCCAAGCCCCTCAGCTGCATGGCTCCGGGGTTGCCTTGGTGCAAAAGGGGCAATGACAATGTAACTCCTCCAGGCTTGGGGATCCCGGGGTCCAGAACCGAGCATTCCCGTATAAACCTTGCTCAGCTCCCTCTGCGTGCGACTCCGGTTCATCGCGTGTTGCCGCCTCCACTCTTTCGCGGGGGATTGGATTTTGATTCTCGAATTCTTGTGTCTTGGATCTTCATTCACTCATTTTTCCGCTACATTTTTTCTTATTTTTTTATTTTTTTTGTTTTCCCTTTTCCCCGTTTTCCCCTCAGTGCGACCGTTGTAGCGTGGGGCGCACTTGCGACAGACCGGACCGACGAGCGAGGACGATCAGCGATGCGTCTGTTCTTTTCCGCGGCGTCCTTACTGGGCGTCGCCGTCCAGAGCGCCACGGCCGCTGAAGAACCACAGCCAGCACACCAGATTGTCACCCGCGGCGAAGGCTTCATCCGATCTCCCGTACGACCCCTTGTCGGCCACGGCCCGAATCTGCGAGCGCGACAGAATGAAGTCGAGGTGCTCAACCAGCGAGGCGGGACCCGGTACGGCGTAGAAATTGAGGTCGGCACGCCGCCGCAGAAGCTGACGCTCATTCTCGACACCGGGTCGCCGAATACGTGGATCAATCCTGTCTGCGAGACGTCGAACCTGCCGTCGGACTGCCAGAAGTTCCCACAGTTCGACTACGACCAGAGCAGTTCGTTGAATGTGACGGATTACGTCGACACGCTGCGGTATGGGATTGGGAATGCGACGGTGCAATATGTTTATGAGACAATATCAATAGGATGTGAGTGGCTATGATCCCCTCTGTCTCAGTTACACCCACTGACTTTTTTTCTTTTTCTTTTTTTTTGTGTACAGCCGCCACGATCGAGAACCAACTCATCGGGATAGCCGTTGAGTCGCACCAAATTCCCCTCGGCATCCTCGGCGTATCGCCTCCCATCCAAGGCCAAAACGAATACCCCTACATCCTCGACACCCTCGTCGACCAAGGCCTGATCAAAAGCCGTGCATTCTCCGTCGACCTCCGCGGCATGGACAACCCAACCGGCGCGCTCATCTTCGGCGGCGTCGACACGGGCAAATACATCGGCGAGCTGGCCAAGCTCCCCATCATCCCCCCCTCCCGCACCCCCAGCGGCGCAGACCGCTACTACATCACCATGACAGGCGTCGGCCTCACCCTCACCGACGGCTCCGTCGTCCAATCCGAAGAACTCGAAGTCCCCGTCTTCCTCGACACCGGCGCCACCCTCTCCCACCTCCCCACGCGCATCTACGAAGCCCTCGCGGGGTCCTTCCCCGACGCCCAATACGACCCCAACTCAGGCTTCTACATCCTCCCCTGCGAATACACCGAAATGCCCGGATCCATCGACTTCTACTTCTCCGGCAAAGCCATCCGCGTGCCCCTCAACGACTTCATCTGGGAAAACGGCGCCTACTGCATCCTCGGCGTCACCCCCGAAGACGAAGAGCCCATCCTCGGCGATACCTTCCTCCGCGCGGCCTACGTAGTCTACGACCAGGACAACCGCAACTTGCATCTCGCTCAGGCCGCGGACTGCGGCTCGCATCTGGTGGCCATCGGGTCCGGCGCGGACGCCGTGCCGTCGTCCACGGGCCGGTGTACCGCGCTGCCGACGGCTACGACAGCCGGGAGTAACAGTAAGAGTATGGGGCTGGACTTTACGGCGACGCGGCCGCCGGCGAATACCTTTACGGGGACGCTGCCGACGGGGATTGATGTGGGGCCGGGGCCGGCGCAGAGTGGGGGAGGTGGGACGACGGTTACCGGGGGTGGGGGGTTGAAACCGACTGGGCATCCGAATGCTGCGGGGAGGGTTGAGGGAGTGGGGATGGGGGTTGCTGGGTTGGGGTTGGTGTTGGCTTGGATGCTTTAGTTGGGGAGGTGTTCTGTGGGATGGATAGAGGTGGTGGGTTGTGGGGGTGTTTGTTTTGATGTGGTTCATTTTGGACATGTGTGTCTCGCAAGAGCGTTGCGTGAAGCGAGCGAGTTGAGCGAGTTGTTTTTGGAGATCTAATTCGAGTAAAGGGATGTGGGGTTTATGTTTGAGGAGATTGGTTTGAGGACATATTGGATCTGCACATAAGGCGTTTTGTTTCTCGAGCAAGCGTTGGGATATTAAGTGGTTTTGAAAGAGAGATTCTAGTCGTGATGAACACGCTGGTTTTGCGGTATCTTGGACCAAGTCTTGAACGTGGACCAAGTCTTGAACGTGGACCAAGTCTTGAAAGTGGACCAAGTCTTGAACGTGACTTTGACAACTGACGTGCAGATCATGCCACACAGAAAGCGCTCAGCTTGGCGCAGTGGAAAGATTCGAATCAGCAAAGGATTGGTGCGTTTGTTTCTCCGTCCGAGGAACTTCCACGGCTTAAGCTTGGACCTGTTCTTCACAACAAGCTCACATGCGGGGTCGGTGGATGGCCGTTCCGAGCTCCTTCTTCCGTCGTACCGGCCCGCTGTTTTGATCCACGAGACCCGATGTGGGACCGGGTTTGCGGAGTGAGAGCGGGGAATATATGCCGGCGTCGGACGAGCTGGGCCGACGTGCATTGCGCTGCATGCAGTACATGGTAGATGCATTGTGACGTTGGAAGTGGACTTTGGGCGAGAGCTTGGGTTGGGTTGACTTGGAAACATACACAGTATAAAATAAAGTTGACAAGGTAAAGTTTCAGGTAAAGTTGCTCACATCAACTTCAACTGTCCAAGTCACTCAGTCATAGTATCAGGGCTTCCGCCAAGATGTTCACCAACCAAGACAACAAACTCATCTACACCTACGACAACGAAACCCTCCAAATCGAACCATGGGGTCCCAACGCCCTCCGCATCCGCTCAACCCCCCTTTCCGCCTTCTCCCCCGAACCCTGGGCCCTCCTCCCAACTCCCCCATCCACCCCGGAGCCTACCATCACCATCCCCTCGCCTAACACTACCCCAGCAACCCTCACCAACGGCCTCATCACCGCTTCCCTAACCCCCCTCGGCAAACTCACCATCTCCCGCACGGGCTCCAACCCAGCCCACCTCTACCTCGAAGAATACACCCGCACCCGCATCGACGTGCTCGACCCCAAATGCTCCGCCCTCAACATCCCCGCCCGCTCCTACACCACGCACAACAGTAGCGGTCGTTCGCATGTTACTCTACGCTTGGAAAGCCTCGACCCAGCCGAAAAACTCTTCGGCATGGGCCAGTACCAACAACCTTTGTTTAACCTTAAGGGCGCCGACCTCGAGCTAGCACAGCGCAACAGCCAGGCTTCGGTCCCCTTTCTGCTATCCTCGCGCGGGTACGGGTTCCTCTGGAATAACCCCTCCGTCGGTCGGGCGGTGCTAGGCACAAACGTGACAAGTTTCGAGGCGTACGATTCCCCCGCCGCCGGCGGGTTAGATTACTGGGTTATCGCGGGGGACACACCCGCTGCCATCGTGGAAGGGTACGCCGGGGTAACGGGCACGGTGCCGCGGATGCCGGAGTTTGGGCTCGGGTTTTGGCAGTGCAAGTTGCGGTATCAGACGCAGGAGGAGGTGTTGGGGGTTGCGCGGGAGTATGTGCGGAGGGGGCTGAAGGTGGATGTGATGGTGGTGGATTATTTTCATTGGGCGTTGCAGGGGGAGTGGGCGTTTGATGAGACGTATTGGCCGGATCCGAGGGGGATGGTGGAGGAGTTGAGGGGGATGGGGATGGAGGTGATGGTGTCGGTTTGGCCGACGGTGGATAAGAGGGCGGAGGGGTATGGGGAGATGGTGGAGGGGGGGTTGTTGGTGCGGGTGGAGAAGGGGGTCAGGGTGGTGATGGATTTTCAGGGGCAGACGGTGCATTTTGATGCGACGAACCCCAGGGCGAGGGAGTATGTGTGGGGAAAGGCGAAGAGGAATTATTATGATTTGGGGATAAGGGTGTTTTGGTTGGATGAGGCTGAGCCGGAGTATGATGCGTACGACTTTGAGAACTATCGGTACTATGCTGGGTCGAATCTCAGTATTGGGAATATCTACCCGCGCGAGTACTCCCGCGGGTTTTACGAGGGCTTGAAGGCCCAAGGCCACGACGATGTGGTTAATCTCGTGCGGTGTGCCTGGGCGGGCAGTCAACGGTATGGAGCATTGGTCTGGAGCGGGGACGTCGCGTCGTCGTGGTCCAGTTTCCGCAACCAGCTCGCCGCGGGTCTGCACATGGGCATCGCGGGCTTGCCGTGGTGGACTACGGATATCGGTGGGTTCCACGGAGGCAACCCGGACGACCCGGCCTTCCGCGAGTTGTTTGTCCGTTGGTTCCAATGGGGTGCTTTCTGTCCTGTGTTCCGTTTACACGGCGACCGCGAGCCGAAGCAGCCGCAGCACGGGACGACGGGGGGCGCGACTTGTCTCAGTGGTGCGCCGAACGAGGTGTGGTCGTATGGGGAAGAGGTGTATGAGATATGTGTTGAGTATATGAAGCTGCGCGAGGGACTGAGGGACTACCTTCGTGGCTTGATGGACCAGGCGCATGAGAAGGGCACGCCGGTCATGAGGCCGCTGTTTTACGAGTTCCCGGAGGACAAGCGGTGCTGGGAGATTGGCGAGCAGTACATGTTTGGGTCTGACTATATGGTTTGTCCGGTTTTGCGCCCGGGCGTGACACGGTTGACGGTGTATTTTCCGGCCGGGGCCAAGTGGACATGGAATGACATCTCTTATGTAGGTGGAACGACGGCCGAGGTAGACGCTCCGCTCGAGCGAATGCCGGTGTTTTCCAGGTATTAGAAGAAAACTAGTGGTATTATTCCATAGCACGACGGTCAACAGCATAGCATATCTGCGGTACCAAAGACGATCTATCCTACAGCTCATACTTCCACTGCGCATTCTCCCAGCCCTTTCTCCGCCTCAGTTTGACCCCAAACCCGTCTCCGTGGTTCTTCGGCTTGGTGACTGCGTCAATGACCGACCGTGTCGCAAATTCAGGCACCTTCCACTCGCCCCCCTCCAGCGGCTGCACGTCGAATCCCAGCAAGAGCGTAGCCATCACGGCCATCATCTCGGCAAACGCAAACGCCCGGCCGGGACACAGATGCGATCCGCCGCCGAACGGCAAGAAGGCAGCCCTCATCGCCCGCACGCTGCCCGGTCCATCCTCTGTCTTGGATGCCTGGTTGTTGCTGTTGTTGCTGTTGTTGCTCCCAGTCACGAACCGGTCCGGCTTGAACTCGTCGACGTCCTCGCCCCAGTACTCCTCCATGTTGTGTCCCGCGCCGAGCACCAACTGCGCGACGGTGCCCTTCTTGAGGAGGTACTCCTTCCCCGCGCGGTCTCGCAATATCGTGTCTTCCGCAACGGTCCGCGTGCTGACCTGATGCACTGTCTTGCGCTGGGTCTCCTTATAACAGCTCATCAGCAGCGGGCAGTTCTGCTCCACAGCCGACGTGGCCACCGACAGTCTCACGACATCCCCTTCCCTGCCCACGATCAACCCCTCAACCTCCTTTCTCAACCGCTCAACCACATCTGCCTGCCCTCCAGACCCTGTCTTCCCCTGCATCTCAAACACCCACCCAATCAACCAAAACAACAACGGCACCGTATTCGCCATCGCGGCAAACGGCAACATAATCTCCAGCTTGGCCACATCCTCATCCGGAATCCCCGACTCCCGCAACAACCCAGCCCGATCCCTCACAAACTGCGACACTCCACCCTTCGTCCCCTCCTGCTTCTCACCCACCTCCAACCCGCCCGTATCCCGGTGTCCCACATAAAACGGCCGCAACGCACCCACCAGCGTAGCCCTCGCCCGCCTCCCAGCCTTGGTCATAAACCCCGGCAATCCCAACGTCAACCCCAGCAAATTCCGCTCCATCGTCCACAACGCATCCTCCGACCCGGCCTCCACCGAAAACGGGTTATGCTCGGGGCCATACAACGCCGTGGTCGTAGCAGACGTGACCAAATGCCGGATGAACAACCACAGATTGGGCACTTCCGTCCACCCATCCCCATTCCCCTTCCCGGCAGCAGCCAAAGAACTCAACTCCCCCCCCAACCCCCGCAAAGCAACCTCATTCATCCCCCTCATCCCCTCCCCCTTCAACGCCCCCGGAATCACCTTCTCCATCATCCTCTCCACCAACCCCTCCCCCTTCTCCTTCAACACCGCATTCGTCACCTCACCCGTCTCACACGCCGTAGGCGTAACCTCCAAGATATGCGGCGTGGTCGTCAGTGTCTTGGCGCGCAACCCCGCAGCAGCGAGATAGGGATCCCAGACGGCGTACATCTTGCCCGACCAGAGCATGGGGAGGGTGGCGATGGGACGGCGGGTGTGTTTTTGGAGGGTTATGTGGTAGGCGGCTTGGTGCCGGATGAGGGAGAGGATGTGGCCGATTAAGGGGACGTGGGGGCGGAGGAGAGGGGGTTCGAGGGGGTGCAGGCGGGGGCCTGAGGAGCGGGTGAGGAGGAGGGTGGCGATGACAGTGGTTATGAGGGTAGCGAGAAGGATTGGGGAGGTGGTGATGGTTGAGGGTGTGATTGCTGGGAGCAATGGGAGAGTGATGGCGAAGGGGGGAGAAACCCCCGCTGTGGTGTTGCTGGCCATGGTGTAATTGGTGCGCGGGCGGAGGTAATCCGCGATGATGGTGGGTTTATCCGTAGACGCGCTTTAGTGACTGTTGCTCTGTAACTCTGTTAATTATCGTGATTGTCGTCGGTAAGTAACGAAACTAAAAAACAGTTCAGCAATCGCAGTCACACAATAAACACCGAGGCCACGCGTCTTTATCTCGCTGGTAATTCCTGGTGCCTGAAAATACCCGCTGTGGCTCGTCAGAAATTAGCTCGTTGCTGGTGTGGCTCGGGAGCGCAACGTTGGGCGCGTTGACTGGCTGACTCGGTCAGACACCTCGGACTTGCAGGCTGGGTGAAGCTCAAAGGTCGAGAAATGTGGCTTGTTTTACACTAATTCCGGACCGTTGCCGAGTTTAATTGGAGCGTGTGCGAAACGGGTTTACTGCTCAGGTCAGCACGGAGATGAAACCAATAAATTTTAGTTCAACTTCGACAGCATTGATTCCCACGATGAACCCATTGATAAATACATAGGTAGATATCAATACGCGCTCGGTGAGATAGTTTTTGCCGACTTCAAGTTCCAGCATATCATCCATAAATTGATACACTGCTGGAACAAATACACCTGCCAAGAAGCACGTGATCAGGTGTGCTAACCTGAATTTTCAAACCACGCCGTACACGTCGCGCCGGGAACGCGCCTTGAAAACTGGCAGGAGCGAAAATAACCAGAACCAATAAAAGTGACACGGACAGGAATCGAAAAAGAACTGTGGTCAGACAGGGTGTGGGTCAGTCTTCCAGCCCCAGACAGTATCCAACTAGGTACACAGCTTAACCACTACACTACCCGTAGGTGTGATCATCGTGATTTGCTTGGTTGTTGGAAACCGGTACCTCGGGCCTGCCTTATATACCTTCCTCTAGGCCTGATGCAGTTCCGGCTCTCCCACCCGCACCCAGCAATTGCCATTCCTTCCAAGTTCCGGCGCAACCTCTCCCAGCCATGGTGTGCCAATTTCTCTCTTAACCATCCCAATTTTGGTGTACTTGGTGTTTGCATCTGCGATTTGCAGCACCACGAGGTAGCATGGGGCATTCGGCATTTAATGATGTTCAACACGTTATTCAAAATATAAACATAGTCGCGCCCGGTACTTATTTACATTCCAAGTCTCATCCTTTCCGCATCATCTCAACTGCCACTTAAGCAACAAGCGGCTTGCTCCCCTTGGGCAGCGTAACCTTGAACACCAACGCCTGGCTGTTGAGGAACGGCACGGTCGCGGTGTTGTCCACGAACTGGATCTTGCCAAAGTCGGCGTAGCCTAATTACACCAGTTAGCATTTCCCTGCTCCAAACCACAACTCTCCCCAAGCGAACCAAAGCTTACCATTGTTGGTAATAAAGTCATTGTCCGACAGAGTAAACAGATAGTACTCGTCGTCATCATCGCGGGTCTGGCACTTGGAGCGCTTCTTGCTGCTGCTGTCGGCAACATTCACGGGCACAAGCGCAAGCGACTCCCACTTCTCGTTGAGCAGGCCGAGATCAACCGGGCTGCCGTTGTGGATGACGTCGCCTTCGGCCGTGGTGAACTTGTTGAGCTCATCATTGTCGTTGAAGTCGAGGAAGGAGCACAGCTCGGCGGGGATGATGCCCGAGACCAGATCGTCGGCTGCGAGGGGGTTAGTATCAGCAATACTGATTGTAAGGCGATTTGAGGATCAGCAAGACACTCACAAGGATTCTCGAACCCGCCATCGGTGATGTTCCCATTCTGGATATTGTCAAACTTGTCGCCCTTGATATCCGTCGCGTCCGAGAAGTCCACCACGTCAACCTGGCGATAGATCGACTTGGCCTCGGTCTGGCCGCGGCCCGAGCCCGAGTCGCGCGCCAGCACAAGCAGTTGCGTCTCCGAAATGTAATGGATCTCCGACTGCGCGGCAACCTTGGTCTTGCCGTCGTGGCTGTCATACTTGGGCAGCGGCACGACGTATTCGGCCTTGTAGGTGGCGCTGTTGCCGTCGATGCTGTACTGGAGCAGGCGCGTGTTGCGCTTCTTGGAGCCCTTGCTGCCGCCGTCTTGCTCGGCTGCGGACTGGAGCATGACGTAGAGCGACTTGCCATCGGGGCTGATGGTCAGGCCTTCGAAGCCCTGGTTGTTTTGCCGGCCGTGGGTCGGGTCCGCCGTGTCGGGGATCTGGTTGGGGTCGTAGATGGGAGGGGTGTTGGAGTTGAAGCTGGACATCGTTAGTACTCTCATTTACTTTCCTCATCGTAGCTATATCAAACTCACCTAACCTCCCCATTGCGGATCGGCAGAATCGCATCCGGCGGCTGAATAGCCGCCACCATCTTCCCCTCATTATCAAACTTGTACACAAACGGCCCATACTCATCACTGATCCAGAACCCATCATCCAAAATCACCAGCCCCTCCGCATCCAAGCTAATCCGCTTATCCCCCGCCCCCGACCCACCAAACCCATCACCAGGGTAGGTCGACGCCGGCAGCGTCGGGAACCCGTCATACTTCAACCCCCCAGTGAAATCCGGGTCCAACCCCGTCAGCGGCTTACCATCCGGCCCAGACAGCAAAATCGTGCTCTTGTACTCAAACTGCAGGTTCGGCCCCGACGGCTTATCCTTGGTCGCATCCGGGGCCGGGGTGAACTGGATATCGAAGATATGCACGCGGGGCACGGTGTTCTGCGTGCCGTTGGTGTTCCAGCCGCGGTCGGGCAGGCCGTATAGGGTACCCGTGTAGGAGTCGCCCGACCGGCTCCAGTTCTTGATCGACATGGACGAGCCGATGCTGATGGTGTCGCCGAAGGAGTCACGTGCGTCGGAAGCGACGGAGCCGTAGCCGGCGAGCTGTTGGTAGGTGTAGGATTGGCCGTTGCAGGAGACGGAGCTGGCGGGGGAGCGCTTGGTGTTGATGGCCTTGGCGGCCGCGTGGGTGGCGAGCCCCGCCAGGGCGAGGTATTTGATCAGGACCATGATGGTTTGGTGGTGGCGATGGTGGTGGTACTGGTGTTGAGTCCGGTTAATTAGATCTCAAGGAATTAAGGTGGGACGATCGCCGAGAAATGACGGAATCTTTATATTCTTCTGTGTTTCTTGAAAGTTCCTAAAAAAGCCCCTTTTCCTAGGGAACTTTCCTCCACATCCCACGCACGTGTGGATATAGATTCAAGAAAGGGTGGTGCCTGAATTCATTCCTCGGTGTACTCACTTCTCGATCTAGTGGTTATTGCATGGATTGGGCCTCATGTAACGGCGTGTTTACTTTTTCCCTTCACACCAATTCCCGCTGTTGCTGCACGGGGGTGGGTCGTTCCTGGCGCTCTTCGAAGAGCACATGTCGCGATGGCCTGCTGTGATTGGGCCGCGCTCAGTGGTGCCATCCAAGACGTGCCGCGCTGGGAAACATACGACCGCTGCTAGCCCCCGATCAGTGACCGAGGCGGGGGCTGAACACAAGCTGATTGATGTGATTGTGTGGACGGGAGGCGGGCTGGAATACATGGAAATCGCCGATACCGCGGGCCGGCCCTTCCTGTGCGATCGAGGAACTAATTACGTTCAAGTGGGGTTGGCCTGCCTTTTGCACGATTTCAAGTCGAACCAAGAACGCGGCAACAAATAACAATGTGAATGAACAATGGAAGACGCCTGAGGGAGACTTGATTGGAACAAAAGGCCGATGTTTTTATCTTCCTTTTTTCGAAGTCAGGTTGAGATGGCTTTAATTACTGGTCTTGCGCCATCCAACGAGTGTGAGGGATAGCGTACACATGCGCTAAGATCAATGAACTAATTACTAGTTAGTTACATAGTATGTGGGTAATTAGTTAGTTAATTATCTTGGCGCTCATAACGATACCGTGGAAAGCAATTGTCTCGACAGAGTGGCAGGAAGGTGTTCAGACAAAACAATTGAAGCCAATTTGTAATGTGAGAGAGTGTCGTTACAGGCAGGACGATATACCATGCAGTAATGGAGGACGTTGGCGACCTAATAATATTAATCAACCCTCTAAGTTAGACAGCGCCAGCCGGGAAAGCTTCAACGACAGTTGACTGTCTGCTTTAATACACACCTCACGACACAACAGTCACCTGGAGTCTGAGGAAGCAGCCTAAATGATAATTACCGCCGTTTTGAAATTGATATTGGCCTTGGAAACGTAACAATCGGGGCCCTGTTCGGTCCCCCGCTCTCAATGTGATCATCGTTGAAGGCTTGCAAGCCGCTGAATAAGAAACCCAAAGAACACGTAAATCGCCTAGCACGTCAAGTCGTCGTAACGGAAAAGCAGAAACATGAGAGTGAAATACCAGATCTAGGTGCCCATCCATATAACAACGCCTGAGAAACAAAGTGGAGATTTTCTACGCCAAAGAGAACCGAGCGTGACCGCTACCGAGCCCACCTATTTAAACTGCTTCTAGCGGCGTTTCTGACTTGAACAACCACATCTCGCCGATCAGAACGACACAACCGACGACCATGGCAATAGCAATGATCGGCAAATTCACCGTCGCAAAATCCAGCCGCTTGACGTGGATGTGTTTCTTGCTGAGGATATCGCGCCACAGCAGGCCGGCGAGCGATGCACTGAAGGCGCTGCTAAAAGCACCATAGTTGACACCTAGCGCCATGGTGTAAATTGTGGCCCAGAACATGCGCTCCGTAATTGGGTGGCTGTCAATGTGGTTGATGTGGTCGAGATGGTGGATGTGGCGCCAGGCTTGAATGACTCGGGAAAGTAAGATGGTGGTTCCGATGTTAGTGCCGGAAAACTAGTCAAGTCGCAGCGGTTAGTTGCTTGGTCTAAAGAGAATCGCCGGTATAATAAGTGGTTGCTCACATTGCACAGGAGGACGGAGAGGAACCCCATCCCGCCGATAGCGCCGATGGTGCCGGTCTTCTTTACCCAGGCATCCCAACCAAGAGCAAAAATTTGCACCCAGCCCTTCGTGACCAACCCCTGAACGAGCACGAACATGGAGAAGGCGAAGGGGATCAACGCAAACGGCAGATGCGCAATCACAGCCGTGGCCGTGGGAAATGTCTCTTGAGCCCACCGGTAGGTATCCTTTGTCTTGGATACCAATGTTGCTCGCTGCGGTTGGGTTCGTTCTGATTCCCCGGGGGTTTTGAATTTGGAATCCTTATTCCCTGGGATATTTGGTTCCTCTTTGACCTTCTCCGTCGGGGACTTCTCTGGGCTATCGCCGGTGGTAGAAATCACATCCTCCGTGTTCTTTTCCGCATTCAGCCCCGCATCCGGTAGGGCTGTCGTTTGGCCAGACACCGAACCATCGGATGAGGGTCCCCTCTTGGTCAATGCCGCAGTCATCATTTCCTGCTCCTGCTGATCGCGCAACGCCTGCTGCACCCGTAAACGTTCGAGTTCCTCGCGACCTTTACGGGCGATTTCACGGGTTTCATGACGATGAAGCCACCCAAATACCACGTCCCATATGAGCATGATAAAGGCGGCCGGGAGGGTAATGTAGAAAACCGGTTTTTTTTCTGTGCTTTCAGCCGCAGCATTGACGGCTAGGACAGCAACCAGAGTGGCGGCCATAATAACAGCGCCGAAAATGGCGCCCTTCCGGTCTAGGAATGGATTAACAATCTCTTCGAGAGAGAGCAGTGTCCCTTGCTCGCCGGGGGCATCCTCTTGCTGCTCGGCGGGGCCTCTTGCGTGTGGGATATTGGGGTTGACCGGTTTGCGCATCCGCATCTCTTCCGGAAGTTCGTGCATTTGAATGGACGGCGGGATGAGCTTTTCACTGTTGAATACGACGTAGAGTAAGAACGGGAAAAGTACAATGCCGGTGATGATGACGGGCACGATCATGTGAGCCGTGTAGTCGACGAATTTGATTTCGAAAGCGCCGGCAAGGACCAGGTTGGTTGGATTCGCTGAGACCAAAATGGCGGAACCAATGTTGGCCACTGCAAACTGGCTGTAGATCCAGGCACGTGGATGGACGATGTTGCTAGAGACACGCGTCATGTATGCGAGGAAGGCCGTCCCAGAAAGAATGACAGGGTCATTGCCGACGAAGCTTGTGAGGATGAACCAGAAGGCATACAGGTAAAAGAACAGCCGATGGCCTGTCTTCCCGCCCCATTGCAGTACCTTGAAAGCCAAAAAGCGAATCACACCCGATGCGTCGATGGATATGGCGATGTAGGCTAGCGAGACGAAGAACAGCATGATATCGACGGGTGATATGTTTTCCGTCCCCCAGGTCCCCTCCACGACCTCTTGGCGTCCGATGGCGAGGATGGCGAGCAGGAAAAGGTCGGCAATGAGAGGCGCGGTGACGATGTTTAAAGGGAAGTCGAAGCGCGCGAAGGCCGAGATCTTGACCTGGCCATCAGGATCCACATATTGTGAACGCCTGTCCAACTCATCTTGTGTGGGGTGAGAAGTGATGCGCAAGATGGACAGCCCACGTAAGAAGACATGATAGAGCTTCCTGGGGGCGAAAAGGGGGATGTGGAAGGGGAAGAGGACGACAATGTCTGCGTAAGGCTCGGGGTCAGTGGTGGGGTTGTTCCTCCTGTTCCGCCTTCCATTCCTCTGCGTGTGTGTGCTGTGCCCGGGCTCTGTGAACCTGAAGCTGGGCCGAATTATTTTCGAAACTGAGTTCAACGGGGAAGGGGAGCCTAGTCGGGGGAACAGCTGAAATTCGCGACTTACTTGCCAGGACAAACGCCACGAGCGTCACGATGGACCTCCAATCTTTGATTTGGTCATAATCCAGCGGTTGCGTGTCACTCTGCGTGCCCTCAGCCATGTCGTCGACTGTCTTGTACCGAACTCCGTGCAGCACGACGACGGTGCATTGAACCCGGAGTTTGACGCGCGAGCAGTCTCACCCGATTCATAAGAACGAAACGATTTCTTTCAAAACAGAGCCGGCGTTGGCAGCGGGGCAAGCTCGGGAACGTGATGGGGCGGAGGCCGGAAAGCCCTGTGGGCCGTTGGTGGAGCCAAGCTCACAGCGCTCAAAGCCCCGGGGGAAAGAGCGTTGGGCAGTGGGCGGGTGAGGTGCCCGGGAAGGCTGCACGTGCAGGCCAAGTCGCCATCCGCTTCAGGCTAAGGTGGTTTTGGGGGGGGGAGGCGCCAGATGGGAGGTTGGCATGGCTTGGCGTTGGTTGGGGAAACACACCAGGGTGGTCGCGTTTCTGGACACCGCAACTCACGCGACCTTGCTCAGTTGTTCTGCCAAACTTCGAACTGTCTGCATCTGGAGACCGATCCTCGGTCTTACAATCCGGGCAATCAATGGATCATCGGTAAGAACACTGCCTCGTCACCGTCGCGGGGAGCCAAGGATTACTTGCAGATGCCTACAGGGAAGCAGCCAAAGGGATCTCTCGATCGCGCAGCAATTTCGTGGCTGTGCAGCGTCGAAGATACGACAGAAAACGAAGCCAAAGCCACTTTTTATGCACACCAATCCGCCTGGCTTCACCGACTTCCATCTTCGGGACGCCTGATGCACCCCATGGGCAATTCGGGATTTCAAGGCTTGGCGTGGCATCAAACCCACTGTCAAATGAGGCTCTTTAGGCCGGCCGAAGTGGCTTCTTGAGGGCGATCTGCGGCCAACGCCGGCATCCTTTGGAATTTGCGGCTTTCTCTGTGAAACCCCGGAACCCCAGCCTGTGACGAGAGACGCCCCGAACCTGGCACTTCAATCCTGTTTTGCTCTTTGATTTGGCTATGGCGCACGTGCGGACGGCTTACTTCTTACGAATTAACTAAGCAGCTGCTGGTTCGCGAGGACGGGAGTTGTGGCTTGTTTTGGGGTTTGCTTTTCGACGGCTTCCTATCAAAGGCCGTGCCGCCGCTCGCCCCGGTTTCTCTTCGCTTCCCACGAGACTTGTTCCCCGCAGTTTTTTACCCTTTCCACATTCCCTGACCGATGTGCACCACGCTTCAGCCCTGCACATTCGTCATGCCAATGCCGCGACCGACCCAGAAAAGCGGATTCAACGTCCTTTTCTTTCTGTCTTCGTTTCCTTCACATCTCCGCCAAGCCAGTTAGTTGAGTCGTCGTCGTCCTACCTTTGATGAGCGTATTTTTTCCGCAGGCCTACTCGTCCCTCTGCCCGAGAACACAGGGCAGAGCATCTTGTCAACCCTAACCCGAATGCCTGCGATCTTACTCCCAACCTCCCTCGAACTACTCGGCCGAGCCGCCAACGCGACAAACGATCTCCAACCAGTGGTTTGCTCCTGGCCCGTGAGCGGGCAATACGGTGTTGGTTCCAGGATCTTGTTGGTTACTCACTCCTCCACGTGTGTTGGGAAGTGGACGTTGGCTGGTTCATAAGTTTGGGGACTGACAAGACCTTCCAGATACTACGTGTTAGTGGCAGCTTGCGTGCTCGCCCGGAAAACAGAATGGCTTCGCAACGCGTGTCTGGCGGCGGCTTTGATCCTCCCCGCTATTGCGGCCATCCACGCGATTGTACTTGCAGCTTTACATGTCGATAGTACGCATCTTTCCCCGTTAAACCCCCTCGATGATACACGCTAACCAATCTGGAGATGCTATCGACATGGATGTTTACGGTGCGCTCCAAATTTGTTGCATTGGCATCCTCACAGCGCCGGCATGTGTCCGGCTTTCAAACACGTATTTCAAAGCACCAGGGCGCAACGTTCTGTTTGCGTGGACCGTTCTAGTTATTGCGGGTAGGTCGTTGAAGCATGCATGCCTAACACCAGGACTCTGGACACTAACACGTGAAATAAAAAGGGTTGTTGGCTTTGGCCGTCGAGTTCTTCCGCGCTCAGTCCAGCCCATGTCTTGACGATGGGCAAGGGTATCCCTTGCTGAATAAGATGCCGTTCCCTTACGGAGAAACAACTTGCGGTCTGGTTTGTGAGTCGGGTGTCAAAGGGAGCCCCGCCTCACCGATGCGCACCGGCTCAGCCGACAATATCTACGTCGTCCCAACGCCATCTATTCTCACCTTTGGTGCTGCCACCCTCGTTGCCGCCGCCTCTTGCGTCCCCGGGGTTCTATCCATGGTATCGATTCGGCATAAGATTACCAAGGAGGAGTGGACCAAGAAATTCGGAGGGGTGGATGCCGACGAACCCATTGAAGGGACAAATGGTGCCACTCGCCGCGGCATGAAAGACGTCAATGATGTCATCCGCGGTCTTCTCAGCGTGGTTGAAATCCCGGTGGTACGTTCTCCTGCTCAGCCTCTTGTTTTCTTTCCAACCTAGCACTCAAGAGCTAACCCTTTGACACAGTTTGGCGGCGCTGTCATTGCGCTGATCATCGTCGGCGAGCTCAACTTCTTCAACTACCCGGTAGGATATCAGACCGAGCCTGCGGCAAACATTGGTCAATGGTCGAACATCACCGCATCCGTATTTGCCGCGGGTGGTTCTTTGTACATGTTGTCGTCGAAGTGGTTGTCAAAGTGGCTCAGAAACGTGGAGAAGGAAGAGGACAAGGAAGAGGACAAAGAAGAGTCGCCGTGTCACTGCGCTTGCCATGTCCACCTTCACCCAGACTCCATGAGCGACAACTCTGACGCTCCGGAAATGGTGCGGGCTCCTTCCGTAACGCTAACGGACCCCGACGTTCAAATCCATAGGCAAGACACGGCAGCCACCAATCCGCTCTCTCCCATCCGCACCGAAACTTTCCCTGACAACGAAAGTGCGATAAGCGGTCTCGGGATTCACACGATGGATTCCAATGCCTCTGGGAGGAGCCAAAAGCGCGGTGGTGCTAGGGAGAAACTGTTGAAAATCACGGCAAGTTTCGGGACGCCCTCCAGGGACAGGTACAATGACTCCGAGTTTCGGTCCGGGAAAGCCTCAGGGTTTCCGCAAATCCCAGGTGAAAGGATCCGGAACCCCGGTCTCCGTGAGATCGAGGAGATTTGGGGCGAGTCGCCCGCCGAGTTGGAAGACGACCACAGTCCCATCAACGGTAGGCGATCCCGAGCCAACAGTTTCAATAGCATCTCTCGCGCCAGCTCAATTGGTCCCCGGGCTCCCTCGCCCGCCCCGCCTCAAAGGGCGTCGACCTTGGGCCCCGTTCCCTGTTCAGTACTCGGGCTACCGACGACACATAGCCCCGAGAGCACCAACGAACCCGTTTTCCCGACACGACCGTCGGACGAGCTGGAGAAGGCACGTTCCCACGGCACAGTTGTTACATTACACGAAGGACCCAACTCACCAGCCATTATCTTGTCGTCAGAGGACGACCCTGAAGAGTCCCCGACGCCATGGACGGGTGTCGCGCCCCTAGCAGAGCTGACGTCCACTGTAGAAGAAGACGAAAGTCCGACGCTGCATGAGGGCCTGGAAGTGCCTCACGAAACGCGGCCACCGTGCCCTATGACAGAGTCTAAGGGAGAAGGTCCGAGCTTGCTCGAGGAGAAGACGACCTCCTCCGGACAGGGCCCTTCGAGAAACGGCGGGTTAGATGTCCCTGTTACAACAACCACCGATTCACTCAAGGCGGCGGTGCCTCAACGTTCCCCCTTACAACACACACCAATACAAGCCCAAACGCCCACTGGGCAACAAACACAAACACAGCAGCACCCTACAGTACAGCAGCGGCCCTCGATTCACCCGCAGCAACCCCCACAATCCGAAGCACAGCATCAACACCCGCAAACCATGACCCCGCAACAACCACAGCCAACCGCTCCGAATGCGCCTATCTCTGCGGGAGCAGCACCCCCACAGCAAGAAACCAGACAACCGGAAGCGGAACCCGTTCCCTCACAATCTGCGAAGGGGAGCAGCGATAAGCAGCCACCGCCCGATAATGCGTCGATCAAGCCGTGATGCCGGTTAGAAACGCCACAAAGCGAAGCGCAAAGCATTCATATTTTATACAAACACAACCATTGATGATTTAACGACGGGGATATAGGGCAGGGCGTTTGACAGACACGAAGGCATACAGGACGTAGCGGCGTTTTTGGTTTATCTATGGCAGTTGGAGGTCTTTTTGTAATTCATGTATTCTCAGCCGTCTGTCTTTTTGGCCCCTGCCCGTTCTTGATTTGGTGTTTCACCTACCGTTCCCTCTGCTTTCTCGGGCTGGTGAACGGAGACAGAAAGGGGACCAGTGGAAGTCATCCAGCAACTCAGAAGGAAACATACGGTGAGCAAGGCGTATTTCAGTTCGTTATTAGATAAGTCTAGTCGTATTATGGTGAAATAGAACCAAGGCGTTAACCATCTTTATGTGATCGCAACGGTATTCCACAGCACCATATAGCTGATATCTCCTCGCATCCTGCTCGCTGAAGAGACATGCTGCGACGTTGTCGGACGAAGGATTGGAGCTACGTGCATTCGGAGTCAGATCCCATCCCCGAGCTCTCTTCCATTGCTCAAGCTGCTCCGGTGGGGCAATTGGGCATGCCCATGTCGGGTGGTCACACAGTATAGGTATATATATATGCCCCCCCTGACGGAATGGAAGACAAGAGCCACAATTTATGATTGCGACGAAGCAGATTGATGCCACAACAATGGTGAACAGGCTAGGACTTGCGAGAGGCTGAGCTTAATTCCTTTTAGGAGGCTGATTACCTCCCTGCAATAAGGATAGGTTCTGGATAGGCTGGTCTGTAAAGACGGCCATAGCGCGGTACAGTTTAGTGTGTACGATAGGGAACTGGAGAAGGGTCTCGGATGTATGGCGAATGTCGAAGATGATGTACATCATTTAACCTGGCTAGTAATCGAGGTTGTCGTTGCCTTGGCATCTAACGTCGGCCCAGATCCCCAAACGCCTACAACCACGAACGACTACGACGATGCCAGACGGGAAACCTAAGGACCCAAGGAACCCAATTTGATAACTGCGGCGGGTGTTGTGCGCGGGCGAAAGGGTGTATGCTGTGAAACCACCTTGGCTTTCCTACCGTAGTTGCATTGAGCTCTAGCAGCGAGATGAAGTTTGTTGTACCGAGAAGATTTCTTGAGCTATAATTATACAAGTACGAACATGTGGCCATGTAGCGACCGGGCGATGTATTCGGAGCCGGATTGAATGGTTAGAACTATGAAGCAATGGAATTTAAGGTTGCTGGAGATATGGACAGGAGCTAGGATTTACCCAAGAAGACAGACAACTCGAACGAAAAAAAAGGGGGAAGGGGTTGGAAGCGTAGAGTGGTGATAAGGGACGGCGGTGATTCCCATCAGCCTAGCATTGGTATGCCGTTCAAGAACCTTTAGGGCCGCTCGTTGGGTCGCTGAAACGGCTAACATTCACAAGTTATTATCATTAAAACCCCGCGGAGTTATTGGGAGGAAGTATGGACTGTTTCACAATGCGCTATTGCTAGCTCCGGTAACAGACTTAAGACTCAAGTTTGTCTTATATTTGATGATAAAGCCAAAGATTAATATATTCCTCGTATCCCCCTCACCCGGATTGTCATTTGCTTGCCTGCCCCCCAAATTTGACTCCTATGTAAATATTCCATCACAGCCCGGCCAAAACAACACCCCCATCTTCATCGTCGGAATCTGAAAAGCTGCCCTGCTCTAATTCTGTCTCCGGTAGCTCCTGCATTACGCCGTTTGGTATAGATGTTTCTTCATAATGGCCCACGGTCGTATCCTTGACCCGCTCCAAATTCCGTGGCAACAGCTGTAACTCCTGCAGGGCCACCCCATTCTCACGTAGCCCTGGATCCAGGCCTGGATGAAGGGACGGTGTCTGGTTGCATCGGGGCGGCGGACGGGGTCCGAGCGCGGGGTCTGGAGGAGGTGCCGTTTGATGTCTTGGTTGGTTTCCATGGCCGTGCAGGCTGCTTGGGCCTTCGTTGACTGTCGTTTGGTGGTGATCTTCGTGTGTATCTGGTTTGTTCGGTATGTTTTCTTGCGGCTCGCGATGACCATTCGGTAGGTGTTCCTGACTCTCTAGAGTGCCCTGATTGTCCTGCCCCAACCAACTCCCATTCATCCCCCGGGCTTCGGCCTCCTTAATCTGATTCCCCGCCACGGTGAAAATGGCGAAAATAACAAACAGAGTAAATCTTGTTTTTTGCGCATCTGTTAAAAGCAGAAAAGGGTGCACACTTGATCTCGTTGGCAGTGGTTCGGACGGGGGTGTATTAGGCAGAGGGGGAGAGGCTCTTGCAGACTGTGGCTGGTCAGGCGGCGAGGGATCCGGGGACGGATCCGGAGACGGCGGTATATTCGCTCCCTCCTTCAACGCCTTTTGCTTGTCTCGCGGGGGTTTGTGATTCCTGTACAGGTGGCGCATGAGCTTGTTGCGCGACGGTAATGATTCACCGCACAAACGGCATTTTGTCCGCCATGAGTCTGCGGGCTCATTAGAGTCGTGGTTGGTATTATTGGGGGTCACTGGTGGCTGAGGGCCGATTGAGATTCCCCTGTTTGCCATTGACCTTGGCTGGAAAACGGGGGAGGTTGGATCCATCGTGAATTGTGAGGCCAATGAGTCGTAAGGCGTGAATTATGAAGGATTTTGTGGATGAGAATGCGGCATGTTGGGCCTCGCGACCCCCTCGAATGTGGGAGCGGTGATGACGTGGAGTCTGGGACGATGTGGTCGCCGACTGGCCCTCTCCTGCCCAATGTTCCTCTCAATCTTAAAGATTGACGATTGTTGCGATGGCGATGATGAGTGAGTGGCTTCAAGGCGGCGGCGGTCTTTTCAGCTTGAAACGTGCGGCTGCCTTCTGCAGCTCGTTGTCGACCCCGCGTTCCGGTTTGAAACTTGCCGTCCAGAGTTCGTGGCGGATTGGTGCGTGAAATCGCAGCCCAGCCTGAGGTTCATCGGTTTTTCGTTGTTTGAAGTCCGATTGGAGTTGCCGAACACCAATGGCGTTGAGTTGTCGATCAACTGCCTGCCGGCTGGAAACCGGAGGTGGACGGTCCGGCCATATAGAACCCTAACCCTTCATTTGGGGCATCAGCGTCTCCATTTCCCAAGTCACTTACCGTTAGCACATCAGAGTTCTATACAACGATCTGGGTCGTCAATTCCAATTCCAACTTGATCATGGACATTTCATGGCAATTGGACAAGCCCAGGCTTGATCCCCAGCCGATTATGGGGCGCCCATTCTCACCAAACGTTAACAACCACATCGTTCCGCCATTAAGTATTAATTACCTTCCCCACCTCCTACGCAATAGTAAGAAGTTTGGCGGCTTGCTCTATGTAACGTAAAGAACGGTTGACGAGTATTGGGTGTCTAAGAAATAAACCCACTTACATTTGTTTATAATTTACACTCTGATGGCCCAATCCACGTTTAACATCACAGCGGTCGATAAGATGAACGCTACCTAGGCAGCTCTAAGAGTTCTTTGACTGATAGTTAATTATACGCTGAACACCCAGGCCGAACAAATTGCACACAGACACCGTGAACGTCCATTCATGGCTTCCGTCGGATATTCGTGTCATATTTACGTGAAATTTGACTGTTGTCCCAGTTTCCTTCTCCGACGATTCCACAGCCGAATTTCCCCCCTAAATATGTCGTTTTCCACTTACACTTCCTTGATCACTTCACGTATTCAATACCCCGTCTCCAAGATGCCTTACACGGACCGCATTCAGCCACATGCGATAAACACCCCTGATTGCCCCCCGGCAGTGTTGCCCCAGAATGTCAGTAATATCTCCAATATCAAACCCACGCTTCACTTGTCTCCCGAACTTCCCCTGTTCTCATCGTCTATGAATGTTAGGTCCCCGGCCCGCGCCGCTGCCTCCGCGCTGGAAGGCCTTGAGCATGCCCCAGCTAGACGCCTTGAAAGCCAAGTTCCCAGGTCTCAGTAATGGCCTGACATATAAAAAGGGCAGTACAATTGAGAAGGAGTACACCCACTACAAAAAAGCTCAAGGGGTCTCCGAGGCCGCGATCGAGGCGTACAAAGCAGCGGCCGAGCTTCAGCCGCAAAAAGAAAACCACCAAATCCTCGCACCACTTGCAGATATATATATCCCTACGAATTCTTGGACAACGAGTTCTTCCGGGGCGCGACTGGGACAGATCACATTGCGACCGAAGTCCCCCGGGCGTTCCTTTATGAGTGTTACTGCGACTATCAAGGACAAGACCTGCTGGCGTATCATATCGACGACGACAAGTTGTTCGATTGGATGTTTGCGGGCCGGCGTGATCAGGGCTGGGATCTTAATGGCTGGACCAATGGATTGATAGACATTGAAGACGGCCCAGATGATGTCAATGGTTCACCGCTTCCTAGACCTCAGGAGTCACCTGTTGGTCTAAAGACCATGACCAACGGTGGTACCATCACGCCTCCAACAACGGCGTCCCGCCAGACCACCCCTCTATCACCTCGAAACGAGAATAGCATCCTTCCCGCCCCGGTCCGGCCACCCACAACATTGATGGATTCTGACACGCGGAACATGTTTGTTGAGACTTTCTCGGGACGGTCAAACGCTTACCTGGTCAATGACAAGGGCGGGCTGCGCGCGTTCATGCAGAGCGCCATCTTTTACTGCCGTCATCACCCGGCGTGCAAGATCTGGATCACACGGCGCAGTATCACGACCAGGCCAGAGGAGGCAGGACTGGAGATTATCGACCTGTTTAATGTGTCCTGGGACGACTAGTGGGCAGGCTGGGGCAGGTGAGTCAACTCAGCTTTTGTCCCGATCCACGTGCCACATTTACTAATTCGTATGCTTGTCATGTTTAGGAGAGGTTAATTACCCCGCAACCACAGATGGTTGAGAACAATATGGCTCGCTTCAAGGTCGCATTCGTTTTGTTTGGCGGAAGTGGTTATTGGCGGATAGCTCGGCTCAGGCCGCACAGCGAGCGAATGGGGCAAAGGGACCCGGTCTGGGATTTGTTTACGGCTCAATTTCTCAAAAGATACCCATGCATTGCATTCAAGCATTCATAGAGGAGACGGACAGCTCATTTCTGCAATCAACAAGTGGATACATTGGAGACGGATCTCGGGATCCACTGCTATTGGGGCGTGTCGTGCCAAATCCCCAACCCAACTGATTCTGCTGCAGTGCTGTCGCCTCGTAGCTGCCCAATGGCCCCAATCTGCTGACGTGTAATGAAGCCCGATCCCCAAACAAAACAATCTGGAAGAAATAATTAAGGGTAGGATATCTCCGGCCAAAACAATTCTTGTCCGCTCCGAGTCAAGAGAGAGAACGTCCAATCCTCCCTTTCCCCGGCCAAAGTTCATTCTGAATCCAAAAATAATACCCCCAAAATTCCAAATGTCGTGACGTCGGTAAACCCGACCAAGTCCGTACACAATGGAATACACACCACCACCAACACCAGAATCATTCCCCCAATTCCGCAAACGGCCGCTTCCCAGCACACGGCGTCTGCCAACCCGCTTCCAAGCATCCGCCGCGGGGCTCGATCTCTCCAACAAGGTCTTTCCAACCACGCCCATCGTAAGCCCCCTCCTAAGACAGCCCCTTCCTCATGTACTTCATCACTCCCCCGATGACCACTGACTGACTTCTCCCCCGCTACTTAATCACCGATAGACCTTCTGGCTCAACACCCGGCACTTCCCCCACGTCCCCTCCTCCTCCCCCCTCCTCCCCTACCAAGACGACCCCTCCGACCCCCACCCCAACATCCTCTCCGTCTCCCTTCCCCCTTCCCCCTTCGCCACCACCCTCCAACGACTCGCTTCCTACTTGCCGGCGCCTGTCGCCTCTTTCCTTACCCACCGGCTTATTCCGGAATGGTTCCTCCCTTCGCGTGTCATTCTCAAACAACGGAGGCGGGATACCTACGCTGACGAAGATGTTCATGTAGCGCGGTTTACGCGCGAGGTGGATGTTTATGAGCGGTTGGGAAAGGTCGGGTTACAGGGGGCTGGGGTCGGGGAAGGCGGGATTGTGCCGAGGATGTATGGACGGACGCATTTTGAGGGACGGGACGCGATTGTGTTGCAGGAGGTACCCGGGATGTCGTTACGGGCTCCGGAAGTGGTGGCGCGGGAGTGGGAGGGGGATTTGGAGGGAATGGTGAGGGAGTGTTACGAGAAGTTGGCTGGGGCGGGCGGGTGGCATGAGGAGGCGTGGTTGGAGAATTTGTGGGTTGTGCCGGCGGGGGTGCCGGGGGTTCCGGGGGAGAGGGTGGTGGTTGTTGGGTTAGGGGGGGTTCGGTGGGAGGGGGAGGAGGAGAGGTTTTGGGGGGGCAGGGAGAAGGGGTGGTGGGTGGAGGGGGCTTTGGAGGGGTTGGGGGATGTGTTGGGACGGTTGCAGAAGGGGTATTGGCAGGATGGGTGGTTGGAGGAGTTGGATGATTAAGTGAAGGGAACTTGGGTAAGGGTGGGTGGGGAAGGACCTTGGGTGGGTAAGATGGTGACCAAGAGGTTAACCAATGGACAACAACAGTACAGCTCTCATCTCCTTTGTTTTCATGTATCAAGACAGAAATAATAACACAAATGGCAATTAAACCAAGAAATGTCCGCCGGCCGTGAGGACATCATATCCTACCGCTGTTCCGACGAGACCCCAGGTCGGCCCCCTCGTGTCCATCGAAATCACGCCCGTCATACGGCCCCTCCTGATCAAGTACAGGCGTAGCCGTAATCATCTGAGCATCCTCCTGGATAGGCGATTGTAGGTATGCATGCTCATCTTCCGACGCAGGCGTCTCAGCGTCAGACGGTTTACGCTGCCGTGGTGGGAAATTAAGTCCTGCGTATCCCATGTCTGGGGATTCAACGCCGATGGCCGTCGACTCGGGTTCCGAGTCAAGTTCATCCACCGCTCGTACTGCAACTACCGTGTTGGACTTGTCCTTCTTCTCCTGCTCGGGATAGTCGTACAACTCCTCGCGCTCGTGCTCGTGCTCGTGTATCGAGGCCATCTCGACGCCCGACATAGTCGAGTACCGACTACGGCGAGATGGGGCAAGGGATGCACGGTCCTGGGCCGGGGCTATACTGTTGGCGTATTCGCTGGGATTGTGGTCGCGGTGGTTCCCAGCGTCGCTGATGGAAGCGTACTCAAGGCGGTCGTCGCGCTTTTCACGGGCCCGGATGCGTTCTGGTAAGATATTCGAGTCAGATGAGGAAAGGAGTGGAGTCCATGAGGAAAGATACATACGGCTGAGAATTTGGAGAAAAGTAAACACAGTGAGTGACATCAAGAGGAGTGGAACGAGCTGGCCAAAAGTGGACGGGTCATTCTCCGGGTTGATCCCGTTGGTAAGTTGGATCCTAGATAACAACATCAGCTGTGTATCCAAGTAAAGTGGGCAAAAGGACAGAGGGTGACAAGAACCCACCAGTTAGAACTGTCCAACCACCAACGCAACTGATAGACGTAGATCGCAGCGTTCACCACGGTCCACGTCGAAATGGCAATCCCAGCAAACAGATAAAACCCAAAGATGCTGTAAAAGATCTTCTTAACCCGAAACAAGGCCGGCATCGCGTTCCTCAACCACGCAACGGACTTCTTCCTCCTCCCGTCGTGGTGCATCCCTCGGCGAATAATCCGTCCCAAGCTCACCCCAACGGAGAGAACGTAAAACAGAAACATGATCAAGTAGTTGGCGAACCCATGGATCGGTCCCGTAAAAAAAGCCGGTAACGAACCCGCCTTGAGCGCCTTATCCAGTTCCTTGTCGAACACAAACTCCCCCGTCTGGAAGCACGCAGCCGGCAGCAACATCAGGCTGTACTGATCTGTTATCTGGGGCACCTCAGTCGGGAACCCAAATGACCCAGAGCCCTGGTTGGCTAACAAGACCCCCGTCACGACAAACACTAACGTCGTGACGATGATGCGCAGGACGCCGACGTAAGGGTGCTCCCAGTAGTGGCGAGAGACGGTGACAGCCATGAGATGGGTGGCGCAGGTAACGAGGAGGATGTTGGCGACGATGTTGTAGTGGTAGGCGGAGACGGAGCAGGCTTTGGCGTAACGGAGTGTGATGGCGTAGGCGCCGCCTGTGAAGACTTGCTGGTCGCTGCAGGTGACGATGAGTGCTTCCACGATGCCTGAGATAGATAGCTGCCAATTCTTCAGGGCCTTCTCTCTACGCTGTGTCAGCAATGCGAGAATCTTTCGGCGTTCGGCAGCATATCATGACTTACTCTCGGGTTAGCCGGTTGACAATACCAAACACATGCTTGGTGGCCCACCACGCCGAGCTGGTAAAGGCGAGTAGCAGCGATACCACGGTCACACACAAAAATGCCCCTAGAACACCAGCACCGGCAATGTCGGGGTCGCCAGGGAACTGTCCTTCATGCAATCCACCAAGGGAGATTGCTGTACGGTTGTTCTTGGAGAGAACCACGCTGCAGTTGGGTGTGACGCCTGTTCCTAACGATGAGCGATCCGCCCATGACATTCTCAGTACAGGACACCCGGGGAACATACCATAATGGGCAGCGCAATTCGCGCTTGAGACGTAGGCGCCCATGTTAACTACTGGTTATCACGACCGCACCGTCGTAAAGGCACAGGGTACCCTCGAGATTGCCGGCACTGAAATCAGTTCTGAGACACGCACGAGAAGTAAATCACGGCTTCCAGCGCGACGCAAAGATCCAGAGCGGCGGGCCCCGAGTAAATAAGGTGCTTGGCCCAACCCCCAGCGAGTAGCCTTCCCAACGGCGTGATATGCAGCAAGCCGCATGTCCTCCATGATCAACACCCATCCATGCCCAACCATTTCTAAGCTTTTTTCCCGTCTGGGGGCGAGAGTGCTGATTAACGGCAAGGCGCAGGTCCCGCCAAAAACAACTCTTCGTGATCCCCTCTTCCCGAGACGGAGGCACCTGTATCTCCCGGATTTAGCAGCACCAACATGCATAATCGACCCCCTGGCCGCAGCCCAGCAGCCAATTGGTGGCGAAGGGGGGTTACCTTCGAGCTGCGGCCTGCGACTCATCCAGCCGCCCAAATTGCAGCAGACTTCAGAGCCTCACCAACTGCATAACAAACCCCTTGGTGCGAGACCATCCCCCTGCTCAATATGAGGGGGTCCCGAGCCCGCAACCTCCCCCGCACGGCCAGAGAGGGCTGGGAAGAAATTCTCAAACTCAAGTGACTTCCTCAGGCTACCGACCGAGCTGTTGGGATGCGGCACGGCTCGCGAGGAGCTGATATTAACTTGTCGCAGAATGCACGATCGCGTGCTGTGCAGCCAGGCAGGTAGGAGAGCGGGGCGACCCGGGAGGAACTGGTCACACTGCAGTCTGTTGCAGCATCGTTGCTCGCCGTCCGGCGTCCGGTGCTCGAGGAATCCATTGGTCAAACATCGTTACTCGCGAAATTTCAGCGTGAAATACACCCTCGGTCTCCCGGTGCTTCTGCTCCTCGCGAGGCTCTCATCTTGGGTGTTTGCTCTCCCGGGCCGCTGTGTGTGTCTGGCCAGGTGGTATTCGCCTGGCCGAGTTGTGACAGGCCTGGAGCGGGTGGCCCCCCAAAGTAACCCACCACAAACTTCAGTCCCGACACAATCCAGATGAGCTGTGCCACGAAAGGGAGACTGGGCAGTAGGGAGCGAGCGCATTTGATGGCACACGTACCTCAACATGTGATGCGCCGAGGGGCAAGTGTTTGCTGTTATCTCAAACCAGCCGACCTTGAAGGAGATGAATAGGAGAAACCAGGTCGAACAGGGAACGGGGAATAAAATGGGAGGTCCACGTTCCCTTTTCAGAAGCGATGCGCTTCCTTATTGGTTGGCAGTGGCGGCTGGTGGAACCTCTCTCAAACCGGAACCCCATCGTGCCTTCCGTTTGTTGTGAAAGCTCACGTTCTGTCGACCAGTTCGCGCAATCAGATGGCGGGGTCCTCAGCTGTTTGAACCTTCCTTTAACTGAGGCCCCCACCAACCGCCCAGAATGCCCCGTGGGACCCCAACCCCAACATGCCGCCGATGTTTTCACGTTTCGACTCCCAACCAACAGCTCCACTAGCGGCACAGTCCGTGCCCCACCAGCTGGAAAACCATGCCCCGCACCGACAGAAAAATGACCCCCAGGACCCCGCTCAGATTCCGCTCAGTCATAAGGTGACGTTTTGCCTTTCTCTTTTAACAAATCATAAGGGAGCTTGGCTCAGTTGGAAGAGCGCAGGTCTCATACTTTCTAGTATGACTCGGTGTCCCAACACCTGAGATATCCTGAGGTCGTGAGTTCGAGCCTCACAGTTCCCATTTGCTTTTGATTTTTTCTTTATCACAGAATTAGCATTTTTTTTCTTGGGGAATACTGCAAATTGTGGTTTGCGCTGCTTCTTTTGTTCTTAATTCCCACAAGAAGCTAGAATTAAACAGGGATTTTCAATCAGAGGTTTTTTTTGCCCTTACATACAAATATCGCAACGTTGACAAATGGAGCATCTCACGTGCCATTAACTTATTATCGCCCAAGCAAGCCAACAAATATCCCAGACACAACGGGAAAAATACGTGTGGTATTATCATTAAGAAGATTTCCCTCTCCATTTTACCTCCCCCATTCACTTAGTACCCAACCGCCCTTTGCAATGCAAACCCCTTAAATAAACTCAAACACTCCATTACCGCGATATGCCTCTGTCCACCTCGCAATGCAAACCCAAACACACAAACCCATAAATATGGAACAGTTCAACAGTAAACCTACCCAGCACCCGGAACCTCAGATTGCATCTCCGCTCTGAGCCTCCCCTAAGATCTTCCACCTCGAACCCCCATTCTTACTCACCCTCGATACAACAAAAATTGAACCAACCCAACCCTTACTCACAACACAATTAATCCTACACAGCACTCTCCCATCGTTTGGTGCCAAACAAGCAGACCCCTAAGCACTCATCAACTGCCGCCTCAACACCCTCTGCTTGAAAGACTCCGGCGAGAACGGACCATCCACAGGTTCTGTCGCCGGACTCGCAGAGCGGAAATACTCAGCGTTGGCACTCGCGGCAGTCCTGTAGCCGGTTGATGACAAGTTCGCGGTTCGTAGTCTGGGCAGGACCAACGTGTTGAATGTGGTGTGGCGGGAGAGCGGGTCGTGGTTCGCTGGGTTTGGGAGAGGAGCGCCTTCGGGCGAGTCAGTTTCCGTATCCGATGTGTTGGTAAGGTGCGAGGTTGCAGATGGCGAGGTCGGCAGTGAAAGGTCTGAGGCAGAGTACGACACGTTAAGTTTGTTTAGGCGGTGGTGGGTGGAAGAGAATGGTTCGTGGTGACAGACACAGGAATCGCCTTCGGACTCGCAGGTGTCGCAGGGCATGCCGATTCCCGAGTCACGCGAGTCACGGGGGCTGGAGACGTTGGGTTCGGAGTCGGTGCCGTATTCGTCGGTGTCAGGCGTCTTCATGGGGCTGGGGGGGCTTTCGTCCTGGGTTGCTTCGGGTAAGGTGTTTTTTGGAGTTCGTGGGATCCGGAGGAGAAACGAGGCGGGGCTGAACTGCGTGCTTTTACGTCCTGTTTTGATACTTTTGGGATTTCGGGGAGAGCCTAAACCTGGGGAGGTCTCGCCCTGCGCACCGCGCTGGAGTATGTTTTGGAGCATTGTGCTCCGTCGCCTGGATTTGCGGTTCTCTTTCTTTAGTGAGGTTTGGTGTTCAGTGCGTGGTGTGCCAGACGGGGAGTGTCCGCTTGCTGGCGAGCGGCATCGGCTTATGGACCGTTTCATGACGTTGACCCTGTGTGTTTCGAAGACTAGTTCCAGTTGTCCGGCAAGGAAGTTGAGGTAGTCGGTTCCGAGGTCCTTAGGCAGGAGAAGATGAAGTTTGTCGCGGAGGCTCTTTTTCAAGGCGTCCTGTTCTTCGTCAAACGCTTGTTCCACCTCAACAAGCTCCGTTACGGGGTCGAAATCTGTCGCACCGTTAACGATTGCTCCTCACCACAAAATGGGGTGACCATACCTGGCGCCGGAACTTCGACGTCGTCTGGGAAGATCAACGCCCAGGTGTTCTCCCAGGTCCACATTTCCTCGCCCAAACCCAAGCTCATCGAAGCTAACACTTTTATCATATCTTCTGTGAGCCCATCCTCGAGATCGTGCTCACCGTCTGCTGTCACCTCGCAAATCTCGTCTCGGGGTGCTAGGACATGTCGCTCAAGTTCCGGCCCCGTCTCAAATACCTCTTTGCAACGGCGGCATTGATGGGGATTGACTCGTAGTTGGTGATGTGTAAGTACGTGGCGTCTGGAATCATCCATTAATTAGTGACGGGTTGGATCTTGATCGGATGCGGCAACTCACATCATGGCGCCAATGGATTCAAAGGGAGCCTTTGCACAGGCCTCGTGCTCGCGGACATTGAACCTGACCGGATTACGCTTTCTAAACGGACACGGGTACATGGTCATATGCCCAAGTCTTGGGCTGTGGTGGTCCAGCAACGTCTCTGTCTCCCATTCATGGCTAGGGCGGCCTAGTGTTGGTGGTTTCGGTTCGCCTTGGAGTGTCCCATGCCGCGCAGGAGTATGGAGCTGATCGTATTTCTTAGCTACGCCGGGGATCCCGGGCGACTCGGTATCCAATGCCGGACTCTGAGCTTCATGTCCACCATCAACCTGCTTGGTTTTGCGCTGTCGGGACTTGGGGGTCCACAAGGCAACAGCCTTCTCGGCTAGCTCTCGCTGCTTGACTAGGGACGATAGTCGGGGTTGTCGATGGAGGACGTGCTCCTTTGATCTCGGGTGCTCCAGTCGAAACATGGTGGCGTTCTCAACGGTTTCGAGAGAGTTCACCATTTCCAGATTTATCGGTGCGCGGGGTTAGCCATATGTGCCAATCCACTTCAGCAAGCCCCTTAGGTGACCGGCAGTCGCGAGATAAAGGATCGGTTGCCGTTAGCGAGGTCCGTAGAAATCAGTATTTTCAGAGAATTTGTCGTCGTGGAACATGCTCATGAAAGCATACGAACAAGAACAGGGAACATGGAAGTAAACAGTTCAAAAAAAGGAAGACGTGGGAAAAACGCGGGGATTCCCGCGCGTGGTCGGCGCGACGGTCTTGAAGGGACCCGACCAATACCCCCCTGGCAGCGGATCGGTCATCCATCCTCCACGGGTTCTGGAACAACGCCTCTTGAATGGAACGATTCCTTGGATTCCTGCAACAGCCGTTGATTAACTTGATTGCGCAGGGTCAAGATCGAACACCATGCGCCACGCGACAGCTGAGAGCAGCACTAATCGGGGCAGAGCATCGGCAGGCATGAAACGAGTCGAGATGAAGTCCCCAATTTGGGACCAACGACCACTTCATTCGTCCATGGCGCCGCTGAGCTCGCAAAAGTGAGCGCGGCGGGTTGCGATTTGGTTTTGGGATGGTGGAGTTGTGTGGCCCAGGAGCTCAACCAACCCCCTGTTCGGAGCGTGTTGTGGGCTGTGATTGGCTGCTGTGTCATTCCCCATTGAGCATATCAGCGGCTACGATGCTCTGTGCCGGCGCTGATTCGGCTGAAGAAGAGATGGGTCAATTTCTCGCGGGTGTCACCAAGAATTGGCACAGTTTATTTCATTTTCGTGAGTGACGTCGTCTTGCCGGTGGTTCCGGTTTATTGAAGTTGAAGTTGATAACGTCGTTGGACAGGAAAGGGGTTTTACCTGCGCTCCTTGGCACAGACCCAAAGCCATGGAAATACGCATTTAATTACGTCCATACCTGGGTCGCTGGGGAGTTCAAAGAGAATGGATGCTACCTGGTAGGTAGCTCATTTCGGAAGCGATCAAGGCCACAGAACGAAGTATCTTGATTCTTGGCGAATCTAATTCTCAGCGGGGACAACACAATGGTTAATCACCGGGAACCTAGGTGTACAAAACGTTCGGTACATGTATTCCCGAAACGTAACAAGCGGGTAAAATCCCCAGATTTATGTGGAAGTAACCCTGGAAGATCGATGTTGCGCTGGCGATCTCGGTTCTCGGGCGGCTCAGGCCGTGGTGCCAGGTCAACGACCTCCAGTGCACACTGTGATCCGCTCGATCTCCTATCATTACACGTAAGCTGGAACTTCAGGGGGGGTGAGTATGTTCAATTCCCAGGCATGACCAAAGTAGATACCAAGGAAAAAGATTCGGAGAAAACGTTGGATCCCGTAAGTGTTCCACAGTAGGTACCTTGATACACAAGAAAATCTAAGGCACGTAATTACCTAACCCACCCCTGCAAGTCTTAGTTACCACCCTCATGCTCACATCATCACCATGCCCGGATGCCTAACTACCTAGGTACCTACCTACCTACATATGTTAGCCCGTCCTACCTACGCACTCCAGGTCCGTACCTTGGGCTGGGTTCCAATGTTTCTACTTGAGATGAGGCAAAATCGTTAATCAAGTGCCTGCTGTTGTCGCTCTGTGTTGTTGATGATTGGTGGTATCTGTAATGAGAGTGGATTTTAGTAAGTAGGTAGTTAATTGCGCAAGTCTGCTTGACAAACCGTATGGGTTCAGGCTCAAAGGGTAGTAGGGTTTATGGTTTTGTATGGAGCCCGCGGTGTGAGAGGGGAAAGGATAGTCGGTTTGGGAAGTTGACAGCAAAAGCTGTTCGTTTAAAGTTTTCAATGACTGGGTTCCCCGGGCTCCATACCTTTACAGTGGATGATCTTCTTAGACTCTTTCTTATTAATTATTTTCTAGGTGGCTTTTCGATTCATGAGATCTAGACAAAATCCTGCTACATTTGGCCCCCAAACTTCGACCACTGCAAATGCACGACACCGAAGCCCGGAAAGATAATCCCTGCTCATGTCGCTCGGACGAAGTACTTGAGTGTTATTAATCACATTGTCCCAATAGAAACCCACGTGCCCTGTCAACAACGGAGGCCCCGATCTTTCGTTTTTGAGGGAATGGTGAGAATGATACTTGTCTTGTTCGCTGAATTTTCCTTTAAGCTAATTGATAACATAGTATTAAACTGCTTCTACGAACACGTGAAGCTGGTTTCTAGGATTAACAAAGGTCAAACATGTGCGCCCAGTGTCTTACTATGGATTCGGCCCAAGGTTTGCCCGTCTCGCAAGGCGTTTTCGCCTTAGCGCAAGGCCAAATGAGGGAGGCTCAACGACTTTCACCCCCTTGCTTGCATTCGGGTACCATGTTGGCAATGATCTACGATTGCGGATATTTGCGGGAGATGGGCTGAAACTTTGGGTTTTCTTTGACGATTCATCAAACAACCACCATCCATGTTACTGGAAACACCTTTGCGAATTTGCTGCCTAGACCACGGAGACCTCAGTGTCTCGCCGTCCTCTAAGCGTGAGGAATCGACAAATTCACCAGCGGGATGACCTCCACATCAAGCGGCGCGCTTCCCGATCCTTAACCGCCGCAAACCTTCCGCGACGCGCTTGCTTCGTTTGCCAAGATGAAGTCGCCCATCCAGCTTGGCTTCGTTTGGTGCGCCATCGGCCTTGTTGCGGCTGTCCAACCCCCACCTTCACAGAGTGATGTTGCCTTCACGTCAGCTCTCGTTCGGCGCACTCTCGATCTTTCGACCTACTTCAAGTCATATGACACGGCCGTTAAGAACCTTACCACCTATGTGGACGTCTTCGCGTCTGACCCCCGCCGCTCGTATGACTTCGGTTACGCTGCCGGGTTTCTTATCTCTTTCATGAGCGGCGGGGCAAAGGTGATCGGCGACTCGGGCGCGTCTGTCACAGATGAGGTTCCCGGCGTCATCGAGACCGTTCGCCGAGATGTCAGCACCCTAGCCACTACCCTGATATCCCAGAAGCCGGCCTTCGAACGTGCGGGTGCCTGTACCTATCTACACAACGCCACATCCGACCTGGCCACCCACCACGCAGAACTCACGACCGCTCTTCTCGCCAAGCTTCCGACAGACTACCAGGAATTCGCTCAGGGTTTCGCGACGTCGATTGGCGGTGAATACCTCAAAGCCAGCGCCGCCTTCGCCGATGGCAACTGTACCGACGGGTCCAGCAGCGGCAGCGGTAGTAGCGCCACTTCCATCGGCAACCCTGGCGAGCCCAGCGCAACCGGTGGAAGCGGAAGCGGAACCAATCCAACCTATGACCCTAGCCAAACCGGCGGCGTAGGTTCACCCGATCAAACCGGTAGCTCGGGCCAATCCAGCCCGACCGGCGATGCAGGGAACCAAATCAACCCCGGACGGACCAGCTCAGACGCTCTCTCGGATGGAACGAAAGTGGGAATCGGCGTCGGCGTCAGCGTGGGGGTGTTATCTCTCATAGGAGGAGCATTGGCACTCTGGTTCTGCCTTCGGCGCCGGCAGCAGCCGCAGCAGACACCAGTGTATTCCAACACCGCGATTATGCCGCCCTACCCTGAGGCCGAAGACACAGGCAAGAGAGAGCTAGGCGGCGTGGAGATACAGTCTCCTCCAGGAAAGAGTCCTGCACCTTCTCCTGCTGTTGCTGTTGCTGCAGCGGAGCAACCGTACCCGCAACCATACCCGCTACCGTCCACGGAGCTGGACGGAAGGCAACAGACACCGGCGCCTGTGGGGATGGATAACAGGCAGCACACGCCAGGGCCTGTGGAGTTGAGCAACAGGGTGCACACGCCGGGGCCCGTGGAGATGGGGCCGGCAGTTCCACCTACGTCGGAGCTATCAGCCCATCCATACCATGTGTATGATCCAGGATACAACCAACAACCGCAACTGCAGCAGCAACCGCAGCAGTGGCATCAGGGACAGCACCCACACGCCTAAAATTGGGGCTTCTTGTCATGAGTAATCGATTGTGGAAATGGCGTACGGCGGTTGGCTATTTGTCGGGTTCGAGTACGAGCAAAAGGGGAGGGGGTAGGGGAAGGGAAAGAGAAAGCATTGGTTGGGCGTCTATGCCTAGGTATGTAAGGTATTCTTCATGTACATACTTGTGTGGGTCTTCCAGCCATTTAGGACCTTCAAGGTAGCTATAATTCAGTAATTATTTCATTCAACCCCGATTCTTTTCTAAAACCAACGGCATTCCGACATGACATTTATGGGTAGTTGTGTGTAGTTTGATTGTCGTTTTTGCACTCGCTCGAAGCGCCAAGGTTCATCTACTTCCTGTGTGGCTATCGGGATCACATGTCACATTATCCCTTAGGTCGTTCACCAACACAGCGACGGGTTGGAAGGCATGTTCCCTTCTCTTGCCTAACGGGGGGGAGCGGTGTAATGTACTCAACAGAGATCTCATGTCTTTCCACGAGGCCCGTGGAATTAGCAGTGGCCTTAAGGGCGCGCATTCTCACTCTATCGTAATAACGTACCGTGCCTCAGGGAAGTCAGGATTCGACACAACCTTAGCAGCCTCCGCTTCAGCCGTCACCGCGCCTACTCTATCGATAACCGCCATAAGCTCATGATAGTAGCGATTCTTCTCAGCCTCGAGCCTCTCGTCTGGAAACGGGTCATAACAGAGATCAACGGACCCAATCCGGCGAAAATGGCCCTTACGATCACCGCATCGCTGAAGGACAAGCCCGCGATTCATCAATTCGACAAACCACTCGATGTTCTCATCATCCTCCAAATCTAGGTCGCTGTCACCATCTTGAAAAGGTACGTCACCCGCACCGTCCGACCTACGTTTACCTCTCCCGGAGCCGGACTCGCCTGACAATACAGGCAGTAGGTACACGATTCCGTCGTCCGGGAGAGAGGCTTCATCGTCGAGGCAGTCCACGGAGATCGTGACAGGTAGCGTTCCAGTTTCGAGAAGCACTCGAGGTCCCGACACTTTCCTAGGAGGTTCAGGAAGCCGCTGAACACGCGCATGAACTAGGGCGGAGCATCCAACGGATAGTTCTCCGCCGTCGACTTGGCCGCACGGATCGGGGCCTGCTGGTGTAGTCCACGCCTCTAACACGTATATATACTCCTTCTGCTTCTGTTTCAACTCATCGACCGAGCCGGGATAGGAGTATGTCGGCCCATCGACGGATATCCACGACCACGAGGGCGCCCTCCATTGCTTCGGTCTTTCCTTTCTCTTCTGCGGATTGCGCACCACCCAAAGAAGCTGCGTGACCAGATCTCTCCGCCACATACCTGCCAAATAGTCGTCCCCAGTGATCTCACGTTGCCGTGTAGCAATCCCGGATAGTGCAGGCAGTCGGTCGGTCCCAAATGTCAAGGCGGCGTTGGAGTAATGGCTCACAATCTCGCTCCAGCTCCAAGCCGAATTCTCGGGTCGCACTAGTTTCGGACCTATCTTCCCCCGAAAGCCATCTGGCAGAAACTCTGATGCAGTGTTGCTCCTGCACTCCCAGAACATGCCCTCCTCCCCAAAGGACAGCGTGCGCGGCGCTAGAAGTCTTTCCTGCAGCGCCCAGGCGCGACCGGCCAGGTGCGTCTCAGTGACCGAGATCTCGTAGACCATCTGGAAGTAAAAGTTGCGCACCATTGAATGGTCACCGGTGCTCGCCGTGGTGAGAGTCACCGGGGCGCAGAAGCCTCCAACGTGGTGCTCCTGTTTTAGGAAGCAGCCGCCATGGACGCTGGTGGCGTGGGTGGCAGCCAGGTTAACGTGGGACCCGCCGTAGACCGAGCACATGAGAGCGGCTTCTCGCAACCAGTCGGCGTCATCTGACAGGTCTTGTATGATGCACAGGGCGTCGATCCAGAGATATTTGAGACCCAGCTTGCGTGTGATGTAAACGGCATCTTGGAAAGTTTTGGGGAGGCCTTCCAGCGGGATATTTGCGAGGAAAGAATGTAGATTCTCGGGCGTGAGCTTCGTAAATTCCCCCCTGCCCCAGCAGTAACTCAGGGTTGCGTATCGGGGCGTAGTTTCCCACTTTTCCCGATCAGTCAGGATTAGCTTTATGCTTTTGTCCTCGATTGAAATCAGCCTGGTTGGCCGTGCATAGCTCTTTTCACTGCCACACCATTTGTGGGATGTAGAGCACTGGTCTATCCAGGTCTTCGCAAGATCGAAGTAGTCGAGGTTTTCTCGCCACAGTTGTTCTAACGATTTGTTAGCCGTGAATACTGTAATAAGGACATCTTTTGCCTTCCTTATTGGTGATATTACACGTGATTCAATCTTGATCCTAGCCCCATAATCATTGCAATGGCTGGCTATCTTGCCCGGAAAGTTCATCCACAACGTTAACGAGTCGTTAAGCCACACGCTCTGGATAGACAGTGAAGCTGTACTGCTGTACCCAAGGGTCCGAAGTCGTGACTCAAGTTTGCGGAATATATCAAGGTGTTCAGTCTCCCTAAGGCGACAAAGCATGAATTCGCAAAACTTGCATCCATTTCGGGTTGCTGCTTCGATCTCCTTAGTATCGAGGGCCCTTCCAACGGTGCGAGCCCAGCCTTTAGTGGATAGATCCGGCCAATGTTCGAGTAGGTGGCGACAATTTCCGCAAAATCCTTGAGCGACATCCGTAGTCAACATCAGCTGCTGAACCTACCGCTCGATCTCATCATGATCAAGCGCGTCAAGTTCCACCGCTCGGATGACATCTGACTCTGCATGGAGCATACTGGCATCTGCGGCGACATACTGGCATCTGCGGCGACATACTCTTGATGCCACAATCTGAACTGCTCAATATCTGAACGTTGGGAGACCCCGGGGTCGGCCATAGGGGCACCGGGCTTAATCAGAAGGGGATACGCATCGGCATATGCCTGGGGTGTGAAGCCATTCAGGGCATGGACTTGATCAAGACCCCACTCCTGTATCTGCGGAGCCTCGGCGGACAGAGGGTCGTCGCCGTCGAGAACGTGATTTTTGTAGATGGAATAGGCGGAGGACCAAGCATCGGCGCAAAGGCGGAAGTGGTCAACGATAATACCATAGTAGACCTTCTGGGGGCTTGATGGGTTGCCCGTAGCGGACGTCGCGGCGGCCCCGTAAAACTGAGCGTGGGCGCTGACGATGGACAGGGCAGCTTCCCACAGACGGCAAGCATAGGGAAGGAGGGGCTGAGGCACCCAAAACTCAATCTTTCTCTCTTGGAGACATTTGATGCAGGCGACGCCAAGGTCGCTCTGGTCTGCGACCGGTTAGCAGTGTAACTACCTTAGGAAGGACCAACCAGGGAGACAGACCGCTGCGGCAACATATGGCAAAAACACAATAATGCGACAGCCAATGACCAACAGTGGTTTGATCCAGGTCGTGCGGTAAGGTTGGCTTAGTAAGGGCGAGTAGGGCGGTACAGCGTAAGCAACCGGGATTGTTGATGATTCTAGCGACCGAGAGTTAGCAGTGGGGTCCAATAGTAGGCCGTTGTGAGGAACTTACTCCTCTAGGCCGGGGGAAATCCGATTCTTCAGACCATTCAAGTCATCAGCAAGACGCGGGAAGCCCGGGATGCCAGGAGGCTGGGCGGAAGACATCTTCGCGGGGGAAACGATGCAGCTTTCGAAGCGAGACCGATGCGGGAACAGAGACTAAGACGTTTTGAGACGGGATAGTTAGTGTTATACTTATGTAGGTTGTTAGTTCAGGGGGACCTTAAGACAAGGCACCGCTGCGGGACCTCATCGACGGGGTGGAGCGCGAGGCTTTGTTCACCCGCTGTGATTTGCGCCTTGCCATCAGTTTTCAGCTCGCAAAGGTACACTACAATGGTGGATCATCGCCATGTTACACACTGGTAAACCGGGCACTTCCAAATGCGGTCTGCAGTACAGCAGTCCACCCCCTCTTCAACTCTCACAACATTTGCCACCGGCTTTTTCGCCCATCTTGGACCGGGTTTTCGGTCAATAAGAGGCTATTCCTGGAAAATTCCTTTAGCGGGGAGCTTGCAGAAGCTCAAAGATTCTTCATTTTCGGCCTGTAAATGCAAAAGAAAGGGACCACCGACCCTCGATTTACCCCTCCTGAATTCACCCCCAAATTTCACACTGGAGCTTTGTATAACCCCCTCTTCGCTCTTCCTTCCCAACAGCCCCCAAAATGCCCAACCATACGGATAGCGCATTTGGGAGGGCGCGGGCAGCACCGAGTGTGCCCGCTTCCAGGTTTCTCCCCTTCGTGGCTTCTAATTACATATTACCTATGGAGGGGGCACCTAAAGAGACTTTGTGCATTTGCATATCTTTTTTTGAGGTTGTCTAGTAAAACTCCCGGAGGAAGTGGATAGTAAGATTTTCGGTCATCATTTACATTCTGGAAGTCTTAATTACCGTATTCATATATTGGATGTCAAATGGCTGTCCTTGTAACACCGTCAAACTTTGTTGATTCGAAACCGTAACGTATCTTATAAGCGAGTGACGCATATAAGCGAGTGGCGCACTGATAAGGGTTGCACTGAAATTTTGCTACAGCACTAACACCTGGGATTAAACCGGGAATTAGCTCTTAGTGTGACAACTGAATGTCAGTAGAGCCCTTATCAGTGCGCCACTCGCTTATATACGTCACTCGCTTATAAGATACGTTACTATGTTTTTAACAACTGTTGACCTCTCTATCGCCCAACTTGATATTGTGACTAAATGGTCTGAAGCGCATGACTGGGAATCATATCTCTTCTCAAGCGGCGGCTAAAATCTGGCTTGTCAACCCATACACGAGCAAGATACAATAATCAATGGGAAATTTACGTCGGTCGTCATGATAGCTGTGCCCTACAGATGGAACGTCCTCTACATTTTCAACATTCGTCTAGCTCCCATCATGACAAACCCGAGCAAGTAATTGACTCCAGAAGCTCAATTTACAGACCACTTTCGCTTTCCATTCTCCTATTCAAGCATTACTACATGGTTTAGCCACCCGAACACTTCCCCCCTTATCCAAATTATGAACATGAAGGTTAAACTCGACCCCCTCACCCACGAATCCACGACCCTTGCTGACTTACTCGCTCCTCGGCTTCAACTTACAAACAACCCCCTTAGTCCGATAAAACCACCTCGAGCAAGTCCACCAGTCCTCATTCGGATCCTCCAACTCAATATCAAACGTCGCCATCAACGTCGGCACAACCTTATACACCTCCATCATACTCAAATTCCGCCCCAAACAAATCCGATACCCGCCCCCAAACGCCAACAAACTTTGCCCCCACCTCTGCATCCTCTCCTTATGCGCCTCCTCACTCTCCGCATCCCCCCGCAGCCACCGATCCGGGTTGAACTCCTCCGCATCCTTCCCAAAAACATCCGTATTCCGCCCCACAATGTAAGGGTTCATCCCGACCATCTGGCCTGCGGGGACAACGCTGCCGTCGGGGAGGGTGAGACCGCCCTCGGGCACGATGCGTTCCATGATCATGGAGACGGCCGGGTGGTAGCGCAGGGTTTCTTTGACGACGGCTTCGAGGTAGGGTAGGGCGCGGGCTTTGGCGTGGGAGGCGGCTTCGAAGGGAACGAAGACGGACCGGACTTCGGTTTGGAGTTTGGTGTAGATGCGCGGGGACTTGAGGATGTGGTAGAAGAGGGCGCGCATGGTTATCGCGGTTGTGTCTGCGCCGGCGATCACTGGGATGGGTTAGTACTCACTGGCAAAAAGTATTGGAGCGGTAAGAGGATTGAGAGACTAGGGACGGGTACTTACGATTGAGGAGGAGATATCCAATGACACTCCCGTCATTGACCAGATCAGGGTGCGTCGACTTGGACTCGATAAAGTACTGCAGGAAGTCGGGCTTGCTCTCGTCAAAGTTCTTGTCCTCGCCCTTGAGGCGGGCGGTCAAGTTCTCGACAGCGATGCGGGTGACGTTACCGATGTTGGGCGGGCCGATGGGGTAGATGGGGTTCTTGTCGAGGATGTAGTCGGTCCAGGGCATCTGTCCGCACAGGGCGAGGTAGTCGATGGACTTGTCTGCGATGGCCAGGGTGCCGTCGAAGTCGCAGCCTTTCTCCATGTACCCGAACTTGGTGCTGAAGGTTGTCATGCCCATGAAGTCCCATGCGTCTGATCAGAATGTTAGGATATTGCGAAACATTCACGATGATGTTGTTCTTCGACAGGCAACTTACAGTAACTCAACCAATCGCCAAACTCAACCGTCTTCTTAGGCTCAACATAGCGCTTCTGCAAAGTATCCATAAACTCATGAATGACCTTATCCATCAGCGGCTCCATGACCAGCACAGCCGGCACCGAGTAGTGGCGCACGACGGGGCGCTTGATTTGCGCGTGGAGGGTTGGGTCGACCTCAGAGAACATGTGGTAGGTGATCTTGCCATCGATGATGGAGCTGCTGTTCTTGTAAAAGTCCGACTTGATCCACTTGCCGTCGGTGCCGTAGATGACGCGGTACAGCTCCGGGATGTCTAGGTCTAGCAGGTTCGGGCCGATGCGTACGATCGGGCCGTACTTTTCGTGTAGCTTCTTCATCCGGGGGGCGTACTCGCCCGAGATGACTTGCCAGACACGCCATAGGTTGGTCCATCCTAGAGATAGGTGGGTTAGTCTTAGAGTGATGGGTGAAAAGTGGTGCAATCGATCGGGGAGTTTTGCCTGTCCACGAGAACGAGCACGAATAACGTACCTGCGAGGAAAGGACCGGGGTACCGTTTCAAAGGGGACGTTTGATACGCAACAAAGAACCAGAGGAAGACGGCCACAGCTGGGGCCAGAATCAGAGCGGTGAGTTTCGTTCCCCATGTGCCGGCAAGCAGCCAGGTCGAGTCTGGGCCCGACACATCGTCAAGGGGTAGCCACCCACGGGCGGCTGGTGAAGCAGATGCCATGTGGTTATTGTGGGTGTTGGCTGAAACGTGGTGGAAGCGTACAAGGGTCCGTTCCTTTAAACTTAGTCGGACAACTCTCGTTCACCTGAAATATTTCTCTCTTTTTCCTCGGCCACGAAGTCGAGGTAATACCGAGATAAAGGAGAAGAACCAAAGCAAAGCGATAAGGAGGAGCACAACAGATAAGTCAGACAAAGAATCAACTGACTGACGGCGCGGTGCAAACCACTTATGAACGAAACGCCCACACACCTCGGAGAAGATATGCAGACCAAGAGGTGGAGTTCACGTTATTGCAACTTTTGTTTCTTGCAGTACGCCCATGAAAGGGGGGAGGGGGCCAGGTTCCCAAAATCCATCTCGGCTTGGCCTGGTTCCCCGTTGCGTTTTAGCGGGACCCTGCGGATGGAAGGGGGTTACAATGCAGGGCGTAGACGAGGTTAGAATGGCCCGCTTGGGATCACACGAATGCAGATGTGCAATATCTGCGGCCGATCCGACGGGACGGAGTGCAGCTTGTTGCCCGCTAGTTTGTGAAAGTCGCAGATTGCGAAGAGGCTACTGCAAAGGGAGCTGTTGGCGACTAGTGATATGTACGCCAAGTGGTGGCAATGCCAAGTGTGCCTGCTTGTTGCAGCTCCGAAGGTGAGGGGTGAGGTGTGTGGCATTTTATCCTGATTCACTTGCTGGTGTATTGGTTTGTTGGGGTGGTGTGCTGTGAAACCGGGGCGTTGGTTGGTGGGCAACCGAACAAGATGTCGGCTGTTGTGTCGAAGTTGAAGTGCCGTGAGATGGTTTCCATTCGAGATCTGTGAGACCTACCGGTGAGGGGCGATTGAAGCATCTCCTTCCCGGATCTGGACACGGACCTCCCGCTAGACACCCTCCTCTTCGACCTCGTCCCATCCTTTGCTCCTTTTTCTTTTCCTCCTCTGTCCGGGTCTATCACGACATTCAGGACCACGAGCGCTAGTCGATCTCAACCTATGTAGGTTGGGAAGGGATTCAACAGGAGGGGGGCGCTTCCTTTTGTGTCCTTTCCCCTGCCTCTCTGAGGCAATGAGAAGAACGGCTTTTTCTCTGTCCACTGTAGAATCGCCCTACATGGTTCGTTGTCTGGCTTGGGTCGTTTTGGAAGAGGGACACAAAGGACCCCTCGGAAAAAGCTCCTCGTGGGACAAGATGTGTCTGCAGGGCCAGCACTGCACTGTAACTCCACAAGTTGACGCACAGCAGGCGCTAGTCTCGGCCCCACAAACCGGCCCCTACCGGCTGGTGCTGAGGTCCAACGATGGACCAACGGACCAATCAGGAGGAAGAAAAACAACACGGCAGAGGTTTCCTCGATCCCCCACTGCAACAGGGCGGCTCAGGGCCACCTAACGTCCCATCGGAAGCTCCCCTCTTCAATCCCTCCACCACGCTGACCGAAAACAGCCCTCCAATTCGTCGTTGCGGCTCGAGGTGTGTTTCTTTCTCGACGTCCATCTCGATAAGCCCAAGCCGAAATCGGCTTGGAACGCGGTTTCGGATCAATGTTCCGTCTCGGGATCCGTCTCCCTCCGAGCGTCGCGAAAGGCGTTGTTACGGTTGGTGCTGGAATCGCTTCAGATTCCTTTTTGTGTTTGGACTTGCATTGACGATCGGTTGACCATTTTCTCCTCAGCAGGTTGTTCTCGTCGCTTTGGTTTCCTCACGGGCGTTCAATTCCACCCCGGCAAGTTGATAAGATCTCCAAGACATAAGACCGTCCGAAGCAATTATTTGGGGGTCGGACACGGTGTGCCTGCAGCTTTCGGGCGCATGAACCTCCCAGCGAGGCGCATCCCCGGATCGTGCCAAACCATCGGTGTTGGTCGCAGTCCTAAAAAGTCCTGCGGCACTGGATTGTGGTAACCGAAACCCGCCAGTCTGGGAACCGGGACGACGGGAATTTGTGCGGTCTCGAATTCGCACTTCTTGGCCGATGAGGATGACACCTTCTGTTTCTAGAGTTTTAGGCATTATCTCGAGGAGATCTTCAAAGCCAGAAGGGCCGGGTGCCTTTCTTTTGTGCGTTTTTGGAGCGAGTCTGGTTCTACGAGCTGAAAGCCGAACACCTCAATGTTGTCAACTGAAGACATGGCTGGGTTGGTGTTTCTTTGGCCCTCAAGCATAGGAGTTTCAACTCGCTTGAAGGTTGATGCATCACTGCAGCGAACCACTCATCGAGAGGTTTCTTTTTGTTTTAGTCTTGCGCCACCTTTCCAAGCGACAATTCTCGGGGGCAATTTTCACCATGGCCCCACCAATAGTTGCTGCGCGGATCTCGCGATGGAGAAAGCTGATGTTGCGCCTGATAAGCAGCCTACCCGTACCTGTATGTACACATGCAGTGAGGACGTCTTGGGGTTGAACAGTCAATATGTAAGGAGAGACGGTCACATTTATCGACAATGAGCAAAACCCACTAAAGAAGTGCCGAAGAGAACGGTTAACGGCGACGTTCCAAACTTAACACTGTGGGAAGTGTCCAAAATTGGCGACAACGGGCGGGAGCGGGAGTGTCAACGGTTGTTGCCGTCCTCCCGCAACGAAGTCGCCAGGAAAGACCTGCTAAAATCCTAATCAGAGGTAGGGATACCCGGTTTTGATCAGCCTGGGCAGCCCCCACGTCTCATCACCTTGGAGGCTAAATGTCGACAATGTCCCCTCCTCAGTGGGGGGCTTCGAAGTTCAAGCGAACATTGGCTTCTCACTAGTACGCTGGAACCGAGAATGCCGAGTTTCTGCTCTTGAAAAAGGCCGGGCAAGCTGTTAGCTATTTCTTCTTGGGGAGCTAACTTTTGCTGGGTTCTTTGTTTTTCCCTTCAGAGCCGCCCCTCAGATGGCGCAACCGCTTGGCGTGGGGGAGCCAAGCTACCCAAGCTCCTGCAGCCGCCAAGACAGATGTTGGTTCAGCAGGGTGTTAGGCAACTGAGTGAATCCGAACCAAAGAGGTGCGCAGGGATCATCTTCCCGTGTGCTGAGCGTTCGTGACATCTCCGTCTGCCCCCCCCTCTGTGCTTTCACACTTGGTTGGCTCCTTGCTTCGTCACTCTCGCTTGACATTTCCAGGATCCAGCCTGTGGGTAACTCGCCTCGCTGCCCGTGCCGTGTCGGTAGGCGGAGCCTATCAGCACGTCCATGAGGCTCACAACAGGTTCCAATCCTCAGCTTCGCCCGTTTTGGCTTGGGGTTTCAAGGACTCGGAGAATTGCGGCTGGAAACCCCCTTTGAAGTGCGGCCGCGAAAGAAAGAGAACAAGACGCACGCTTGAACGAAAGCAAAGATGATCAGCCTCGCCGTTGAATGAAGGTTTGGGCTACAGCACGGGATGGTGAACAGGGAGGCTTGAGACGGGATTGGCGGTTTCTATCGTCCCGGATCCCAGGCTGCGAGTAGCAACTGAGCCAGAACCTCCCGAGTGAGTGGGAAACCTTTGTTTTGTTCCGGCAATTCTTAGTTTTGCCTCCCTCGTTTCTGCGGGTTTCAGACGTAGGTCGGCGTTCTTGTCCAGTCCATGGGCAAATACGCCGCGGCCTTCTTGTCAACAGCGATCGACATCATTTCCGTCTTGCATCGACTCAACGCACCCAGGGGAGGATCTCTTGGGGGACAGCGCGGGATGTGAAGAGGCAACACAGCGAGTAGCTAGTGTGTGTGAAAGAGGCGTCGACAGGGTTGCTTCACACTGAGCTCCTGCCTACTGTGCGACTTTGCGATCGTTGTCTCTGATACAAGACCCTATGTTGTCGACACGATAACCTGAGGCTCGGTGGTTAATAACTCCCGCCAAACCCCATCAACGGAACTCTTGTTTCGACGTCACTCTTTCCATGGTCATCCGGTCCTTTTGATCCCTCAGCAAACACCAGTGGCATCGACGCCTATTCCTTTTACACGCTCCTTATATCGAAAAAAATTACATTCTTTGCCCAAGTCCTCACCTTCTCTTCGACACACCCGCCAAACCCAGATACCCACCGGCAAAATGACTCTCAAAGGCGATGCCCCCTGGGCGCTCGGCGTCATGTGGATGCTAGCCGGCTTGGTGTTCTGCTTCCTGATGCTGCGCCTCTACACCCGTATCGTCTGTCTCGCCTCCTACGGCATCGACGACCACGTCTATCTCACAGCCTTCGTCTTCCTCATCATCTTCACCATCTTCACAACGCTCTCGGGCCACTATGGGTTCGGCCAGACGATGGAGGAGATCGGGAGTATGGATATGGTGGTGAAAGCGACACTGTACGAATGTATCGGCCAAGGGTTTGCGATTGTCGGCATGGCCATTGCGAAGGCTTCGCTGGGGTTCTTCTTGTTGCGTTTGGTAACGATCCAGTGGCATAAGTTTGCGATTTGGTCTGCTATGACGCTTGTCATGTTGGCTTCCATTGGTGAGTTTCTCTGGCTAGAGATAACAGTTGGGTAATGTTGATACTAACTTCCAACAGCCCAGGTCCTCTGCTTCTGGCTTTCTTGCGTGCCTCTCAACTTTGTTTACGACCGCCGGATTCCGGGCGGTTACTGCCCCATCGACACCCACCCGACCTCTTACATTCTTTGCAGTAGGTTCTTCAGACGGTGAGGCAACGATGTGAACACATAGCTGACACAAGGACACAGTTTCTACGATTCTCGTCGACACTTTCTTCGCTGTCTTCCCTTGGATCATCGTGTGGCCGCTCCAGATGCCGCAGCGTGAAAAGTACACCATTGCGGGTAGTATGAGCTTGGGTTTGATGTAAGTACCGCCCAGCCTTTTACCACAAGAACAGAAGCTTACAATGTGTGCTTAGCGCCGCGGCTGCCGGTATTAAACGCACCACTGAAGTCGAGGGTCTCTACACTCCCAACTACCTCAGTAAGTCCTTTTGCTTCTCCTCTTTTTTCCGCCGACGTAGGCTAACAACCAAACAGAGGACAGCGTCGGCCTAATCGTCTGGTCCTCCGCCGAAATGGCCATCACCCTCATCTGCATCGGCATCCCCGTCTGCCGACCCCTCTACAAGCGTGCCTTCCGCCGCATGTTCGGCGAGTCCTCCTTCTCCGCCAACTACCCCAGCGGTAAGAAGTCCAACAACACAGGCGACAACAGCAAATCGGGCGAGAGCAACAACAAGCGCAACTCCGTACCCCTCCGCACCATCGGCGGCGGCCTGATCGGCTCCGACGGCAAGCCCCTCCAGCGCGGCCACGTCCGTAACTCCCGCCACATGACCGACGACGACACGGTGGTGGATATCGAGCGGGATCTGCACCAGCATGACAGCCGTGGTGGTGCGGGTAGCAGCTCGGATGATGTGAGCTTCACGGATGTTAAGTTGGGTGTCAATGGGCCGTTTACGACGACCACAGTGGGCGGCGGCAATACTCTAGAAGTTGGCACCGGCAGGCGGGACAGTGCGGGTGGTCATGGCCATACAGGTGGGCATGCGTCGGATGAGGAAATGCTGGAGGAATACCGGAACCGTGGGGATTTGGAGCAGGGGGGCGTGGGACATAACGGCATTATGGTTACGGAAACGTATAGGGTGGAGAGGTCGTGATGTTTTCTCGGTGGTGGTGGGCTCAAGGGCTGTTAAGCTCTTGGCGCTCGCCAGCTCAAGCGGACAGCAACCAAAATGTGTGCGTTTTCTTTTGGACTCCGCCTATTTTTGGAGGAGGTTTTTGTTTCTTTTCCTGGCTTGGCAAGGCCCTTCTTTAAGCGACCAGCGACCCTTCTTTTCGTTTTCACCGTTTCTAGACATTCTTTAATGCTCGGTGTTGTTGAGGGAGTTGTACGGTTATGTAGGATAGACCGAAGTTATGAATGTGACCACGGACGTGTTATGAACTTGACTCTGTTAATTAGTTCGCATGGCGTGGGGGTTGACGATTGTATTTTCGGTGATCCGCTGCGCCATGCAGCTTGGCGCGGGAGGTGTCTCAGTCGCTACGAGATATGAAACAGGTGATATAGGTGGCGTCGGTCAATCGATTCCGGAAGCTGGGGTGGTGCTGTAAAGTACATTACGCTTCGTACACTACATGGAAGTAGTGAACGTAGGGCGGAAAAGGCTGCACGTGTAAAGTAATCGCTAAATGGGGGTGGTTCCTTGAAGCGTCGAGCAATCGGATGTATTTATCTTAACGACCAAATATCTTGTCAGGCAAATCCAGCGCTGACTAATAATTAACGCCTAAAGGACAACCAGGGCAGGTGGCAGTATATAAGGAAGGTTCGTGGTCGTAGTTTCCAACAACAAAGCAAATCACGAGGATCGCCCCCCTGCTCGTAGCGTAGTGGTTAAGAGCTGTGTACCTAGTCGGTCGCTTCCCAGGGTGAAAAGGCTCCCCTGGGATTCGACTTACCACAGTTCTCTTTTTCGAATCCTGTTCGTGTCACGTTTTTGACCTTTTATTTTTTTTTTTTTTTCACTTTGATGTAGAGGGACTCCACTGGTATCAGAAATAAATCGGGCATTTTAACCATGCATGAATTCAAACTTTATGGCTCTTATCCACAGTACGGGAGATAATGATAAGCTAGCTATTCAAGTATGTATCATGTTCTATGTCCGTATTTCAATCATTGGAAAGCCAGGGACAATAACAAGAAGCTCATCGCCCCGTCAACTGCTATCGATCCGCTTGGTGGGAGAGTGAAGGCGCGACGAGACGACGCTCTCAACTCACCCGCCCAAGTTTGAGGTCTGCACAATTGCCAGCAAGTATTTGCTGAATCGCAACCATGAACAGTCGCCGCCTACCCTTAACCCGCTTCATACACACGCTGTGGCAAGCCTTATTCGGGACCTCGACAGTGATGTCGTGGCCTCTTTAAACAGGATTTGCCAGATACAAAGCATTCGAGACCATTTCCCTCTGCATCTCGCCCGGCTAACGGCGAAACCGAATGTGTTCCAGACAGACCAGGCCCCCAAAACAGCTAACTAGACAGCCTCAGACAGTCCCTCGTAGCGGCATCTCACAGCCATCTCCGGGAAGGCCACAACACACTCCGAATGACGACACAATCACGCCTGCTTTGCGCCACAGTGACTGGGTCCAATCAGTCGCGTTCTCATCAGACGGTAGCCGACTCGCATCTGGATCACACGCTATCTGTATCTGGGATATGAAGTTGGGAAATGAGATCCAGAGGCTTGACGGCCGGCCACAGCGGCTCAGTTCAATCCCGCTGCCCTCGGCAGTAACCCACGGCGATCTGCTTAGCCTTTGGGGTTGAATACCACGGTCCGGATGGAGGCGGTATCATCCTCCTCGCTGCGCCGGGGCGTGCCCTCCGCGGGGTCCAGTTCCTCGTTGCCGTCGCTGGTGTCCTCTAGCGCGGTTGTGAGCTCAGCAGACAGCTCCTTCCGCCTACCTTCAAAGTAGGCTTGGAGTCTGTGGATTCCCTCCAGCCAGCGCTCTATCCTAGTCAGCTGGGGCTGGGGGGCGGTGTTGGCATTTTCCTCGGCGGCGGGGGTGTTGCCGGGTTTCTTGCGCTCCTTGCGGGCTGTCCGCTTGGCTTTTCGCTCCGCGTCGATCTTTAGGCGCTCGGACTCGTATTTGTCCAGGGCCTTTAAGTCGATCGTTCGGAGTGGGCTGTCCGATAGAAGCGGGATTCTGGCTGCTACTGGGCGTGTTGGGGCGAGCGGGCGGATTGGGGAGGTCGGGAGGACGGATGGCTCCACCGCAGCGTGACGGGCCGCATGACGGGCCTTTCTGGTCTCTCTCCTGGCATCTTTGAGTTCATGCTGGAATCTGCACTCGGTTCGGGGAGGCCGGTTGAGGTTGGGAGCGGGGCAGCCGATAGATTGGCATGCCTCGCAAAGCTCCGTAGCACGGAAGTCTGGTTTATTATGTTAGTCTGTTTTGGCTTCTCTCCCTTTTCTTGCTTGTCTGTAAAGGGGGAAAGATGAGGCTGACGTACGGAGAAAGTCCTCCCCGCAGGGTCCCTTGGGACATTTGGGGGGTTTGCGGAAGAATGTGTTGATGAAACTGGGCTGGTTGCAGTACTCATCACACCAGGTGTAACTACGCGTAAAGGTGCGTTTGACGATGGTGTGGCCTTCTACCTCCGCGAGGGGAAAGTGCTTTTGCGAGTCTTTGTCGGCGCCCAGCGACATCTCCCTGGCATGGTCCTCACAAGGACTGATTAATTATATGTCAGTCTGGGATTGTAACTTCGTGGTTGGGGAGGTTAAGTGTAAACTTACCACCAGTGGAGAATAAAGTTCCGTGCGCACATGGTTGCGGTGGATAGTGATGGAAGGTATAATTTGATGAGGATGATGTTTTGGTTTTGGATGGGATATTTCCTGCGATTGTTCTAGGAAAGACGGATACACAAGTGAAAAGATCGAGCCATTTTTAAGGGGATTCCCAATCCATTTATACTCCGGCGAACAAGAGGTATGGGCTGCCCGACTGGCGTAAGGTTCGACCTGCTCGAACCTTATGAAGGGTGCATAAGGGACCTGCCAGTCGTCATGATATGACGCAAGATTCTCGTACTCTCGATCACTAACTATCTCTAGATATGACCTGAGATCAGACATGCATACTGCAGACAAGGCTTTTTTTAGAAAGTCCTAGCTTGGGAAACGGCGAATAGGCTCTAAGGTTACCTATGCTGTTCGCTCGAGCGGAAATGGGGACCCCTTCTCCCACGTTGACAACCACATTGATGTATTATTGGATGGCTTATAGTACCGAACAAAGTGAAAAGCAATCCGATCCTCTTGATTGGGGTATCTGAACCTAACTCGTACAACACCACCTAGTGCGTCTAAAAATAACAAAAAGAAAAACTGACAAAAAAAAGAAAAAAGAAACTGACACTCAAGACCCCTTCCACACGTACACCTCCTCACTCACCACTCATACATACCCAAAACCATACAACCCTTCATCCTCTTTAATACGCCCTCCTCCTCGCAGGCGTAACCTTCATCATCCCCCCACCAGTCCCCGTCCCCGCAACAACCGGCGCCGAAGTCTCCATAGTCGTAGTCGTCGTAACCGTAGTCCTTCCCGCCCCATTACCACCTCCCTCTCCCATCGGCACCATCACCGGCGCAGGCGCCACAGCCACCACCCCCTGCGCATTCCCCATCGCCATAGCCTCCACAGCCGCCTTCGACGCCCCCAACGAAGAAATCATCAAGATATTCGGCTCGCCCAGCTTATTCTGTGGAAACCGTGAGTTGAAACCGATTACGTCACGGACTTTGAGGAAGGTCTCGGGGGCTATGGCCATACGGGCCGCGGACACGAACCAGCGCACGCCTTCGGTGCAGGGCGGGGTGGTCAGGGAGCCGGAGTAGGATTGGAAGGTGTTGGATTGGGCGGTGAGGAGGGTTTGGAGGGTGGAGGAGAGGGGGAGGGCGGGGGTGGTGGTTTTTGTGCCTGGGGTGGTGATGGAGGTGATGGTGGAGAAGATTGATTCGAGGAAGGGGGTTGGGGTCAGGGTGGAGTTGTTGGCGTTGGCGTTGTTGTTGTTGTTGGTGGTGGAAGGGGGGGCGATGTTGATGTAGACGCCGATGACGGCGACTTCTTGTTGGGTGCTTTGGAATACCATGTGCATTTCCACTTGGGATTGTTAGCGCGGATGATATAAAAAGGGGGGCTGAAAGGAGGAAGGAAATACACACTCGCTTGGCTGGTACCGTTGTCGAGGTGCTCGCTGGGAAGATGGAAATGGAACTGCTGCAGCTCGAAATCTTTGTTGTCGACCTTCAGTGTGCCACCTTTGGCGATGACCTCGACGGTTGTGCCGAGATTCTCAAACTCGGCACCCTCGGGAATATCCGGGATCGACAGCTGGATGTCTGAGCTCTTCATCAAGGTGAACTGCCCGTCGATCATGTCGATGGGCGACTGGTGAGTGCCTGTCGCGCAGCCGATATTGGCTGGCGACTCGAGCGATGCCCAATTCAAGGGGCCCTGTGCTTGTCAGTCGACTGTTCTCGTCGTCATCGGTGTAAGTCAAGTTGGGGGTATGGCATACATTAAGACCGGTGTAGCCAAACTTGTTAACCTTGACGGTTCCGTCCTCGGCCCGGGGTGAAAGAAAGGTCCCGTGGGCGCATGATGCGAGCGCCTGCGTCGCTGTTACCGCCAGGAGTAGGGCTTGAAGAGAGAAGCCCATGATGAATGAATGAAAGGCTCGGAAAACGAAGGGTATAAGGAGCGTCGTAAAAACCTTGCGAGATAACTAAAAGGAGTGTATCAAAGCGAAACGAAGGTCCCAGACCGTTGCCGAAGCCAACAAAACAGAAGTGAAGAAAATAACGAAATAGAAATGAAAACAAGAACAATGAAGAAAGCAATCCCGTCGCTCATCCCGCAAAGCCAAAAGGGCGACAGATCCTCTATGTATGTAGCCACAGCACACGACCAGCCCGACGGCATCGACACGGCCCCTGGGCGCAACCCCGTGTTTGGGTCCAGGGGCCGGCCCCGTCCCTCCCGCGCTCGGCCACGGCAGCCTCGGCGTCGCTGACAAACAGAACAGCGCTGACGAATAACACACACAAACACCACCAAACACCCCAAATCGAGAAATACGATATAAACCTCCTCCGGGAGCTCAGGCAAAATCAGGCCATTTCTCCTTATCTTTACACTTTACTCCTTTCCAAGGGGAAGCCAAGCGTAAGAGCTGGCGCGCGTCGTGCAACTGCTGCTACAGCCAAGGCGTGTTGTGCCGCAGCATCGCGAAGCTTGGCCAGCTTGGCCGACTTGGCGGCCGAATCTGAGGAAAACCAGACCGACCGGCCAGTCTTTATCGGTGGGCACCAAAAACGGTCGAAATAGGGGGCAGGCTTAAGTGTCGCCTAAGAGATAGGGAATGCGAAGGTTGGGGGCTGGATCTGTGCGGAGGAGTCCTAATGGGGGTTTACAAAGAATTCTCGACTGGGTGGTCATCAAACGGGCGAATGTACCGACACTTTGGGACGACCTGGACATTAGTGTTGAACGATTAAGGGCCAAAAGTTGACGTGTTCGGCAAAAGCCCTCTCGGAAAGGGGCCCGGATCAAGTGTTCGGTGCGTCAGACCACCCGTTCGAGGTGGTTCAAGCGGTCCATGCGTGTCGGTCCTGCCAATGGAACTCGGACGGGTATGAAACAGATTACCGGATTAGGAATGTGGGCATCAAAGAGCAAGAGCAGACCCCAGTTGATATGCTCGAGGAGTCGCATTGGAAGTCGATGAGAGCATAGAGGTTGCTGCACTTGATGCAATTCTTCGGATGAACACCAATGACATGGGACAAATGCTTGTTTGGCGAGTTGGCATCATGAGATAGAGATAAAGGTCGCCAAGGTTGTCGCCGTTGAATGTCTCGGGTCTGGCTCCGAATAATGCCAAGCGTACACCCGAGACATCATTGTCTCGGCCAGAAGCTTAGCATTTGGGGGTTGCTTGTTGCAACTTCGCAGGTGAAATTAAGGGACGCTGAGTAATAGGCATTCTATGGATGACTTGGCGTTTAGAATTCAAGACGAATGACTTGGTTGATGATTATATCAACTTCTTCTAAGATCTGGGAAGTCCATGTTGATGTTTCGGGGGCCGGTTCCTTATCAAGCCCGGTTGATTCTCTGTGGGTTGTCGTGATGTGCTTGGCAGCAGAATTTGTGGTGTCTTTTATGCCAATGACACGACGTAGACACATACAACAGGCCTTCGGCGGGGGTTTCCAATTTAAGATGAATTCGAAAGGAGAGCAGGAGTTGACGATGTTTGGATTCAACTGACATGGGGTTCTTGTCGTCGATTGATAGCTGATTACTAGCAAACAGGCATTTCAATTGTCGAGGAATGGAACTTGACTCTAAAAGGAGGAAAATTGATGCAGTACGATGCAATTCCCGTTCGGCCGATGCTTCGATCTTGCTCGTTGAGGTAAATGGTTGATATTGTGGCCGATGGTGGTTTTGGCGCTCCAACTGGTGCCAAGTTGGTATTAGGCAGACACAATAGAATGGGTTTGCGGCGCGCCCTCAATTCCCAAGCCTAGACTAACGAAACCATCACAATTCCTCAACCATCCCTTACCGATTGTCGAAATATCCTGCCAAGATGGGTATCCGGCACGTTCAAAACCAAGGTATTATCCTCGGCCCAGTTCTGTGACACACGGAATGACTAACCCCCATGATAATCCAGGCAGTTCCTCAATTCCGAGCGCATCTCGGCCGAAGGCCATCAACACCCCACCAAGCCCAATCCATTATCCCTCAACCCCCTATAATTTCGAAGCCATCACCTCGAATCGCAACATCGCCTCGTCGCTATCGACCGATACATATCGCTCCTCCCGGAGTTAACGGGCCTTGGCGGGGTTCGGACCACGACAACGTGATCGCCGCTAAGATGGCATCACACCCAACTCCTCAGAATCAAGCGACGGAACACAGAACAGAGATAGCGATATCGGGTACGGCACGCCGCGAGACCCAAAAATCATCGGCTTTGTCATCAAACTGTTCGCATAGGACACGCATACGAGGGGTTTTGGGGGAGCGTTTGCAACGAACGGTTGTGGGTTGGCCTGTTGGTGTGAAGGCATGTTCGTGGTGCACGATGGCGACATCAACGGTCCCCACGCGGGGGGAACACGGGGAGCGCAGGGCACGACAACACCACATTGGCTGCGTGCTGGTGGGATGGTGGGTTTTTCGAGGGGTCGAGTCGTCGTTGAGCTCGCACGTCAGAGAGCTCGTGGTTTTCACCATTGCATTGAAACGGTGCGTGGTGGGCTGTAAAGGGTGGAGGTCGTCGACGAATGCGGAAATAGTCGTGCTGTTGCCGGATCACGCAAGACAATTCGATATCTCGGCCAGCCGAAAGCGAGAGCGATGAGTCGGAGGGGTTGGAATTGGAAAGGGGGTATAAAATGAGGCAATCCGGTGTTGATGAGGGGCAGTCTTGATGGCCAGAAGAGCAGTTTTGTGAACTCGCCGTACCCCGAGACGCCTCACGCAAACATTCCTCCTATCACTCAACCACACACCATACGTCAGGATGGCCCCCTCCGCCGTGGAGACCGCGCAGCAAACGGTCGAAACCATCAAGCAGAAGGTGTTGACGCACAATGACAAGCCCCAGACGATCTCGCTCAGCGGACTCCCTGAGGAGCCCCTGCCCGAGCGTCTCGAGGGCCACAAGGAGCCCCTGAAGCTGTCGGGTGCTTTGGACAAGTTCGAGCACTTCGACGTGACTCCCGTCATTGGCCGCGAGTATGCCAACGTCGACCTGGCTGAGCTGCTGTCCGCGCCCAACTCGGATGAGCTGCTGCGGGACTTGGCTATCACCAGTAGGTATCCTTAATTGCGAGGGTACACATACCCAAGGAGTCCACCATGGTGCTAACAAACACACCTACAGTTTCCCAGCGCGGTGTGGTCTTCTTCCGCAAGCAAGACAACCTCACCGATGACCTGCAAAAGGTGTTGGTCGACCGGCTAGGCAAGCTGTCGGGCAAGCCGTCAACGTCCGGTCTCCATATCCACCCCATCAGCAACGCGGCGCGCGATCACGGCGGCAAGGACAACGAGATCAGTGTGATTTCTTCCCAGCAGAACAAGAGACTATATGCGCACAGGTCCCAGGGTGCTCTCGGCGCCGGCCGTTGGCGCCAGAACGGCAAACGGGAGTGGCACTCGGACATTACGTTTGAGCCGGTCCCGAGTGACTATGCGCTGCTGCGGCTGACTGAGCTGCCCAAGACTGGTGGTGGTGAGTTCCCTCTTTCCCACACTTATTCTCAAACTCGAATCCACGACAGAAAGAATCGCAATGTGGACAACCACGCTAACAATCAAAACAGACACCCTCTGGGCCTCCGGCTACGAGCTCTACGACCGCATCTCCCCACCCCTGCGCGCCTTCCTCGACACCCTAACAGCCTACTACGCCCAACCACTCTTCAACGACGCAGCCAAGCGCAACAACTTCGACCTCTACACCGCTGAGCGCGGCGCGCCCGAGAACGTCGGCGAGGCCCTCGAAGCCGTGCACCCAGTCATCCGCACCAACCCCGTCACAGGCTGGCGTTCCGTCTTCGCCGTGGGCCACCACGTTTCCCGCATCCACGGCCTCTCGGACGAAGAGAGCAAGCACTTTTTGGATTGGTTTGTGGAGCTTGTTGCCCAGAACCATGATCTGCAGGTGAGGTTCCGGTGGAAGGACGTGAATGATGTGGCGATCTGGGATAATCGGAGTGTATTCCATGCGGCGACCCCGGATTATGTGTTTGAGGAAGGGCTGGGTGAGAGGAGGGGCAGTCGGGCGGTTAGTTTGGGGGAGAGGCCGTACTTTGACCCGGCGAGTACGAGCCGGAGGCAGGCGTTGCGGAAGGAGGCGCAGGCTTAGCTAGAATGGGAGCGAGTAATCGATAAATAAATGAATTATGCATTTGTGACATGCTTTGGCCCTAGGCCTCTTTTGTGTTGTCAATTCATCGTCTCAGCCACAAGAACCTGCTGGCATAAGAACCCTTCAAGGCGGTGCTGAATAATAATTTGGCACTTCGAGTTTCGAGGCTTCCCAACAACTCAACCCTCCAAAATAGAATAACTATAACTAAGCTACTAATTATGTCAAGAAATTGAAAGAATCAAAGGGGTGGGACGTAAATTAAGAAAACGACCAAAACGCAGTGTTAGTTCAGGATTATATTTCATAATCTACGCCCTCATCGGGCAATTAACTAGCGTAAAGAGCGAGTAAACAAGCCAAGTTGAATCTTGCTGTTCGAGTTACGTACCTGACCTTAGCTGAAGTCGATCTGCGATTACATTACTTCTCTTTACGATTTCCCATTCCCTTTCCTAGAGGCTTTTTATCGACAGTGGCTTGTATATTTTTAACACACCTTCTCATGGAAACCACTTCAATGTTCATCCCAGACTAACTAGTTACGTTAAATTTGTAAACCGAACAATACGTTGTGGCACCTTCGGCGAGTTTTGAAAGATGAAAAGACTGTGCTTAAAACTCCTGACAATCAGCCACGAAGGAATTATTAGAATGTACGCCCTATTGATCTCCTTCACACCACGTAAATCCTCCGGGCCAGCCATATTTTCTCACGAAGTACCGCGTTGAAAAATTATCAGAGACGATCCTTTCTGCGTAGTACCGATCCCGTTTTTCGATGCCGCAACCTCAATGCCTGGGTTACTTCCAACACCCGTATTAGGTAGGGATCGATCGCGCCCACTCTGGCTCTCGGCTCAGACCGCAAGGATAATTACGCCTTTTACCTTGTCCTCTATTTGTTTTGTTATCCTCTCTTTCCCATCCGAGATGCGTGCCCGAACCCGCCGAGCCGAATGGTGGGATTTTGCGCAATGCAAGTTAATTTACCCTCCATATTGACACCTGCTCGGAATGCCACCCGACTGCGGCAATTTCACAGCGCAAGAGAATAGCCGAACGGCTGCCCAAAATCTATTTACCCCGGGTTTTTGTGCAACGTGCCACCTGGGTTCCTGAATTATTCTCATGCATGGTAATAGAGCCTCTTCTTGGCTCTACTGCCAGTCCCTTCGGCACGGTGCGTCTCTGCGGGCTAAAATGCCGGCCGAATGTAACCTGGACAGGCCGGGATAGGCTCTCGCGAGGACGAGGAGGTTGATGTTGAGCAATTTTACTGTCCCGGTTATTGGAGCTGTTGTTTTTACAGTTGCGCTCAAAGGGGAGAAACTGTTATTATCCGCCCATGGGCATGTTATTTCCGTCTCAATCGCGGGAGCCGGTAGTTCAGGGGCCACAAACTTGGACGCATTTTGTTTTCTTTCGTGAGCTGCCGATATTAACTCGTACGTACATAATGGTTGAGAATTATTGCGCGGACTTTTCCCTCTACCCCTGGCTGATTGCTGGGCCTAGAATAGACATGCGTGATGCGAGGAAGAGCAATATAACATGACGGGAAAAGTGCTGTAGCCTGTCTCGCTCGGCTTCCGCGTTCTGACGAAGTGTAGTGCTGCTTGTCAACCACACCATCACCTGAACCGCGATGCGTTCCCTCACATTCCTGTTGGTGGTCCTCAGCACCATTGGGCTTGGCCTAGCCCAGCTCGAGGTCTCACCCGACGGCACCTGCGGCTCGACACAGCGTTACTCGTGTCTCGGCTCAGCCTACGGCAACTGCTGCTCGTCAACCGGCGAGTGTGGCTACACTGACGATGTATGTTTGACGGGATGCCAGGCCGAGTTTGGCCTCTGCGGCAGCGGCGTCGGCGGTCAGCCCAGCAGTACGACAGACCCCGGTGAGCCGTCAACAAGTGACGATACACCCCCAGAGGTCTCCACTGTCTTCGTCACCTCCATCATCCGAACCACCGAAGTCCAAAGCACCCTGGTGACCGTCACAACCACAGACGTGGAAGAAGTCACCACCACTATCCCGACCACCTCCGTCCAAACCAGCACCGTGATCGTCAACACCACCTCCACCGACTACACCACCACCACCTCCGTCAGCTACTCCATCGTCTTCGCCACGGTCTACAACACCATCAACGTAACTAGCACCTCCACCATCTGGCAAAACGCCACAACTACCACCACCCAAACCATCGACACAACCCAATACTTCAACGAAACCATCACCTCCACCCTCACCCAACCCATCACCATCACCTCCACCGCCGAATTCAACGTCACCAGCACCATCAACGCCACATCCACCGATTTTATCACCGAAACCACAACAGCCACACAAATCGAGACCGAAACCACCGAAATCCCTGTCACGGTGAACGTCACGGCCACGGATACGCAGTTCACCACGGAAACGGACCTCGTCACTGCCACGGAGCACACCACGGAGACGGATCTCTTCACGACCACTGCGGTGGAGACGCTGACTTCGACGGCGGTGTTCAATGAGACGGTGACGGTTACCGATACGGTTACTCCGTCTGCTCCGCCGCCTGTGACTGAGACAGAGACTGAGACTGAAACGGAGACGGAAACGGCAACGGAAACGGAGACTATCACGCAGACAGTGACCTTGCCGCCCGTTGACAGCAGTAGTAGTGTGCCCAGCAGCAGTGATACCCCGAGCAGCAGTGCCCAGCAGACGTTGACGTTATCCCCGAGTCCGGATCCTGAACCGGAGCCGGGCACGGAAACGGCTACGGAGACGGCGACGAGTGCTAGTCCCGCGGGGACGTTGACTGTTGGTGGCCCTTGAGCAAGGCGAGCAAGAATGTTTGGCCAAGCGATGTGACGGTTGATGTGGTGGTAAAGGGGACCAGGTTCCGCGTAGAAAGAAGAAAAAGAGAATGAAGGGTACGCTTGGTTTGGATGTTTTATATGTTGATTCGTGTAGTAATGTTTATAGTTCCAAGTTTAAAGAAGCGATTGATGAAATTACCACATTGTGGTTTGGTCCGAGGGTAGTTTCAACACGGTAGATTGTTCGCCGCGCTTGAAGGCCTCATTGTAAGGGTATCGAAATACATTTTTGTTCAGCTCGCTCTCTAACACCTACGCCCTGCACCCAGCCCAAGTCATAATAGGTACCTAGTGTTATCAACATGCGCCTACAGTCACCAAACCAACCCGAAAGTCCCGTACCGGCCTTTTGTTTCACACCAACCCCTCACCTCTCACAGCCTCACTTTTCTCCTTCCACTACAACTTCCGAAACACCGTACTAAAAATCTCCCGACTCTTGACCAAATTCAGCACCCTCAACCTCTCATTATCTAGATGCGCCGCATCACTCGCCTGTCCACACGGCAAATGCGCCGCCGGCGCGTTGAACTCTTTCTCAAGAAACCGGATCGGCGGAATCGACCCACCCTCGCGAATGTACAGTGGCTTGCGGCACTTAGGCTTGTGCTCACCATCCGTTGCGTTCGGCGGTAAGGTCACTGTGTTGCTGCTGCTGCCGCTGCTGCTGCCGTCTGTAGAAGTGCTGCTGCTCGGGGGAGCGATACCGCTCCACGCGCGCATCACCGCCTCCTCAAGCGTGCGGAAAATGTAGTTCCCCGGCACGCCTAGCCACGGCTCGGCTTTGTTGTCGATGCTCACGGTCAGGGTGTTGTCGCTACCGAACTGCGCGTACTGGTCCCGCAAGTACTCGCGCAGGGCCTCGATCACCTCTTCGACTTCCTGTCCGGGGACGAGGCGCACGCTGACGTTGGCGGTCGCGTGGCTGCTGATCAGGCTGCCGTCGGGACCGGAAACGTTGTATCGGTGGATGGTGAGGTTGGGTTCCCGCCAGCGGGCCATGAGGCTGCGCTTGAGGGCGTCGATGGGGCCGTGGGATGGGTTGCGCCGGATTAGGATGCCGGCGATTTCGTCGTAGCGTTGGTCTTCTTCCTGGGTCAGTGGCAGGATACCGTCGTAGAAGCCGGGGATTTTGACGTGGTTGCGGGCGTCTTTGAGGGTGCCGAGAAGGAGCGTGAGATCGGTTAGGGGTTCGGACAGGAGGTTGCTGCCGTCGACACCGGAGTGGAGATCTGGGTGCTTGGAGTCGATGCACACTGTTGCGTGGAGGACGCCACGCAGGCCGTACGTGAGGCACGGCACTTGGTCGTCGAGCCAGTAACTGTTGGCAAGCAGGACGTAATCGATGTGGCCGATCAGGTCCTTGTGCTTGTGAATCGTCTCCTGGAAGCCGCGCGAGCCGGACTCCTCCTCGCCCTCGATGACGAAAACGATGTCTGAATCGAGAACCTTAGCTTGCAGCAGGTCGGATACGGCGTACAATGCCGCAATAATCGGCCCCTTGTTGTCACTGACGCCACGCCCGTACAAGTACCCATCGCGGCCCTCCAGCTTGAAAGGGTCCGTCTGCCAGTTATCTCCCTTCAGATCGGCCGGGACAACATCGTAGTGCCCGTAAAACAGAATCCGCTTTCGCTTTTCCGCAGGCTCAAGCTTGCCACTAAATTTGGCAAACACAACCGGATTGTGAAGGCCGCCGGTGCTCAGCATTTCGACTTCGGCGCCCAGTTTCTTGAACAGCGAGCCGAGGTACGTGGCGCCTTTACGACAGTCCTCGGTGAACTCGGGGCGCGATGAGATGGTCTTGAACGAAACAAATTCCCGCAGCGACGTGATGAGCATATCTTGAGACCCATCAACTTCCTCCTCGGCCTGCGTGGGCATGCCGTTAACACGCCACACGCGCACCGTGTTGTCGTTGGCTCCTGTGATGAACAGCTGGTCGTTGGCGTATGTGGCCACGGCTGACGACAAGATCTTGGCATCATGGGCCTTCCATCGACTGAGGCATTGGTACTTTTGGCTGACATTTTGGGGAACTCCGTTTTTGTCCCGGCCGTAGTGGATTGTGCTGTGTTTCTGTTTTACGTTAGCTTCTGAAAATTCGACGGATCGCTTCAAGGTAACGTACCGAAGCCGAACCCCCAGTGGCACCACTCCACAGCAATCCAAAGCTCATCTTGAGGGTGTTGACGTTCCCGTTATGTGCCTTGATCACCCGTAACTTCTGCTTCGTGTCGAGATCCCACAACTCAATGATCCCCTGTAACTTCCCAGCATACAGGAATGACCCATCGACCGCCATCGACATAATCGACTCGCTATCATCATCACCCAACGTCATCAACTCCTCAATATCCCCTAGCACCCCATCGTCGTGATCTGGCCCCTCATCCGAAAGCCTCCATAGTTTGATGGTCCCATCCCCACCGCCCGAGATTAGCACCTCCTCATCCGGATCACCCAGCACAGTCGGCCCCTTTGCTACGAGCATGGAAAACACCCAACCATAATGCGCATACTGCCGGATGGCCCCCGCATCAATCTCCAGCACAGCCACAGCCTTGGGTATCCGCGCATGATGTTCCTCTGTCCGTCTGGGTGTCGACGTCCCACCGACCGCGCGCGAGTCAAAGAATCGATGTTGTCGTTTATCTGGATGATTGGCGGAATCGTGCGACACCCTCCGAGACGGGTCCCGCAGGCTAATCCATTGGATATCCTGCGTTTGTGTGCCTAAATACAGCGTCTCGCGTTGTGCGGAGTACGCGACGCTAAAGACGTCGCCGACGTCGTACGTGCTGTAGATCTCGTAGAGTCGGGTGAATGTTTTGGGGCACCAGACGCCGATAATGGGCTCACAGGCGCTGGAGAAGAGATACTTTTTGTCTTCGGAAAGCAGCAGGCAGAGGACGCTGCGTTTGTGTGCTTGGATGGTTTGGACGAGCTGGTAGGTGCCGAGAGACCAGACGGCAATCTCGCCTTTGCTCGTGCCCGCGAAGATGTAGGTGTCGGAGACGGCGATCGCGAGGACGGAGCCGTCGTGGCGGAGTTCCTGCAGTTGGTCGGGAGCGGTGTCGGGACAGCCGTCATCGAGCTCGCGGCCCTGGAGGCTCGCCATGGTCGGACTGGGGGGATCTAAACGTGTGAAAGCAGGCCGTTAGCGGAATTGGCCCGATGCAGAAAAGCGAAGGCTCCTCGGTTCGCCGAATTCGTTCGTGGTTCATGTGAGCAGGTCGCCCTGCGGTCCTCGAGGTGGAAGCTTTGCTGACGACATTTTGGGAAAAGCGTTGCAATGAGCTGTTCAGAATCGGAGACCCCGCCCAAGATCGAGCCCAGAACCCAGATTTGCAGGGATGACTTCCCCATGTTTCAGGGCCTTGGGGAGAGCCAACCCCACTAATCGATGGATTCCCCTGGGGGCCATCATGGAAAGCACCCCACGGAGCACGCCCTTTCCCCTCCCACCCAACTTGAATCTGCCCATTTCGTCCTGCCGGGAACTGACAAACTTCCGTTTGGGGATAACATTGGGGCGCGTGGACGTGTGTGCAACGTCTACCAGACCCTCAATGCGGCACGGAGCGAGCCGCTGCGTGGGGGTTGACAAACGATGGGCGGAAGCGATGACCAAAACGAGACAGAGGGCGCCATAACTAGGAAATATAAAAAGGTGCCTATGCCCCCAAGGAAGAAGAATCGACAAGCAGACTCGGGAAACTTACCGCGAGGTGAGGTTGGTTGTGGGCTCACCGCAACGGCAGTCGAAACCGCAGCAATCGCAGCCGCCGCAGCCCTGTCCCTCGAGATCTTGTCGCATCCTTGACAGCGCCCGGCTTGGCCATCGTCTTCCTCCGGGCGGTCACGACGCCACGGATCGAAACACTCGCGGAGAACCGGTACGTCCACGGCCATGTCGCCGTCGTCAGCGGAAGCAGATTCGGCCGTTGAACTGCTCGAAGTAGGGCGATTCGAGGCAGCACGACGCCAAACGAAATTCTGAGGCGCAAGACGCTGACAGCCGGAAGAAGGACCATCGCGGTTTTGTACCAACACCGACCCGCCCGAGCGGGCATCAGCGTGAGAACTAGGCAATTTGCGATCTTTTTGTTTGCACGACATATTATCGCCGGAGCCGAGACATGACGTGAGATCAGGGGCAGCGTGCGCCATTGCCGCAGAGCAAACGATCTGTGCCTTTTATTCTCTCATGTACCGGCGCGCACAGGTCGGAAGAAGAAGCACGGAAGCATCTCACCGCTTTTATGAGGAGAGAATCGGGCTCGGCGGGAATTGGGGAAGAGATTGAGAGTAAGAGGCCAACGAGCAAACACACATGCCGGCTGGTGACACGGCGGAGGGCCCAACGACGGGATCGGCAACGGCACGAGTGACGAAGGCAGCTGAAGGAGTCGGGAGTCCAGAGAGGAGGTCTACTGGTGACTCAAATACCTCCCTCATTGGCCGTGGCCACTTCCGAACCGGCGACATAACAGACGCCACGAAGGGCCCTGGGAAACAACCACGACCCGGTTCGTCAATTCCACGCAAAAAGGAACTCATCGGCAACGATGCATCAAAACGACACGGGGACAGATGGAAATGGACACGGCGTGGGACCCACCTGTCTGGGGAAGAGTCCACACCGAAGACCAGTGATACCACCCCGCTGCGGCCCGCTGCATGAGTGTTGGAGACACGCAACAGTGCCAGGAAGCGCGATTTACGCCGGAAACAGGCGCGAGAGGCCTAGCGTATTATTGGAAACTGCCCTCGTGTGTGTCCGAATTCGCCTCGAGAACATCAAGGGAACCTGCATATGCAATCGGAAAAAGACGCATTTCGTCATTCAAAATGGGTTGACCGATGTCCGAAGGCAAAGCAACAGGTCACGGCATTGACTTGCTCGAAGATCCCGTCATTTGCGAAAAGTGAGAAAGAAGTAGCAACTCACCGCAATTCTGGGTTGGAATTCTAGGAACGGAGTATCATACCTGTAGTGTTGGAGACGCTTCCAAGAACCAACATGCACAGCAAAGTTGTCGGTAAAATTAGTTACGGATAATCTTTGACGACTCAAACGCAGAATTTCCCTCCGACCTGGGTGCCAAAAAGCTTTTCACGCACCAACCGTGATTGACGAGCTCGTACCGCTCGACGGTACGCCTGAGTGTACCGAGATGATTGTACACCCTGACGCCGGATTTCCCGGCGCCATTTACAGGAAAAGAAGACTTTTATATATTTACTGTCAGAATTTCTGCGTGCCTCCAATTTGTTTGGGGTTAGGTTTAACTATCCCCGATAACTTATAACACTTACCTGCCTGAAGCCCCGAAGCCTCGATGTAAGAGGGGTGGTATTGTATTGGCCCTTTTTTCAGGGGAGCGGGAGGGATGGAGAAATTCGGCATGCTGAAGATCGGCCACGAAAACCGCCAGCCCTTCCCAAGCCGCCCGTTTCCCATCATCTCATCTTTTAATTCTCGCGTCCGTCGGCTTTCACAGTCCGCACTTTATGACTACTGCATCCCGGTGAGTCGCAGGGTATCGTGGGTTGTATATCTTGGCTTCCCCTCCCGAGACGATGTCATTGGCCATCATCCATCACGGAGACAAATATGACGCCGTGTGCAACTGGAAGTTCGATGTTTCCGAAGGGTAAGAACATCTTTCTGGAATCGGCGAAGCGGCAGACCGTGGGGTCGAATGGTCTGTGCTTCGGCGCTCGAGAAAGGCTTGGCATACTCCACAAGGCTAGGCGGTGGTCCGTGCTTTCACATGGAACAATTTTCTTTAGCATCTGAGATCATTGTCGCCGCCTTGAGAATTTGCAGACACCATTACGAATAACGACCGGCCCCGCCATCCGCCGACGACTCCGACGCGCATTTCCTAACCCCATCCCTAACGACTCGCTTTTTTTAGGAATCTACGTTTAGGCCGTTACTACGACTCCTCGAGCGACCTGCATCGAGCTGCGCTGGGCGCAACCTGACACGAAATCGACGACCTTCGAACCGACACGAAACCCCATAACTTCCCGTCACCATGGATCACACACGCGACCCCTGCCCCTGGGTCATTCTCAATGACTTTGGCGGTGCCTTTTGCATGGGTGTACGTATATCCCGCCCGGCCCCCAATCACTGTTCCGGCCTTCCGTCAACGAGCTACCCCGCGACTGAATTGTTCCCGCTATCAAGATTTCCCGTGAGGCGGACACACTCGCCTAACATCAGCTAACATGCGACACTAGGCCGTCGGTGGCACAATCTGGCACGGTGTCAAAGGGTTCAGGAACAGCCCGTACGGCGAGCGGAGGTTGGGTGCCATCACAGCGATCAAAATGCGCGCTCCGGTATTGGGAGGCAACTTTGGTGTGTGGGGTGGCATGTTCAGCACATTTGACTGCGCCGTCAAGGGGTTGAGGAAAAAGGAAGACCCGTACGTTCCGTCTTTAATTAGTCAACTCGAATTACCTCTTTGATGACAACGCTAACGGTTCTACAGGTACAATGCGATTGTTTGTACCCCTGCTTTCCATCCTTGGCGATATATCCAACTGACGCGAGACAGATTGCTGGGTTCTTCACAGGTGGTGCGCTAGCTATTCGAGGTGGATACAAGGCGGCCCGAAACGGTGCCATTAGTTGTGCCATCTTGCTGGCCGTCATTGAAGGTGTCGGGATCGGGTTCCAGAAGATGTTTGCGGGGGCCACGAAGCTCGAGGTGAGTTAACTGGGCAGGTCGAAGATTGCATTCAAGCCGCTAACATATTCCAGGCCCCGCAAGCACCTTCGACAGGCGAACAAGTTCTCGCTTAAACAATCACGATATCCAACGGCCGACGATAGCCCCTCAACACACCCAACTCTTCTCCGGCCCACGGGCGGTGCCCGGATGTGTATTTCTGTATGCATTTATGACGGTCAGCATATTGGTGGCGGCGTTCACTGTAACATAGAGAGGCCCGGTTGCGTTTTCCCCCCAGGAGAGTGGGATTGCGACCACAGGAAGCGTCTACAAAATAATACCAGATTCCAAAACAGACAAGGACTCGATTGGTCACTGCGGTAATCTGTTGTCGTTGATGGAATGCTGAACTAAACTACACACTAATCCTTATAGGACGGTGAGATTAGTTCATCGAGTTTCATGTCGCCCACGTAAGATCTCGGAAGTCGCCGCTCTTCCTCCTCGCGGAATACTCTAGCATACGCGATGCCCCGATCGTCGACCCATGCCCGAAACATGCCCCCGCAGTTGAAATCTTGCAGCAACTCTGACTTCGTCTCCACGACGTTGCCCTCAGCATCCCGAACCACCACGGTCTCGATGCCAATCATGCCGCCCTCCCCTTCGCCAGTCTTCCCCCAACGGTCCTCGGCGCTCTTTTGGACCTCGCCATCCGGGCCGATCACTCGAGCCACCGCAGAAGCAGACGAGTGTCCAGCAAAGCGGGCCAAAGCACCAACGGTTCGAGCAGCTCCGGTCCGAAGGAACGAGTCCCCGTTACCTGTCCCGGACACCGCGACCGATCGCGTAGTCACCAACTCCCCTCGGGTGGCAACGAGCGGGGAATAAGCCCACGGCGTCGGGAAGCAGTCCGCGAACCACCCCTTCATCGCCCCCGATAACACCACCGCGGGTCCTGACCGCATCAACCCGCCCTGTTCCCTTGCGGTCCCGTCGCCGTCCACCCACTCCTCGGCCCAAAACCCCGCCCCAATCGTCGGCGTATCCCCAATCCGACCCGTCAACTTATTCGTCAACCCGCCCGTACTCGTCGCAACACACACCACCGCGTCCTCATCCACCGCGACTGCGCCCACCGTGCCGAGCGGTACATACTCCTCCTCACTCCACCCACACATCCCCTTCCCACCCGCAGCTTTCTCCCGCTCCAACCCGCGCACATGCTCATTCCACCTCCTCGCCGTCCAAAAATACTCCGGCTCCACCAACTCCAACCCATACGCCTCCGCCAACGCCTCCGCCGCAGCCCCATGAATATGCCGATGTCCCTGCGCCGAAGGCACATCCAACCCCCCACCCTCACCACCGTCCTCCGCAAACGCAGCCCGAGGCCATAAATCCCCCTCCCCCCGTTCCAGCACCTCCCGCGCGAGCAAAATCGGATTGCGCACGCGGCGCAGACCAGACACACCCGCGGCTCGCTTGGCATACCCGCGGGAAACCATGACGGATGCTTCGAGCTCGTTGAGACCGTCGCGGGTGAAGACGGCGCCGTGGCCGGCGTTGAAGAGGGGGTTGTCTTCGAGGAGGGTTAGGGCGTGGGTTGCTGTTGCTAGGGCTGTGGGGAGGGTCACGGTTTGGGGGCTAAGGGAGGTGGGGGTAGGGGAGGTGGGGGTTGGGGTGGTCATGTAGTGGTGGGATTTAGAGATCTGGGTTGGGTTGTTTAGTTGGTTAGTTGTGGAGGTATGATACGGTAGAAGGAGGGACGGATGGAATGGAGCGCACGATGGTGAGAAGAGCGGTACGGAACTCGGCATAGCTGTCCGACGTGAGATTCGCCGGGGTGATGTTGCCGGCGCCGCCGTGGATGATGAGGCGGGGTTGTGTTTTGTCCGGTGAGGCGGGTTGTGGGCGCTTGTATTCCATTGTGTAGTGTGGGCTTCGTTTCATTGGGGAAGTAAGTTTGAGGTGGTTGTTGTGAAGGATAAAGTGAAACCGACAGGCCGGAACGGAGATCCGAACGTGAGGAGTTGAGATAAGCCGATCGGAAGTGGAGATGAGCCGGCCGGCATCGGTCGGCACAGCCGGCAGCGGGGCCCACTTGTCCGAAACAGGCAGGTTGGAAAACCTGCGTGGTCGGGCACGTCGGGTTAGGGTTGCAGAGGGGCTAACTAGGCTCTTTCTCTCTCTCACCTCAAACCCGTCCTCCAGCTCTTGCAAGGAGACGTCCACTTTCCCGGCCACTTCAGAGAGGGCGACGTGTGCAAGGTAGGAGATAAGCGAAGATAGCTTGTCCAGCCCGATGCGTATCTAACGCGCGGGGTTCCTTAGCGCGGAGCCGCATACGGGTCCATGGTCCAGAGGGTTCCGAGCAAAAGGTAAGGCGAGCCCAAATTCAATAGCGAGCCCCAGTTCAGCCACTTACCACTTCCAGAGCTTCGTCAGCACCTGCCCTCTTGTCCAAGTGCAGTTCCTGGAGGCGGTGTCGAGCACCATTGCGCTTGGTGAGGTGGCTGTCGTCCTCAAAAATCGCATCCCGTATATCGTGGGTCAATGTGCGAAACCGACTTATCAGTTTCTATGTTAACTTATGTTAACAAAACAATTTGCAAGCTGTGGGGAGGGCGAGAGGGGCGTGTAGACAGGGAAGAAAGGGGTGTTGGGTTGTGAAATCGATAACGTGAGATACAAAGCCGAAAGCATTAAGGCAACTAGTAGCTCCTGAGGGTATGGTCATCAGGAACAAGAATCACAATTGCACCGGGCAGAAGGGAGTCACCAAACTCCGGAGTGATGGTGATCCATCCAGGCTTTGGCAAGACACGGGTTACACGGCCCAGCGTGTTTCAAAACTATCTATTGTTGAGACATGAAACAAGGACAACTGACAAATTGGACTGATCACACACTGCTGCTAGGTCCTAGCCTCGACCAGCTTCGTTATCGCCGTCACCCCAAAAGAACGAATGGATGCCGGAGCTCGCCGGCGATCTGAACATAGCGACCTCAACTTTTCACAACTCCGGTGGCATGGTCAGCGCCAGGATCTGTGCCGCGGAGATGGGAACCGACCGGCCCGAGCTAGCGGGCACCGAGCATCGTCCACTAGTGTAAACATCGGTCATCCGCCGGGGCAGGATCTAATAGAGATTCAGATCACTGGGAAGCCACCTGGTAGCTGGGCAGCGGGGCAGCGGGGCGATCGGGATGAGACCCAGTGGTTTGGTGATGATTGATGCAGTGTAGCCGATCGCTTGGCTGAGACGTGGGGATGCGATGTTCAGTGGCTGAGAACTTGAGCCGGCGTCGGGCGGGAACAAACTAAATGTGCCTTCTGTTCGTCTGTCAGCTGTCTCCTGGCAATCGATTTTAAGGGGGCTGCCGAGAGCTGTGTGATGCGAGCGAGTGTCAGCCGTTTGTGAAAACGGACCTGCAGATGTCCTGAACGTTATCTCCGGATCAAAACCGTTCTGAGACAAGTGTAGACCAATTAGTGCAATACTATCAAAGGCACGTCCGTGGCAACAGTGCTGATGGCCAGGTGATCTTCCCATCAGCGCTGGGCATGTGATGAACTGGCCCTGTAAAGTATCGATTCCACGAGCAAAGAGCTAGGTCTTAGGCGGAGCCTAAAGATTTAGAAGACTCGAGTTCAGTGCCCATTCAGGTTAGTCCACGCCCATGAGCAGAAACATTCCCGTGATGAACTACCGGCCTCGGAGGCCCCACGACGCGACGGCATCGCAATGAGCGGATTGGCAATGGTTCAGGGTTGTACTGATCGCCGGTGGTAATCGAGGTCTTAAAACCATGGTGATCTCCAGTCACTAGACCTTATCGCCACGCTACCGGTCCATACCCGTCTTGGCAAGCAAGGCAAGGCACGGCCCGAATCGTTTCCGAACCGAACCGAGGTCAAGATATGAAGTCACGACGAAACATCGAGAGAGATAATCGAGTCACCCGGGATGGATCGAACTTGGTCACTCGCCGGTACAAGTTTCAGAAGTTCAGCCAGCCATTGTCGTCAGTGTTACACTGTTAGCCCCAAAAAGGGGGCGGTCTAAGGAACGTTATTCCCCCGAGAGGCGGTCACAGTTCCCTACAGATGTTTGCTTTCATTAAGTCTTTTAGATCCTTGTGTGGCTTTCTACACAAGTAAAATGAAAATCACAGGTGTCTCCGTTGCAAAACGACTGCTGACTGCCCAAGGCCCGTCGGTCTGGCTAGGCGCCACAAGGGCGACCAGGACCGCAGTACCGACAATAAAAGAACGGAGGGACACCATTTTCAGCAGGCCCTGTGGAGATGACGGGTGCTGCAATTACTGTGAAGCGGTGATCTAGGCAGGCCTCGTATTGCAGACGATCCAACTGTGAGACTAGCGCAATGGAGAAAGAAAAGGTTGAGTTCTGACGGTCAGAGGCACCGCATACTGAGAGCCTGGGATGATGCGCAACAAGGGGTAAGGGTGATCGGTCGTGATGAACCATGTGAAAACAATCTGCACGATTTCCGAATCAGATCCGATGCCGATCCGGATGCCCCCGCGCATTGGACACGCCAGCTCGTCACTCACCCGACACCCGCGGTCTGGAAACCCAACACGGCGACATCGCGGGCGCAGTCACCAAACCAGGCAGCACACCACAACAGCCTACACTAGATCGGAAGATCTCAGACCCAAAGCCACCCATGTCCACAGGGCCTTTGGCTCGACCCAGTTGCCCAGATGTGTGGGAAGGAAGCGCAAGGCATGAATCGAGTTAGAAAGTGAACGAAGTTTAACGTGAACGAGCAGATAGTTACATTGCAACCCCAACTTACCTGGTAGTTTCGACACTCCTGGCTATAGTACACCGGTTCATGCAAATTGCAATATTTTCCATGCACCATACCGCATGCTGAAGACCATCGTGCAGTACTCGTAGGGTGCCGGCTGTGCTCTTGTCAGGATCCTATGTTTATCGGAGTCGGATGTGTCATTATCGAATGCTGCTTTATAGGCTTGTCGTTTCCACCCAGCAGCATCGCAATTCGCTACGGCTGGTGCACACACCAGCAAATCTTCCGTAGTATAGTGGTCAGTATGTGAGCTTGTCATTAGCCCGACATCCGCTCGAGACCCGGGTTCAATTCCCGGCGGGAGAGTCCATTTTTTGGCAGTTTAAGCTACTCCCTCGGCGGTTGCATCGGTTCCATTTCTCTCGGTTTCATCATTTTTGGGGCATCCGTGGTGAGGGCCAACTTGTTTGGGTTGTTGCGTCTCAATCTAGCCATCCCATCCCCAATGATGGTGTTGCAACTCCCACCAACTTTGCAGGAACGCCTAGTCAGTTTACCATTTAGCTCTTGTGGGCCGCGCAAAAAAGCCGACATTCGATGTTTTCGAAAAGATTGCCATGCAATGCTAACATCGCCCTTCGGCCCTTTTCTCTCTCATGTCTAATTCCTACTCATTAATTACCTGTCGGCCATATCAACCCCAAAACACAAACACCACAGCCATCAACGCGCCCCACATCGCGACCTGGCTTCCCCCCATCATCCGTATCGCGGAGCTATCACCATTATCATCATGCTCTCCCGGTACCATGGTCTCGTTGCTCGCTGTGGTCAAGTCTGACACCTGGACACACGTCAACTGGGCCGTGGCCCGCGATACTAACCCGTTGTTTCCGTTGTTCTCATTGTTTCCGTTACCATTGCCCTTGTTGCTGTTCACCGGGTAGAAAACGGTCAGAATGGGCGTAGCACCAAGGAGATTGCGCTGGAGTGTCGTGGCGTCATAATCTCCCTGCCGACCGACATGTTAGCATCCGAGTTCTCGTCCCAATGCCCCCACGAAGTCGCCGAGAGGGAATAGGGGGAAAAAACAGAGTCAACATACCGTCGTCTCTACCTCCCCCACAACCCTCAACCCATCCTCCCTCGGCCAAACCGGCCAACAATTCGTCGTCCCATTCTCCCCGGCCCCAACCGCCTCCACCGCCCCCTCCCCAACCAAAGCCCTCGCCCTCACCCCCGTCCACCTCTGCTGATCCCCCGTCACAAACCGCGCGCACTCCTCATCCAACCCCCCTCCGGCCTCTCCTCCTCCTACAAACTCCCCCCTCAGTTTATCACACGCCTCCTGACCCGCGAGCCCAGCCAGATCTACCCCTTCCGCCCGCCGCGTCAGGGCTGCCACGCACTCGGAAGAGAGCGCATCGCTGCATGTTCCCTGCGGCGCGACATGGCTGCTGCCGCCTTTGTCGAGTCGAACGATGGGAGCGACTTGGGTGAAGAGCAATGCGCAAGCGTCAGTTTTAGTACCATCAACCAAGGAATCAAACTCGGGAGGCGTGCCGAGGAAGAAACCCTGTCGAAACCGCCGTTCTTCCCTGCTGAAGTCATCTGTGCCGACGGCTTTGGTCCAGGATAGACCTTGGAGGGTGGTTTCAGCAGTTTGGCGGTCGGTGATGGCATCAGGGGGTAGGGGGTCGAGGGGGAGGATGCCGATGGCGGTGTATTCGGTGCCGAGGACGGTGCAGTTGGCGCTGGTGGTGTTGGGGACGATGGGGCATTCGACGTCGGCGCAGGTGAGGATTTTGGGGTCGGCTTGGGTTTGGGTTGTGAGGAGGGAGGTGAGGAGGAGGGTGAGAGTTGTTTGGCGGGTCATGGTGATTGAGTGTGAAGTGAGTGCGAACTGAGTGTGAAACCGCCTAAGGGAGTGGATGAAGGTGAGGAGATGTAATGTATGCCTTTTGGGTGATGGGTGAACGCAACCTGCTAAACCTGCAAGAATCAAGGTGTTGTTGACATTTATACAAATATCTTTGCTTCCCGTTCGGATCCCTTTGTTTAGACCAGGCAGAGTCCATATCATTACCTAACACGGCACGGCGGTGCCGGCCATATGACGACAGCCGAGACATTTCTTTGGAACAGCAGGGCTTGTAAGGCTCGTACGGCCGTGGAAGGATTCACAGAAGACCCACAGAGATCCTACATCAAACATTACATTAGCAGTTGCTGCGGCGGTGTCATCAACAAACCTGGACATCAGTGAAATGCTCGGTTAATCGGCTCGAGGAGACAGTTCGGACCGGGAACCTAAGTGGTCAGGGCGGTTGATACTCGGGAACTGATTGGCGCGGCTTGGCTGCTCTGATGGTCAGCCCTCTGCGCGGCCGCAGAATGGATTGGTGGATTAGCCAGGGACGGTTGTGAGATATATGTACTGTCCTTGTGGTCGCAGGCATATAGCAAACCGCCGTGTTTTGACCAATTAGCCAACCCCCGTATTTTTTTTGGCAACCATCCTTCCAACATAGCCAGCATGGCCCACGTACTCACCACAGCCATAATACTCTACATGCCAAGTAATTATGGAGATTATTGGTAATTACATACTCACCGATCATACGATGGTATGGGTAGGAACTCGGAAAGCAGGAAGTGTCGGAGATAATTGTAATGGTCGTCAGAGGCATCGAATGCTAGGGTCAGGGGGCCATGTATCTAGGGTTAAATTCGACACCAAATTTAAAGATTGTAGATGATCAATAGCTCTGGGGATGTGACCAAGATCCAACCCGGAGACCCCGTTCCTCATTGACCATGATTTGAGGAAATCAACAATTCAAAAGAAAGGGCAGCCGCCCGCGACATTAAATTACCGCGGGTCAGGCTGTTGTGTACGACCCGTAAGTCCTCATTCGGCTACGGCTTCTCCGCCCTTTGCTACGTTTGCCTTGCCCTCCGCTTTACCGCTAGGAGGGATCTTAGCGACGATGGCACAGCAGGAATAGGTTGTGGTCCCGCTCGGCTCGTTTCCGTACTATTCGCATGTTATGTCAGCCACTAAACGTCTCCGGTCCTATTTTTTCATATTCGAGAAACAAGACGAAGAATAAGGGGCGACATTATAACAAAGGAGCGATCGGGTAACCTACCGCCGTCCACGAAATCTGGGACTCCATGTGCCCAAAATCGTTGAGCCAGTGAACTTCCTCGAACGGCACGTAGTCCCCAGGGGGCCGTCGACTGAATCGACCCCGATAATAACCATTGATTTCGCACCCTGCCCAACGGTAATACTGCACCATCACTTCCTCGTCCTCCGTCGTGCCCCGCCATTCCTCCAGCGCCACTTCGACGCCAACCATGGGCGGCGCCGGCTCGCCCTCTCCGTCCTCGAAGTGAAGATCATTGACAACGGGGCGGAAGCTGACTTCAAGGCCGAGCGACTGGAAGATCTCATACATGAGCATGTCGGCACCCTTGAGGTTGTCGGGTGCGAGGAAGTTCAACGTCGTCTGGGTGGTGTGGGGGTAAACGTGGCTGCAATTGAAGCCGATGAAACCGCCTGAAATATTGACCCGGGATGTTAACGGGTCTTACTCAGCTCAGCAATTAGAGTAGCCGTTGATATCTCCTCACCTTGTTCCCACGCAGCAGCATCCTGGACCAGCGTTTTGATGGTTTCGTACAGCGGCAGCTTGGAGGGATCCAACCACGGGCAGTTCCCGCCTAGCTGGCCATTGCCGCGGACACAAAACAGGTTGTAAGTCAACGTCAGACGGTGCCCTTCCGTTACTTCCAACACTTCATGCTCGCAGTCGCTGTAGAAGGCTGCCCAGCCAACGGCAGGAGGTTTGCCATCGCCTTTGGCATTGCTCCAGTCAAACGTGACGGTCTTTCCGTTGTGCCGGACCTCCAGCGCTCCTCCCTGGTGCTCTAGTGGCAGGCAGACTACAAGCGAACCGAACTGCCATGGCGAGCGTGGTGTGTCGACGTGTGTCTTAAATTTGGCTGACGGACCGGAATAGACCTATCACCCATTGTAAGTTGTAGCCCGCGGGACGGAAATGGTCAAAAGTCAGAGCGGTAAGACGCCGAGAAAAAGCTCACATTCATCTTGTATAGCTCCGCCTTGACGGCGCGGGACTGTTTCGAGTGTCGCAGACTCGGGAGAAGGGTTTGAGCGATGGTATCGACAATGCCCAACTCATAGGGGTTGAAAGTGGAAGCGAAGCGGGTGGGATCCAACTTGCTCGCCTTCCGATAGCTTTCATCGTAAACATGTTGACCATCGCGCCCAAAGGTAGCCGGCGTCATGTCCTTGATCAGCTGGCCCAGGTTCTTCTCCGTCGTGGGCTCAAGGGGCAAGGTTAGCTTGGTCTCCGACGACAGCAGACTGCTCTCATCGGAATCCCATCGCAGATCAATTGGGAGGCAGGACCTTGCCCGGAGGGTCTCACTGCTCTGAGTGTTGTCGGGCTCACTTGCGTTCCAACCGGTCGACCGATATCGGTAACTGCGCCCATCATGTTCATCGTGCTCTTTTTTGCCAGCGTTGCCGGTCTCATCATCTTCGTCATCGCCATTGTTGCCGGTTTTACTATCATTAGCCTCAGCTTCAGAGCTCGTATCCTTCTGCGTTCCGTCAGGGATCTCGGAGACAATTGGGATAAGGCCACCACAGGCAAATGTGAAGTCCATTGTCTGGCTGGTGACCGACTGACGCAGCTCCTCAAACAGAGGGTTCTTGGCGGTCTTGGAGTCGGGTGCCAATGGCATCTTGGGGCCGTAATATCCCATATTGTCGGTCTAATTAGCTGCAGCGTGGAGAGTGAGGGTTGAGGGGAAAGTAAAGTTGTGGTGAAGATGAGGAGGGTGCTTTGTTCAGTAACAGAGTAAACCAAGAGCGGCGGCCGAAACTTAAATCCAGATAGCCGTCCTGCTCGAGGTCCATAACCGCGAATTGCTTGTCATGGTCTGAATCATGGTGTTGGTTCGTGCGTTAGGCAGTTAGGCAGCAGGTCACAAAGATGCCGGGATGTTGGCCAAATGAAGCCCAAGATGGACGGTGATGGGCAGGCCGTTCATGAATTCATAACAACACTCGGCCCTTGCAGAAGCAAAATATCGTGGCTCGTTTCATTTCTTCGTCGTGCGGAGAATCAGAGACACAACAACTGGCTCTTTCGGAAGGCACGACTCACTGGGTGTGCCGTTTGCGTCTGTGCGGACGCAAAGAACCGCGACACCGATGTTTGCTGTCCCTAGCGTATTTCGCGGATCGGATGCACTTGGCATCGTGTTTGCCCTGGGTGGTTCTCAGACTCAACCACATGTGCAGAGGCGATTCAGGTAGCCCTCCCCCTTTTGCCGTTGTTCCCCCCACTCCCCAGTCCAACACTGACACTTCATTATGAAACTATCTTTTTCTCATGCCTATGAAAAGCACTCCAAGCATGTTCGGGTCTGTGTTCAATCACAGAGCCTCCACTCAGCACGCCACCAAGTGTCAGTCCTGGATCGGGAGATGTTCACCGCCAGGCCCCAACCTCAAACTCGTTCAAGCCAAGTCGGGCGCTCTGGGTCTCCAACATGCCACGCAGACCACCGTCGTAGAGTATCATGCCTAAATAGTGTTGGTTGGGCCACAGAAGAGGCCGCATCCAAAACATTCTTTGCCAACCACAAGACCACGCCGCGAGTGAACCGGCTACCAACAGCCGAAGTCAGTTGGTGTGCAGATCCAACCAGCACCAAACACAATCTTCAGGGGCACAACGCCGCCGGCTCTTGCGAGGTCTTGCTATTCAGTGTTCAGCTCTTACTTGAAAAGGAAAAAAAAGGCAGAAAAGTCACAGGCGAGAACGGCTAACTTCTAGTGGAGGATCAACATCACCATCCACTGTCTAAATTCCAAGCCGCAAAATGAACACACACAACCCTAACCCTCCTGCAACCAACCAAACAGAAAAAAGTGACTCGGATACCGGGAGTCGAACCCGGGGCTGTTGAGAGAGCAGTCACTCCTGAGAAGTGAGAGTCAACGATGTTACCGCTACACCATACCCGATGGAGACGAGTGTGGTTTCCGAAACCGTGTTGGATGGCGGCCAAAACTTCTGCCTTAAGTACTGAGGCATCAACGTGCCTAATTGCATCGTTCAATCCCTCGAGATATGAGGATGCAGGTATCAACAATTCTCCAACTCAATTACCAAGGTTGAAGTAACAAATCCATATTACCTTGCATTTCCTAACGGGTCGTCGCACAAAGCGAAGGGTAACTCATCGCATTGTCATTCAATAAGCATCTTGCTGCATGATATGCTAGACCCTAAGACATCCCCATGAGGCCCCATCGCCGAAGCGATGCACAACTCCCTGAAACATTCCAGTGAATCCGGTTATTTCCTGGCTCGGTGGTCTTCTTCTCCCAGAATCCTCCCCTCCATCTTTAGTTCCCCGACTTCCGACTCTCAGGCAGCCCACTATTAGTCCCCAAATCCTCACCCAACTCCTTCCCATCCACCACCACCATCTGACAATCCTGCAACACAAACATCATGCGCGCCCACTGCGTCGCACTTCGGTTCACCCACTGGTGCTGCGTCGCCCGCTGCACGGCCACATCTCCGCGTTTCATCACATGCCGCTCCCCACCGTCCAGCACCATGTCCACCTCTCCCTCCATCACGATACCATAATCCAAACTCTGCGTGCGGTGCATGCCGCACGCGTATCCAGGGGCAAAGTCCACGCAACGGAGGACGGTGCCGCCCGGGTTGACAAGCCCCAACTGGCCCGAAGCGAGCACCTCCTTGTGGGCGGTGATGTCGGCGTCGTTGTTGAGGTCGGCTGGGAAGGTGGAGGTGGTGTAGGCCACGGAGAAGGCGAGGTTGTTGTTGTCGTAGGAGGCCCAGGGGAAAGGGTTCTGGGTGTGCACGATTGCTTGGCCGGCGGCGTTGTGGCCGGTGATGAAGCGGTTGGGTTGGTGGAGGTCGGAGATGGGTGTTGCGGAGGGGATGGGTTTGGCGAATCCCTCGGAGCCCGACGGTTTTGTCGCTGAGGAGTCGGACATTTTTTAGTACTCTGTTAGAGGCGTCTAAGTTTCAACTGTTGTACGTGGTGATTTTCTGGTCTGGAAACAATGACTTTTTGCGTCCAGTTGAACAAGAGTAGCTGGGCTGCCCAAGCGGATGGTTCAAGTCGAGGGAAGTGGTGATGGGACGAGGGGAACAAGAAGCGGCAGGACGTGGATCGGGAACTTTATATTCTCCGCGCCACGTTTTCGGGCTCCGATGGCAGCCTGCCGATATACCGGGATCGCTCCTGCAACTTGCATATATTTCTCCCGGGGCAAGCGCACTACGTGGAGGGACAGCACGGGTACAGTACGACCTTCTGGGTAACATACCCCGTCGAACCCACGGATGATGGTGATAGTCGCGTTTAGTGCTGACAACGTAATACTGATCACTCAGCAACAACAACGTCAACCCTTGGACCATGAACTCTTTCTCTTTTCATTTTCTCAACTTTGTAGTGCAATACTTAGCAATGATTATTACATGATTGTTGCAACATGGATCGGCGATGCAACCAACCCCCCGAAGTTGGGGAGATGCGGCCGTAGGACCCGTTGGCTTCGGGCACATATCGCAGCCTATCATGGCCATTTAATGTCGGGAACCGACGGTCTTGCAACGTGGAAGGCTCCTGTTTGAGGAGCCACACCAGGAACGCGGTGTTAAGGCCGTAACACGGTTTGTGAGATAAAATATGGCAGAATCAATGAGAAGAAAGTCTGGGAATCCCAATTACTCGAGGCGCCTACCAGTTTCTTCGGACAATTTCGGGCTTTCAAGCACTTAGTATTCTTTTAAATTAGTCTGTATTGTAGTCATCAGGCCGGTTATTTAATTATAACTTTGGGAACAAGATAGCTGCAACATGCATGTGCTGTCGTACCATTGGTTCGCTTTGAGAAGCCGGATTCGAAGTTCCGGTTCGGTAATACCTAGTTGCGACCGAGTCCTGAAAGCGAAAGGCCCGGGCCGGAAGCTTGGAGGAGGGACCGGACGGGACGGGCCGAGAGTGATCTGGGAGACAACCACGCTGCATGATAGAATTCAAGCTTCGAAGGAGGAAAGACCCCGCAAACTGGTCTGGTTTGGTTGTTTTACCTTACCAAAATGCTTCCCAAATAATTTCCAGTTCAGTATCTCTTCGATTTCCCTCGAATTCCATTTGTTCCCTCAATTCTCGGATTCTTCACGCTCCCCAGGGTTGTTGTCAGTCGAAGGACTAGGGATTCCTAAGCCGAAGGTACCTAGGATGAATATTTGGGCCGTCTGACTGTTTCTGTACCTTAGGTAACTCCGTGAAGTCACCAAGTGATCTGCAGTTGAACATCTGTCCTCTGTCGAGTCAGCATCATTATATTTGAAGCTAAAAGTGAGTATCGTGAGTTCAGCAATTAATTACAGTCCCGAATATTCTCACACTGACGGTCGCGCCCGAATTCGGGGTTTAAAAGATTGACGTCACCCAATCGCCTGATTCAACCCCACAACCCGAACTCGTCCACCCTTTCATCCCAACTTGGACCTCATATCGCCCGCGTGCCCCTAAAATGTTTCCCCTCAGCAACACCGTAAGAGCGCCCCCTACCGCCGAGCCTCCTGCACACCACGTCCTCTACCTTCCGGACTCTGAGCAACAGCAGAATCTCACCGCTCAACGCGCCGACGTAACACAACACGACACAGACATCGCGGGCTTTCGCAACCCATGGCCGTCATGGCATAAGCACACCCGCGCCGAGCTCCTGCAGAGTTTGCAATGGGGAGAGCTCAACGATGGCTGCGTCGAGCTCGCCGCGTCCCATCTCCCCGACAGCCCAACACCGCCCCCAAAACCCGATGAGAAACGCCGGCCGCGCTTCGGGGACATCAACGATTGGCCCAACTCCCCCGGTGCAAAGGCAGTCCAGCTCCTCCAAGTACAGACCCCGGATTTTTCTTTCCCTTCAGGGAGCAAAGCCAAAGCCACCTGGCTAGGCCATGCCGGTGTCCTAGTCCAACTACCACCTCTCGACTCCCCCAATGGCCCGCCCGTCCGGGTCCTATTCGACCCCTTATTCTCCTCCCGCGCCTCCCCCAGCACCTTCTTCGGCCCGGTCCGCTCCTACCCACCGCCATGCACCATCGAAGATCTCCCACCAATCCACATCGTAGCCATAAGCCACAACCACTTCGACCACATGTCCGCCGAGGCCCTAATCTCCATCTACAACCAAAACCTCACAACCCTCCGCTTCTTCGTCCCCCTCGGCAACAAACACTTCCTCATCAGCTGGGGCATCCCCTCCGACCGCATCATCGAACTCGACTGGTGGGACTCAGTCCAACTCGGCGCCCAAACCCCCTCCTCGACCGCATCCCTCAAAATCCACTGCACCCCCGCTCAACACAACAGTTTCCGCTACTCGGGCGACACCAACCTCGCTCTCTGGTCCAGCTGGTACATCGAATACCTCCCCTCCGACCCACACCACATCCACGGTCCCAAACCCTACCGCGTCTTTTTTGGAGGCGACACGGGATACCAATTCCATCCTTCCCCTGCCTGGCCACCGTCCCCGGCGAACCCGCATCCTGATATCCCCGCCGAAGACGAGACTACCTACCCGCCGTGTCCGGCGTTTGCGGAGATCCGCGACCGGATTGGTCCGCCGGATCTGTTGCTGCTCCCTGTTTCGGTTGGGGCTACCTTTTCGTACCTGCGCAGTTTTGTGCCGTTGCCGAATTGGGTGAATCCGTTTCCGAGGCATACGGCGGGGGTGACGGGGGCGAATCATATGCCGGCGTGGGATGCGGTGAGGGTTATGAGGGAGATGGTGGGGTTGGGAGTGGGAGATAAGCGTGGTAGCGGTAGTGATGCGGGGGAAGGGACGGGTAAGGAAGCTGTGGCGATGGCGGTGCATTGGGGCACGTTTGTGCCGGACCCGGAGGAGGTCTTGCATACGTTGGGGTCGCTGGAGTGGGCTTGTCAACAGCAGGGAGTGAAGTTTGTTAGGGAGCTGGGGGAGGCGGAGGATCGGGAGGGAAGTTCTGAGGGGAGTAGGGGGCTGAGGTTTGCGGCTGTTAATCATGGCGGGAGCGTGTGTATTTAAGGGGAGTCAGGAATCTTCTGCAATACTGGTTTGGAAGCGTGGTATGTACATCCGGTGATTTTATTTTGTTCGTACTGCTCGGGACGTACATTTAACTCACTACCACAGGTGGCCTTGTTTAATCTTGTCTCGTGATACACTTTGCGGCTGTAATCGTGATGAATACAAATCTTTACAGACCTTCTCTCATTCCGCTCATTAACCGAAACTACCTATATTTCACAAATCTGACCCCTTGAACGAAACCAACCTCTTCAAGTGGTTTGCGTAACTTACACTCTGCGCCGTTAAATACCGTACACTACAGAATTTCGTCCTCGCAGCTCGGTCCAGTCCGCCCACCGAGCCCCACCTTTTCGCACCCTGCAGCTCCAGTGGGTCCCCACCTGCAGGGCAGTCCTGACGTCGCCTGTTGCTGGCTGTTTGGATTTGGGATCTCAACTTTTTGCAACCTCGTGCCCAACAGAACAACGATCCCACACACGAACCCCGCGGCAAATGTGAGGTGCGCGTCACCGGCCATGTCTCTCACAGCAGCACAAAGGGCCATTGTGCCTGCAGCGCGCGCGGGCCTGTCCGCTTCGGCCCGCGCGACGTTTTCTTCCCGACCCCTCGCTGCAGCACTCGTCTCAGCAGCGTCACACGCACCATCATCATCACCATCACCATCCCCCTCAACATCCGCTTCCTTACCACAACACGCCCGATTCTCCCCACCCCAAACCCGCGCCTTCCACACCACCCGACCAAATGCCATTTCCACCCCCGGCTCCGGCGCGATGCCGCCGACCTACTTCCAGAAACCCCCCTCGCTGCCGATGAACACGATCGTGCGGTTCGTGCCGCAGCAGACAGCCTGGATCGTCGAGCGCATGGGCAAGTTCAACCGCATCCTGCAACCGGGTCTGGCCATTCTGATCCCCTTCCTCGACCGCATCGCCTACGTCAAGTCGCTCAAGGAAGTGGCTATCGAGATTCCCTCGCAGAGCGCCATCACTGCAGACAATGTTACGTTGGAACTGGACGGCGTGTTGTACACGCGGGTGTTTGACGCGTACAAGGCTAGGTGTGTATCTCTTACTCCCCAACCCCTCTCCCCACCTCAAGCCTATCTAACTGAGCTCTCTCCCCCCAGCTACGGCGTCGAAGACGCAGAATACGCCATCTCCCAACTCGCGCAAACAACCATGCGCTCCGAAATCGGCCAACTGACCCTCGACCACGTCCTCAAAGAGCGCGCCGCCCTCAACACCAACATCACCGCAGCCATCAACGAAGCCGCCCAAGCCTGGGGCGTCACCTGTCTCCGCTACGAAATCCGCGATATCCACGCCCCGCGTCCCGTCGTCGACGCCATGCACCGCCAAGTCACCGCCGAGCGCTCCAAACGCGCCGAAATCCTCGACAGTGAAGGCCAAAGACAGAGCGCGATCAATATCGCGGAGGGGCAGAAGCAGAGCGCGATTTTGGCGAGTGAGGCCGTGCGCGCGGAGAAGATCAATGCGGCGGCGGGTGAGGCGGAGGCGATTTTGTTAAGGGCAAGGGCGACGGCGGCGGGGATTGAGGCGGTGGCGAGGTCGATTGCGGACGGGCGGGATGCGGCGCAGGGCGCGGTGAGTTTGTCGGTTGCGGAGAAGTATGTGGATGCGTTTGGGAAGCTGGCGAAGGAGGGTACGGCGGTGGTGGTGCCGGGGAATGTGGGGGATATTGGGGGGATGATTGCTACGGCGTTGAGTGTGTATGGGAAGGTCGGGGATGCGCAGGCTAAGACGATGGCGAAGGATATTGTGGCTGGGAAGGGGCAGGTTGGTATTGAGGGTGGGAAGCAGGCCAATGGGGTTGCGGATGCGCCGGTGGAAAAGGATGTGTAATGAATTAGGGGTGAATGATGGTGATGATCGTATCCCATGACAAATTAACGGGATGCGGAGATACTCACACCCGCCCATCAGATGTATTAGTACTTCCCTCTATCTCATCCATACTACGGGGCCTGGCTCTGGGGATCAAAAGAGGAAAAAGGGGGGCGTGGCGTCTGGACAAGAGGGAACTCATCTCATGGAAGTAAAACAACCAACTGAAAATGTATTTATTCTACCAAACCTGCTCTCCGCCCACGAAACAAATAACAACTCTCAAATAGCATTTCTCAAACTCCACTCCCGCATCAAAATACGTACTCCTCACGCAAATCACACTCAACCCTCCCTAAACCACCAACTCCCACACCGATCACAAAGCCTCCCAGTAAACACACCTACACCCCAAACTCCCCACCAACCACATCCAACGCCCGTCCCACCATCTCCACCACCTTCCCATCCCCCGCCTCCCCGGCCACCTGCACCGCACCCACAAGCAACGGATACAACCTCAACAAATGCCTTCTCGTCTCGCTCTCCACATTCACAATAGCCCCACCGTCCGTGTCAGCCGGTATCGCGTCCGGTTCGGCCTGGAGAGCCACTAGCAGCTGCAACACGCGTGTGAGCTCGCGGCGCTGGGAGAGCGGCTGTGGCATGCGTCCGCGGAGGGGCTGGTCGGCGATGTAGGTGCGCAGGGTGAGCGCGCTGCGGAGGAGGAGGTAGGGCGCGGTGGTGCGGGCTAGGTTGATGTGTTGGGGGTGTAGCGTGGAGACGGGGGAGGAGGAAGCGGGGTTGGGGGTTGGTTGTTGACTCTGAACGAGAGCAAAGAGCTCGTCGAGGCAGACTTCGCTCATAAGGCTGCGCCGAGTCGGAGTCGGGTCGATGGTGCGACCGTTGCGTTTCGTGAAAAAGGCGCCGAGAGGGACGGCGCTATTGGTACTACCGCTGCCTCCGCGAAGGAGAGCTGCCTCGGCAGGAGCCGGGGTGTGGATGATGGAGGTGTGGAAGAGGCCCTCGGCGAATGTCTTGCGGGTCTCTTCCTGGACGACTTCCGCGCCGAGGGCGGGGATGATGAGACCGCGCAGTTTTTGGAAGGAGGCAATGTCGAACTCTTGGTCGCCCGGAATATCCGCCGTATGGGCGGCTGGGGCGGCCAGATCAGCACTGATGATGCCGTTGGCGATGGATACGATGATTGTCCAGATGTGCTGGACCGTCTCCCGAAGCGAGTCCATCTCACGAAGATGCGGTACCGCAGCCTCAAGCACCGCTAGCGCCGACTGGGTCGCAACTCTCCAGGGCTGGGCGGATTTAGTGACGATTTGGAACCTGTATTTAAGCACGATTGGTTTCGCGAGTGCGGATAGTGCGTTTGCAAACGCGCCTGTTTCGTATATGTCTCTCTCAGAGGCATGGCTGACCACCAGTGATTGCAATATGGACATGCTCTCCTTGGACATGGCAACATACGTGCGTTTCTCTGCAGCCTTAGCCGCGTCCTCTTGTGAGAAGGCAAGCGACACAAACTCGGCGACTTGCGTCACCATCGCAGAGGGCACGCCGTGGCGAGCGGTGCGGACCATGCGGAATGCCTCGAGGATCTTGCCTTGCAGAGGAGTTACGTGTTCCGCATCGCTGGAGTATGCGCCGGGAGTTGCGTGCTGCATGGCGTCACGGAGCAGGGTCAGCATCCGGCGCACGCGTTCAACGCCGAAGTCGGTCCGGATCAACCCATAGAGCTCGAGCAAAGCCTCGACCCAGACGAGTAAGCTCTTCTGGTTGTCCGACGATCTATCATCCTTGCCATCTCCAGGAACCGGAATTCCTTGTGACCATAGATCCCACGCCAAGTCCAGACTCTCTTTCCCGATGCCAGGTGTTTCTTGCTCGACAGACCGATGGAGAATGTCCCGGAGAGCGCTGTAGGTCGCCGCGTTGATATCGAGTATCTGAAGCGACAGGAGAGTCCGGAAATACCCAAGCAGCTCTTTCCAGATCTCTGTGAAACTGCGATGGCCCGTAAGCGTCTCCAAATACGAGCCGAATAGGTCAGAAACACCCTGGATAACGACAGTGGCCGTCTCAATCCATTCTTCTTGAGCTTTGTTCTTGCCCGAGTGCTTGTCCGCGACTCGAAGCTCGTGTTCGACAGAAGACAGAAGAGTGAAGATCACCGCTCTCATACACACGGACCAAGCTTCCGGACTCAAGCTATCGCCATACGCTGATATGATTCGCATCAATGTTTGGATAGCGCCTAACCAGTTAGCACCCGTCAACATCCCATCTAGAGCGAGGATAATACGCACTGTTCCGTAGCTCCAACCTCTGATCCGTCGCAACAGATGTGAGTCTCAGGAGAAGCAGCATCCATAATGCAGCTGCAGACCCCTTCTCAAACGGTTGCGCGGCCCTCTCGACTAAAGAGTGGTCGCCGTCGGAATCAGGAATCATGTCTTCCGTAATAGACATCGCCTGGTTATCCGCTGAAAGGAAATCGGAAATTGCCCAGAAAAAGGTGACAGTCTGCAACAGTTAGCTACTTGGTCTTACCGGCATAACAAAACTTGAACTTACGGTCAACGCCACGTTGAGTTCATCATCTTGGCTGCAAAATTTATAAAGGGTATCGACCAAGTTGAGAAAACAGGCGTTCGGCAAAGAAGGGAGAAAGTCGGAACAGATCAATTGCAGCGAGGCAAAAGATGGACGTATTAGCTTGACGGCACGGGTGAGAAGTACCGGTGGCGGCTGACCCGTACCATCTCTTTCCGTCTCAGCTCTCGGACTGCGCTCGACAAAAATGCTGTCGATAATCTCAAACGTGAGCTCCCATCCGCTGATGAGTGATTCGCCGCAGTTTTCCAAAAGACTCTTCAGGCCTTCAAGGAGGATCCTGTGGATATCGACATCGATGGCGTGCTTCCCGATAGACACCTGTCTGTCGGAGGCGAGAAGCGGTAGTAAGGATTGACGGAAAGCTTCGAGGAGGCGCTTTTGGATCTGCCCGCGTACATCTTCGTCTTGAGAGGCAACGGCATTTGCCTCTTCCAATAAGACCCGAACCAGCGTCTCCGCAGCGCGTGCCCGTACTGGGGCAGTGTTCGTGATCGAGCTGAGAACAGTTATAAGCTCATCTATTAAAGGAGTCCAGCCCGATACGTCCGGTGTGTTCGTCAACAGTCGCTCGATATTGATCGATGCTAGATCACCAAGTTTTGACAGCGCAAACTGGTTTTCTTGGTTGGGTGCCGAGGAAGTTGCCGATATGCTCAAGACCCGCTTCGGTGGGAGAGATGGCGTTCTCAGTCCTCCTGTTGATGGTGGTGATTGTGGTCGGCTACTGGCCTCGGATGGAGGTTCGGCACGCTCAAGCAGGTTGCAAACCGCCCCCACAATCTCAACAAAAGCGGGGTTGGGAAAGTCAACGGTGCTCTCAAACAACCGCGAGGCGGCCGTTTCTACCGCTCGGATTTCCGTCCCAAAGTTCGCCAGAAGGGTGCTGGCTTCTTGTTCAGCCAGCGGATCAGAGCCTCTGGCTGCCATCGGTGTCCGCCCGGCAGCCTTGCCGGTGAAGAACATGACAAAGTCCGCTTGCTGAAGGGTCTCCAGTATGATACTCCAGGAGGATGCCAGCGTTGGACCAAGAGCAATGCCAAGGTTCAGCAACGCTCTCAAGCATAGCAAGTTTCTGGTGTTGAGCAGGGTATTGCTGACGTCCATTGAAGACTGCCGCTGTTTGTCGGCCCCCAGGAGTGATGGGCTCACCAGATTCTCGACGCTCAGCAGTCCCCGGGCATTCCCAAAGATGCCTCCGGGCGAATCTGTTGCAATAGGACTTGGGGGGGGCTTAGATGGCCCGGCGTTCATACACGCTGTCAAGACGTTCGGCGGAACGGCCGCCTTACCGAGAGTTGTGAGGAATGCATCGCGAGGAGTAGAAAGTTGCAGGAGGCCAGCAACGTGGGCGAACTTTTGAAACGCGCGCACCAGGCCATGGTAGTACTCAGAGTCGAGGCCTGCAAAGAGAAAGGTCGAGCACGTCGCCAGGATAGCTGGCCAGCATTGCTCAATGAATGCGGCGCAAACCCGAATCTCCGCATGCAACGGATGGCTCTCGAGCGTCAATGGGTTGACCGGAACTGGGTTTTTCTTGAATGAGGCGGACCTCTCCAACTTATCGGTAGGCTCCTCTGGCTGGGGGGCAGGCGAATTGCGGCCAGTGTCCGCCTTGAGACCCCGTTTCCGCCTCCCATCGTTCGGTACCGTCAGGGGCAGGATGAACTTGGCAAGACCCTCGGATAATGATGTAATGCAAGATAGGGTAAGGCTGTACACATATGACTCAGGGATCGCGGGCGCGTCGGTTTTGTCCAGTTGGTCGATGCAAGGAACTCGCATAGTGCTCCATTGCGTGCTGATGCCCGTGTTGTGGCCGTCGGACCCTATGGATCCAGAAATAATACCAGTGACACCACTCGCTTCGAGCATGACCTGGTCACTTGGCTGCTCAGAGTTGAAACTGGCGACAGGTATGGTGGATTGGTGACCTAACCCGATGACAGACGGTTTCTCTGTGCTGACTCGTACGAAGGTCGCCGTGAGGTTCTTCAAGATAAACTTTTGGCCTTCAGTCGCATCGTATAACATGAATATGCGCCGAAGTAGCGCATGCTCGGCAAAGATACCTCTGAACACTTCCATGCAAAGCGCGCGCTTCCATAACGTGGTATCTTGGTCCAAGAGCTGAGTTAAAATCTCGAGTGCGTCTCCGCTCTCTGACGGCAGGATGCTGAGATGCCGCCGGAGCAGAGTGTACAGGATCCGCACGAGGCGGACGCTGGTGGCAAAGTTTGGTCGCCCGCGAAGAGACCCCGTGATGAAGGGCATCACTCGCGCGCGTAGGATGTTCGCCTGCTCGGTGTGAGAGTTGAAGATAGCAGCGTGGTTTGTCAAAACTGACTCGATCAGTTCGAGCCCAAACGTTTGGGGTAGGTTGGAGACACGGAGGTATTCGGGACGTTGACCCTCGGTCAGGAGACAGATGTCGTTGAACACCTATGCGAGTTAGCTAACACCCATAAAGGGCGAGAGTAAGGGGCACTGGTCTACCCGGTAAGCGTCCAGCGTGGCAGCCCTCGCCGGGATAGTGCCATCTTGGACGGGAACTTCCCCCACAGCAGGCGATCCCCCACCCGACCCTGTTTTCACATCAGTGACACCCTAAAGGCAGGTCATTACACAACCTGATGGATGAAGACCACTTACTGTCCTCAGTTACAACCTTGTCAAAGACAGAGACCACCAGTTGTTGAAGCGTGGCCGCTGACGTGTTATTGACAATGGCATTCTTGCTGGACTGGAGGATGAAGCAGACATTCAACGCCGTGATAAGAAGCTCTCCTTTCACATCGGAAGAGTAATTCGAGAGGAGTGCCGGCAACGCTTGGAGAATCTTGAGTTGAACATCGAGGCCGGCAGAAGTGGCTTGCTGCAACGCTTCCAAGACCTGACTTAATCGGGAGCGTGGCAGTGCCCGAGACAGAATGAGTCGTTGCAGGCAAACGATGGCAATACCGGTGAATTTGACATTCTTAGTCCCACACGCGATAATGAACGGGTTGACAAAATTTGGTCGTTGAGCAAGTTCTGTAACCGTGTGAGTTTGGGCTTAAGACCCAGGGGATACGGCAATACACACCTTCTGAAGTCTGAGCTTCAGACGGACTTCTCAGACTCCGCAACTCTTCAAGTGACTTCTCGGCGGCCTGTTCACAGTGTCAGTTAAAGGTATCAAATTTGTAACTAAAATTAGTACTTGAACCCAGGTTGTGTGCTATTGGATAAGAAATATGAAACAACGTGTATTTCGCACAATGCGTAACCTGAAGATTAAGGACAGCAGAGCATTAGCTTACCTGGCGTAAGTCATTGTGCTTGCGCTTGCTCTCTTGTATCAAATTGGCGAGCTCTGACGCCAGAAGCTGGGCCGTCATGTTTTCATTCCAAAACTAGTAATAATCATTACCGCATCGCGGTTCCGTTGGTCTCCGTGCCCTCCGGCGTTTTGACTGACGCAAAAGGTACCGTGGTGAAAGTTAGTTGTTCGTTGTCTGCGAAATGAAAGAGCCAACCAAAGCCGGGATGGTTGCGGCCTGCGACTCAATGGATGCTTGGCAATATCTTGATGATTAAGATCTCCAGAACCGGCAGAATTCCAGACCGCTTTCAACCCCTCTGTCAAACATCCTTGCGCCTGAGTGGGGCTCGAAGCTCGCAGCCTGAAACAAGCAACCTTGAAGTCCGACCGGGGTCCCCGCACCCGCCTGTTTGCTGAGTTGCTTGCTCACAGGCACTGCGGGGAGCCTCTTTTGGCGTTTGACGTTTCGGCTACGCTGCCGTGCTGATCTCTTACCCGACAACGCCCGCGCTGTTGTTTTTCACCAACCGCCACAAAATCCATCGCCGGATCGACTGGCATTGCTACCGCAATCATGGCAGCGCAGGTCCCGCGCAACTTCAAGCTCCTTGCTGAGCTGGAGAAGGGCGAGAAGGGCATGGGCGCAGGTGGGTGGTCAACCTTCCATCTTCAACGTTTTAGCGAGACCGTCGCGACATGGCTTCTAACGCATGATGTGACCTGGATTTAGGTGCCTGTTCTTATGGCTTGGAAGATCCCGAGGACATCTTCATGACACATTGGCGTGGGACGATCTGGGGTCCTCCTCACGTATGTGACTTCCCGACCAACCGACCTCACCGCCCGCGACTTGACTAACCCTTGGGGCGACACAGGGCAACCATGAGAACCGCATCTACGAACTTAAGATGGAGTGTGGCCCCAACTACCCCCGCGAGCCCCCCGAGATTCACTTCGTCAGCCAGATCAACCTCCCCGGCGTGAACCCGAACGACGGACAGGTGGACAAGAACGCGGTCGGTATTCTTCGCGACTGGACCAGGATTGCGGCCGAGCTAGCTAAGAACGCTCGGCCCAAGGAGGATCCTCTTAGCTTGGAGTCGGCTCTGATTGCGATACGGAAGTAAGCTGCGACGTTTGATTCATGGGATTCGCCAGTGCTTCCGCTTGTCATGCTAACCCGACACAGGTTTATGGACGAGAACAAGAAGCTCCCACAACCCCCTGAGGGGTCCAAGTACGAGATCTACAAATAAAAGAGTCACTTCATTGGCAACTTAGAAACCCCATTCATCTTGAACTCGTTTCCAATCTTTCCTGCGCCAGTGAATTGGAGCTCCGCCTGGGCCTGTGTGATGTCAGGGACTAGCCGACATAAGAAACCCGGCCCAAGGGGGAATGTCAGCAATGCCGCAGAACCTGAACATATTGTAGAGCCCCGTTAGTCATCTACGCCGAATCCAGAGCAAACTTAACTTCTCCCGTCTTGGAGTCATCCTGATGTTAAAGGGCTCACGTGACCTCGCGTCAGATGTTTCACGAGCCCCTGCAACCTCCAAAAATTTGGAGTCCCACATGCTAGCTTTTGATTGCCGCATCAACAATTCGAGGTGCGGAATTCTCCCCCCACTAGATGAATGCCGTCACTCTTCAAGCCGGCTCGCTCTCATGGGCATCGGATAGCATGTATGTAATTTCGCGCCACCCAATGACTTCCCCTTACTCCTCTTCCTCTCCCAATTGTTAACCCCGCATCAACAACCAGGCTTTGCCCTCTACCGGTCGCTCATGCGCCAGGGCCGTCTCGTACCCATTCCCGATGAACTTGTCAACAGCTCGACCCTCGGCCCGGGCAACCCAATCCAATGGCTCATCCGCAACGGCTTCCGCCGTAACAAACACGAAGTCTCCCCACGCCTCGTAATATCCGCCCTCAAAAACGGCTACCGATACCTAACCCTCCTCACCCGCGCCGCCGACCCTTCCTCTTCTGACCACGCCTCCGTCCTCGATTTCATCCGTGAGAACCAACAACGCCTGTTAGTTCGCCAAGCCAAAGCCGCAGAGGCAAAAGCCAAGCTTATCTCCACGGCCCCAATCCCCGATCGCATCCCCATCATCATCAAAATCTCTGCCGAGGGCGAACCGCCGGTGTACGCCCCGAATATCCCGCCTCGCCCGCTGTCTTCCTTCCCCAATGGGGTCCGTAAACCACCCCACCTGGCACACGCCAACGATATCCCGTTTCTGCGGATGAAGAAGCCGCAGCCGCGATTTCTGGGGCGCGTGATTCGCCAACGTATGGAGCGCCGGATCGACCGGTTAAATGTCATGTATGAGATCGACGATGTCTTGATTTATGATGCTGCGGTGGAGGACGAGTGGGATGAGATGATGGAGTTTATGCTCGCGAAGAAGGCGAGGCAGGAGAAAAAAAGCGCTGTGGGGAAGAACACAACAGAGACCGAAGAGATACAGGACGAGGAGGAGACCGAGGAGCCGACATACCAGGAGGTCCTGCGCAGCGTGCAGTTTCATCTGATTGAGGTAGCCGAGGCGGAGCGGAAGGACCTGGTGGCGAGGAGTCAGGCGTTGTGGGAGATTGTACAACGGGAGCGGGCGTTGGCCTTGGAAGAGGAGAAGGAGAGGCTAGTACGCGAAGGCAGGGGGTATGAAGAGCCGAAGCTTAAGTGGAGTGGTGTGCTACATAGGCGGCGGCCTAAGAAGACTAAGAAGGCGGTAAAAGAGGAGGAGAAGCCGCTTTCTGCGGAAGAAGGAAGGAAACTTTTCGCTCCATTAGAGAACGATGGGGAATTCGGCTCGGGTAACGCGGGGCAAGGAGGGCTCAGGCTAGAAGCTGGGCACGAGAACACACCGGCCATTAACGGCGAGGAACCGGAGACGGAGCTGGAAACCTCCCCTGGCAAAACGGCGGCTGCCAGCGTCAAGACAATCCAGGCTAAGTTGCCAGCGCACGCAAACAATGCCCAACCCAAAGACATAGAAAAACACGAATAAGCCCACGGGACAGAAAGCAGAAACGCTGTGTCCCCAGAACAGGAGCAAGAGCAGGAGAAACCTGCCGAGAAATCGGAAGTGGATAAGCATCAATATGTGCCTGCAGCCGATGTCGAGAGCACACTCTCCACGGGCCAAAAAGCTCAGGGACAGGAAAGGCCTGATGAATCGGGCGAAGGATCCAAGACATCATCACAGGAGCCTCCATCACCAACAACGGACAAAGCATAGAGCAGCTCCTGGGACTTTATCTGGGTATCAGTCGCTAGGGAGGTGTCAAACTGGGGAAATTCACCACAGATTGCCAATCTTAGACCGGACAACCCGAGTGTCAAATAGAGGAGTCTAAAATTCCTGTAAATAAATAATGTACCATTACAATCACAATATGCCATCCTTTCCTGTGCCAAATCTTATTCAACTGCTGTAAACCGCAGCGGCAAGGTAACCAAACACTTTTTCCAAAACAGTCCAGTCCATAAAATAACTCCAATGAATAAACAAAGCGCCGGTCATGACCCTGTCCCGATGACTTACCTCACTCCGTCGAAGTCTTGATAGCTCTCCAAAGCGCCCGATCGACGTCTGACTGCTTGAACCCAGGAGTCCGACCGAGACAGATTCCTCGTTTCGCCATTTCTAGGAACCATGTCAGTGAGTCTTATACTCAAACTCGAAGAAAAAAAGAAACCGAACAAGTCGGAGATAGTATATGCTTACCTTTGACCAACTGCATCACATCCACCACCACCCTCTTCAGGGCCGGATTCCTCGCCTCCCTTCGGGGCTCTTGATACCCTATATTCCCCATCACATCGGTCGCGACCATCCCGAAGGGCAGAATCCCTGAGCCCCCAGCCATGCTCGTAGCAGGCATGAAAGGATCTCCCTCAGAACCAAAAACATCCAACGCCGGATCAACCATCCCACCACCAGCCGCCGTCCCACCGGGTATCGACCACGCAGTCTCGCTCCCACTGCTCCCAGTATCAAGATCCCCTATGGTCTCCGCCTTCCACTCCGTAACCCCACCACCGGCATTCTTCGCGCCGCCACTATTATCACTGCTGCGCGCCCTCGCTTCCCCTTCTATGCACGCCGCCTCCAACTCGTTGACATCCACCTCTATCGTGACCACCTCCGACCCGGGCGGGATCACCACGCCGCGCCGGTACAGATACATCTCGGCCTCGTCACAGTCAAAGTACTCGCCCGCGAAACCCGGCAAGGCCATGCGCATGTCTATGTCCAGCTGGCGGTCGCGGACAGAGTTGATCGCGGCGGAAAAGGGCCCCGTGGCAAAGCCGGAGGTGGAGGCGGGCTTGAGAACGTCCTCCCTGCCTTGGTTGCCGGCTAAGGGGTGGGTTGGTACGCCTGGGGTGTTAGCACCGGTGGAGGAGGTGTTCGGGGCGGAGTCGGAGTCGAGATCGAGCTCGAAGTGTGTGCCTGCGCCGCCGAGGTGGTAGAAGGGAAACTGCCAGTTGAAGAGGGACTGGTTCTGTCCGCGGCCTAGCATGCGAAGGAGTCGACGGTGGATGGTTGCTGGCGACTCGATGAGGAGGCAGAAGCCAAAGACGCGCGCGATGAGGCTCTCGGGTGGGTTGGGCATGTCGAGGAGGATGAGGGCTTGTTCGAGGGAGTAGCGGTGCAGGCGCCGGCCGAAGGTGGTTTCGAGGTCCGCGTAAGAGGCCGGGGGCGCGGGGGATGGTGGTAAAAGGGCGGAGAAGGAGAGATTATCGGAGAAGGGAAGGTTGGGGAACGGCTCGAGGGGGAAGCTGGCATTGTCGAGGGTCGGATGGGTGAGGATTTCGTAGGGGAAGGTCGTGGTGGGGGGATCTTGTTGAGGGAGGGTTGGAGCTACGGCATAATTTGGTTGGGCCCCGGATGTGTATGGGACCATGATACCGCTGGGTAAGGTGGTTGGCACCCCATGTGCCGACGACTCTGGTGATGCAGCTGCTCCTGCTGGGTGGGTTGTGACGGGCGGCGATGGTGAACTCGTAGCGGACTGGCTATCCCCGCCTTTCTTGTCAACTGGAGTTGAAATCGTCGTCTTGGCTTCCCCTTCCTTGAGGTCCTCATCGCTCGCTTCACGAGCAAGTGAGAGAAACTTCTCTGTCGTCTGCTGCAGTTGGCGGCCGAACTCAGGAACCTGGTCCAGCAGCCCGCTGCTCAACGCGAAGTCGTGCAGCTGCATGAAAACGTTGCTCATCTCTTCGTTAGTGTCTCGGAGACTTTGGACTTTCTTTTCCAGAGTCTGGATGGCATTCTCCTTCCGGTTCCGGTACGCTCGTTGAGCCAGGCGGATTTGTGTGCGTCTCCGCTGCCGCTCGTGTTAGAAAACAAGATTAAGTAGATTGATCGAGATAATATAAACACCAGGCATCATGAGTGGTGTCTCTGTGGGCTGAGCACCGAAGGGGATATCAACTCACATCAGCGGCAGTCTCATCTTTGGTGTCTAAGCGCGGCCGTCCCCGCGCTCTCTTGGTCTCATCATCTTGGTCCGGAGTTTCCACAGGTTGTGTCTTCTTGCGTTTCCGCGGTCCTTCTTCTATCCCCCGTGATGACGACCTTACTTGCTTCTTCCGTACGGCCGGCAAGCGCTTCGGCGCCGGAAACACTCGGTCATCCCCATACAGCTCAGCGCTGAGAATGGGCAGCTCACCCTCAGAGAAACGCATCGGGTAAACCTTCGTTCGGGAACTATGCTCGTGTCTAGTTTTAATGTTCATAAAGTAGGCGGGCCGGCCTTGACGTTGTCCGGTTTTCGTCGACTTTTGTTGTTGCCGTACTCCAATTGAACCCACAATGTACAGGCTTACGAATGGAGCTGAGAGATCCGAGGACTGAGTAACACTGAGCGGCCGAAACGTGGAATATGGCCGCGACAAAGGCCAACGGTAGATTATTCTGGCGCAAATCACAAGATAAAACTCACGGTTATGGTAATACTCTCAGGAAGCTGGGTAAACAGGGGGTTCTTGGTTTAAATCTTGCCCTTCCGCTCTCGCAGCAAGTGAGACTGCGCAAGGTGTTGTGTTCTAGGTCTCGCTTACTCACGAAAAAGAAGCTTTGAAATCGAGGCTTGTTAACAAAGCTTAGCATTCCGTAGCATGTGTTCTTGCCTAGTGTGTTAGCGTACGATCGGCCGACCGGCTGCTGACATACCCGAGACGGAATTAGCGGGGGTCTCCAGCAGAGCTAGCCGTATTTGTTCACTTTCATCTCAACCGGATTTCAATCCCCATCCCCAAAATCCGACGATGGTGACATCGCAGTCCAAGACTTTGGCCTCTCCCTTTCGGAGTGAAACTCTGGGTTGATCTCGATTGACGTCCCCACCTCCCTTTTGTTTCCATGAGTGACCTCAGCTAACATGCGGGTCTCTACCGTTGTTGAGCCAAGAAACTCCGACAACGTTGGAGCCCCGACCTTCAGCCCTTGAGTAGCGGTCGTTTTCAGCGAGTATCGTTGTCACGAGATCCCCCTTGACATTCCGCCGCCCGCCAACATCGACAAGCGGGAGAGCGACTTGAGAGTGGGTAATTACCTCTCGCTACCTTCGTTGACGCCAAGCTTGGAAGTACTGCGTTATACATACATGCAGCCCGCGTCCATACCTAGTGCATACATAGTACTCATTTTTTGGACTTATAAGAGGACAAATGTTCATCTAACTCGTGTATCAACCCCATGTTAGCAGTTATTTTCCGCCATGAATTACTTGAGATGCCGGACTAATAAGTCGGGATAAAGCCCTAACTGTGGTCATTGCTAGCTCAAAGCTCAAAGACGGTTTTCATCAAGCGGCCGTCGACCCCCACCTCATCGCTCCGCATTTCAACGCCCTCATTGGCCAATGCACAGACGCCGAGGACCCATTTTCAAGCGGGAGCCAAGCTGCGCAACAGGGCTGTGCTACGGCATGCGCAGTGAGGAAAACGTATTACCGTCTTTTTAATCTCACACTTCCTCTTGAGATTTTGCTTTGCTCCGCCGGTCCTGGGCTCCCAGAGACCAAATCATCACTATCCACAAATACAAACCGATATATTCCCCTCCAGACCCTTATTCTGTCCACACGACGACTTGCGACTCGAATCCTCCCAGGATCTTCCCGACTCCGACTCCAGCAAACTGCGGTCTCCCTCCCATCTTCGCCACGACCCCACGAGGGCCCGCACCACAGCTATGGACGACACCGACGGAGGGTGGCAGACCGTCATGCCGACCTCCCACGCTGCCATGAAGCGTCTACCGCACGCACAGCTCGAGGAGTGCGAGCGCAAGATACTTGTCGACTGGGAGGCCTCACGCAGCCATTGGTCTGGCGTGTAAGTTCAGCCAACTCCCGGCGATTCAAAAGTATGTTCAAGTATGGGGACCGAGTCGCTGATATGTAACGCTTAATATAGAGGAAAGCACCTCCCACTCGACGACTTCACCGAAGCGAAAAAACTCCACAATCGGCTCAAACTCGCTTGCGACACACCGCTCGGGTCCGGGACCTTCGGCGTCGTTCAGAAAGTCGAGTTCCTATGGAACAACAGGTCAATATGTCTGGCCCGGAAACAGGTCCGCCCGCAGAACCGCAGGCAACCCATGTCCGAGCTACACGCCGAAGCCAGTCTTATGGAAAAGTTGGACCATGAACACATCGTGAAGTTGGTGGGCACTTACTGCATTCAGAGCAGCCTGTATCTCCTCCTTTGGCCCGTTGCGGTTTGCAGCCTCGACATCCTGATCAATGACATCGATAACCTGAGGACGGATCATGGCGATCGAGAGGACATTATCCACCGGCTACAAGCGTTGGACTTGAAGGACCTGAGCGCGATCGACGGGTCGCGCACCTCGGCTGCGGCTTCTTCCACAAGCCGTGACCACTGCCCGCTGGAATACCTGCGCCGGATCATGGGGTGTATCACACGCGCAGTAGCATACTGCCACAACTCCAACATCCGTCATTTGGATCTGAAACCGACCAATATCCTCCTGAACCCGGGCCGCGTTTATCTCGCCGACTTTGGCGTATCCAAGGACGTCCATGGCCGAGATAACACTATGACGAGAGGCATGCAGGGAACCCCGAAGTGGAGGGCCCCGGAGTTGGAGGAAGTCACAGCGGATTGGTCCATGAAGGCGGCCGATGTCTACTCTCTGGGGCTGGTTCTGTTGAACATCTTCCTCGTAGTACATAATGCGCCCCTCGATGAGTTTGACGCCGTACTTGCGACTCGCGTTGAGCACGGAAGAGCTCACAAGGTACTCGCATACCTACCTAGGGTCGAAAGTTTGGCTCTGGCCACGCAAGAAGTTGGCGACGCAGCTGCGCCAACATTTGGGCCGAAACACATCATCCACCTCATCACGAAAATGCTTGCCATTGACCCTGCTGAACGGCCCGTGATCTTCGACGTTGATTCTGAACTCACGGAGCTCGGTGGGCTCGAGCAGATTTACCACACCCGCTGCTGCAAGCGGAGTAACCGCGTCTTGACGGACCGCGTGAACACCAAGCTCAGAATCGTGATAGAGGAGCGAGACCGCATCCGCGCAGACTACAAGCAGGTCGCCAAGCGTCTGCATACACTCGAAGCCATGAAGGAGACATACGAAAGCCGCTTGGTCAACGAGCGGAAAATGCATGCTGAAAATATCATGAAAATGCAGATTCAGCTAGAAGCTGAGCGAAATGCACGGAAGCTGGCCGAAGCCTCCCTCGCCGAGATGCAACAGGGCCGGCGACAGCCCCGCCCTAATGCTCCCCGCACGACTTCAGACCGGCCACTCATGTATGCCGCGCACATCCCGACAGGCCCAGCCGCCATGGCGAAGCGACCAGCACCAGCCAAGGCGCAAACTCACCCAGCCCCCGTGTCCCAACTGCCGCCTCCTACGACGCAAGTCCGACCGGCCAGTCCAGCACCATCCGGCACGAACAGCCCCCGACCTCGACCCATCAGCTATTCCCAAGCCGCCGCATCGGGCGTTCCGACAAGACGGGTTTCTCTTATCCCATCGCCGGCCCCGAGCGCCGCTCCCCCGGCCAGCCCCAACCTGGAACAAGTCGGTTACCCGCTCCGGTCTCGCAACTCCGGCTCACGACTCCCGCGCGCCATCAACCCGGCCCGCTCAAGCACACCCTTGCTCAACCGTGATCAGTCATCCACCGACAGCACCCAGTACAGCATGAGCGACTCCGTCTTCAGCCGCATGAGCCAATCCCGCCTCTCCGTCGCCGAGACCAGCGTCGCCGGCACGCCCATGAGTGCCCGCAGCCCCGCCACCCCCAATACGCGCAGAGACCACAGCCCAACAACCATCATCCCCCCCAGCCCTAATTACCGCGAACCCACCACCCAAGTACCCACCTCGCCCAGCGAACCCCACGGTCTCGGCCTCGGCCTGACCGATCGCGAGCGCCGCGAGAGTTTCACCAGCGAAACCGGAACCGGAATCGACCCCAGCGAAAGGGCGGAAACCGAAAGCATCCGTGACACCGCGAGCGTCCTCAGCTCCGCGGGCGCACCCCTCGAGTCTCATCATGATGATTACCGTAGTATGCTGAGCCCTGTGCCTAGCGGCTCGGCGCTCTCCTCGCCCAGGATGGAACATGCCTCGCCAGAAACGGTCACGGCTGTTCGTCGGGTGCCGGCCCTGCCGTCTGCGAAGAGCTGGGCGGATGTGGCGCGGAGACAGAGGAATGCGGAGCAGGGGAGGATGGAAGCTGTCCGGCCGAAACAGGTCGAGGCGAAAATCGTCGAGGCCCAATAGGTGGAAGGAAAGGTAGGAGAAAGTGGGACTGTTATCAGCTGAATCAAAGACTCGGCTGGTATTGGAGACTAAAGACCCAGTCCCGTTGAGGTGGGAAAGAAAAGCTGGGAATGGACAATTGGAATTTTCAAGGAGTTTGGAAAGGACCGGAGACGGTCAGGGTGAATGAAATGATACCATATCTTCCCATGAGAGGAGATACTTCTGGACAGTTATAGCATACGCCGCAATTTTGAATAGCACAGCGATGCAGATTTTGGAAAGGATTCAAAACGATATCACTACCTGGCAGCCCTATGATTGTTCGTGAAACGTCTGGAAATGTTGTCTCGCCGTCTGTCTACCAAACACCTTGTTAATTGTACCGTACCACCGTGCTCAGGAAGACAACCTCCTATTCTGGTCTTGGTTGAAGCCTGGGCGTGGACATTCATCTTGATAAAGCCAAAATTCTGTGCTGATTTCCTAATGGTCGGCTGGTGTAGTGGTTATCACGTCTCGTTCACAAAAGTTGAATTTGCTGGGTTCTTCCCACCGAGAAGGTGCCAGGTTCGATCCCTGGGTCGATCATTCTTTCTTCTCTTTTTTATTTTGCACCTTTCGGGTCCGGTCCTCTTACTGATGTACTTTTTTCATCATTGTACTTACGATCTTCTTGCTTTTATTTCCTCCCCCGTTCCCCCCCCCCCTTTTTGCTTTTCCCGCTTCGTTCTTCCCGGGTATTTTTTTTGTTGTCTTTTACCTTGAGTACTCAAGAAAATAAACAAGATACCAAACCCAAAGATACTGAGAAACGATAGAGATATCGACAATCTTTTACCCTTCTAACCCATCAACCCACCTCTCTGTGGAGAAAGTTTGGTGATGGAGTTCCCCCTAGAGCTGGTTATTGAACTCGGTGTCCTTGCTCTTACATTCTCTTAAATCCACCAAAAGAGCGGAAGATACCCGGACACACGCCATGCCTCCACTAATACGAAGTAATACCACTGGTAAAATATTGGCTCCTTAAGTGTAATCCACACGGATGTATGTAAACCCTCCACGGAGGCTACTTGGCACTTACAAACCCGCGGTTCTTGATCCCGTGCATGTCATTGTCAGCGCCCACTGCTTACCAATTTCTAATTGGTTAGCAATCGTCTTGGTGACCTCACCCCTGATTTTCACGAACCTCCTTAAAAGGGTCCGATAGGTACATACATACCCAAAGCGAAGCTAAGGAAGCAAGCAAGCAATATCACCTTAACTTCCCTTAAACTTTACCTTCAATCTAACACCGAGATCTGACATCCGTCTCAAACATGACATCCCACCCCCACAACCCCCTCGGCCACATCTCCATCGGAGTACGTGACTACACCGTCTCCAAAGCCTTCTACACGGCCGTCCTCGAGCCCCTGGGCCTCCGCCTGGTCTTCGACAGCGAAGAACCAGCTTCAACAACCCTTTCTAAACCTAAGCCCACCTCTCAAACAGCAACAAACACCACCCAAACCAACAGGGTCCGCACCCTAGGCTACGGCCGCGACCCGCAGCACGAATTGCTCAACATCTTTGAGTTCGGCGAGGCGGCCTCGCCACCGGGGCCCGGGTTCCACCTTGCACTGACGGCGCCGTCGCGCATGGCGGTGGTGGAGTTTCATGAGCGGGCGATGGCGGCCGGCGGGGAGGATAATGGGTTACCTGGGGTGAGGAAGCATTATGGGGCGAATTATTTTGCGGCGTTTGTGGTTGATCCGGATGGGTGGCGGTTGGAGGTTGTTTGTAAGGATGGGGAGTAATGAAGAGATTGGGAGGGATTGGGTATCTTAAAGCTGGACTTGTCGTGTTGGGGAGAGTTTTGGTTGTGGACAATACCCGGGTTATGTCTGGGGCAGCACTAGACGAGATGTACGTCGACCTCTTCAAAGCTTGCGACAACTGCAAGAAGCCAACTCGCCTGCAGTCTTACATCAAACCTTGCGATAAGGAACCGACAGGATTTCCCTAAATTTCCCTGGGGGCTGAAGTGAGCGTTTGGTTGTTGAATGGTGAAGTGAACGGAGCTGGCCTCGCTGGGACCCAAAGGGGTAACCGGATGGTGAATATCTCCTACGTTTCCCCTGGCGGCGGGGTTTTGGTGAACGCGGCGGGGCCGTAAATACCGCGGCGCGGTTCGGAGGTTCGCAAAAGGGTGCGAAGAAACAATCAGGGGTTCATCTTTGTCAAGTACTGTACCTAGTCGCGAGATCAGTTGGGATTACTTTCTCCGTATCATTGGTTTTGCATTGGCTAGAGCAATGGTCGACTCACGCTACATATACATACCTAATAGGGATGGAGTTTCTTCTTGCATTGGCGTCATAATGGATTTGAAAAGAAGCAATTTGCAAGGACGAAGGTGGGTTGATGAGCGGGGTTGCGTTTCAGGAAAACATGGCAATTCCAGTGCGGGGTTCCCCATGGACTTTCCCAGATACACTGAGCTCCTAGCTTGAAGTCGACATTAATCAATGGGCCTAGAGAAGTCGCTTTTTACAAAGATGCTTCAACTCCTTCTTAAGTCAACTAAAATAGAAACTTGATGAGGATACTCCGTACTATCCGTATCGATAAGTCCTTCGATCTTTAAGTGGGGCTGTGGGGGAGGTGTTGCGAGTTCTGGGAGCTTGCGTTGTTGTTCTGGGTGCCTGCACCAGGCCGAAGCCAGTGTGCGTGGGCTCACCAGCAGCCTCCTGCATAAGAAAGAAGAAGTACAGGACCATGGGAAAGAGAGGAATGGGATTTCATTATTTTTTCTATCTTTCCTTGCTACACACCCTTTAACCACCGTGGGTTTTATTGTCTTCTTGTCTTAATTGCCTTCTGTCTGCAGGTACTTGTTTCACAAGGCTGCTTGTTAACTCGTGTTACTCATATCCCATCGCTTTCCCAAAATCACACAGCCCTGAGCCTTGCTTTCCGGCCGGCCCCTTGTCAGTTGGCCCAAGCGTGTGGATCCCATCCAGTCCCAAGCTCCGGCACTGCTCGTCCGGCATCTCCGCTCTGGCGGCGCTTCTTTGGGGACGGCGTTCAAACCGGAACAAAGAAACCCATTCCTCATCCTCCCCGGGCCCCAATCGATTATCACCGGGGCGCCGACTGCATTGTGACACTACAACCACTCGGTGACTCTCATAACTACACAGTACCCCAAGCACGACATCCATTTGTGGCTGTTCTGTGCGCCTGAGGTAACTAGGTATTTAGTTGACGTTATTTCCAAGCTCCTTCTCTCCCCGCAGAGGGTCGTCCCTGAAGGTTCCATTCCGCAGCTCTGGCGGCCGGGTCCCGCATTTCCGGACCCCAACAGCCCTTTGTGCAGTTGCCGCAACCAACAACTTCCTCCCTTCCTTCCATCCTCATGTTTTAGTTATTCCAAAGCCACTGTGAATAACCACTGATAGTTTTTCCGGGATCAGAGTCCCGGCCCTCCTGATCGGATTCAAGCCCCTACGCCCCCGGCCCATCGATTGCCGAGCCAAACCCTTGTGTCGTGTGCGTGGCAAGCTCCCAAGGCTCGCGGACGCCTCTATCTTCTCAAAAGCCACGCAAACCTCTGTCGAGGCGAAATGGTCCCGGAAATCGACAGCAGTTACCAATCCAGTACCACATCTACCCCGACTACCCTTTCCCCCCGCGACTCCGCCTCTGACGCGCCGATTCTGCGCCGAGAACATTCTTAAGACCCCTACAACACGACCCCTGCATTGCAGCCGCACCTTGACGACCCAGCCTTTTCCTCCACGTCGAGACCGACCGGCGCTATCGTGAGCTCTCTCGACCACCCCGAACGGCATAGACCATACGTACATACTACACTACAATGGATGAGTCAATAGAGGCACACACGGGGGCTGAGGCGCCCTTTGCGGGATCTGCTGGCGGGGCTGCTGCGACCTTTCTCTCAGGGCTGCTCACCTCCGTCGAGACAATCTCTCGGGCAACCTCCCCCGGCATACCGTGCGGCCATAACAACTACGAAGACGACAAGAAACGCTACCGCCCCCGCACGTTCAGCTACTTCCGGCTGCTTCCCTTCGATGTCGAGGACGACTCGCACCGAGATGCGGCCCTCCAGGGCATCCTCAAGAATCTCTACATATCCATCATGGCCGAGGACTTTTCTCCCGGTGCGCTCCATTGGACGCGCGAACTCCAGGGATGGTTGAATCTCAAGTTTGAGATGACCCGGGAACTGCGGGCCCGGCTAGCCCAGGTGTACTATCACCTTGCGTTGGCCCCGGGGTTAGATAATAATACAGCAGACCGTTTTTCGAGGATGGTTATTACACTGACGAGGTATGATTCTTTCTCTCGTCCACCTGTTCGTTTCTCAGCGGCCTTTTTTTGGACATTGCCGTGACTGACGATTTTCTACTGCAGGAAAAAGCACTACCTCAAGCCTGGCGAGGACCTCACCTTTGACTGGCGGCCGCTTTGGAAGGAGATCCGGGCCATGGTCCTCCCTTCCGAGGCTGCGTCACATCAGGGACCACGAAGGAGGTCGGCCAAGCACCTCCTTAAGCTGTGCCTGCAAGCCAGCGCCTACTTTGACCCCAAGGAGCGCCGAGCCATCCTGGACGAGCTGCTTCCTTATTTCAGCACCTCGGCCATGTCCAATGCTTACATCGTTGCCGGCGCTCTCAATGCCATGCTGCCCACTAGCCCGGCGCCCCCCACCGAGCCGCAGTCGCAGCCGTCCGATCTCTTTCCGACATTCTTCCATTTATGGTCGTTGATGACGAGATCTAAGGGGTTCGACGTGTGCTTCATCGACTTATTCTCGCGCATCGCCCGGGATTACCTTGGCTGCACCCATGTGCCGTTTACAGAACACGGCATTTTTACTCGCGAACAGTCAGACCTAATCTTTACGGCCATTTTGCGGCTGACCGATATTCCGGTCGGACAGGCCAACTCGCCGTACACGTCGTTAGATTATGCTTCCGGCCTGGGCGCGTACCTGGAGAAGGACCGGAAGAAGTATCCGGTCCCTTACATGATTGCACGGTGGATTGCCCACTCCTTGTCGCCGCTCTGCCTCAAGCAGGAGAGCTCCATCTTGACCAACCTCGAGGGCCTGATGGAATCGATCGATACCTTCTTCCACCCGTCGAACCAGGGCGTATGGGTTAACTTCCTGGCCCAGTTGACGTATTTCCTGACCGACATCTTTGTCTCTCGGTGGAATCGCGAGCAGAGTGGGGAACTCGACGTGCCGCAGGACCGTCGCATCAATGACGAACTGAAGAAGCGCTTCGTCCTGGCCCTCAAGGAGGTAACTTTCATGGGGCTTTTTGCCAAGAGCTCTAAGGTGGTTAACTATTACTACTCCACACTGCAGGGTCTGGCATATCTGGAACCAGATCTCATACTTCCCGGCGCCCTCCAGCGTTTCTACCCCAGTTTGCAAGGTCTTGTCGAGGTCCACCGGACAACGTCGAGCTTATGCGGTCTGCAGATGATCGCCAACATCATGTCCAAGCACAAGGGGTACCGCTGCCACATTACGGCCCTGCTTGCGTTGGCGCTACCCGGCATCGACGCCAACGACTTGGGCAAGACGCAGTACACGCTCAACTTTATCCAGAGCGTGGCTTACAGCATTCCGTTTGTGCCACTGGCGCACGAAGGTGACAGGATCCACGACACAAGCCTTGCCATGAACTGGGTGCAGGGCGAGATGGAGAGGATGGAGCGCGAGGGCCAGGAAGTGAAGATCTGCTACGACGAAGAGCTGACGGACGAAGACGAGGCTAGCATCCTGCGCTCATCGACCGCGGGTCTCGGCGAGTTTGTTCTGGCTTTGCTGGGGAAGGTGTTCGCGCTGCTTGAGAACCTGCCCGACTCGAGCCACCTCCGCAATGCATCGCCCGAGGACAACGTTATCAACACGCTCCCGGCGGCGCTCACGCCCCTGTTTGCGTCGTTGTCGCCAGAGCTGTTCGACATGGTGCTCGAGAAGCTGGCCACGTTCGTGAGCACCCACGTGGTTCACCAGGCCAGGGACGCCATGGCGTGGATCTGCAACGCGCTGTGCAAGGTCCATGCGGAGAAGACGCTCCGGGTGTTTATCCCGATGTTGATCGTCAACATCCGGAACGAGATTGACTACAACGGCGCGGCGTCCGACCGGAGCAGCGGTACTGAGGTTTTACCCCGGGATCGCGCGCTCGTGTGGCACGTCAGTATGCTGAGCATGTGTGTCGTGCACGTCGGCGCTGAGGTCGTACGGTACAAGGAGGAGCTGTTTGGGATCGCCGAGTATATGCAGGAGAAATGCCGCGGCCTGCCGACCATCCACATCTCCAACTACATCCACCATCTGTTGCTCAACCTGACGCACACCTATCCGATCGACAACGCGCTGTACGAGCCGGATCGGATCGCGCAGGGGCTGGATATCCATGACTGGGGGCGAACGACATCCCCGGCGGAACTCACGATCAAGTGGCATCGCCCTTCAGAGGCCGAGATCTTGTTTGCCGTGGAGCTGTTTGAAAACCAGGCACGGAGTGCGGCCCAGAGACTAGACCAGCTAATGAGCGACGAGCCACCGGTCAGCCGGAAGGGGAAGAACAAGGAGTGGTCGGACGAGCTGTCACGGAGCTTGACTGCGCTGCGACTGATGATTTCCGGTATCGCCACGATGTTTGACCCGCTTCGGGCTTCCGGTCAGAGGGGCGGGAAGAATGCGAACGGAGATGACAAGACGGACGCCGATGGGGACGCTATGATGGAAGAGGATGATGATCCCCTGGCTGAGGTGGCGGACGACGACGAGATGCAGCGCCAGTTCCACTATCCGGCCGGCTACCAACTCACTCCCGAGGACCCTGTGTACGACCGCATTCACGGTCTCCGCGAGGACGTCGGCCGTCTGCTGTCACGCACGCACGCCTTCCTGAACGCGAACCAGGAAGACGATGTGGCGTGCTTTACCTCGTTGTATGCCACGTATAGGACGTGGATCACAGATGTGGGTATTGAGCGCTCAGCACATCCGCTGGAGCGGCTCATGCGGCTATACGAGTCGGATATCTCGCCGTTCAAGATCAGCGGCCTCCGCAAAGTATACCCGCGGCCGTTGCTCATCAAGCGGGCGGACGCATACCAGATCCAGCGCGTTAAGTACAATTCGGCGTACCGCAAGAAGAGTGAGCTGGATAAGCAGCTGCTGCTCGACCTGGCCGAATCGTGCACATCGTCGTACTCGGACGTGCGTCGGGTGGCACAGGGGGCTCAGGATTCATCGCTGAAGGTGTTGCTCGGGGGCCGGCCGCTGGTGATCCCCGTCGTGCTGGCCCGGCTCGGCAAGGCGCTGGAGGAGAACGACCACGACCGCATCAAGGGGGCCATGTACACGCTGCTGTTTACCACACTTATCAAGACGGTCATGCGCGACTGGCGGTTTGCGCCCGAGTTGATGCGGTTGTATATCGCGACGGCCGGCGTGGACAAGGCGTCGATTCAGAACCTCGGGTCGTCGGCGCTGTACCCGCTGCTAGAGTTTGGTAAGCCCCTCGAGCGCATGATCATCTTCGACCGAGACGTGGTCAACACGATTCGGCCGGCGGAGGAGGACTGCGCGGCTGCGATCCAACGGCGTCACGACTTCATTCGCGAGCGGCGGACCCGGGTCGAGCAGAAGAAGGCTGCGCTGGGGCTGGAGCTGACGGAGAAGGCGCGCGAATCGCACTGGAAGGTGGCTAACCGCTGCACGATCTTCGCGCTGAACTGCACGCTGCGGTTCGACACGATTGCGAACGAGCAGTTCATCGACCTCGTCGGCCACGGCGCCAACGATCAGCACCCGAGTCTGCGGTCCAACTACCTATCGGCGTTCTCGGCCATCTTCTCGGCCATCGACATGCGCGCGGTGTACAAACAGGAGTACCGTAACTACCTGATGGAGAATGAGCTGGACGAGAACGAGGTGATACTCCCCGTGCCGACCGACGACGAGAACGTGACGGACAAGTTCCTGGCGCAGTTTGAGGACTACGATCACCCGGAACACTTTGTCGATGCGGACCATCCGGGCTGGCTGGTCTGGGGCAAGCAGCTAAAGGTGTCGCGCGCGGACCCGAAGCCGTTCGTCGCGTACGGCGAGGTGGAAACCCGCGTGCGCGAGCAGATCGGCGGGATCATCACCAAGGACTGGTTCAAGAAGTGCTTTGACTATCTGAAGCAGGAACCTCGGGATTCCGGGTCAGACAGATTCCGTATGCAGCATGCAGTTCTCCTTATGTCGGTGTTCGATCTGATGTACTACGGGAAGACGGCCGCGACATTCGACGACGTGGTCGAGCTGACGAAGGAGGTGTACGGCGACGGCAGCGACAAGCACCAGCACCGTGCGACGTCCGAGATCCTAGGCGCGCTACTAACGGGCAGCATGGACGACCCCAAGGAGATGCGCGACAAGGCGTGGGGGTTCGCGGCGCCGATGATGCTCAAGATCATCGCCGACGACCTGACCCCCGACAACTTGTCGTACTGGATGACCTGTCTGCACGTCATCATTGATGGCAAGGACCCGCGCCGGTACCGCGAGCTGAGCGAGGCCCTCGCGTCGTTCCGGCTGGATATGACGTCCAACGCGGCGTTCAAGGAGTCGTCCAAGCTGCAGCTGATCGAGTTCATTGTTAACGACGCCGGGTGGCACTTCCGGCACGAGCAGCCCATCCTTGAGGACTGTCTCGCCCATATCGACCACCCTTACAAGTCAGTGCGGGAGTCGATTGGTAGGGTGATCGCTACTGTCTATCGCACCCGCTACCACGAGTCCTTCCGCGACGTCTCGGCGCTACTCGAGCAGAACAAGGCCGAATCATCCCTCGGCATACGCCCCTACCAGCCCACAGAGGCCTTCTCAGCCGCCATCCGCGACGTCTTTGCGCGTATCGAGACTTGGCGTCACGAGCGTACGCCGGGCCAGCAAACCCCCTCCAGCTACACCTCCGGGTCCAAAACAGCCCTCATCTGGCTCGACAGCATGCTCTCCTCGCAAGAGTGCATCCAGCTCGTCCCCTTCTTCCCGGACCCCTTCATCGACCAACTCCTCCACATGATGGACGTGAAAGAAGACCCCGAACTTATGAAGCTCGCCTACCACGTCTACCGCCACCTCCCCAACATCCCCTTCCGCTCCGGCGAGGACGACGCCTTCATCGCCGCCCTCATCCGCGTCGGCAAAACCGCCGCCTCCTGGCACCAGCGCCTGCGCGCCCTCGTCAACATGCAGGTCGTCTACTTCCGCCGCCTATTCCTCACCCAGCCCGCCCAGCGCCAAATGCTCTTCGACGCCGTCGGCGACATGCTCGCCGACCCCCAACTCGAAGTCCGCGACTGCGCCAGCGCCACCCTCGCCGGCATGATCCGCTGCTCCCCGGCTCCGATCCGCAACCCAATCATCTACCAACTCAAAGACCGTTTCGAGCGCCAGCTCAAACTGAACCCCATGCCTAAGCGCAAAGTACCCGGGACGGATACCCCTGTCGATAACCAGAAGCAGATTGTTAGAAGACATGCGGCGGTGCTCGGGTTGGGCGCGTTGATTGAGGCGTTTCCGTATGCGACTCCGCCGCCGACGTGGATGCCGGAGGTTTTGGCGGGGTTGGCGACGCGTGCGGCGAATGATCCCGGGGTGGTGGGGAAGGCGACCAAGGCGATTTTGGCGGAGTTTAAAAAGACTAGGCAGGATAGTTGGGGGGTTGATCAGAAGGTTAGTACCTACCTCCCCGTTTACTTTATTTATCCTGGTTTTATGATGGATTGTTGGTGTTGGGATGAGAATGCTAACGATGATCAATAACAGTACTTCACAAGTGAGCAGTTGGAGGACTTGGAGGGTGTGCTGTGGAAGAGCTATTTTGCTTAGGCCAATGCTTGCTTCTATCCATCTTCTGGCAAGGGAGGGACGACTTCTGGCAAGGGAGGGACGAGATGGAAGAAACGGGATGGATCGATGGATCGATGGAATGCGTGATTGGCACGACTAAATCCGCGGAAGGGGGGTTGGTTCCGAGTGATGCGGAGGTTTATGCGGAGGTTTACGATCCAGCGACGGAATTATATGACGCGCATGGTTGGCTGCTTTGGCTGCTTGGCTGGTATGGTGATGATGAATACGTTTTGTATGGCTGTATGTGTGTCTGTCTGCATTAAAGTACTACAGCTGGGATAACGATGAATGCCTGGATGGATCATGCAAGTTGGCTGGGTGGATGTGCTCAGGAAATGGTGTGGGACCCGGCATCGCATTTACAAGGTGGATGGAAAATGGGCCGGGGGGAATGGAAGGATGGATGGGTGGATGGAAGGTCATTAGAGTGGTGCTTGACATGGGACTGACTGGTTTCGATTGTGCTGTAACTTGTGTAGCGTGATAGGATACTAGAGAGAAGGAAATGAACAAGAAAAAAACCGCATTAGTACTGTTTGTTTTTCGTTTGTTTTGGGAGGTTGTTTGTGACGATGGCAAAGAGAATGACGACGACATCGAAATCATAGAATGGTGGCTTCGGGAGCAATGCCGCTGTGAGTAGGCGTTCCTGTACTATTAACCTCCCTATTTCGACGGGAATAATGAATGAGAGGGCGTAAGCATTCGCTGTTGTATCCATCCAGTTCACCGCCGTCATCGTCACTCACTGCCGCCTCCGCTGCTGCTGCTGCATAAACACGGAAATCACCCACCCACGGGTACCCATGGGTAGTTCTTTAATGGGTATGGGTGGGTACTACCCAACCCATATGGGTTATGGGTAGGAGATATGGGCTGGAACCCAATTCTTGGGTTCGGGTTGGGTTAGACCCATTGTCCGAATATAAGATGGTTGTACTATATAATTAAACCACTGAATCCACTGAATAGTTTAACTGTCTTTGAACCGCTTATTTAAGGGAGCGGTTAGCGGTTTAGGAGCCAGGTTATTATATTCGCTCCTAGGGTTGAGGTTGATCTGGCTGGATGGTTACCCAGATGGTTACTATTTGTAAAACCGGAGGAGTTTTGTTCAAATATTTAAGTCTACAAAACTCTGTACATTGTGTGTTACAACGATAGTTACAGTTCGGTTACATTAATGATCAGTCTCTTCTTTCTTAGGCTAAATCTATAATATAACTCGACTCTTACTCATGTTTCTGGGTCTCTCTGGACCCGACCCAACCCATATAAACCCAAACCCATATGGGTACCCAAATGGGTTATGGGTTGCATTTGGGTCCTACCCACGGGCACAGACACATCTTACGATGTCTGCTAAGAACTGATATCGAGTTACCGACCATATGAAAAGGGGTCGAATACAAACTCACCAGCTTTGTGCAGGCTTGTAGTCCCCATTCTTATAGTGTCCTTTTCTCTCATGGAATTACAATGATTATCATCAGTCTGTATCCCAACCCTTACGAATGCACGTCTTCCATTCCATGGCGGCTCAGACGTGTATTATTGCACCACTAAGTCCATTGTCAAGCAACAATACGAATTCATACAGCTCAGCATACCTTTTCCTCGTCGATGACAGCTCTCGGGTGAGACAGATGTTGAGGGTTAGGGTAAGGGTTAAGGCTGATGACGAGTGTTGAAGCTCCAGACTGCTTCAATGGAAAGAGCGACCACGAAACAAGCTCCTGTTGTTCTCCGCCCAACAGATTCCAGATAATCCTTGCGGCAGAGGTCGAAGCATGATATGAGCTCCTTGCATGGCAACCCAATCGCCGAATCAAACTGCGGATTCTTCATCAGGCCTGATGTCCGACATTGACAATGAACGCCATCGAGTGGATTCCCGGTCGTATGTTCGCATACGAACCCCCGTGGCAGTGCACCAACATAAATCCCCGAGTCGTCCGAAAAGTGACGCGTCGCAATTTCTTCGCTTCACGATAGCGACCGCAAGGATGCCCGAAACAAGCAGTTTGCTCGGGAATGTTAATTCGTTGGCCGTTGGGAGCAACCGAACAATCGGCACAAACGGTTCGTTTCAACCCGAAGCTTTGGCAGCCAGTCATCCCGATTCGACCTCCTCATCCTGCTGGACCAATCGGTTCTCAGCAATGCCCCCCATTCTCGTCGTCAGTCACACAAGGCGTTGTTCCAACACCAATCCAAATAACATGCATTGGGTTTTGCAAACCAACTCATTTTTCTCGCAAGCCTCGCTGCGCTCGAGTTAACGTCGCACAGCCGAGCGGCGTACCAATTCCCAAGCCTCATGGTGTTGCTCACTCATGGTGACACAGTCAGAGGCTCTTGGCGGCCGATTTCCGAATCTGGCAATTGGGTTGCACGTTGGCTGAAGCACCCGAGGCACCGGCACGGCACAGCCGCCCTGCCTCGGTGTCAACCTTTTCAAATCCGGGGAAAAGCCTACCGCGAAAAAGAATAAGCTGCTGACTTACTCCGTACATGTACGGAAATACGGTCGAAGAATACCGCATTGGGCCGGAGCAGGCTCTGTCAGACCTCGGATCTGTCATCAGGCGGATTTTCGAGAATCCCCGCGAGACCGAAATCCCGCCGTTTGACTTTCCAAATTAACACCACATTACGGCAAGGACAAGACAGTGCCACGGATGACAGATATGGCCTCACCGATTCAGAGCACCGCGATAACCCCAAATGCAGCCACGATGCACAATAGAACCCTGAACGGTAAACGATGGATGCTCCACCATGAAAACCCCGCTCTCCCGCTCCCGGTCTCGGGCATCGGTCTCGGCCCACGGCCCCGGCCCCCGGACCTTCGAAGGTCCCACCTCCCCCCGTCCACTTCTTCCCCCTCCTTCCGGCCCGGCATTAGCGGCCGACCCCTCTTCGTCCCAACCACCCACCCCACAACAACAACAACAAGTACGACATCCTGTAACACGCCGATGTCAGCTAGAGTAGAGACGGCCAGCAATGCGGCCCTCCCGCGCGGCCGGCATGCCCTTCAAACGAGGTCGGGGTCACCAGGCGGCCGGGCCACCATAACAATTCATCTGATGCCCATCATGAGCGCATCATCCCGTGCATCGCGTGTTGATGATACAGGCAGAGCCGGGGTATGGTGAGTGTGAGGCTGTTATGGGCACGAAAAGAGGAACGACGGGGAAAATGCAATAAAGATGCAACGTGACGGGGCCTGCGAAACGGCCCGGCCTGCTTCAATGAATGCGCATGGAACCGACATTCGAGACGTGGCGTGGACGGAAGGGAGCAAAAAAAAAGTAAACAATAATGAACCCCTCATCCACGCATTTACCCTGTGGCCGCCATGCCTTGGGCCCCTGTGCCTCATACCCCCCACTTTCCCCATGCGCCAGGAGAGCGGTGAAGAACCAGAGGATGAGCAGGATGTGAAGGAGCTGCTCAAGTGATCAGGACAACTCCGAATTGCATCGTGCAAACCCGGACTCAAAAAATTAAACGGCTAGGTAACTTTTTCCACTTTGCATTCGGTTCTTCTCAAGGCAGAATAACGATCCATTGGACAAACAAATTAACACACCGACGGGATATCCTTTCCACAATGCCGAAAAAAAGCCTGCATCTATCTCCAATGCACCTTCCCACCGCCCAGCCTGCGGGCACCAACTAGGCAACGCCACAGGGCTTTCTTGGGTCAACAACAGCAGCCAACCCCAACAACGCCTGACATTTGACAACTAATCCAAAAAAAAAAAAAAAGATATCAAAGGATGTCCACCAATACCAACTGCACACACACAGAATACCAAAAGTACTATACCAAATCATATCCCCTTTTCCTCCCGAAACCCCCCAAATTCCCGTAAAATTCCGCACACCCACATACTGTGTACTCTCGCCGAGGCTCCAAAGAACCACGCATGTGCTGCACCTATGTACACATATGTAAACGCAGAACACAAACATAAACGTGGCACCCAACGGCGCCCGATGACCGTCTGAATGACCATACCAACCCCCCACCGATCCTGTAGCGTAGCGTTAGTCTAAGTGTCAGTGTAAGCTTCCCGAGTCCAACTATCCGATCCGAGCCTCATCGCATCATCTTGGTCTTTTTCTGTGCCGTGTAAGCCTATCCGACGGGTGCATCAGACAACCCGCTCGGTCGGTCATCCATCACCCCCCGCTTCCACTTGACAACTTGACCGAGTGCAAGGCAGGTCAGGCAGGGCTCTCAACAAGGTAGGTAGGGTCAGAGGCAGGTAGGTGGCTAGGTAGAAAGAAGGAAGAATTGGAATTATTCCAATTATTCCAATGGGTTGGTGTTGGAATCGACTCCACTTCGAGACCGCCACTTTGAGATTTACGACACCACGAATGGGGGGGATGAAACGTGGGGAATGGGAAGAGGCGTGTGAGTGGGTGAGTGGGGTTGGCAAGGTAAGACCAGATGGGAAAAAGTCTGGGGTTTGTTTTTTGTCGGCCAAGAAGAAAAGATCGTCGCCGTTGTGTTGTGTTAGAAAGGAGTGGCGTGGAACTGTGTCAGGGACATCACCACATTGATAGGAGTCGCAACGTCGAATGCAACATCAAGTGCAAGAGAAGATGAGATCGGATGGTCTGGTCCGGTCTGGAATTAATTGTTCATTTGAAGAGCTTGCGTCGGAATTGCGATCAGTGTGAAGGAGCAGACACCAAGCAGAACGAACAAAGACATTGTGAGCAGAGTAGTGAGATGAATTAAGTCTCTCGATTCATATCATCATCTTCAAAAGAAATTAAAAGTTAATCCAGGACCGCCATCCAAATTCCAACCTGCCCATGCCATATGATATGATATGCCAATGATGCTTTGTGATATATGCCCCTCCAGAAAACGCCCAAAATCAACTCTTGATCTATCCCCCAGATCCCTCCGCTGCATCCAAATCCAAATCCCAATGCTCATGCTCCCTTTCCACCCACCCGCTGTAATTTACCTCGCTTTTCTCCCAGGTAGTCAAATCCCAAATTCCAAAGCCCAAAAGATTATTACCGCCAGCTCCGTATCGGGGACTTGTGTGTGTGAGGGAGCGGAATGCCAAAAAAGAACTTGCACTCAGCCAGGACTGCTTCAATTCCCGCTTTGGTCGTTCCACCTCTTCCACAACACAGTCCCGTAATGCAAAACAAACAAAGGAAATTAGTTAAGAAACCAACGCCGCTGAAAATCAAGATGCTGGTGTCATAAAGTCGTCGCTCTCAAAGACTGCTCCTTCTTCTCTCTACCGCGCAGTCCCAAACACCCGCCCAAACACTCCCCTCACGCCCTTCCCAGCCGGCGCACCCCGCCCCGACGCCTCCAAACTCCTTAGCTCCTCCGCGCTAATCTCATACGGCAACATCTGCCGCGACGCCGCCGCAGCCATCATGTACTGCTGCTGCTGCTGTTGCTTCATGCCACGACCGCCAGGGACATACATGGGATCCTTGGCCGGCACAACTGGGCGACCATAGGCATCTACCGCCATGTCGGTAGGCGAGTGGCAGACCACAGTGCCAGAAGCAGCGGCGTCGTCATAGACGTAGGGCTGGTACTGGGCGCTGGTGATGTCGGCTTCGCTGAGCGGGGTGGTAGCGCGGGAGGTGTTGGAGCCGGCGTAGGAAGAGCCGCTGGAGTAGAGGAGGCCCGGGGGTGAGACGTCGCGGCTGCTGCCGCGGGAGTGGGAGGAGGAGGTGGACGGGGTGTTGTTGTAGGCGACGGCCTGGCGGGAGCGGGAGCGGGAGGTGCCGCGGGAGGATGCTGGGGTTGGGTAGGCGTGGCGCTCGACAGATTGGTCGCGCGCGCTGACTGCGACGACGGCGGGTTGGGGTTGAGCGAGCGGCATCCACATGCGGGCTTCCTCTTCGCGCTCGCGCTGCAGGGCGAGGCGTTGGAGCATTTCTTGCTCTTGCTCCATCTGGGCGCGGACGCGGCGCTCGTAGCGACGCTGGACGCGCGGGCGGAGGGGTGCGAGGAAGTACTCAAGTTCCTCGTAGAGCTGCTTGTCAGTAATGCGGAGGTTCCACTCCAGGAGCTGGAGGAGCTGGCGCTCCATGAGGTTGACTTCGGTACGGCTGAAGCCGAAGTTGTAGACCTCGTCGGAGATCACGCTGTAGCTGGCCCAGTGCTTGTTCTTGGGGCTGCTGTCGTTGAGGTACTTGGCCGTGAGGATGAGGGTAGCCAGGAAGATGCGGTGGGTGGTGCATCGCAGGCCCTTGGCCATGGGCTGCAGACACGACTTGAGGCGCCGGAGGTAGACAAGAGAAGACATGAGGGTGGCTACTTGGACGTTGGAGGAATCCACAAGTTTCTCGATGAAGGTCTGGATGGAGGGTAGTGGTGTGTCGCCCTTTGCTGCCCTTGCTGAAGACCGGGATGTTGTTGGTGGGGCGGCATCATCGCACTGGATGACTTCGGCAGCGGCCTCTGCCAGGAAGCTGATCATGTCGTCGTCGACTCGTTGGTAGACAAACAACTCCAGAGCACCAGCGTTGAGCTCATCGAGCGAGAGTTGTCGTATCGTGTCCATCGTGTGAGGTTGTGTGTGAAGTTGTGAAGTTGTGATGTTGTGATGTAGTGTGGTGGTGTTGTGAGGTGATGTGATTATATGAGTGTCGGCAGTGTGAGTGTCGATGAGTTGGGGTGCCGATGTTGTTATGTGTATCGGTATCGTATAGGTACAGAGAGTAAAGTACCAGACTGACTCTCTCCTTGGCGGAATGTATAATAATAAAGAAAAGAGAGGGTCTCAAACGGCAATCGAGATGACGAGATGCCCCAAGAGTTATATGATGGCCCCGAAAACCGAAAAGGGGAAAACGGGTGGGGGGTGGGGACAACAAGAAGAAAAGATGTTCAGCAGGGGGTTGCTTCAACGACTGACGAGCTTACACGGCGGCGAAGCTCATGTGGACAATCGCCGGGAAGAATGCCGGGGTGGAGGCCGAATCGGCGGGCTCGGCAAAGTGGACAAGCACTGCAAGCAGTGACAAGAAAGGCTGAACGACAGCTGTTTGTTGCCAGTGTGGGTCCCCTGATGGGCGTCCTCTGCAGGCGGAGCGGGCAGACCCCGTTGATGCGTGTCTCAGTCTGTCAGTGGCTCTGGCAGTGAAAAAGCCGACGTGCACTGTCCACGAGGCTGAGCGACGGGACTGGCGTTCCAGGGGGCGGTCACCCAGGCGGACAAGGGTTGAGCAGCACAGGGGTTGCGCGGACAATCTGGCAGTGTTGGGGTGGCCCGCGGTATCGGTCGCCGGTCGGGCTGCACGATCAGCGAGTCCAGGCTTTTTTGGCGAAAGTCGCTGGTCTTAACGGCAGCAGCGCCAAGAAACGTGCTGGTCCAATGAGCGATGAGAGAACCGTCGCACCTGACGGACAACTCCGGCCGAGGGTGGAAATGCTTCCGAAGAAGGTAACTGGGCGAAAGCGAACCGTGGAAGACGGGGAACCTGGAAAAAAACAGGAACAAAAAGGTTTTGTCTTTTCCCTTTCCAAAGGCGATGAGTCGCTCGAGTTCTTGAAGGTCCGTCGCAAGACAAGACAAGCAGCAAGAACCTGGTTTGTGCTTTTCGTCTCCACACCACGTTGGGGACGGGAGAGGGGATGCCAAGAGTCTGGAAAGCGACAGCTGGTCTGGGCTAGTGACAGTGGCGATCTCGGAAAAGTGGGTCTGGATGTGTTCCGTCTGTGGTGACGCGGATTCACAGGCCAAGATAGGTGGCTCAGAGCAGCGAACGCGAGGATCTCAGAGTGATTCACACTCAAAAAGGCCGGAAGATGACTCGGGCGAGTTGCAAAGTTGCGGAGCCGGTCGTGTTTCGAACACAAAGGGGCGGCCTGGGCTTGAAGTTGTAATTAAACACCGGCGATACGATCCCGGGGGGATCGCGGACAGGATCGACTGTCGATTCGGATACGAGTCAGTGCCAAAACTGGGGACTAGCGGAGATGCCAGGTCCAGATCGTCACGGAAAGTCGTGGGGGATGAGAGTCGGGATCGGTCAACGACGCCGAGACAAATTAAGGTTACAGCGATGAGCTGTTGTAGAAGGTCCGAGCCAGCGGATGGCGAAAAGTTGCCGTTGAAGGAGAGGAGGGCGGAGGAAGAGGGCGGAGTGCACGAAGGAGAGCCGGCGCTGCCGTGAATTATCGCGATGCTGCAATATGTCGAGTATTTTCAGTCCGGCCTTTGAGGGTTCCGGGCGAGTTTAATATGGCAGCACGATGCAAGTCCGCGGTAAAGCAGGCCAGGGGGTTGCGGGACTCTCAGTCGCGCGCCAAAGTCACAGGCGCTGGCTTGCGCCGTTTGGAGAAGCCCGGCGCGTTCGAGGAGTCGCCCAGTGTAACTTGTTTGTCGTCGACGGGCAAATGATTCGCTGTCCTGTGACAGCGGCAAACCTGGGGCGAAGCGTAGTGGGGCACCTACCGGGCGACGGCTGGACAGGTCGCACGGGTAAAAAAAGCGTTGGTGATGGGCCGATGGCTGGGAAGAATGTCGTCTGTCCAATGGTCCAATGAGGTGAGTCGAGCAGGCCAGATCTTGCAGAACTGGAAACGAGCACCGCAATCCCAAACAATCGAATTCTCTTGGACCCTACACGTGTAGTCGTTGGCGGTGAGTCGTTCTTGGGTCTCGACGTAGGGTAAAATGTGGGTTTGGTGGAGCAGTCGAGATAGTCGAGATACGATCCAGAAGCTATGAGGTGAAGCTCGTGAATGAAGAGATACGGGCTGTGGCTAAAGGGATAGGTAGGTAGGAAGGGCGCTCAGGACGAAGCTGCAGAATGGCGAGAAGGGAACTCTCGGGGAGAAGTGCAAGACACTCGAAATCGGGGCGGTCGGTCAAATTTTGTTGAATTTGCCCCTTTCCCGTCCACGGCACGCTGACCACTTTCTTGATCGGGGGTCCGGTGTAAGTGTGTCAGAGATTGACTGGAGCACGGAATATCAACCCAAGGTGGAAGGCTTTTCCCGTGCGTGGCACGCGGTATCTTTCCAAGAAACATTCGCAAACACTTTGGTACACTAGTGCAATTCTGGGCGTCGTCTGTACCGCCTCCGAAAATTGGGGGGTCACACCTCAAAAGCATCTGGTGTTTTCAGATCGCCGTGACCTCCCCGCATGGGGTTACATTCGACGTGGCCATCGCCAGTTCACTCAGGCACCACCCCTCGTCCGACTATCTCCCAAGCCGAGCCATTAGACATCAATACCTACAAAGTAGGCCCGAGATCGCAGACCGCATATTCCCTTTTACGCCCTGATTATTTGAATGGGCATCGATTCGCATTTCGGGCCCAATGCAGCCCATCCAAGGGGTGCATAACATAAATTGATGAATGGCTCGGAAGTCTGCATGCGAGAATTTGCAAGTGCCAGCGATTCAACACCCCCACATCGCGATTGGTCGATTGCGATCCTAGCGTTCAGGCTTGAAACAAACGAGGGGGTCCTCTCCTGGCAAATGCGGCTCACCTCCCAAACGGGATTGTCGAAGGCTTGCCATTGTTAAGGAGTCGAATCAAGCGACAGGAGCGACTAATGCATTTCCATAGGTAGGTCTACTGGAGCCGAAGGTCCCCTCCGTCCACGTGGCGGCTGAGGGAATGTGTATTGCTCACGGGGGACGAAAGGACAGCCGCATGACTTTGGCTCCATACCTGGGAAATAAGCTATGCGGCCACATGGACTCAGAACAAAGCAGCATTTCAGACCTTTTTGTTGGGCAGTTAGTTGAGAGCTTGCAATCTGCTTCTACTCCCCGCTCCATGAGGAAATTCAGGGACTCTCCGCACGTTCCCCTTCGAGCTCGTGCCCCTGCAGTACCCCTGAAAGTTGATGCCAAGACCTCCCGAGTTCCCAACGTCCACATGGCTATGAAACAAAACGAACCTCCATAAACAGCAGGGAAACGAGTCTCTCAAACGGTCGGTTGGATCAGTGTATGTTTAGCTTCCTTGATGTTCACTGAAAAAGCCCTCTTGTCCGCCAATACCGTGCGGCACGGATGGCCCAAAGTTTCGACCCCGTGAAATGGAAACAACAGTTATAATGACCAGACGGTAAGGTATCACAAACGCAACCCCACATCACATGCTGGAGAAGTGTGACAGACGCAGGGACCGCACGCCATCAGACGACAACGAAGGGCTTAACAGAAGCAACTTAATGTTGGTTCCGGCTACTGGAGGGTCGAAGCAAAAGAAACCACCGCCAAAAAGCAACGTGATCACCGAGTCGGCCGCCATGCGACAGGCCATACCTTTGACGCGCTCAATACCTCATTCGGGTCCGTCCTGCCGCTTCAAATTTGTTGCGCCGACGTTGTACGATGTAAGTCAAGGGTTCAAAGTACGGGGTTGGACAACGCCAAGCCGCACTTCATTCGCATCATTGAAACATCCTCGACAGAGCAACACAGCTGCTTGTTTCAACTCCCCCCAGCTGGTCTGGTACCGCGCAACAAGCCAGAAACATGGACGGCTCAGTCTCGGAGGTTCGGTTATCAAAAACGAGACTTTTTTTTCTCTCTCTCTTCGCGACCTCGCTGTTTGCGTCGCAACGAAAGGCGGTGTCGGTATTTGGGCGGCAACACCCCGAGAAAAGCGCATCTTCGGCCCCCTGAATTGTGCATCTAAGTGTAAAAGCGACCGGTCGGCGAGCTGCAGGAGCGAAGGGTCGGTCTCAAGCGGTGTGAGTGAGCAAACGACATTTTGGGAATAACCTTTAAAAGACCCCGCGCCGCTATCCTGCACCCGAAGAGACGGCGCAGGGGAAAAAGGTTAAAACGAAAAAAAAAAACTTCATCCATCACACCATCCCGAACACGCCCGACACACCGCCCATTCCTTCCCCAACGCACCGGGACCAAATTCTCGGGGGCCCGAAATCTTAGGAGGCCACCCGCCGGCCGAGTCCGCGGAAAACTTGCTCCCCGCATCCATTCCAGATCCGGCCAAGCGGCCGAACCAACGACAAGCAGCCCTGTGGCCAGCCCGCCGGGACCCGTGATTGGGCCTGCTGGCTGCATGTCTTGGACAAAACCTTGCTTCGCAAGCCAATGGGTGTGCAGGCAGGGGGCTGAGCTGAGTCTCGAATTGGTCGGATCGAACGGGCGGAGGGGATTGTCTTTCTTCTTTGGGGGCCGAGGGTTGTTCAAGGGAGACCGAGAGAGAAAGCGACTTGACGTCCCGCCCACTTCGCGACAATTGAATTCGCGAGATGGTGTTGTCCGCGACGGCATGTCCGTCGCCGATGCAGCCGAGCCACTCTCCTTCTGCGCGTTACAGGGGCAACTTCAAGTGGTTGTGTCCACTGCTTGGAACCTCGGTTGCGGAATTTGCCAGCAAGTTGAGTCTTGGCAACTTACCTTCAGTGGCTGCGTTAACAGTTTTAGCAGTAAAATATGCACGTGACTGTTAAGCGACCACCCTTGGGCTTGGCAAGGTTTTGCCGGTGGCTGAGAGCTACGTCATCTCAGCCAGTTGCTTCCACAACAACATGCTTCCAAATCACGATTTCCTTCAGCC